CCTTAGGAACTTGGGACGCATGGAAGGAATGGCTGCAGCAAGAGGTGCAGCGGACGCCCGGCGTGCCTCTTCCTTCGCCCGTGGCCCATGACACCTACTCGCTCTTCCTTGGGCCATGCGTCCCTCGTTCCCTGGCCATCGCCGGATCCTGCGTACTTACCGCGGGGGAGTTGCTCGAAGCCAAAGTCACGGATGGGGGCTAGCTACATGGCAGGTGGGAATGAGGCCCTCTTCGTCTAGTCGCGGCCTCTCTCCATGGCCCTGGTGGCAAACGTGCGTGTCGACGCAAAGGTAGGTGAACGACCCGAGTTCGACTTGTCCCTTGCCATCAGCAGGGACGCTGTCGGTGTGCCCTCTGAGGATACCGACGATAATGAGCACTTGCCATCTGGTCAACTTTACTAGCGGCTTCCTGCTGCGCCTCTGGCCCACGTACGAGGGGACGTGAAGTTGTTTCGACCTTTGCAGCCGGCAAACCGTTCCGATCAAGCAGTTGGAAGGGATTCTTTGGTAGCGCCTCAACCCCTCTGCTTCTCGGTCTCTCGGCCTCTCGTGGGCTTTTCCTCAGACCGGCGCATTCCATACGGTGTTCACTCCAACGGTCGGTTCCGGCTGTATGGATCTGCCTGCCCTCTACCTTCCGGATGAAGGCTCGCTCAGAGGCTACGTAGGGGCGTGCAACTCGCATGTTGCGTTGTCGGCACTGGTTGACGGGCAATACGGGACTCGAAGCCAGCCAACGACCGAGAGAAAAGCCGTATCATGACTCGCTGGCGACGAAGGGAGTGACAGGCGCGGATGTCCAACGGCGAGAGAGCGCATGCAGTCGAACACGCGCCGCTGGAGGGTCTGCGTTGCTGCATGTATGTGCAATACACTTCCGCGGCGAGAGAGGGCCGTCAGGCCTCTCCTCACCTCTCAGCTACCACGGGCGCCGTCCAGCACACCCTCAAGAGAAAGATCTTGAAGTAGAGAGGTACATGCGCAAGCCGCAGTGGAAGATATCTATCTCTTGTTGATGGTGGCCTCGGCATTTTAGACTGGGTCGTCTACCCAGGCCCGATGACAGGTCGGAATGATGGCTGTTGATCGCGATGCAAGGCAGTAGCGGCCATGAATGTCAGCCGCTAGTTTTGAGAAATTACCCTGTTGGCTAGGAAATCCAACAGAGGCGCATAGGTTGACGGCACTCTCCAGAGCCTACCACTTGACGACGGTGTGCCGTAGCTTGGAGTCTTGGATGGACCAGTTGATTTCTGAGAGGATAGCCCAGCAACGTTGGAGGTGTCTCTCTTGGTTCTCCCAGCATCCCAGTGATACCCACGCGCCCAACCTGCGGCTCCATCTCACAGGCATAGCGTCGACCACTCGGACAGGTTGATGACCGACCGACCGACCCTTGGAAAGGGAAAAACTGGTCATCAGGATGAGAGGAGTTCGGGGTGGCAGGACCATCATTTCCCCTCCCTCCGTCTCTCACCGGTCCCCCCTCTCTCTCTCTCACACATGTGGCGGGCCGTCGATGGGGTCCGAAGGGAAGATGGGCAGTAAGGACCAGCCAGTGAGAAAGGCTCAAAGCAGCAGAATATGAGGAGCCCACGCCCCTCAACCGCAATGGCACGGCAATCCGGGACTCCGCAAGGCAATTTGTCGAGTGCCGATGGCCAATCCTGGCGATGAACCAAAACTTTCTGACCGTTCATCCAACAGCCGCAACGGAGCTGGGGCCAGGAACCCCGTCGATGCCATCGGCCCCGTCCCATATCCGCAACGAGATCCAGAGGGGAGGGGGGCGCTCCTAGAAAGGGTTCGGGGAAGGCAGCTTTGGCCAGGCATCGCAATTTTACTTCATCATGAGGCGCCCGGATGCAGCGACTGGGTTTCCCACAGACAAGCGCACATACCAATAAGAACGACTACCGCGGACGGGGGGCGCCTAAGCCCCGAATTGCCAGAGTGGTGCCATATTGCATCTCCCAGGTCCCGAAAGGTTAGAATGGCAACCCCCTGGCGAGCGTCGCCCGTAGCGAGTTAGCCTTATGGATGGACACAAAACATAATCCGTTGGTAATGACGAACGCACGTCGAGTCTCCGTACTTGCATCCTGTATCCGTATGTGTGCGTGTGTGTGCTTCACCATCTACCCCTTGGCAAAGGGAGGACGAGTGGTCGTCGCTTGTCGAGGAACGACTGGCCTTGGTTTTACAGTACCGACTTAAAAGTCTTGTTACAGCAAAAAGGAGCAACCCTATTTAGCAGCTGTAGTGGGGGTGGTCAGAAATGGGACTCGTGGTGATGCACTGTGAAGTGACTACAAGCCAATGGGACCCTCTGTTACTTTTGATTGGGTTATCCTTTTTTTTTTTTGGTTGCTGTAACAAGACTTTTGAGACTGTACCCTGAGCTGGGCCGCACACCAGCAGTCAACGCTAGAAGAGCAGGATGCCACAGTAGCGTCTCGGCAGCTGCTCACTAAGAGGCAGGTGATTTTGACATGACGAGGGGGCCAGGAGGGAAAAAAAAAAAAAGAATTCGGCTTGCTGCTCGGGAGGTGTTATGTATGGGTCACCCACAGGACGGCATGGCATACTGAGTACGATCAACGAGACAGTCAGTTGGCGGGAACTCCAACATGCTCTCTAAGACGCTCTCTCTCTCGCTCTCTCTTTCGCTGGGTGAGATCGACGCCACATCCGGCTTAACCGGAATCTAGGGTCCTTTTTTTTTTCCTTTCCCTTTTTTTCCCCCCGGCGGCTGCCTCTGAGCGAACCTAACGTCATGCACATGGCATGCAACGAAGCAGGTGTGCGTAGGTAGATGACCACCGAACCGAACTTCCCCCCTTGACCTCTCACCGACCCTGGCTTTCAGTCATCAGTTGGTCCGCCCGCTCACAGTACAGTGCCGCCGGATTTTTTCGGCGTTGGGTTGCGGCCGACGCTCACCACCCCATGCCACCGATACAGTGTTGGAGGGCTAGCGCGGTACAGCGTCCCAGTTTGTGTTGGTGGGCCTCCCGTTCGTGTGTCCGGACGATGACTTGGAACGAATGGCCAAGGTTTTTCCGCTTCGCTATGTAGTATCAGCATTAGGGACGGGTGACGCCCTTCCAAAACCATGGTTGAGCTGGTTGAGCTAGCGGTTCGGATGCTGTGCTATCCAATCCTTTGTACATTTGTACACGTGCTTGATGACCTTTAGTGTGCTCGAATGGGAAAGGGGGGGGGGGGGGGTTATAGCCGCTAACAGTACCGAAGTTAGTTGGACAGGGAAGACACACGGGACGATACGGCAGCCTGTGAGCAAAGAGCACGGTGACAGCCCACTCTAAAGTAGAAGCCGGCCGTGTGATGTCTTGGATAACCCCCCTAGCATCGGGTACCCATAGTCTAGGGAAAGCTGGTTTTGTCTTTAACAGGTCACCCTGCCCAATCTGTCCGTTGGTGCTGGGCTAGCAGGAAGCGCCGGAACCAGAAAATCCCTTCAATCAGAGCCACGGAGCATCCTCGCTGTACCGGGAATGGTTCGTGCGCTTGGGGCCCACGTCATTTTCAGGAAAGAGGGTGGTGGTGGTGGTGGTGGTGGTGGTGGTGGTCAACAGCTCCCAAGTATAGGACGCAGGGTATCATCGCGGCCTTAAGCCAGTTCGCCCGGGGATCTGCTCTCCAGGATTTCGGTTGTCGATTCTTTTGGGGGAGGGAAGGTTGTATGTGCAGCCAGCGCGGCTATTCTTAGACGAAGCGAGGGCACATTTGTCGGCCCCTCTCTCTCTCTCTCTACAGGGTACCTCCACCCGCCTTCTCGTACAACAACATATGTGTGCCTCAGTAAGCCGATGTCCGCCCGCGATGCTACGCCAACAATCTTGGGCGCAACCTCACATCTCCCAGTCAAGCTCGGCGTTTGGTTCAAAGACGCACACCCATTGGCCACTGAGCGAAGCTTGGCTTCCAACAGCCACGCCCAAGGTAGCAAAGATGTTGTTGTTCTCTGGGAGGCAGTGGATCATCACCCGTCAGGGCCCCTCCGGCCGAGTGATCAAATCAAACTGGCACCGTCTTCCGGACCTGTAGCAAAGGGAGCGATGATACTACGGGCCAACCTCAACAACAGCAAGACGGAAATCGGAACACGTACGACAAAACATTTCCAGCTCAGCCGTACCAGCACATGGGCTCCGTGCAGCAGTGGCCGATCCCGAAAAGTCGGGCCCGAGAGGCTCCTTGAGTGGAACGCTTGATTGGCGGGTGGCCAGCTGCAACAGAAGGTGGCTTGGAATGCCGCTGGAACTCGATGGGAAGAATGGTTCAACGGCCGGGGCCGTCTGCTCATGTGTCGTCGTCTGTCGCCACTTGCCAGGCGTCCCACCATGGACCGGCCGGCCAAAGCGAGCATTGGTGAATAGATGAGCTAAAGCGGGCTAGTGTCGAGGATTGATATCGCAACCGCTGCCGCTCATCTACACACTAAGGGTTGTTTGTCACTTTGGGGGCCGATGAAAGTGGAAGGTGGCTGCCCCTGCCCTTGGCTCCGTGTCCGGTCCCTTTCTCATACGATGATGGGTTGCCACACACATGTCTCCGCAAAGGACCAACATGGCCTGAGCCGCGTCCGTCTTGTGTGATACTGAGCTCCGCAAAGGCCAATGTCGACGATGAAGCGATGAGGCAAAGATCTCACCCCTCCCCCCACCAGCCAGCCAGCCATACACACCTGGTTCGTTCCTTGGCCTGCGTTCCTTGCAAGTGCCAGTCCATGGGCAAGGGCGGTTGGCTAGCGTCCGATCAAACTGTGGGAGCCACTGAGAGCGTGGTTCGCTTTATGAAGCCTCTTTGGGCACAGTCATCCCAGGGATGCTGAATTCCGCACCGTAGCATCGCCCTCACATACCGTAGAGGGACCGGAATGATTACCTCAATGGATGGGTCGCAGACATACTTATCGCCCAAGGCTAGGGAGACATGCCCTCAGCAAGTCCGTCGTCGGGGCGAATTCAAATCCCGACAGCGGCGGGCATAATCGATTCAGCAAGGCATCCAAGCCCGCTCTCAAGGTCAGTCCTTTCGTAAAATACCAGCGCGTATAATCAATCTACCGACGATCATGGCGCCTCCACCCAAGTGCCGGGCCGCCGTCAGTCATGTCCTACTTGCGGCCCTGTCGACCAGGGCTCTTCACGAATGGCTGCTCCCCTTCCGATGCCAGTTCCCCCACCACGGAGGAAGTAAACCGCGGCCCTTAGCGACCTGCATACCCCAAACTCTTCTCCTAGTACGCCATCGAATGAACTGGGACGTAGGTGTATTGCCGAGTAGAGAGAAGTGCAGTTTGCACCCATTACCCCTATCCAAAACCGGCAGGGAGTCTACCCAAGTGGGGTGTTGGGTGAAATTCACCACCCATGGACTGCTGATCAAAGAGGGACACCAATTGCAATATGGAAGCGTGGGTTGTACACAAAAGTTCATTAGAACCTTGATCCAACATGACCGAGGGTCAGCGACACATCTACCACCCTGATCAGTACTTTGGTAGTGGCCGCACTTGTTGCTGTTATCCTGCTGCCTGATTATGGAGTGGAGAAAAATAGGATAGGATGACGGATATGCTGGAGAAGGCTCCCATAAAATCGCTCGGCGGCAAGCCGTTGTACGTAGCAAAATGCCATGCCATGGTAGGGGTAAGGGAAGGGAAATGGAGTGACTAGCCTATGTAGGCAGAGTTGTCTGCTGGACGGAGCGGAATGCCGAGTCTAACTCGATCCGGCCCTTGCTGGGTGGTGTGAAGGCTCCAGATCCTCTTGTCTCCAGGTTACATGGCATCCGGGGGTGACAAAAAAAGAAAGAAAAAAAAAGGCCGCTTTTCCTTACCATTACCACATGGCAACCGGCCATCTATCTTGTCACCCGTGTGCATGGCAAGTAGGTCGAAGCATACGGGCTTCATGTGCGGTAGTCCTCTCAAAGAGTGGCGATGATCCGCAAATCTGAGAGTTTCTTCGTGGCACCTCGTTTCGTGGTGTACAGGCTGAATAGGATGCATATATCGCCGGTTCCGTCGACGTTGACATCTGCCGACTGGCCAGACCGATTTTCACGGATTTCCCATGCAGCTCGCTACCGTAGCATCCGAACCGTTCATACTACTCGGCTTGCGTGGTGTCGTCCAGTCAGCTGTTTTGTCGGTTGAGATGAGCGATCTTGCTTAAATGAAGGACAAGCAGGAATCAACGGACCCCCCCCTTTGCCCTGCTCTAGCAGTGATTGTCTGTGTATAGTGTGATTGTGTCTAGTTGCTGCTCAATGCAGGTTGACTTGGGCATACGTTAATTGATAGTGTCTGCAAGTTACTGTCATAACTTGGGCAATCCAGCAGAGCAAGTTCGTATCTCTATTGCACCCGCAAGGGTGTTCTCTCCGCCCAACCGACAAGAAGTGGCTGCTCAATCAAGGGTAGTCGTCAATTTCAAGAGCAGATAAGAGTTACAGGTTGAGAATCCTTGCATATTCGAGGTTGACGAAAACTGGTTGCTGCCAGATTGCAACAACGATATCGGCGTGAACGTTTTCCACTTCAACGCCGTTTGAGCGCAGGTATGTAGTCCTCAAGATGCTGCCTAGGTACGATGAGGTGCCTCATGCACCCCGAATACGCATTCGAGCGTCGTGCAAAAGCCATCTCGGTGCCAATGCGACTTCATACGGAGGGCGAAGTTGCCGGCATTAGCGCAGAATCAATGGGTTGGGCGACCTCGGGGATGTGATGTGGTCGGGGAAGTGTGTGGTGAAGAGCTCCTGCATCTTGATCGGCAGAGCCACATAATGTCCAGACACATGTTTCCGTGCCCAGTCAGATTGTGATTATTGGTCGCCTCGGATTTGTATACTACGAGAGGGACGACGCATGGCATACGAAAGCTTTCGCTGTCGAAATGGACCTTGAATTATCATCGTCCGGCCTGCGTCGGTCTTCATTTGGTGAGTCGTTTTCTCAAGCGAACTCCTGCCCGCCCTTACGGGCGTAACCTTGGTCGTATCAACGCGGCGGCCCAAATATGGCGAGGCAGAAGGATGGAATCGGCGTTCAAGCTCGAAGAGGAAGTCGGTCGGTTGCTACACCTTGTAGCACACATCAACCTGAATCCTGCATCAGACCCTGCCACTGAGCCTCTGCAAATTTCTAGAAGGCCATGCGATATTTTCGTCGGTTGTTAGCGCGGTCCTTTTGTCATCGCGACGGGTGTTGAATTCTACCGGGCGAAGGCTGAAGTATGCACAGCGAGGTTGCTGTCAACCGTCCAAGATTCAACCGCCATTCCGTCTGGATTGAAAATGCCATGGGCCTAGGCTCGCCAAGGTCTCTCCCCTCGTGGTTGGCGGAGCCGCTTGTCAAGATCGGGTAATACGCGCGAGTCGGTTATGTTCTCTTCGCCTCCCTCGCTGTAGTTCGGCCTTCGGCCTTTCTGAAAGCTGTCATCATGCATGTTTTGCACCCTTGTGAGAGAAATTTGGCGAAGATCTTTAATTTCTCTTGAACCAACCGTCTGCAGAAGTGCACAAGGCAGGTCGTTACGGTGTACGTTGCGGAAGAGTAAACTTCTTTGGCGCCATGGTTACCCGCAAAAGAACCCGAGTGGGCGCTTGCTTGCTTCCGGTCCGCACTGAAAACCAGCCACACACCCCAAATCCAATCTGTCGATCTTGCTAAGGAGACCTTGTCAATAGTTGACAGTATTTAAAGCATGTCAGCGGAAGCGACCCTTGCGGCGAAACGTCACTAAGAAATCCGTGGTGAAGAACTGCCGCTGCACAGTGATGTTCCTCGTTACACCTGTAGCAGTGGTTTACGAATGGGTTCCCGCGTCCCCGGATCGCACTGCAATTGGGGCTTGCAGTTGCTGTTGTGGCTGGCACTTGCAGACATACATCGGACGTTACCAACCCACCCATCAAGGCGTAAGTCAGGAATGTCAATTGCCGACGAGGCGATCTGCAAACGAAATACCCTCGGCCGCGATCATGGTCAATTTCTTGTTACAATACCGTCGTGTCTGTGCAGCATTTTCCTGCTGATCCGTAGTAGACTGACGGCCGCTGTCATGTTGTGTATGATGGTATGTTGTTGACAACAGTCGGCTTGTAGCCCAAACGTTGCGGCCTCGGCCGAAGAGCAGATCTACACTACGTGATAACAATAGAAGCCACGGTAGTCGTCTAGCTAGTTGCAGCAATGCATCTTTTCGCGCGGGTCCTGCTGTGAGCGGCCGCTCGGAGGGTCCTAGGTAGAGAAGTGCGAACAGCAGCCGACGTGACCTTTAATGGGTCTGTTGTGCGGCAAAGCCGGTGCATTCCCTTATCAACGGCTACTCGGCCACTAGGAAGTGGCCGAGATACGATTCAGGGATTTTTGCGATCTTGTTGAGCATGACAAGATGCCTGTAACATGCCAAGGCTCCTGGATAAGGGAGAGTAGGGCGGGGGAGAGCGACACTTGGGGGCATAGCCCGCTATGAGTGAAGGCGAATAGTTCGGTGTGCCCAGCCCGCGGGTGCATGACTCGTGGAGCGAGCAGTCGACGAGTAGCGTAATTCAAGGTGAGTGACCGAAACGCCTTGGGCATCGGGACTCGGGGGTTGCGTCCGAGCAATGGGGGGCTCTGACGATATTTAGGGTGATATGATGTGTGGTTTGGTCCATCATCGGGACTTGTCGCGGCTTCCTGTAAGGCGCTTGGGCGGCTTTTCGAGTGCCGAAGAGGTGGAGCGGCCCATTGGCAGACGGGTGCTAGTCAAGAAGAGCATCAAGCCGTGATGGCTTGAATCCACAGCGGATCTTGCTCTTGGATCTTGTGCGAGTGAGCCCTGGGCGCGGGTCGAAAGCCGGTCTAGTCTAGCTTCGATAATACCGAAGACCCTGCCAATAGGTAATCCACAACCCCCCCCCCCCCACCCTAGCCATGAGCACTGTGAGGGGCATGTCAGCCCGTCGAGAATGGCCCCACATGGTCCGGTGCGATTGGGCTGATCGCACTCTCTAGTTTACCGAGTTCGAAGATGAATGTGGGCTGGCTACCGTTAGCATTGGCATTGGCATTGGCGTAGGGGCGGTGTTGATATCGACGTAACATGGTGGACATTGGTATTGTTGGAGTTATTGGAGTGACTGATGACTGGGTGCCGTTACTCCTTAGCTCACGTTAGTCCAGTGTCGGGCAAGAGTCGAAAGTCGAGATCCAGCCCCGGGGCTTCTGCGACCCTCATCTATTTGGGCGCGTTAAGGATATCCCACCGGCCAGTCTTGAACAACGAGCAGGCGAGCAGGGCGGTCGCGATGGAGGGAAATCCATGACAAGCTTGGCACTAGATCGCGGGAATGCAGATTACATCGATGAGCAGCTACAGCGAGCGTCTGCGGACTGAGCCAGTGCCCATTTCTTGCAGCTTGGCTAAAGCTGGTGTACTATTAGTGTCGTGGTCAAGGCTCCAGAGTACCTACGGGAAAAGGACCGGATATACGTAGTATGTCCATTGGTGCAGGCAACCATTTCCAGCTTCTCGGGAATTGCTACCAGCAAGGGCCAGGGGCGACGTCTCGCGCAATGTCTCTCTTTTGGCTAAGCGCACACGTAGCGAGTTGACCGGGGGAGCCGGTCCGTCAGGCCAAGGTTGAGCTGAGCGTTAAATTAGGTTGGTTCAATCGAAATCATACCGGTAACTCGTTGGATGCGTATCCTTATCCGCACAGACTACAGCCTCCTGTTTGGACAGGGAGTTCGTTCGGGTAGCGCAGGCAGTGACCTTGATGGGCTCGTAGTACTTCTGGCCATGTGCGGGCACATGCTGCAAAGGCTGATTACTTTTCATGTCAATGTTTGGTAAGTCAAGGTGTGAGTGGGTGAAGGGAGCAAAGGTCAGCTTGTCGAGGCATGCTTCAAACATTGCCTTCATCCGTTCTTCCTTACCTCGAGGTAAATGCTAAGCCTACCGAGGTACCTAGTTAGGTGCCTAAGCCGAGGAAAGAAGTACATACATACACAGGTGGGAAGGCAGGAAGATAGCCTTACCCAAGACATGAAGACTCTAAAGTCACAGTACCACGTAGGATCGAAAAGGGAAGGGCCGTCTAGACTCCCGTAGTGCCTGCCTATGAAACTAGCCGTGATCTCGAAAGAAGAAATCCGGAATCCTGGAATTTAGGCCTGTGAGATCAGGAGACAATTCCACTCTGGAAATAGGAAGGAAGGATCAGGAGGCGGCTTTCCACTCGGCTCCATCGACAGGGAAGGAAGTAAGCACGAAAAAGAGGGGAGCTCTCGGCTTTGAGGAGGTGATGCAGGCCCTACGATGTACACATTCGCTATCGGGTAGGCAGGTATTCATTCGTACGTGCAGTGTACCTTCTTCCATTGGCAACAGCATGGGGGGGGGGGGGGGGGGTGAAGAAGATGGGGGGAGGAGTGTTGCCCGAGGCAAGCTACATTTCCAACACCAACCAAGGTACCACCTAGGCAGGTACGCTGTGTGTGAATATGCGAATTCGTGGTGAGAGCACAAGATACGGCGGGATCCACGAGTGGGAATGAGAGTCCCTCTTTCCTCCAGTATCCCCCTGCAATCGTTTATCTAGGCCATCGCAACTTTCCTTCTCGCCAGGCGGGAGTCGTCCACCCCTATCACCATTATCCTTGCAAAGCCCGGCGGATACGGGCGCGGAGCGGTTGACGAGGTGGAAACAGTAACGCCCGCGAAGTACTGTAGTATGGCACGAGGACGGCAGTTGGCAGTCTCAGCAACCACTCGCTACCCCGTTCTAGCCTCTTCTCCTCGGTACCCGTGACGGGAATACGGAGTAGATGCGTATGTGTATGTCTGTCCGAATTGGCACAGGCCACATTGTGTCCTTTAGTGGAACCATTCCCCACTGGCGGAGGCGTCTTCCTACCCATCATTTGCGAGAACCATAACTGCCTACCTAAGGAATCTTGAGTGTAACTGCACACCAACAAGACAATACGACGCAATGCTACCCCGGGGCCGATGTGCTGACAAGACGCCGCAGAATGGAAGCCGAGGTGACGTGCTTAAGCCGCCAGAAGAAGTATTCATATCGCCCACCCTTGCCTGCTTGGTCTTTATTGGCAGCGGCCGCCAGAGGGAACGGAATTCGCGTGCGTCCGAGTACACTACACGTCAAAACAAGAGATGCCACAGATGGCTTGGCGTTGATCGCACCCTTGTTAAGGACGTGGGAAGGACGGTATGCTAGGTAACACCAGAGCTTGAGCTTCTTGCACACATAACCTACCCCCGTCTTCCACCAATATTCACTGTTTCGTCAACGGCAATAGTGAGGTAACACCCAAACATACCGAAAACGCAACCAAGATAGAACAACTGGCTGCACCTACGCCCTGCTGCGGCGCAGGATTCGTGCTGCTAAAGTCCGGAGTCGGCCCCACCGACGAGAGTAGCCCCGCAAAATGCCTAAACCCGAATGAGGCAATCGTTTCGTTGACCTATGGGCAGGGACATTGGGCATCTCGCCTGCTCTTAGCTGACACTTCCCACTTAAAGAGATAATCTCGGGTCCAATTGCTTGTAATCGTTCGGGTGCTTGGCAGAAGAGGCGAAGTGAAAAGAGAAACAAGAGAGGGGCGGAGGCGGGGTGACGACGGACGTCGTAATATACAATGCATACGGATAGAACTGTTGGAACCACTCGCTCACGGTTGGCGAGTCCCCATTGAGCAGCATCCATGCTAGGACTGAAGTTCCGGGAGGTGCCCCGGTGAGGAGCCCTGCCCGGCTACGCAGGAGAGCCTGCACTTGTTGTCCGACTCGAGGTAGAGGACAATGGAGCTCGAATCACGGGTCTTGAATCCTTGGACAAGATATGGGTAATGCAATGCACAAATGGAACCCGGTCCTTCGTCTCTTCTATCTTACGATGCCTGGTATTGCGAGGTCGGGTACCAGAATGGACAAACGATAGATAGGGTTTCCGTCAGACGGGAGCCGGCCCCCTATGTTGAGAAATGGTCGTCGGCCACCCAAGTCTATCTATGTGCATCCATCTCCACGCCCACATGTCAAAAACAGCTCATCTTGACAGGCATCAACGACCACCAGGCATATGTGATCATCAACCATGCTTAAGGTTTGATGCCACCCTACGGGACCTGCAGCTAGCTGCCTTGCCTTCTTAAACACTTATACCTTACATAGTACCTTGCCCAGTGGTCTACAAAGTAGACTTGTTGAGCTTGATGGCTTGCTGAGCCACCGCCTACGGAAGTGGGGTGAAAGGACCAGGAAGATCCATAGGTATCGAGCGCGGATAACACAAAGATATCAAGAGGGAAAGGAGGATTTTCCGCCTTCCTTGTCGAAGAGCCGCTGTGAAAGTACGTATCCTTGGTTCCTCGCTCAGGTTGGTAGGTACAGATAGATATCGAGGTACTTACACACTACCTAGGTACCTGGAGGCTAGAGGTAGGTAGGGAGGCAGTCCACTGCATTCCATACAGTACGTACCGACGGAACTCCATATTCCACCACCTCGTTAGCTCAAGGTAAGTCGGTTCTTACCTCCCCCAACCCACTACCGGTACATAGTACCTCGGTGCTGTAGAGTACATTAAAGTACTCGACACCAATATCCACGTCCGCTTCTTACCATATTTCATCTTCAAAAAAGGGAGGGAATAGTAGGTTGAGAATCGCCGACCTTTTTCTTGCCTGCCCACGACGCCATGATATCTTCTGCGCTTATCAGTCCCTGGCCAATTCATCCGTCCCGTTTCGAATTCGGCGCCTCCATGGAGCGCAGACCAGAGCCTGTCTCAGCACGGAGGTGGCAGAGAAGACGCTTGTTGGAGGAAAACGGGGTCAAGCTGGTGCACGTTGACGACACTTGCGCTATTAAGCAACGGCTCCCCTGCATTTCACTCCAAGTTACACCCAACTACTCCGTGTATCGACTTTTCGATGCAACGCAACCCCGGAAAGACCACGGCGTCGGCCGGTCCGGTGTGACACTGTGGGTGAACAACGATCCCTTCTTTTTCCTGCTGGTTCTTTGCCTGGCCCAAGATCATGAGTACGGAGCAGGCTGCCACGCTTCTACGGGTTGAATCAATGACTGCACCAATGCAGAAACAAGAGACGACCGGCCGGTTTCCGTGACGAAGGGACCCCCGAGGGTCAGGTAGACTCGTTCGAGCTCGGCGTCACGGATAACGACCGACGACGGGGTCGAACGAGGGGCGACTGATCGATCCCCGGTCACACACACAGAAAGGGCCTCGACGCTAAGAGGGAACGAAGGACAAGGCAGCGCTGTCGCTAATGGTTTTCGTTACACACAAAACATCCTACTGCCAGATGATCTTCGGTACTTCGTACAAGACTGGGAGGCTGCCAAACCCGCCGCCAAGGCGAACATTCTGCCGTCGGTACCGGCAGGCACTGACAGCCTGCCAGCTCCCTCCCTCCCTCTCACGCCACTCTTACAGGGGTCAACATGCTCGCAGAGCAAAAGAACCTGCCCACCTCGTTTGGTTTGGGGGCACAGTTCATTACGGCTACAGGAGAAGACACAGCACAAACATGGGCCACTCTATTTCCCTGACATACCAAAAACCGAGACCGATGCAGGCCTTGTCCAGTGCCCTCGGCAAGCGTCGGTGCGAAACTTGATTGCTCAGCGCCCAGATGTCTTCCCTAACTTGAGCTGACCTTGCCCTCTGTATGCACCCTCTCTGCCCTTTGCTGCATACTGCGCTGCCGGCTGCAGGCCTGAACTGGTCCGGTCCGGTCCAGATCTCCACAGCCCTCTATACTGTCACGGTGTACCCAGGGCGATGGGATTGACCTAATGAAGACATGCCGGACGCGTCTTATTAGCTTCTAATATCGCTGCAGGGGGGGGGGGGGGGGGCCAACCTTGTGCTTGCTCGTGGACCCCACAAGGACGTTGCAAGAACTGCTCTAGGCCCCCCAAGACGGGCAGGTAAATAAGGTACTTCGATGCCAATTGCATCCAAGCCAGACGGTGAGGTACCTTCTCTTTTCCTACGTACTCAAACCTGCACGCGTTGCCTCATGGCGCTCAACAACCCCGGTCTTGAGGCACATTAGCAAAAAGGGCCGCCGGCCCTGCATCGCTGTGTTGTGACGCCGCAGTCGTGTTACTGGTTACCTGTTATGCGGTACGGATTAGACCACATTTAGACCACATTAAGACCAAGGCTCGACGCGAATTTAGTGCCGTCAGCTGAAGCCTCCATCTGCCTAGGTAGGTAGAGTTCGCCTGTTCCCGATTACGTACCTTCCCTACCTGCCTACGTACCTACTTGCACTATGTACGTAGGTAATGCTCAGGCTGGCCTCCTCCAGGTTGACATGACGGTTGGTCGAGCACTCCAACCCCGCGCTGAGATCCACAACCGCCTCTCTTGGACTGAACCAACACCCGATTCGGCCTACTCGTTATTTTTCCCCCCCTCTCTTGAGGCAGTCGGAGCCCTATCCCGTTACGTCCGTTTCGCCATCCGGGCTCACCCTGGGTGGATCGCGGCAATGAATTTTAACCCTCATCACGCATCCTGCGATGTTCCAGCAGCCGGAGAAGACGAAATAATGACACAAGGAAGGTAGCCAGCCGCCTCCTGCTCCTCCTGCTCCACCACCACCACCACCACCACATCCTCCTCCTCCTCCTCCTGCTCCTCCTCCTCCTTCTCTTTATCTTCCTCCGTGCATCGCCCCCGGTGTACTCGTCCGGTGACTCCATATATATGTCCTTATGATTTTATACGTCAAAGCATTGATTATACTGTCACTCAAATTTGGGGACCGCGAAGATGATGAGGACACTCGGTACGAATTGTGAACTGGTATCAAACTTTATTATGTACCTGTACATCAGCAACAACACCGTCTCATCTCATCCTTGACATCGAAAATCATCTGCACGACAGAAAATTAAGGAAGGATCGGTGCCGTCCTTCCGTCGTCTTCAGTAACAACGTCGTCACTTGATATTGCCCTTCCACAGCCTAGACCATGCCTCGCACGTTTTCCCTTCTGGTCATCTCCCCGTCTTATCCTTCCCGCCCCCCATACCTTCAAGGATCCCTAGCTCAAGACCCCCCCCCCACTTCCCTGACCCAGCCTTCTTAGGGTGTCGACTCTACCGGCTGCCCTCCCTTCGCGGCTTCTCTCCTCTTTGATCCCCATATTCCACCCCCCCCCCCCCCCCCTCCGATGCACCTTCCACAGCGTGAACACCCCCCCCCCGGTCATCCACTCTCACTCGAACCCTTGCAAGGATGCAGCCAGGATTCCCTCATCGAGCATAACTGGACCCAGCTGCCCCGTCCTGCCATCGCTGTGCCTTATTATACTGCGACACTGGGTACAGGCCCTATCCGTCAGGCTAATGCTTGGACGGAATGCGAATTGTGCCTTCGGAATACGTAGTGAAAGCTCTGCTTCCCTCCTCTTACCCTCGACAAGGCGATTCTCACACACGCCATGCCGTCGGTCCCGACAAGGCGCTAGGTTGGATTAGCTTCCTCTTCACCCCTCCCACCCTACCTTGTCAAGCCGAACAGATGGCGGAGACGCGGGCAAGGGCCATGTAAGATGCACCGCACGTGTGTGCGCCTAGAACGAACGGTACTTCTTACCCGTCCTGTACACTTGCAGCACTCTATCGGTGCCCCCTTCCGGCTCCCTTCCCCAATCTAATGAGCCAAGCCAATCCAGGTTGTTGGTTCTCTTCCTTAGCGTCTCCTTTTGGCCCCTCGGTGTATCTCTCTTGCAGCTTGTTACCCTAAGTGTAGCCGAAGGGGGGGAGGGGCAGCTCCTATGAACATGTGTGTACAAGTAGGTGGATTGGATATGCATACCTCGAGGCGCTCTCTGCGCCTGCCCAACTACTCAAAAGCCACCCGTCTCCATCATCCTGCTCACTGTCACTTTCTTCTGCCCTTCTTCTTTCACGTCTTCACTTCCCGAACCAACCACACGAACGGACAAGTAATACAACCGTGCTGTTACAAACACGTCGAAGCCGCCAAAATCGGATCGATAGGCCGTCCCTTGGAAAGAGTCTTTCTGATCGAACTCCCGGATCTTGGTCAACAGCTTCTCTCTCAGCACACCCCGGCCGTGGTATACAGATTCTAATAACAGCAGTGTGCCAGCAAGTTACCCGGTCGACTCTGGACTTCAGCGGCATATTCTATCCATATAGTCCTCCATCCTCTCGACCACGTGTACATTGAGTTGACTGCACTCCAAACTGTACCAGGCCGTCAATGCCCAGCGGCCCTACCGTCTGCGGCATCAATTTGCTTTTTTTTCAATGGGTTTTCTAGCTTTGGAACCTCACTCTCGTTTGGCCGCCCCAGACTCTCCTCCTGGGCTGGTTAGCCCTTCTTCATCCTCCTACTCTTCCAGATCATCTCCTCCAGCGGAAAGACCTTGGAACCCCGGATTTGGCTTCACCTTTCCTCCCATGTCCAACTACGAGCATGGCTCAGCGGCCGGCATGTCGACTGTTGGAAAGAGCCTAGAAGATGGCCCGAGCCGTACGACTTCGGCCCAAGGTGCCCCTCGGCAGCAACTACCTTCATTGAGCAGCCTGTTTGGACCGCCGTCTTCAGTCAGACCTTTGCACTCGCCCTCTTCCGACCGACCCGGCACATACCCGGCGACATCTCCTCTGGACCGGCCGCGCATACCACAGCCTCACGGGGATCGTTCTTATTCCACCTCATACTTCCCTCCGCAGGAAACTTCACCGGCCATGTCCCAGCCGCGCAGTACCTATGAAGCGAAATACGACCATGAGAGGCAAGCGTTGCATGGGCTGTCTCACTCTTTCTCGGGACCCGGATCCCCAAGATACCACGAGTCAGAACATGTGCGACCCGAGTCCAGATCCGACGCTGGCTTGAGTAACAAATGGTCGATGCACAACGAGACAGCAAAGCACGAGTATGCCCTCGTGTCCAGAGAGAGCCATCCTTCCCTACAAGCCTCTCATGACAGAATGGGATATCAATATCCCAGCAACAACGACCCGTCTCTCTACCGAGACCACTGCCCCTCATCCGGGTCCGGTCTCATGCATACACCGACGCAAACCAGCACGGCGGGCTCAGAGGGGGTCCCGTCAAAGGATGGCCTCGGCCCCAAGATCTGGACGGGAACCCACTTTCTTCCTCGGTTTGTCCGCGCTGCCGAAGTGCCAGGAGAGGGCATGTGCTACTTTTACGACGATGGTAGCCACTGCAAGACTGTCATTGATGGCGAGGCGGTCAATGCCCACTGGGGCGTGACCAAGGCTGGAAAGCCGAGAAAGAGGCTAGCGATTGCGTGCGTCACTTGCAGAGAGAAGAAGATCAAGTGTGACCCGGACTACCCTCGCTGTGTGCAATGCGAGAAATTTGGCCGCGTCTGCAAATTCAAGAACGCGTGAGTACTCGTCGATGCGGGCTCCCGTCGATGTTGAGCTCTTGGCCTTTGCGGCGTATTGTGCTGACAAGAACCGAATTACAGACCACGAGGCGGCCACAACACGTCTCCATCAACGCCTCCCGCAGAGACAGACGACGTGCGACGGTTGGGAGGCTCGGCCAATCCGAACGACATGCACCGGCCCGGCAGTAACTCTAGTGCCTCTGTCTCCCCGCGTACAACATACCGGCAACCGAGCCCAGAGCCCTCGATGCCTCATAAGAGGATGCGTCTGGGTTTCGACTCTTACCTCTCAACGAGGGACGAGCCTCCGGCGTCATTTAGCCGTACAGCCGAGACGGCCAAGGCAAGCATCTCTTGGCAGCACCGCCAGCCAATTGAGCTCCCTCGTATTCACGAGGACGTGTTGAACCGAGCATGGCAATCAGATCCGTACGTCTCCGACCCTCAGTCAATTAACCCCGTAATCTCCTCCTTCTTCGTACACACCGACAGCACCCTGGCCCTTGGCTTTTGCCTGAGACACCGTTCAAATCCTGGGTGATCGATAATGCTCATACAAAGTCACCAGAAGACATGATGCTCACCTATAGCATCCTCGCCGTCGGCGTTGCCTTGTTGAACGGGCCCAAACGAGCCGCCCACGAATATGCCCAAGTCGCCTGCTATGCGCAGCAGCGTGCCGCCTCCGGCCTCCAACTAGTGCAAGCCCGTCTCCTGCTAGCGCTTTACTACATGTCCCTGTCCAACCCGACCGAAGCAAGCGACATGTCGAGTGCAGCTATCTCGACGGCCGCGTACCTGCAACTGAATCTAGAACTCGACAAATCGATGGAAGCGCATCTGGCAGTGTTCCCCTGCGGCTTGAACAGAGCAGGGTTTGCGGAAAGTAGAAGACGGACTTATTGGGCGTGTTTTGTACTCGAACGACTCAACGGCGTATCTCCGAACCGTCTGAGCTTTCTCAACCCCAAAGATATCTTCATCCGGCTGCCGTGCGAAGCAGAGGTGTTTGAGAAGCAAGAAGAGTCACAGGTCCCGTTCTTGTCGACACAATTGCCTAGCGCATCCAAGTTGGCTGACGAGCCTTTGGCACTATCAGCTTATCTTGTTCAGCTAGTCAACCTTTGGGCGGAGGTTATGGCTAATACATACAGATCCGCCCAGTGTTCCTCTGTGGACGGCGGTACCACTGCCTTCATCGAAAGCACCACAAAAATGTTTGTCGGCTGGCAGGAGTCTCTTCCGGAGCGATTTACCTACAATGCCGGCAATATGGAATTGGCTGCTCAGGATGGAACTCTTAGTACGTTCCTTACAATTCACCTTCCGTACCACCACGGCCTGATCAAGCTCCACCGACACATCCGCAACACAGAGCGTATTGCCCCGGCGCGACGGCTGCAACACCTGTGGCGGATAGATGAAGAAGCAAGACGAGTGCTGGACATCACGGGCATGTTGGAAGTGCTACTTCGAGCCAGACGAACCCCATTGGGCGCACCCTCGCCGTTCATGAGCTACGTCATCCTGGAAGCCGCCGACGTACTCACTGCCGAGGGCTCTTTCTCGGAAGTCTCGGTCCTTTTGGATCGACTGGCTATTGCGAGTGCCGTAGTCGATGCCGCAAGTACAGTCTGGGAGGAAGCACGAGCCCACCTAGTGGCCTTGGAACATCGACAAGACGCATTGAGGCTTTTGCGTGACTGCCAACCCGGGGACGTATCACTAGCGGGGGGCAAGGTTTTCCTCAACATAGACGATAAAGAGGACAGCAAGCTGCCTCTGGGGAACTGCTGGCAGATGGAGGAGCCTATGGGCGCAACATTCGGAAAATTCATGGATATTATATATACGCGGAGTTAACGGCCTCCTCAGCACCAGACTTTTGCTTTTATTCTTCTGTACCTGTCCTGCATTTATGGCGTCTAGGTTGGTATTTGGGCCTTCTCTTTTTTCTTCCTTTTCTTTCTTTTTTCGGGTGTATCCGAAGACACGTGGAGTGTCGAAAAAAAAAAAAGCATATATGGCGATTGCCAAATGTGGCACGTCATGTCCTTCTGTTCACATTGCCTGAACATTCATCTATGTAACACTACATATACCCTGTACATGAGGACATTAATACGAGGAAACAAGTCAGTCTATAGGGCTTGACAGTAGCAGAGACACGCATAGCGAGAAGGGGGAGAGAGCTACAAAAGCAACACGAGGCCAATATGAAAAAAGAAAGAGTTGGCAGTACCCTCAGCTTACTGCGTACCCTTCTGCCCTATGGGCATCCCTTGCATCGTGAACACTGCAGAACTGGAAGGGATCTGTCTGCACGTCTCAGGTTGGCCGCAGAACTGGCATGCGGACTGCGGCCTGCGGCATGCGGCATGCGTCGGTTCGGCTTCCCAACGGTATGTGGTACCCTGCTCTACCTAGCTATCCTGCCCCTAGCTACAAATATGCGAACCCTAATTCTCATTCCTGACTCTAATTGTAGCCATAAGTTCATCACTAATGCTAACCTGAATCCTTGTGTCTATCATAACCAACCCTACGTGACAACTTGCTTTTACGACCTGTCAAAGAGCTTCTCCATCAATAGAGAAAAGAGGATGTTTCTGAGGGGAGAGTGGGGGCAGAGCCTGTGATTGTATGAGAGATGATGGCTGGAGCTGAGGGCAGGGTATCCCAGTCCAACTATGTCGGGATGCAACTGTACTTTGGTACATACATGAGAGTTCGGACGGGGGTTAGGGGGGGGGGGGGGGGGTGCGTCGGTCGGCAGGTATACCTGCGCAAGGAGGCAGACGGAAGCGAGAGACACGAAGATGCATGGTCAGATGGGACGGCGGCGGCGGCTGCCACGATCCTTCGGGAGAACATTTCTGTGTGTTGCCACCCTACCATGCAGCGACGCTGACGGTGGTGATACGAGCCAGGGGTTGTTGACTGACTTTTCTCACTCCCTCTCCCCTCTCCATCCAGGGCCGGCCGGCCACAGCGATTAGGCCTTTGGCACCCGCGTTGGAAGCGAACCAACGCGCTCAACGGGTCGTCGGACCGGTGTGGCGGACCACGCAAAAAAACACCTTCCCCCCCCTTCCAAAAACCTGCGCAAGGCATGCCACTACTACTCACCGGTCGTGGAGAAAAGGTGTCTTTCCGGTGGGGAGCCCAATCTCGCGGTGCTGCATGGAAAGGAGATGTGATATGCGCCGTATTGTTTCGATAACTTCTGCTGCCAAGACGAGGGGAGCTGGAAGGGGAAAGGGGGTGGAGGGAGGGGACAAGCCGGTTTTTGTTTGACTTAACCATGGTACCTTGTTGGCTCCAGCTGCTGGAGCTTGTGAAATCCTTCTGGAGGAGGCCGGCATCTTTGGAAGCCAAAATACATGAGAGGCAAGAAGCGGAAGGGGGTGCGGCATGGTTCATCCCCCCCCCTGCCACCGTCATCTCTCTCTCTCTCTCTCTCTCTCTTCCTTTCTGTGTGTGTCGCTCGCTGACACTGAAAGAGCCTCAACGTAATTTATTTCGCGAACCCGTCTCCGCCAACCTTGGCAATCTAGGTACATGCTCCGCCGCAACCACAGTCTATTCTCCCCCAATACGGATACTCAGCGAGACATCCCATCTCGGAGCTCGAGCCATGACGGGCGCTATGCGACTACACGGATACGGGGGCTGTGTGATTTGACTCCTATGGAGCACTCTACGTGTGCCGCTGTAATTGCCGTGATCGCCAAGCCGAGTCCTGCTGAAGTGCCGTGCTCCAAGGTCGCAGAGACTCTGCGGCCTCATGTTGGTCGGAGCTTCTGGGTTGCGTGCACGAGATGGATGTCGTTGGCAACTGCCTGCCTCCCTGCTCCTCTCCCCTTGCCCAAGGTGACGGTCAATTGTGCGCTGGAATGTTGAAATCGAAGGAGGAGGCTCTGGGCCCGCAATTCCTCACTCGAATCGCCCCCCTCGCTTTCTCGCTTTCGTGTTCCCTTCCATGGCCGTGGAATGCTTAGAAGGGGAGAGAAAGGTTCAAGGATTGAGGGAGGGGGAAGGGGCCAACGCGTGAGAACGACCTTATGACGATGCGAAAGAGGAACACCCTGACCGTGCGCGTGCACCTGCGCTCTTCCTCTATCGGCGCCTATCTCGCCCGAACTGGCCAAATAGCACCGTGCAGAGTCCTTCTTGCTAGGTTGCTCGCGGGTCAACACCCGCGATTCGGATCCGAGGGTGGGTGGAACTCTCCTCCTCACCCCCTCCCTCCCCTGAAAACAAGCGGAGACTGGAGGGGGAAGGCGTTTTTCCGTGACATTGACATTGCAACAAGCAAGGAACTGGCAAGTAAGCACCGGCGGTACCCGAACTGACGGAGGGGCCAGGCAGGCCACGATGTATCAGTTGTGCGGATACCAACGCCCATCAGAAGTGGTCCCTAGTTATCGGCCAATGGAGCCGGTTATTGTCGGGGAAGTACCTTATATTGAATTAGGTAGTGTACCCTGTGTTTGATTCGAACTCAATACGCATCTAAGATACACTAATGAACCTGACGGACCCCGCCTTGCCTCTTCCCTCCGGTCTTGCTTGTCTCCGTCTAACTCCCGTTCAACGCCGGCGCCATTGCAAAGTCCGTGTCCGTGTCCGTGTCCGTTGCCAAGCTCCCGAGACTGGTTTTCTTCTTGTCATCCTCCAAGGTTCCAACTAGCGAAATTGTTTAGTAGCTACCGATTATCAATTGTCGATTATCTATTATCGCAGATCCCACCTTGGGTTGCATGCATCCCCTTCACATAGTAAGCACCAGCTGGCCTGTTTTGACGTCGCGCAGGCCAGCGGACAAACTCTTAACGGGGCTGTTTCATTACATAAGCCACATGCTTATGTCATTGGCAGAAGGCTTTGCTATTTCCCTGTGACCGCCGAGAGGCCGAAATGAGTAGCTGGTGGTCATGCTCTATCTACCTACCTGTGTGTGCCCAGAAGAAAAAAAAAAGTAAGAAGTAAAAGAAAAAGAAAACAGAAAGACAGCCAACACACTTCATCGCTTCTAAACGCGGGAGCACAGCGTCTCTAGTGACTGAGATACCGTAGTACCTGACACTTTCGACGTCCCAGTACACAGCGTGCGGCGTGCAACGTCCGCAGGCGAGTACAGCAATCCTACTTTTCTTTTCCTCTAGGCGAAGCCGCACCGCGGTAGATGTATTCCGCGCCAAGAGCCATGCTGCGCCTTGCGCGGGGCCGCCGTATGGTGAACTCGTGTCCGGTCACACTCCTGGTGTCGCCGTGCGTAGTTGCCGCAACCACAAGGTCATCGTCGTCGTCGTCGTCGTCGTCGTCGTCGTCGTCGTCGAAACAAAAGTCGGGGCCCCAACCCCGGGCCCGGCCCTCGGGTCCTCCGCCGCCGTTTGAGCTCGTCCCGACGTGCCCCTCGCCGACATGCGAGTGCGCCGCGACCCCGGCTATGCCAGACGGGCTCGAGATCGACCGCAAGGCCCCGCTCAACGGTGTCATGTCGGCGTACGCGGAGCAGGTACTCGTGTGCACGGGAAAGGACGACTGGGCGTCGCGTATCGAGGAGGAGAACAGCGGGGATAACCTCGCGGCCGACTTGAAGGAGCTGTTTGGGCGTGGAGGCACGTACAGCGATGTGAGTTTGTTTCCTTTTCTTTTCTTTGGTTTTTTTCTTTCTTCCCCGGTCATATATGTATATATATGTGTGTGTGTCTGTCTGCGTGTGTGTGTGTGTGTGTGTGTTTGTTTGTGTATCCGGGAAGGAGTATACTCTCCTTAGGAGTCATAAGGAAAGCACCAGCAGAGTTGCTAGCTTTCGGAGGGAGACGAAAGGCTGGGCAGCACCCCCTATTAGTACGAGTTACACCAGGCAAGAGAAGAGACTGGCTGACGGTAAGTGAACTTTCCCACAACAACAGCCATGGCACAACATCTCGGTCCTCAACGCCTCGTTCCCCTCGTCCACGCCCAAGCGGAGCGAGCTGCAGACGACGAGCGCCTACCTGCTCCCGAGCTTCAAGTACGTGCCTTTCCTGCCGCGCGTGAGCTTCGACAGTGTGCAGGCGCTCGCCAAGGGGTACCTCCTCCCGGAGACGCTGCATCCGATGCACGACGGCCTGTCGCCGATCCACCGCGACCGGCTGACGCGCAAGGAGGCGTACCGGTCGCTGCTGTATGGCGTGCGAGATGTTACGGACGTGTTGGTTCTGGTGTGCGGGCACGGCGGACGGGACATGCGGTGCGGCGTAATGGGCCCTGTTCTGCGGGACGAGTTTGAGGCGCGGCTCGAGGGGGCCGGAGTCGACGTCGCGAGGGGGCCGATCGAGGTCGACGAGAGCGGGGGCGAGGTGCAGAAGATCGGGCCGCCCGAGGGTAGAGAGACGGCGGGGCGTGGGGGAATATCGGCGAGGGTCGGGCTGATCAGCCACATCGGTGGGCACAAGTTTGCGGGCAACGTGATTGTGTACATACCGCCGGGTCTGCGGGCGAAGGGGGGCGAGGCGCACCCGCTCGCCGGAAAGGGGATCTGGTATGGAAGGGTCGAGCCGAAACACGTCGAGGGGATCGTCAAAGAGACGGTCCTTGAGGGCAGGGTGATTGCCGACATGTTCCGCGGCGGCATCGACGAGAACCGGAAGATACTGAGGCTGTGAAGGGACGCCGTGTTGGAATAGCGCAGCCGATGTATAGGAGCTAAATGTATAACAGATGGTGGGGTGAGATATCTCCCCTAGAGTATTGGGCCAAAGGGCTAGACTTGATGGGAACTCGTACACCAGATACACAGCAAGAGTTACGGGATATGACGTTCCATTCCGGGTCTTGTTAAACTCTGCTTCGGTCTCACAATCTTACAACATTGTACCCCCAGGATGGGTGTCCTGCCATACTGGTCCAGTCATCTACCCTTGTTACTTCAGAGAATTGGCCATAGAAGGTTCTAATTCAATAAGATGACGCAGCCCTAATTCATGACCTATGGAGATTCCTACCCGTCGCCCATCATCGGCTGTCGTGCAAAGCTCGACGAAACAAGCCTGATATTACTGATTCTTAGTGACGCAGAGTGGCTAGATTCGTGTCGTTTCAAAGGTTCCTTTGACGCGCGTCTGTTTCACTACCATGGAGCATCAGTGTGCATTTAGGGAAGCCCGGAAGTAGGGTAATCGGTCAGACGAAAATATCAAATTGACATACTAACAGAAACAGTACTTTCTCGACTTCAGACTCACAGAGAATATCAAAAAGATCTGCCAAATAATGTGGTCGGATCGAATTGAGCAAAGAAGTCCCACATATATTGCGTTATTGCAGAGCCAAATGGCAAGAGTCTTCTCATCCGCTACTAACAGCCAAAACCCCAGCGGTTCCTGAATACTGGGTAGGAAAATTACAAGACATTGGCTTAAATTCAGAGACAAAAAAAAAAAACAAAAAAAAAGGCTTTAAATGGTATATCGATGAAAACTGTTACTCGTGTCGAGTCTCCTCAGGGGTCGATGCTGCCAACTCGGCTCACGTGACCGTGCACATATCCTTTGCCAGGCGAAACTAGTCCACTTGAAGCTCTCATCATCATTAATTTTGGCGCCTCTCACGACTTCATCGCTCTGAATAATGTACACGACTTTCAAATGGCAATAAGACTGGAACAGGGCGCGTAATCCAATGATGGGCTCTCCGGCATTAGCATCCGCAGCAGGTGTGGCTATGCGACGGCCGCCTGCCGGCCGGGCTCTTACCCACTCACAGCGTCAGCTCCGGGCTGTCTCGGCCGCCGCCGCAGCTGCATCCCGGTCCGCAACACCAACTACTGTGGCGTCCTCCCCTCATACGTCACAGCATTTCTACAGCTCTCAGTTCAGGCATAGAGATCTCGCGTTGCATCGCGGAAGAGCACTGCCAAAGACACTCGCCGCCTCTCATCGCCGTCTGAAGTCCACGTCCACGTTTACTACGTCCACGGCACCCAACGCAGCCACCCTGAATTCCCTTGCCGAAACATCACAAACATCATCTTTCATAAGCCCTCGCTACCTCCCCCTTCTACTCCTCTTCGTAATAGGTGGCGTCGCTTGGGACTCCCAATGGCTCTTCCCCTCCACGCCCACTTCCACCGACCCGGCCGAGCAGACCATTCTCGGGTCCGCGCGCAAGTTCATCCCATTCGCCGTCGTTGCCCGCGAGCAGGTCTCCCCGACCTCCTTCATCCTGACCCTCAAAGCACCCGCGAGCAGCCTACCCGGCGTCGCCTCTCTGTGGAACGTCTTTGACCTGTGGTGCGTGGAAGTCAAGCAGCCCCAGATCCAGGTCGCGAGGGAATACACGCCCCTCCCTCCGCCGCCCGGGGCCGCGAACGAGGACACGCTGAGGCTGTACGTCCGCGCGGTGCGAGGCGGCGAGGTCTCGACGTACCTCAGCCGGTTGTCCCCTCACGCTGCCGACGGAGGCGCGGGAGACACCGTCGAGCTCCGCGGCCCTCACGGGGAGTTCGACCTGCGCTCGCGCCTCGGCGGGCGAGGCGACCGCGTCGTGTTCCTCGCAGGCGGCACGGGCATCGCCAGCGCGCTGCAGGCCGCGCACGCCGTACTCCCCCTCCCCGGCGCGCCGTCCATGACAATCTTCTGGGCCGTGCGAAGCCGCGACGAGATCCAGCAGGGCGGCGGCGACGCGCCGCCGACTGGGACGGCGTCCTGGTGGAGCTGGAATCCCCTTTCCAACCATTCGGCGGGCGGCTCCGCCTCCGGCTCCAGCTCTGCCATCCGGGCCGAGGCGCTGACCCTGGAAACCATGGGCCCGTCGCCGGTGAGCAGGGAGCTCCTCGCGCTGAAGGATAAGTTCGGCGACAGGCTAGATATTCGCGTCGTGGTAGACCGAGAGGGCACTGCCGTCCGCGACTCGGACCTGGCTGCTGCCCTGACGCAGCCCGGCCCCAGAGGGCTCGGCAATCCCTCTGCCCCCCGTTGACGCACGCCGTCGAGGGCTGCAAGTTTCACTCGCAGACCGCGCACGTCGGCATGGTGGACGGCGCTCCGAACGCCGGGAAGCGGGGCCAGTTCAAGCATGACGACTGCGCGTGCGCCTCCGGCGCGGCCGCGCCGGGGAAGAACGTGTTCGTGGTCTCCGGGCCCGAGGGCTTCGTCCAGGCTTACGCGGGAGCTAAGCTGTGGCGGGATGGTGGGCAGCTGCAGGGCCCTGTCGGCGGGATGTTGGGCGCGTTGCAAAAGAAAAACCCCGGCCTCTTGCAGGACTGGATCGTCCTCAAGCTGTAAGACGGTTGATGTCGAAATATCTGTACAGTCTTAGAAAGTACCCTCAACCCATGTACAACCCCAAGAGAGACAGAAGCATGATGTCTGAAGAGACTCAAATTCGATAGCGCCATCTAGATTTGGGCTGTTTGATCGTCTATCCATATGATAAGAAATAGTAGAAGGTACAAGCTTAATTCTCTCTTCCTAGTGAAGAGGGGACTTCTCTCTACGAGCTAGACCAAACAAAGAAACAGCCTCTGGTAGGCTGTGGAAGGCCGCAGAATACTCCTGCAGGCAACAACAGCGATGAAAGATCCGAGTAAACAACTATATGCCGTACAAAGTGAATATTCCGGCCCGTCAACTCCGCTTAACAATGCAAAAGCAGCTCTTCCCTTTATGGCTGCCAACTGTAGTCGACCGACTCCTTAGACGCCCTGCGCAAAGAGCCTTCAAGATAGATACAAACGAAGATCATACAAGCATGCTGACGAGGCTCTCTACGTGCTCTGCACCTTTCTGTACGACGGCGGCTTCATCGTTCTCCTGATGAGCTTCACCGCGTAGGGTGGGATAAGCGATATAGCCGCGATGGCAAGGACGCGCCAGATAAATCCCCTGCTTGGTAGTTAGTGATTGCCTAGTGGGAACGGGGTAAGCAAGCAGCTTACAGAGTGATGATGAACTCGAGGTCGAAGTAGCCACCCAGGAATGGGATGGAACCCACAAAGGCGACAAAGGTACCGACGATGGAGATGATCATGACTGGATGCCAAGTCGTAATTTCAATGGCAACCATGAGTAGCTCATTGAGCACCAGTACGGTGTACGACACCGCCACCATCTTGGGGCCGTCGACTTCCGTGAGAATCTGCGAGAGGCCTTGGATTGTGCAGCCCTGATAAATCGAAACGGCAACCCAGACGAAGAAGGTTCGATATGATAGTGATCGGCCGGACGTGAGTTCCTTGTACAACTCGGGATAGAGGTTTGCCAAGTTCTCGTCAACGTCCTTATCGAGGACGAGGGAGAGTACAGGAAAAGCGGTGTACACGGTGGAGTATCCCACGAGAAGCCAATCCTATTTGACGGTTAGCACGGAGGATGTTCGTGGCTGGTTGCCAAAAAAATACCTTGTAAAGGCCTTCAGGCTCGAATTTGATGGCGATGCTGTACATCGTCTGGCAGACAGCAATGATCAATCCACGATGAATGACGAATTGGGCGAGCTTGGCGCTACGCTTGTAACTGTTTCGGCCGTGCCAGACCAGGAGCTTGGTTAAGTGGAAGAACTGCTCAATCGAGAAGTCTGCTGCCAAACTGGCCTGTCGACCCTCCTTGCCTACGATACCAACACCGACATCCGCTGCCTGAATCATGGAGACGTCGTTGCCACCATCACCGATACAGCAGACGCGCTTCTTGGTATACTCCTTGATCAGCCTCGCAATCTCTGCCTTCTGCGTCGGCGAGCATCGGCAAGCCACGACAGTGGGAAGCTGGACAGCAACGGACACGAAGTCGATCCTGAAATGAGTAAGAAACAAGGCCAGACTCTCGCCGTCAATCAAGAGGCAAGAGTCTGTCTTGCCACGGAGGAAGTCAAGATGGTCCTGTGCGTTGTCCTTCTTCTTAAGCTTGGAAACGGTGTAGATGTACTGACCCCGGGCGACCAATTTGGAGCTTACGGCTACGCAGCGTGCGGTCTCGACCTTGTCACCAGTCAACATCCAAATCTTGATGCCAGCGTTCCTCAACAGCTCCAAAGATGGCTTGACGTCTTTCTGTAGCTTATCCTCCACGCCAGTGACGCCCAGAAGCTCCAAGTCGCGCTCAAGGTACTGAGCCACGACACGTTGCATACCGGCGTCGCGGCCGGCGATGGCCAGAGACGCCGCCTGATAACTTCCGGTGAACTCCTTGTATTGTTCGTACGACAGACGCTTCCGTCCCACTACGAGTGTGCGCAGGCCCTCTCGAGCCATGTTGGATGTTTCCTCATCAAGCCAGTCGTTCTCGGCGACAATGGGGCTCATGACGGTGTCAGCACCCTTTTGGTAAAACCAAATCTCGCTGTTGGCGAGATTCGGTGCTGTTGACTGCGCGTGATCGAAGAATTGAACGATAATGCCCATGCGCTTCCCTTCGGACGTAAAAGGAAATACATCGAGGATACGTACGCGGACAATCTCGCGGCCATTTTCCGTTGACTCGAGGATCATGCTTGTTCGATCGCGATAGGCGAGGCGAAGACCGACAGACTCGGTCCAACGGACGATGGCAATCTCATCAGGAGAAGACGCCTGGTATGAAACTACAGTCTTCCCATCTTCCTCTTCTGTTGTTGGGGTCACATTGTGGCACAGCGCCAGAGCGAGGACAACATCTCGGACGCGAGACCCGATTTCTCTTCTCGTCCGGGTCGCTCCGACGTTCGCCGAGTTTGAGAATGTTGTGGACGGCGTCATCAACATCGTATGCGATGAGGGGTCGGTGGTAAGCGGAATATGAAAGCCTTGCTTGACGTACGATGTGACCTCGTCCATGGCCTCGTTGGCGTAGGAGACGGTGCCGACATGGATTTTCTTCATCTCCATCTCGTTCTGTGTCAAAGTGCCAGTTTTGTCACTAAGTAGATACTCGATTCTTCCCAAATCTTCGGGGATCGTGCTCGTTCGAACAACGGCCCCAGGGATGCCAGGATCGCGTTGAATGAACCATGAGTACGCGCTCTTGCCCATGTCGAGGTTAACTCGCAGACTGATGGGCACGATGGTCGAGAAGAGGATCAAGAAGCGCATAATCTTGATGTACCAGACGTTGCCTTCAGTGTTTTCGAAGCCTTCCAATGCCACGAGGATAATGGAGAGCGCCAATGTCAGAGCGCACAGAATCTTTGTTAAAGAGTTGATTTCATATTCCAAGAGACCGGTCTTCGACCGCGAGGGTGCAGTTGACAGCGCGGACCTTGTCTGTGGCCCGGTGTACATGATGACTGCTAGCGTGGTAGCGTTAGAGGCGATGACCGTGTTCGCCCATGCTGTATTGTCGATCGATAAAGGGGCCGAGGTGTTTTCGTCTCCGTCAAGGGCTCCCTGCTGGTTTTGGGCCCCTCGTTTGCTGGGCATTAGCTCGATAGTGCCCAAGAACTCATTTACTTTTCTATCCGGTTTGCCTCCAGTGACGCGTAGACGAACAAACTCCTCCGTCGGCAGTGTTTGCGACAAGGGCGACGCCAGCCGTAGCTTCCAGTCCGTTTCTCCATCCAGTTGGTCGGTTCTGATGAAAGTTTCGCCAGTTGCGCCACCGCCATTGTCACTGTTTTCAACGTCTTTGCCCTTGGTGGGCAGTTTTGCGTTCTTGGGCTCTTCATCCTCCGTATCGACCAGCAACGACTCCTCTTCTACGATGACCTCCATAGCTGGAGGCGCGTTAGAAGTCTCCGAGGTGATACACTTCAAAATGACCACATCGGCAGGGACTCTTTGCCCCTTGGTTAACTTGAGAACATCGCCAACCTTGAGGTCGCGCGATTTGCGGCTGACTTCACGAACGACTGAAGACGGCTCTGCGACGGGCCCGTCCCCCTCGGCTCGCTCTTCCTCTTCCTGAATATCCGAGAGTCTGTCCTGGTTGTTGACCGAGTTTTTGCCCTTTACCCTCATTGAATCAGACTTGAGCCTCTTATGAGACCTCCGCCCAGGAGCCATGCCTCGACCAGGCTCGTCGAATGTCAAGACAGTATAGGCCTCCGCATTAGCCTCGTTGTCTCTCCTCCTCCTTTCAATGTCGTCGTAAGCCTCTTTCCCCATAGTGATGACAAGGACAAAGGCTAGTGGTGCAACGTATGTTGTAAGATAACCAATTCTTAGGGCGGGAATTGCTTGGGATAAAGCGACCAGTAAGAAGTACATGTTAAAGAAGAAGGAGAATTCGTTGTACAGTGTAACGGGCAGAAAGGTGAAGGCTGTGTATTTGGCGTTCGATACCAAATTCGGAGGAAATCTGGTCGCTTGCGCGGATCCTACAGCGACGAGACGGGAGCTCGACGGGTCGTCCTCATCTTGGTCTTGCCCATCGTCCTTGTTTGCCTCTTGTGCGCCTGAATTTGACATGAAGCTGGGTAGCCGTAGGCTGGAGGTGAGGCGCCCGAATCGGTCTCCGGCGAAGGAGCGGCGTCTGGGAGGCGAGCCGCCAGGGAGGAGAGGTGAATCATCGTCGGAGCCTGCTCCTGTGGTTCCGTCCCCGTACCGTGACGAAGAGCCTTCGGCTTCGGCGAGAAGGGCTTCGGCGTCCTCGCTGGCGCCATCGCGATTCTGGCCGAGTTCTCCATATCCCCTGGCCTTTTGCCCTGCCCGGCGTGAGCCCCCCATGCGTAGATTTCGCAGTGCTATACGTGGCGATCGATGCTCGGTGTTTTGACGGTCTTGGCGGAGGAGACCGGAAGTGCGTTCGGTGCTTGTGGTCGCAGGGTCGAGCTCCTGAATGTCGAGATCGAGGTCTGAATCAGACTCAATCTCCGGGGAGCCGGGCGGGTCCGCGGAACGATATGAAGATGAAGAAGGCATCCCGCCCGCATTGGGAGTGGGTGTATGCAGACAACAGCTTTTTAGGCGGGTTCGGTGGTGTGGGAAGTTGCGATAGAGTTCGGTAGCCGGTGCCTGTGCTGTTGCTCGAGGAGCTGCATCGGATGCTTTCGGCGGGATCGAGATAGCAGATAGCACGAACGCTGAGGTATGTGCGGTGGTGAGCGGAAACCCTCAGTCACAATGACGGTGCTGATATTGGCAAGACAGATGTCGTGTCTCGTCAAAAGATGTTGTGTTTTGGACAAGTAACGGGTTGTCGCAAGCTGTGTCTAGAGGGTCGGATTGGAGGCTTGGATGAGGTCGCCTGGAAAGGCTGAGCCAATCCAATTGGGTGGAATTGCTGCTATCCGGTTGCCTCTGCCAGGAGGTGGTATGGGGGAAGACAGCCGCGTGGCCTTTTGGCATGCCACATGTAAGGCAACCTGCTTGTGTGGCGATCAGCGCGCAGGTACCTAATGTAGGTAGTGCACGACGACTGTTACTGGAGCATGCCAATGGTCCTTAAGGACATGAGTAACACAGCTTCAATCACTAATAAGCCCTCAGCAGCAGCAGTACGCCTTCAGCTGACCCTCGGGTCTCTAGTGCGGTTGAAAGACCGTGCACGGTTCTACAGGACCTTGGTGGGCTCCTCTTTCGGACACGGAATGACGGAATTGATCTCTGACTGGATGGGCCATTCTAGCCTACCTAGGACGGTACAGAGGTACAGATACAAGGCGGTCCCTCATGAGGTCGCACAGGTACACAATAGTGGCCATATACCTAGGACGGTACTGACGGATGGACTCGTGAGTTTGATGGGGAGAGGATCCATGTCACCTACCTCAATGAGTCGCAAACCGCAAGGAACAGAATGTACCTAGCCGCTTTGGTTGCTAGGAGAGATACATGCCACTTGTATGGAGTATCGTACCTGCCAGCTTGCATTTGCCGTTGGACTCCTTGGTCCTCGGTCTTTGGGCCACCTATCTATCTCATGCTTCGAATGCTTCTGGCTCATTAGACCTTCCTCCCCCCGACCAACGAAAAAAAAAAAACACCTTCGCATCTGACCTTCACATTCGATCCACCAACTCCAGTTCAGCATGGAATTTATCGTTGTGTATTCTATCTAGACCTTTGCTTCCCATGTATATGTACGTCTATCCCCGTGTCGGTGCTTTCCATTGCATTCTCTACACCCGCTCGACAATACCCAGGGTCATGCCGTCGTCGCGTCCATTCGACGCTAAACCCCTGGACTCGCGCATCTATAGTCTTGTGCTGACAATCTTGACGCAGCTGTTTCCCGAGTCTTTGATCTCATCACATCGCAAAGCCGCATGAGCCAACCTAATTAAACGACCGTCATGTCTTCTGAGACCGCGAACTCCTCGTGGCATCCGGCTTTTATGCCTAACGATGCCAGTGGCGATGCACCTTCGCGCGCAAAACCCGTCGCCTCCCCACCCCCAGCTTCCGACCAAAGCCAAATCACCGAAGATGCCGAGCATGTATCCCAACCGCAACACGGGATCCAGCTCGAGGAAAAACCCGAAACCCCGACGAGTCCCTGCGTCGCCGAGGGTGACGAGGAAGATGTCACAGACGATTGGCCTGTCTTCGACCGACAGGCAGCAGACGTCCCGACCGAGTCTAACGCGGTCAACGACAATTCTCCCGTTCCAAACACCACTGCTGAATCCAAGCCAGCACCTCCACCTCCTTCTTCCGCAGCGGCAGAGGAGGCTGCTCAGGAGTCACGTACTGTTGCCGAGGAACCTAAGCCAACTGCACCTGCAATGGGCCATGTCAGCAACAACTCATTCACTCGAACCGTTTCTCAAGAGTTCAACTGGGATGATGACCACGACCACGAGTGGACTCTTCCTCGAACCGATACCGACCCTTTCGACTTTATGCCACCGAGCGATAGAACGAACTCGTTCCCGCCAGTGCCACCGGTTTCCGGGGCTTCCACTGCTGCCCCCGGCACAGAGCAGCCGCTTCCGTCTAATCAAGCTGAGGACGTAATCAATGAGATTGAGAACACGTCCGAGCACTTTGATACCGGCGCTCGTCAGGAGACGAATTGTGCAGTGACCGAGTCTCATACTGAATTTGGCGACGAAGGAAATCACGACGATCAACATTACGTTGGCCGTGATGCGACTTTCACCGAAGAGGAGGATTTCGGTTCACGGTACGAAGAAGGGGTTCCATTGATTCCCCATCCGGAGTCCAATGAGGAAGCGTCACAAACCTCGCAGAAAGTGCCGGGTTTTGGAGAAGAGGAAACTGGCGAGGAGGACTTCTTCAGTCAGATCCAAAACTCCAACGTCGACGATGACTTCCCAGACTTTGCTAAAAGCCAGACTCTGGAGCGTAAATCTACCATGCAAGCCATGGGCGATATGAAAACTACATCGTCCAGAGCTGACACTCTGGGAGAAATGCTTGAAGAAGACGACGAGAACGATGCAGCAGCTACAACCCAGCCGACAGACACCACAGATGACCCGAAGTCGACTCCTGAGTCTACCCAGCCTGAAGCTGCCGAAGCAATGCCAACGGATGATCTTGCTGCCAAGTGGGAAGAAGCCTTTGCGGACGATGATGGCGAGGACTTCTTGCTCGACGACACCCTCGACGAGAACGGCGAATCCAAGCCAGTTGACCCTTCGGCATTTTTTGGGAGCGACGACGAGGGTTTCCTCGAGGACGAAGAAGAGTCTCAGCTTCCGCCTTCCTCCGTGGCACCCTCTCAGGCACAGCACCCCGGCCAACAAGGGCGATACATACCTGCTGCCGCACCTCAACAAGCTACCCCATCCCCTTACGCTCCGAGTACGCAGGCAGTGCCGTCTCCTTACCAACCTCAGACAGGAACTGCGCCTTTTGCGCCGGTGGCTCCATTCACAGCTCAGCAGGTGCCCCCCGAGCCTCCAAAAACACAAAGCTTCGCAGCACAGTCCAAAGGCGGTTACACGTCCCCATACGATCTTCCTATGGAGGTGGTTAAGCCGAAGAAGAGGGCTAGCACACAGCAGCTGCCACGGAGCCCATCGGCTGGGCCGTCGTTAGCTCCCCCTAGAAGCGCCAGCATGCAGTCTCACACGCCTCCCCCACCAAGAGCTGCTACATCTGCTACCTCGCCCTCGACATCGGGCCACTCTGTGCAGCCTCCATCGACGGGGAACAAGGGCCCACCGCCACTGCAAAACAAAGGCAGCTTCTTTGAGGAGCTTCCGTTGGCTTCGAAGCCTCGGTCTGCATCGCGACAGAGCTACCGCGTCTCTTCGCCTTCTTTGGCTGGTCCTTCTGAACCTCTCCAGCCCCCTGCTCAGCCTCAGCTTGCCCCATCGCCGTTGTCGCCGCCTATGCTCTCACCTCCGGGTATGTCCCGCTCAGCATCTGGGGGCATTGCAAATCTAGTACCTGGTGAGCGTGTCAACCCCTATGCACCTCAAACGGCGCAGCAGCAGGCCCATGGCATTCCCAGCAACGCCAGGTACTCGCCTGCCCCTCCACCCGCCCCGACAGCCAATGGAACCAGTCGACCGTCATCTTCAAGCAGATACTCGCCCGCACCTACGGCTGCGAGACCCTCTGTGCCTGCTTTCGCGTCTCCCACTGTTTTGCCACACTTACCTAGGACTTCCAGTCCCCTCGCTCACTTCGAGGTTTCTCGCGAAGCCCCGACAACCAATGGAGACCATCCTCCGCCCGATCGAAGGTCGAGCTACAGCCTCGAGCCCCGCAGAGTGCCATCACTCCCTACAACGCGCGAGGTTGAGGAAGAGGATGAGTCGAAGATCTCGCAACCAGGTCAACCTGCCAACGGCGTACCTGCAGAGTCTCGCTATAGCCCGGCGCCCGCGATGGCCGCAAGGCAGACCCCCCCGCCATTCTCCCACGGTCCTCCTATGAACTCCACTTTGTCGCCTTCAAAGAGATCTTCAGGTTATCTACCACAAGCCGCCCTCCACGATTCCCCGCCCGACAACAGAAATGCACCACCACCACGGTCACAAACGCAGTCACCAGGGTCATTTCATGGAGCGCACCCATCATCCCATCCTGTACCTCGGCCGCCTTCGGTCCAGAGCCCCCCATCACCCCGAGCAGGCAGATCGTCACATCCGGTACAAGCTCATGCATCTCGCCCTCGTGGACCCTCTCAAACCTTCAACATGGTTGCGCCGACCGACGGCCGTGAAAACGATCCCCTGCAGAGATGGAAGGGCGCACCGATTATCTCGTGGGGCGTTGGCGGCACCATCGTCACCTCGTTTCCCAAGAACGTACCGCGTTACGGCATAGGCTCAACAGCTCCGATGATTATCCGTAGCCCAGGGGAGGTTCATGTTAAGCATGTTAAGGACATCCAACCGCCTGAAGAACGACTGGCGAAGTTTCCAGGCCCCCTGCGTGGAAAATCGAAGAAGAAAGAAACAGTCGCCTGGTTAACCGCAGGCATAGAGGCTCTCGAGAGGGAACTGCCCGAGGTTCCCTTCCAAACCCAGTTGTCCCATGAGCACAAACGTAACATTGAGAGAGTTCTGCTTTGGAAAATACTCCGAGTCTTTGTCGAACATGATGGCGTGTTGGAAGGCACTGCAGCGGTTGACAAGGCTGTTAGAGATGTATTGGCTCCTGGCCTCACTGCCGATGAACCCGACGGTGCGACGGGCTACGGTGCTGGCATCAGCGGCGTCGATGCGATCCGTGAGCCTTCTTCGGGCCAGATGATGGCCGATACCGTGGATTCGTCCGTTATGGACCAGATTCGAAAACATCTGCTGATTGGCGACCGAGAGAAGGCAGTTTGGGTCGCTGTCGACAAGCGACTCTGGGGACATGCCATGTTGATCTCCAATACTGTGTCCCCGGATCTCTACAAGCAGGTTGCACAAGAATTCGTCAGGAAAGAGGTGAACTACCCCGGGCATAACAACGAGTCTATCGCTGCGCTGTACAAGGTTCTCTCTGGGAACCATGATGATTGCGTCGATGAATTAGTTCCCGCCCATGCCCGCGCTGGTTTTCAACTTGTCAACACGGTTTCGTCTACCGGGCCGACCAAGAATGCCACCGAAGGACTTGACAAATGGTGCGAGACCCTGGGACTAGTGCTGAGCAACAGAAGTCCCGAGGATATCCGTGCCCTGAATGCCCTGGGTAGCCTGTTGTCCTCGTATGGACGAGCCGAGGCCGCGCATATCTGCTTCCTCTTTGCCAGGAAAGCCTCCGTTTTTGGAGGTCTGGACGACGCTGCCTCAAACTTCGTCCTTGTCGGAGCGGATCACAAGACACAGGGTGATCAGTTCGCAAAGGAGACCGAAGCTTTGTTGTTGAGCGAGGTCTATGAGTACGGCCTGTCACTCGCAGGTGGCCCAGCCTTGTCTGCCGGCGTGCCACACTTGGCTGCATACAAACTCCAACACGCCATGACGCTTGCCGAGTATGGCCTCCGAGACAAGGCATTACAATACTGCGAGGCCCTTGCCACCTCCATCAACGCTCAAACCAAGAGATCGCCCTATCATCATCCGATCCTGGAGACAGCTGTAGAGAACCTTAGAACGAGACTCAGGCAGGCTCCCAAGGAAGAGTCATCTTCTTGGATCACCAAGCCCAGCATGAACAAGGTCTCGGATACAGTTTGGAGCCGCTTCAACAAATTTGTTGCTGGAGATGAAAACGACGGTTCTGCCGCTGGCGCATCAGCAGAGGGTGGTACAGAATCTGGTCCGTTTGCTCGTTTGGCAGGAGGCACGCCCACCATCAGTCGATCGCCGTCATTGACAAACTTTGAACCAATCTATGGAGCTGGTGCTCCGAGTTTCCCTGTTGGCTCTCCGCCTGCCACGGCCCCGATCCCCGCTACAAGGGCTGCCTCCCGATATGCGCCGGCCACATCTCAAACACCTGCGCTCTCCAGCTCTTATGAGCCTGGTTCCGGGTACACACAAGGCCCAGCTTCAGTGGGACGCTCATCGAACGAATACTCTCGCAGCCCATACGAACCTCGAAGCTCGATGGATTCACAGCCTGGCTACACAAACGGTGGGTATGCTCCTCAGACTTCTGCTGCGCCAATGCAGGGTTATCCGTCGCCCACTTACGGCGGCACTCAAGAGATGGCCGCTCCTGTGCATATGCAACCAAGCGCAGCTACTATCTCTCCCATGCTGTCGCCGAAAAAGTCGTCATACCAGGGGTATGAGCCGTATGGCGCAGGCCAAGTGACGGCGGAGAGCCAGGCCGAAGAGTCGGCGGAAAACACCCAGCAGTCGAACCTGGCTAGCTCGGGTTACCAGCCGCCTTCTTACGGATATGAGCCACCGTCTATAGCGCCCAACGATGAGAGCGCAACACAGACTCAGGAGTCTGGTGGAGCTGGCGGCTATGAGTCCTCCACTTACCAGCCGTACAGCTACGAACCTCCCTCGTATAATGCCGAGCCTGATAATGATGATGAAACCACCGAGCGCAAGCCGAAGCCCAAGAGTTTCATGGATGACGACGACGATGATATTCCTGCCCTGAAGACGCTCAAGTCTCAAGAAAAGAGCAAAGCCGACAAGGACAAGGAAAATGAAGAAATGTTCAAGAAAGCGGCGGAAGAAGACGGTAAGCCACAAAGTCGTGCCACGAATCCGACCCTGCTAACAGTGGACTCAGCCAAACGAGCAGCAGCTCAGCAGCAGCAAAAGAAGGGATGGGGTTTCACCAGTTGGTTTGGCGGCAAGAAGGAGGCCAGTCCCGAGCCTCAGGGCAACAAGCCTGTCAAGGCCAACCTTGGCGAATCCAGTAGCTTTGTGTACGATCCCGACCTCAAGCGTTGGGTGAATAAAAAGGCCGGCGCAGAAATGACTCCGGCCAAGACTGCGACACCGCCGCCGCCAAAGGGTGCCCCCAGGTCCAACACAGGCACGCCCCCGCCACCTCGCACCATGACACCGCCGATGGGCCGGTCAAGCGCCCCCCCTGGAGGGCCTGGACTCGCCAGCACCCCGCCCCAAGACAGTCTTGGTATTCCTCCAGGACCGCGACCGTCCGGCCTGATGCGATCCGTGTCAAACACGAGCACTGGTGGGCCTCTCGCCGGACCACCAAGCCGACCACCGACGAGTATGAGCAATGCCAGCAGCATTGACGACTTGATCAGCGCGGCAGGTCCACGCAAGCCGGGAGCCAAGAAGGCAAAGAAGGGCGGCCGATATGTGGATGTGATGGCCAAATAAGGTGGTAGACCAGGATTGCGATTTCTAGACGCACAAGCGAGCGTAACTGGCCGATTGAGCCAGCAACGGAATGTTGTAACATAGACTTTGGGGTAAATGCATTATAATGGTCCATCGGATGGATCACTGCCCCTCCAAGGAAGGTGGGTGTCTCCGATGTGGAATGAACAGCCATGGTGTACTATAACATTTTGTTGGTCAAGTGAGAATAAATCGCATCAGTTTTTATATGAATCATGTCATTGTCAAGATGAGCGCGCCCTTCCTGGGAAAGATAACATCCCAAATCGTCAGTTCGAATCTCCAGAGGATTGCTTTTGACTTTGCACAAAAACGCATGATATAGAACCTGAATGGATCTACAGCTGACTATCCAGATAATGATGTCACTTTCTCTTGAAACGCCTCTGAGCTTACATATCGCGTTTCCCCCCCTTTCTTCTGTTGCATTCTAGAAGGTATGCATGCTTCTAGGCAAACCAACGATGCTGTCCCTCCTAAGTAACAACAGCTTAGTTGCGAATCGGAGTTTCGCGGGTTTAAGGCTACGTAACAGATCCAGGGTCCAGCGTTCGCAGGGGTCTAGACACCTATGTAGGATATTCGTGTGGCGATAAGGTAAGCTAGCGTCTTATCAGTGGGGCATCCGATTGGGTCGGTCTGGGACAGCAATGTGATCCTTGGGGGAATGTGCACGCAATGCGGCAGCCTTGACACCGCCAGCCGCCCAAACCCTCGTTTTAGTGTAGAAGGACTAGGAAGCTAACACGGTCCTCGGCCCGGGGTGACCGCTGCACTGAAAGAGAGGCGTGGTATTCTGAAGCGGGCTCGACGACGGCGGCCGTCCTTGGTGCCGACGGCCCAACCATTTCTGTCTCTTCTTTCCATAGTAAATAACTGATCGGCCTCCTTCACCTCAACATCATCTTTGTCTTACCCCTGTTTTCCTCGAGATCCTTTCTTTTGTTATCTTGAGCCTGTCTGTTGCATGAGCGAAACGATTTGTCACGCCTCAGCCTTCTTCACCTTCCTCTCCATCAACCACTGACTGACCTCACTTGGAGGTGCGTCGCCACCAGGACCTACCTACCTCACATCTCACACCTCCCACCACACCTTTCCACCTGACATTGGTAGTTCCGCCACCTACACGACTGTCTACCTAGGCTTATGAAGACTATTTAAGCCTCCTTCGGTACAGCCCCCTTTTGCAGGAACTCGTCACAATCCACCTACCCGACGATGAACGCTTGCGCACAGTAGTTCAACCGACCACCACCCACGATGGACTACTCGCGGCTCAAAGCTGCTGCTATGCAGGGCGGTGAAGACGAAGAAGCCGTTACCGTCGATACCCGTGCCTTGATCGACAAGGTTCTTGCCAGATACTCGGGCGAATGGACAACGTTACGAGAGCTGATCCAAAACGCCGCCGATGCCCAAGCAACAACCGTAAAGGTCAAGTGGGAGACGTTGCCCTCGACTTCAGTCGCACTCCCCGCCACCACGAACCGCTCCGAACTCCTTAAGCATGCCATTGCGAACCACACACTGCGCCGCCTGGTCGTGGCAAACGATGGCCAACCGTTCACCAAAACCGATTGGGGGAGACTGAAGAGAATAGCCGAGGGAAACCCCGATGAAACAAAGATTGGCGCATTCGGTGTTGGGTTCTACAGTGTCTTCGCCGACTGCGAAGAACCTTTCGTGAGCTCCGGAAACGAGGCCATGGCATTCTACTGGAAAGGGAATGCTCTCTTCACCAAGAAGTCTACTCTGCCCGAGGACCAGAGCAGTTCCGACACTACCTTTGTACTCGACTATCGTAACTCCACCACGCCTTTGCCGAACCTTCTGTCCGTAAGTCAGTTCCTCGCCACGAGCCTTACATTTGTTGCTCTGCAGCATGTCGAGTTCTGGATAGACGACTACAAAATTTTGGATCTTTACAAGAAGACCTCGCCCAGCCTTGACGTGCCTATCCCAAGAGACGTCGAAACACGGACGAGAGAGGGGTTGATGAAGGTCAATTCCGTCGAACGCACCAGCACCCAAATCGATGCGGCTGTTATGAGTGCCGCTGGATGGAAGCCGAAGGCTGCCACGGCGTCCAAGGTAGCCGACCAGTACGGTCTTGGCTCCGAAGTCCCATCGCTCCGAAGCTTCTTTTCCAGACTGGCATCCAGCGCTTCGCAAGTTACTGCCAAAGGAAAGCAGCTGAAAGAGGAAGCGGCGGCTCAGGAAGAGATCAGCGAGGACGTCACAAAAATCTCTACCTCGACCATCTTCCTCCGAGTAACAACCGCTTGGGTCAAGACCAGCGTGTCGGCGTCGTTCGCTACGGAGCTGGAGCGTGCAACGAAGAAGCCGCCGCCAAAGACCACAAAGCTGGCCATTCTCACTTCATCCTATGATGAAACCATGGCTTCAGAAAGTTCGCGCTCCAGCTCCATCTCCAAGTCTGTGGACGTATTCGCTTCGGTGCTGCCCAGCAAGAAACCAGGCGGCCGCATCTTCATCGGATTCCCCACAACACAAACAACTGGTGCCGGTATGCACATCTCCGCGCAGTCAGTCATTCCAACCGTCGAGCGTGAGGCGATCGACCTCAATGCACGATGGGTCAGAACATGGAACATCGAGATGCTCCGCGCGGCTGGTATCATGACAAGGCTTGCATTCATTAATGAGATGGGCGACCTCGACTCCAAGATCAAGAAAATGGTTGGCGCCGGAACCAGAATCCCAGCTGAGGAACTCACCAGACTCTTGCCCGAAGCCCTTCACATCCTCAAGACGTTTTCCTTCTCTGACTCAACCCCAAGTGGCCAGGTGTCCCAGATACTTGAGGAAGCATTCTGGACGGCTTTCAAAAAGGCCTCTATTGAAGTCTTTTCTTCCCGGGGTGTTCTGTCCAGCACCAAAGTGCGACTTGGCTCTGACGAGCTCAGCAAGTTCGTCGACACCATCCCCGTTGTGCCTCGAGAGCTCATGGAGAATGCTTTCGTGAGGAAGCTGATGGACTTCGGTCTCATCCATCCAATCACTGTGGACGACGTTCGGACAGAGTTGGAAACCAAGGCCATGAACAAGGAGCAACTTATCAACTTCATCAGCTGGGCCGGAAAGAAGGCTCTCAGCGGCGAGTTGGATCCTCCTAGCAAAGCCCGCCTCCTCGACGTTGCTGTCGCAACCGTCAGTGAGGATGGCAGTGCTCAAGGCGACATCATTGCGCTTGGTTCTATTACGAACTATCTGGCGGCAAACAAGATTCCAGCGAGTCTGCCCATTCCGCCTACCACCATCCCTCTCGCATACACTACCACCTGTTCCGCTCCTGAGTTACAGGCTCTGGGCTGGGAGCCTCTTGAGATCGTGCCGTGGCTGCGGTACTTGCTCGAGTTCGGGTCCAGCAGACCCGACGAACAGAATTTGAATAAGTCTCCCAAATTCGCAGTTCAGGTGCTTACAGTGCTGTCCAAAAATTGGGACAACATCAGTCAAAGTTCCAAAGGAACGATTGTTATCCTTCTTCAAGCTCACACCGTCATGCCAACAAAGACCGGTATGAAGAAGCCAACCGACTCTTTCTTCCCCAGTGTCAAGCTCTTCGACGACCTCCCTACAATTCAGGGCTGCCAGGGCTTGAAGGAGAAGTTTCTTTCAGCCATTGGAGTGCGCAAGACTGTCGATCTTGACACCATCTTCTCTCGACTCTTGAGTCCTTCGTCCGAGGGCGGTGCCCAGAGATGGAGTCACATGGAACTCATCAAGTACCTCGCCTCTGTCAAGGACGATATCCCGGCGGCCGACATGAAAAAGCTCAAGGAAACTCGTTTCTGCCCTGCAGAAGCTGGATCGAAAGCCGCAGAGCCCACCAAAGGCACTACTGAGCTGTACAAAGTGTCGGAGTTGTTTGAGCCCCAGGACACATTGAGAGCTCTTCGACTGCCGGTTTTGCAGTGGCTTGGTCCACCCGGAAGTTACAGGCCAAATAGCCATGAGGGTCGTTTCTTATCCACCTTGGGCCTTCGGCCATACCCTTCTGTCGTAGAGATGGTCAACATGATGTCTTCCAAGGATGCGGAACTGAGGGTATCCGCAATGACCTATTTCATTACAAACCATCACATCAATGGCTACGGAGCATTCAACCTCGCCGATAGTCGCAAGGCCTTCTTGCCTCTTCAAAGTGACACCCGGCTGGTGGCGCCCTCGGCTTGTTTCACGAACGATGGTGCCGCCGTACTGGGCTTCGATATCCTTAAGAAGGAGCTTCATGTCCATGCTAACAAGTTTGGTGTCGCGAGAGACCCGCCTATCGCTGAATGCGTCTCTCGTTTGCTGGCCAAGCCGCCTCAGGACCGACAGGCTGCGATCACTCTTTTTGAGTACTTTGCCATGCGTACCGGTGATTTGGGCGAAGGTAGTCTGGCCAAGCTGCGAGATGCACCTATAGTTCCCGTCACAAGGAAATCCAGTGATGGCAACTCAAGGTCCGAGAAGTCCAGTACCTACACCACCCATATCAGTCCCCAACGATGCTATTTGGGCACTTCTACGACATACGGCGACATCTTTGACTTCGTCGACTATGGAGCGAATGCCAACACTTTCTTGTTCAAGTGTGGCGCCAAGAGCGAGCCCACGAAGCCAGAGATCGCACACCTGGCTTGCAACGAGCCTGCTCGACTTCTCAGCATTCTTCAAAGCCCGGATAAGTACCTCGCTCTTTTGAAGTCATTGGCCGAGAACATGTCGACTCTGAAAAGGGATAAAGATCTCCTTAGGAAAATGAGGTCTTCTCCTTTTCTGCTTGCGGCCAAAGAAATCGCCTCGCCACCATCCAAGGACAAGCTTATTGACATCGGCGACGACGACGCGCCTATCAAGCAGTACCAGCTTGCCGCGGCCAACCGCATCGTCATCCTGGACGACATCATCAGTTACCGTTTGTTCAAGGATTATTTGATTACCGCGCCCGAGGAGGAAGTGCTCGAGGAGTTTTACCACCAACTTGGTGCTTCTACGTTGAGCTCGCTCGTGCAAGAGGAAGTGCGGATCGGCCCCCACGCAGACAAGCAAGACCGGGCAGCCGCATTACGGAAGCATGTCCTCGAGCGCTCCAAGATCTTCCTCCACGAGTATTCGAACTACCGACGGGACTACATCAAACACGATGCCAAATGGCTGGAGAAGAGCTTACAAGTTGAGCTTGTTCGCTCCGTTGCACTTCGCCGCTCGCTCAAGGGCCACAGTCACTCACACACGGAGAAGAGGTCTGCTGCCAGTGCTCAGTCTGGCTCAACTTGGATCCTATACGTTGCCGCAGAAGGACAGCCTGATATGTATCAAGTCGGCCAGGCCATATGTCAACTCCTCCTGTCCCGGCCGAACCAGCAAGCGTACCTCTTCTTCGAACCCTTTCTTACCCTTGACCTTTACGGCTTGCGAGCCCGAGGTTACAACGTCGATCGTATTCTACGAGCCAAGGCGGCTGAGGCAAGAGTTGCTGAGGAGGAGCGTCGGAAGGCTCTGGAGGCCGAGCAAAAGCGAATCCAAGAGAAAGAGCAAGAATGGGGCCAGCAAGCCAAGGCTGCCGAAGCTGCTCGGCAGGCCACCAAAACCCCTGAGCCAGTCATGCCAGGCTCTTTCATGAACGATAGCCCGGAGGATTCGCACAGGCTGCCTCCTCCACAGCAGTCACGGAAGAGCAAGGGTCTCTTCTCAAATCTTACGCGTCGCTTCGGGTTTGAAACCAATGAGAACGATGAGGCGGAAGACCAGCTTCAGAAATTTATTGACAGGCCTCCCGAGAACCAGTCACAAGGCGCTGCGAACCATCCTAGCAGCAGTACAGAGAAGCACAAGGACGATGGCCGCGTGACCAACCCGGCGACCGTTGGACAGAATTTGCTGAACGCCATCAACTCTACTAGAGCCCATGACTCCAACAGTGTGTTCTCGCCGCCGAGCGTAAACGAAGTCAAGGAGCAGGCCACGTACTGTGACAGCACCCCGTCGCAAAATATCGTTTTCGCGGCTGAAGCGTCAAACGGAATGAAGGTCTTCGTCTCCAAGAATTTGTCACTGGAGTCGGGTCAATTTCTCTCTAAGCACCACGGGCCCATCAACGCGTTCGCCTCTCTTCTCGCCGAGGTTGCTGGCATTTACTCGCTGTCCCCGCGGGTTCTTAATATTTTCTACGACGAGTCAGGTTCCACCATTGCTTTCAACAGCAGCGGCAGCATCTTCTGCAACCTCCGGTTCTTCTTGCAGTTGCACGCCAACAAGATGACTACAGCCCAGTCAAGCGAGGCAAAGGCCGAGGCGGCCGTGTGGTGGTGGGTTGTGCTGGCTCACGAACTGGCGCACAATTTGGTCCAACCTCACAACTCAGATCACAGCTACTACACGTAAGAAATTGTCTTTCTGACCATGTGGTTGTATGCTAACATTTTAAAGCGAATCATTCATTCAGCAGTACTTTGCCAAGATGGTAGTCAAAACAACACAGTGGACTCAGCAGGCCGCTTCTGCCCCCCCTGCTCTTCCACCCGCGCCCTCGCAATCCCAGACTCGAACCCAGGCGCAGCCGCCCCCTTCCTACCAAGAGAGCAATAGACAGGCGCCAGGCAACTCTAGATATACTTTGTTTGATTAGAAGTTGCTTGAAAGGCAGCAGGCTCTGTCTACAGCCCAGCATCACCTTTGCATTCGTTTTTCTAAGACATAGACACATCCCCTCTCGCGCCTCTCGGCGTTGTCCTGTTCATGTTTATAGCATTGTCGGAGTTTGCTAGCACAATGGGGAATGATATCGGATTTCTAACCCCTTGAAAAAAGGACGTACTCGTTTACTAACAGGAATGCCGCGGTCAGTCAGCGACATTTGTGATGCACCGATCAACCGTTTCACGCTATGGTGCGCCTCTAGGTATTTAATGACCTCATTCTTTATATTCTAGCCTTAAGATCAGTTGATGAGTCTTGATCGTCAAGCTGCTTCTGCCCTCTGTACATATTGTGACTATCAAATCCGCCTACGTCAACCCGAGACTCAAGTCGATACACTCCAATTCGATTGTTTTTTTCTTTTCTTTTTCCTTTTCTCCCCCCCCCCCCCCTTTTCGTCGATGACATGTTAAGAAAGAAGGGCCATGCCTGTAAATGGAAAAGGGAACAAGCTTGCGCTTGACTGAAAATACGATGGGTCAGAAAAGGTAGACAATCAACTCTACCTTGGTGCGCTTTACGTGAATAGATGTTCTTGAAGGCTATCTTCTTGTGACATCCAATCCGGAATTGGCAGTTGTAATTACTACATTTGCGTCGGAGGGCAGTGTGTAATACAGATGAGCCAAGCCACAGATACGTGTCTTAAGTGCAGCAGCAAATACGTTGGCAATGCAGAGTAGTTCAAGCCGAGAGCCAATACGAAAGTCGGGTAAACGGGACGTTTGCATGGTTTTTGCCGTATTCCGGGCCTGCCGTTTTCAAAAGCTATAGGCCCTCGCAGTACAATGTTGAATTAGATAATGGCTCCCTAGGTAGATATATGCCCGATATACTTTTTTCTTTCCCAATGATGCCACCAATTTTGGTTTGTTATTGCTTTTCACATGGTATCACGAAAAGCCCGCACTGCTAGACAAAGGAGGAAGCACTACTCTCACTCTCGCCACTCGCAAACCCTCGCTCATGCCTTGGCGAAGGCGTCGATGAACTTGGCCAGCTTTTCGGCTCCCTCGAGGGGGATAGAGTTGTAGTTGCTGGCGCGGATGCCGCCGACGCTGCGGTGGCCCTTGAGGCCCGTGAGGCCCTGCGCGGTGGACTCCTTGAGGAAGGCCTTCTCGGCGGCGTCAACGTCGCCACCTCGGGTGACGCGGAAGCAGATGTTCATGCGCGAGCGTACGGACTTGTCCGGGACAATGCGGTAGACGTCTGGGTGGGCCTCGAGGGCGGCGTAGATGAGGGCCGCCTTCTTGTCTGCTACGGCCTGCTGGCCGTCGACCTTGTTGTCGAAGGTGCGGAGGAGCTTCTTGAGGACCTGGCCAGCGATATAGACGCTGGCATGTGGTTAGTTGCCAGAACACCAGAAGAAGGAAGTGGGGGAGGGAGGATGAGGCAACTCACTCAAAGATGCTCAGGGTGTTATACAAGCTGTTGTTCTTGGCAATGGTCTCGTACGACAGAACAACTGGGGCAATGGGCAGGCCCAGCTTGCGCATGAGGGCGGGCGAGGGCTGGGGTGCGAGCAGGCTCTTCTTGATGATGACAACGGTGATGCCCGTGCAACCAAGGTTCTTCTGCGCGCCAAAGAAGATGGCGCTGAAGTTCTTGACGGGAATCCGCCTCGAGAGGATGTTGGACGACATGTCGGCGACGACGATGGGCCCCTCCTCGCTGTTGTCCTTGGGCGCCAGCGCCACGGGGAAGCCGGGGAACTCGACGCCGTCGACCGTCTCGTTATCGCAGTAGTACACCATTGCGGCGTCCCGGCTCAGCTTCCAGTCCTTCTCCTCGGGGATCTTGCCGAACTTGCCGTCGTTGACCTTGCGCGCGTCGGCGGCGACGTTGACGTGCTCCGGGCCAAGAAGCCTCGCGGCCTCGGCGCTGGCCTTCTGGGACCAGCCGCCGGTGACGATGTAGTCGAGATTGAGCTGCTCGTCGACGACCTTGCGCAGCTCGGCGACGACCCTGTCGTCGGTCTCGTCGGCGACGCCGAGGCGCTTCAGGACGGCGTCGCGCTGGCGGGCGACCCAGGAGCCGACGAGGTTGTAGACGGTAGCAGAGAACTCACCGCTGCCGCCGGCCTGCATGAAGAGGATCTCGTAGTCGGCGGGGATGTCGAGGTAGGCAGCCAGGTCAGCCTTGGCCTCCTCGATGATCTTCGTGGCGATCTCGCTGCGGTGGGAGTGTTCGGCGATGCCGAGGCCGGTGCCGTTGAAGTCGAGCAGCGCCTGGGCGGCCGTCTCGAGGACGTCGGTGGGCAGCAGCGCGGGGCCGGCACCGAAGTAGGTGATGTCGGCGCGAGTGGGCATAGTGGGCGGCTCGGGATCGAAGAGGTTGTATTCGACAATTGGGTGGGCAGGTTCGAATATGACAGGGAGGCCCGAGGACGGGTGGAATGGGACGGATCGTTGCTTCAATTGGGTTTATGTAGGGGTCGAGATGTTGCTTCCAATGAGTCACGGACGGCCGGAGCACAGGGCGGTGATGCCAGAACAAAAAGTATCCATTCCAGACAGGCAACCCCGCCAAAAATGCGGTCCGGGCGGGACACCGGTGTCGGAACAAAAAAAAAATGACGTGAGTGGATGGAGGGGTCGGTTCCCCGGATTTCCCAGCGACCGCGGGGTTCCTAATGCCGCCTGGCACCGCGGCCGTGGCCCGTGGTGGGGCCTTTGGTCGCTTAGGGCGCTGAGATCGCACGGGCGAGGAGAAGAGGGACTTCCCTGGTTGGGGGCCTTGGGGGCCTTTTTTTCCAACCCCTCCCTTTTACCCTTGGTGGGTTGAGGCGGAAACGACTCTAGAAGCCCATGTAACGTGTTTTCTACCTTGGTCTTCTCAAACCCGTCAGTCCTCCCCTTACTGTATCATCACCCCATGAACAACGGTTGAACATTCAACCCCTCCCCTCCCCATCGATCGACGCTCTTTCTGCACATTATATCCAGGTGAATGCAACCTTAATGGCACACGTGTAGACGCTACCGAGCGTGCCCCCTTGCGACTGAGGTTACACATACCGGCTTCTCGTCAACAAAGCCGTCGATAGGAAGATGTATTAATATCCCCTTTCTTCCTGCCTGTCGTTTCGCCCCGTTCCTCCCCATGCCGCCGCTAGATGCAGGATTCCCAGACAGGAGTACTGTCTACCTTGCCTACATAGCCCACCCCCACATCTATCAATCACGTTTCTGTCCATCCATAGTCTTACCCCCTTCTCCCGTTATTGATACCTGCGTGAGATATTGGATACTGATTTGTGGGTGCTCCGTTGCGTACGTGAAGGGACGAGGATCTTTCAGAAGCCCCACCGGGCATGGTGGACCGTAAAGGGGCGGAGGCAGCGGCAAAGCACTCGCATTCCATTCCGGCCCCGTCTTTCCGTGAGTAGTCCCATTCATGCAGCTTGACCGCCCCCGGATAAGTCGTCCGTACACCTTGGCTAAGCTTATGTGAAAGCAACGCACAATTCCCCAAGGACATGGTTCCTCACCACAGCCCTCTCGCCGCTCATCATCCGGCTCATCAGGCTACTGCTCGCCCACGGCGACTACGTCGTCGCCTGTCTGCCGCCCAGTGAGATCGAGGACGACGGCCGCAGCGCCGAGTTCCGCGAGCTCATCGACGAGTGCAAGAGCAACCGCAAGGACCGTGAGGGGTGGAAGGACAGGATACGCGGCATCCGCTGCGATGGCCGCGTCATGGGCCAGTGCGGTGCCGCCGTCGCCGAGGCCGTCCAGGTGTTTGGCCGAATAGACATCCTGCTGTGTTGCAGGTCCGAAGGTATCGCTGACTCCTTGAACCATTCCTCTGCGTTCTCAAGGAACACTGACCGGGTGTCTCCTCAACAGCCGTCGTGGGAAGCGTCGAGGAGCTCTCTACGACTCCTCAGACCCAGAATCTCGTCCGCGACCAGTTCGAGATAATCTTCTTCTCGCAGGTCAACTTCATCAAAGCCGCCCTGCCGCTCCTCCGCTCCCAGCACACAGGGCACATCATGATCCTCTCTAGCACGGGCGGCCACCTCGGCACGCCGGGAATGCCCATCTACACCTCGGCCATCTGGGCGCTCGAGGGGTTCTGCGACTCGCTCGCGTACGAGATCGCACCCTTCAACATCAAGGTCACAATCGTCCAGCCCAACAAGGAGATCCAGTCCCTCACCAACAAGATCATCTTCGCGCCCCAGCTGCCATGGTACGATTCGGAGGTCAACCCGGCCCCCAGCGTCCGCGACATGCTCGGCAACCTCCTCAACATGAACCCCGAGACCGCCATGCCAGACCCCAACGAGACGGACGAGGTACAGGTCAGGTACCCGAAGTTGCCGCCCAGCGCTACAGACAGGCTGGTGATGGAGACAGTGCATGCGCTGACGGCCATCGGGGGCCACGAGAACCCTCCTGCGAGGCATATCGTCGGGTTCGAGGGTGCCGCTGCGGTCAAGGAGAAGCTAAAGACGGTGACCGAGGAGTTGGAGGACTTCGTAGACGCGAGCCTGTCCGTTGACATATTTGACAGCGAGCTCAAGGCCGAGGCGAAGGAGGGAAAGAAGACGGAATCGCCACCGCCAGCACCGGCATCTATCGCGTCCGGTTGAGTTTGGCCAAAAGGGAGTTCAGAAGCAGGCGCATCAACCGCGGATTGATAATGTGAATACGACTCCGTTATTGTTCGTCTGTAGGTATCTTCAAAATAATACAACCGTGAGGCGTACCTGGTGTTGCCTGCCATCGCAAAAAGGCACCGGTACCATGATCCATCAATACAATGCCCCAGGCCTGGGAAATCCCCAGCACCGAATCGAATCGCACGCCCAGACACTCTTTACCTCGTGGGACTAAGCGGCCTGTTGAATCCGCCCTGCCGGTTCATGTATTGCCGATACTCCGTCTTCTTCTCCTTCCTTACGGCGCCGACGTTGTTCCCTGCAATTTTTTTGTTCTTGGTCGTGCCGAAGCCGCCGAAGCCCAGCATGGCCTGCATGGCGGCCATGTCGTCATCCTCGACCTCGACCTCGGGCTCGGGCTCGTCGTCGTCGGCAGCCTCGCGGCGGTCGTCCCGTCCCCCGTTCGTCATCGGCGTGTCGCCGCGCTCGCTGTCACGTCCGCTCTCGACCTGTGGGGATTCGTGGCGTCCGACCTTGAAGGACATAGTGTGCTGCTCCTTCTTCCCTCTGGGTGCTGTGCGTGTGGGTAGGGTCTCAGTGTAGCTGACCGGGTCGCGGCGGGCAAGAGGCGGGCTACCACTTCGACGGGGAGAAGCAGATCGTCTGCGGTCTTTGTCGCGTGGAGTGTCTCGTCGGACGTTAGTATCTGCTATATAACCAAGTTCAATATAAGAGTCACACTTACTCCGACCCTCGTCATCATCGGTCCGCCTAGGCGGCCTTTCACCAAGCAAGTCGTCATCTCTGCGACGCCTATCGTCTCTACCCTGCCACCCGCCACGCTCTCTGCGAGGCGGCCGACCTCCATCGCGGTCGTCGCGTAGACGGTCTCTCTCGCGATCTCTGGATCTAGGGCGGTGGTCTCTGTCGTCGCGCCGGTCGCGCGATCTGGATCTGTATCTCCTATCACGGTCGTCTCTTCTTTCGCGATCGTCCCGTCTACCATCGCGGTCTCTGGGACCACCACCGCCGCGATGATTCCGTCGGTCGGGCTCGTCCCACGCCTGTCGGCTATCGCGTCCACGACCCATGGTTGTACAGGTTTAGTGGATGTATCTGTGCTCGGGGGAAACGGAAAGCGATGTGTTGCGATGTTGAACGGTGAGGCTGAAGAAAATTTGGGGTAGCAGTTGCGCTGGGAAGGTTGATTCAATTGGCATACTTTCAAGCTTTACGCCCCTGGAATTTAGCGCTGGGCAGACGTGCATGAGCTCTATTTCTGGGCAAGCTCCACCTAGGCCGCTGGCAAGCTCCGGCGGGTTCCATGCCGCCAAGTTAACACCCTCCAATATTACGCACCAAGTCCTTGACTGACATTACTACATAGCTTCAACAACCCATTTTCGAACTACCACGAAACTGGCAACACGGGTTCTAGGAGGATACCTTCGAGCTTACCAAGTCTTCTTCACTACCCTGGACAAGCCAGAGCTAGCAATGAAAACCACGCTTTGCGTCACCTGGAGGCAGTGAAATACCAGGGACACGATGAAGTCGGCATGCAGCAAGCCGCAGAGGCACGACCTCGGTGATCAAAAATAGGAATAATCCAGATTGATACCAGTAGGCATCTTTCAGAGATTAAACTGAAAAGAACAGATACTACACTTGATCTAAGCCAAAGGCAAAGAAGAGCTAAGGAGAAAAAAAGAAGAAGATTCTAAGACTGGGTATGAGTAGGAGGATTTATATAGATTTTGGAAATGGCCTGTGCGGCTGCCTAGATCAGTAGGGGTACGTACCCGAACGTACCTGGATGGGTTGGCGATTTACTCAATACGCAGGACTGAGAAATCCTTTTTTTTTTTCATTGGCAGAAGGTACGTTCTTTCCTTCTCTTTGATTTGGCCTCAGTGGGGAGGTGAGTCAAAGATGCCCGTAAAGGAAGGAAGGTCGCAGCCGTTACGCGGCAGCTGGTGGACAGGCAAACGCTCTTCCCAGATTTGGCCTCACTTGGACCGAAGTGTCGTGCCTGATAGTCAGCACAATAGGCCTCGAACGAGACGTACACTGATGATGTTCATTTCTTTATGTCTCATGCAATGAGGCCGTCTAGATCTCGTCCTCCTCGTCATCAAAGTCATCCTCCCTGCCCATCTCGTACAGGATCCTTCCACCCTCTCCCGCCCCTATGTCCGTCTGCGCGTCAAAGTAAGGCAGCACAATGCCCTCCCTATCCCGTCGCTGCTTCTCCGTGAGGCCCAGGTTGAATGTACTCTCTGGCTCGTCGTCCTCTCCATCTCCAAAACCCGTGGCGCCAGAACCCCCAGAGGAAGCAAATACAGGGTGCTCCGAGAGGAGGAAAATCTTGGATCCCTTCGCGGATGTAGTGGTTATGCTCTGGCCCACCTGTGGCGACACGACGAAATTTTCCGCCATGGAACGTCCGCTTCGCCTCCTGATCTCCATCTCGACAACCACGCCATGATAATCCCCGGATTTGGTGTCGCCCTTGAGACCGACGAGGACTCCTTCACGGCCCTCGCCCAGCCCCCATTCCGGCTCTTGGAGACTCCTGTTCCTCGCCCTCTGGCGCTCAATCTCCTGACGCAGACTTGATAGCCGAAGAATGGAGGTGGCCAAGTGGGAAAGGACGGTCAGAGGGTGAGGCTCGTACTCACTTACTGATCGCGGGAGTACAATGGGGACATCGGTGTGGTACACTGCTACCAGAGACACCGTCGGCATAACGATGCTCGACAGAAAAGTCGGCATGATCTGAGGTGCCGCTGTGGCGAGCTCGTTGAGTGAGTCAAGCAGCACAACGGTTTCTGCCAAGGTGGTGAGTCAGAGCTACGACGAGGCCAACCAGGGAGGCCACTCACTTTGGGACGAAGCACCTTTGGCGGCGGCGGCAGGATCAATCTTGGGGTAATGTGAGAGGATCTCTGCCCTGAGAGCCTTAGGGTTCTTGCCTTGGGCTCGCACGACAACGTCTACATCTCGTGGCCGCTTAAGAGTCGCAAAGGAGAGTAATATGACCTTGGCCTTCGCAACCTGTGTGAAGTCCGTTAAAACCAAACTCCTGCCGTGATATTCCTAACAAATTCTTCGCATGATATAGTTGTCGTGTTCCAAGACGTCTTTCTAGTCAGGCGTAAAAATAGCGGCGCATACCTTGGCTCTGGAGACGAACTCCCGCAGGACAGGCGCAGCACCCTGCTCAAGACTGTCCAGCACAAGAGTCAGGGGACTGGCGCCATCCCTCAAGTTCAGTAGCTTCTGAAAGAGCAAGAGGTTGTGTGAGCGACTGTGATTTTCAGCCGAGGGCGCCATAACGGCTTATGAAGGAGCCGTCGCAACACGGGCTTCTGGTGGGGGTGAGCGAGATGGCCGAGGAAAATGCCTAAGCTTAGGGTTCAGCCCAGCAATAAGTATTCCCACCGCTCGATGACTTTGAAGGTATGGCAGAGTCGTCTATCGGCGGTCACGGCAGCTTTGTCAAAAAAGACTGTGGTATCAGGAGTGAAGGTTGCAGGGATACCAATTCTGCGGTTGACGCTTTTCGTGGGGAAGACTTATCGGTGATGTGGGGCATTGAGCGAGAACCAGCTGTTCACCGAAGGAACCACACCGAGTATCAAGTATGGATGCTTTCCACCTACCACGAAAAAGGTCCAGCCATTTTATTTCTTCTGTGAACTCAATACCGCGGCCGTTTTGTTTTGCTTTAAAAAAAAGCTCTATAATGTCGGAATCGGCAGAAATGAGTACCGTCTTGGAATACATGCTGACTGACCATTGAGATACCTACGCGTTATTTTCAACCAAGGCGCAGAGGCTGACCCCAATATGGCCATGGTTATTATATGCAGTTGTCTGACTTGACCTTCCTCTTGGAACATAGGAAAAGCTCCGATATATAATATACTGGGCGTGGTATTATCAGATTTAATGTTCTTTATTGTACTCCGTATATTTAACCCTTTCATAGCAACTCAGACTTATTTAGCTCGAGGAACTGCACCTCTCTTTACCCCCGGAGTAGCTATACCCAGCTTTCTTGAAATTTAGTGATGCCAAAGCCACTCCGTGTCATAATTCATAAGTCGTGATATTATCATTGATCGGTGACGGGGCATCTCTGCTCCCTGGTAACTATTAGTCCTACTTCACCGGCTTCGCTTCATCCTTGATCACCAGACACACCAGTCTGCTCCTCTGGGAGGGGTATCTATTCGATTCTCTGCAAATTCTTCTCTTATGGATCAGGGATAGGGGATCCAAGCTTCACACCCGATTCCTCAGGAATAGGGGATCCAAGCTGGATCTCATATGTCTGAGAGGCAGGGGACCCAAGCTTGACGTCCACAACTTCCTCGGACTCGTCTTCATCAATCATCTGGGTCTCCTTATCCGGCTGCTCCTGGGAGACTTCAAAATCTTCGGCTCCTTCAGTGTCCTTCACCTTCGCGTCCATCTGAGTCTCCCCCTCCGCCTTTCGCTGCTCCTCGACAGCCGTGACTCCATTCGTGGGTCCATTCCCATCCCGAATGAGCACAAATCTCTCAGGTAACTCGCACGACCACTCATCCTCGAACTTCTGCTTCAGGTAGCTGTCGAAGTCCCCAGCACGCCGTCTCTCGCGCGCCGCAAATGCCTGCTCGAGCCATTCCGGGTCGTGCTTGCCCATGGCGATGTTGTCAGTGTACGTGGCACAGTCATGGCGGAAGTTGTTGTCGTTGCGAAGAGAGTCGAGATCAGGGCGGGCGTTTTCGGTGTCCGGATCAAGGATGCGCGTGCCGATAGGAAAGAGGGCAATGATCTCGGCACGCTCTTCTTTGGAGAGGATGTCCCAGGCGGCTGGCTGGCAGAGGATGGTCTGCAGTGTAACATGGTCAGTTGTTCCCATCTCTCGGGAAGAAAAGTAAATCAAAAGCGTGATTGTCTTATGAGTGAAAGATCACTCACCCGCAAATCAGCGTTGGCGAGCGGCGACTTAGGGTCCGTCAGGAGCTTCTGAGTCGTCCACTTGGGCGCCTTCTTCACCACCCTGGTTGTGATCTTCCGCTTGGTGGGCCTTGAAGGGGAAGTCACGACAACTGTCTTGGGTTTGTTTATGTTACGAGCCGATCGACGCATACTGTCTAATTCTGTAGCTGTAAACGCCGGGTCGAGGTTGATGTTACCCAGAAGGGCAGGCGCTTGGTCGGGTGAGGTTTGTTGGGTTTGCTGATGGACGTTCTCGTACTCCGAGCCGCCAGAAAATGGAGGAGGAGAGAGGCCGGCGGTTGGCAAAGAAGAAGCGTAGTCGGCCATTTCTACGTCTACCGAGGCAGGTGCCATCTTGGGCCCTTGGTTCGGGGGTACGGGATGATTGGGCTTAATTGGCTATATGCACATGGGCTCAGGTCTAAACAAGTGTCAATGAGCGGCATTTGGAAGGAGCTTCCATTGCTCTTTGATGCTATTCTGGAAAATACGTTTGTGGGGGGAGAGTCTTGATTGCGCCGTCTTTGTCAAGAGGCTCTCACAAAGCAGGCAAGTCCTCAGGTGGATTTGAGATGAGATTCAAAGCGCCTGGACGAAACTTACAAACAAGACATGAAACATAATAGGAGAGCGAGAGACACTTCGACCCTCAAAACAGTCACCTCGGGTTTTTCTCCAAAATATCCAATGTTGGAAATGAAATGTCGTAGGTTGCAATATCACGACAAGGTCGGACTCTCACGACATGTCCCCAAAAGTGTGTGGTTGGAAGGGGAAGCATAACAAGGCTGAGTTGAGCGCCTGGCCTACGGGCGCCACACCCTCCGGATAGCAGGGGACACCCTCTGGCTTGGGCCCTCCAATTGGCCAGCAATGACCCCCATGGTGTCATTTCAATTCCCAGGGCCGCGGAGCACCATGAGCTCTTCAGCGCCCAAAGACCCATGATCCTGATTTAGCAGACGGGGGGAAAAGAGCCCCTGGTTCGAGAAGAGGACACTGGCACCAAGCGAACTCCTTGCATTTCTTGTCGACTACCTCGTGACAGCAACAACGAAACGATTCAACCCGACACTTTCGTCCCAGCTCATCCGACACATGCGCACGAGGACACCAAGCTTCTTGAGGACACGTCTATTCAACGTCCCAGTTAAGCTGTGATAACTTCCCTCCTTGACGACAAAGAAGCTCAGCCTCGATACTGCATTGTGCCTTCCACGAACCCTTCAGAAATCCTCTTCGCATCCGTTTTCCCACACCACCGCACACACCGACAAAATGATCCGCTCAACGCAAATAGCAAGATTAGACGGTACGTCATATAACCTCTCCCTCCTCGCATCCTGATGAACGGACTAACACCTACCTATCAGGTCTGATGCTGTGCGCCTCCGTCGACGACGAGCAACAAGAAGCCGCTCTCTCCGAGGTCAAGTCTCAAATCAAGCAGATCCTCCGCAAGCTCACGCGCAACTCGGAACCCCAAGCCAGCATTGAAAGCGGCGCCTACAACTTGAAGTACGCCCCCCACCCCCCCCCAATCATTGTACCCTCCTCTTGCCAAATCGGCACTGACTCCTTTTCGCCAGTTACCTGATAGACTCGGACATCACGTTCCTCTGCATAACGGAGCGCTCATACCCGCGCAAGCTCGCCTTCACGTATCTCGCTGACCTCGCCCGCGAGTTCACAACGACCTACCCTGTCGCCCAGCTCCACTCCCTGTCCCTGCGGCCCTACGCCTTCATGGAGTTCGACACCTTCATCTCCCGCACCAAGGCCACCTACTCGGACGCCCGCGCCTCCCAGAACCTCGACAAGCTCAACGACGAACTGCGCGACGTCACAAAGGTCATGACCAAGAACATCGAGGACTTGCTCTACCGTGGCGACTCGCTCGAGCGCATGGGCGAGCTCAGCTCCCGCCTGCGCGACGACAGCAAGAAGTACAGGCGAGCCGCGGTGAGGATCAACTGGGAGCTGCTGCTGAAGCAGTACGGCCCGCTCGGCGCGCTGGGGTTCATCGTTATCGTCTTCTTCTGGTGGCGTTTCTTCTAGTCTGTTGTTTGTGGCGGTGGCAGTATAAAAAAGGGGGGGGGAGGAGGAGAGGGTCAACGGGACCGCCCCTCATTGAGGACCTGTTTTGAAAGTTTTTTTTTTTCTCCAGCAGACAGGCGTTAATTATTGCAGTGGTCCTATATCTATTTGTCTATGTGTATCAAACAAGTCACGATGTGGGGCCTTCTAGAAGAGAGGCGCGGAAGTACGGGAGGTCTTCTGCAGAATAGTGGTTATTGGAGTCTTAATGTGGAACATGATCCAACACTACCCGACTTTGGGTATCTCTGTCGTGATGAGTCTCTTCGGACTGTGTATAGGAAAGGGGGCGATCTCAATCTTTGTATGAAATGGCCGTTCCAAGGTAGGTATCAAGAGGTAAGTAAGCAAGGGAAAGGGGGAAAGAAAAGGGGAAAAAAAAAAAACGAAACCAGGAATAGCCTCATGCCTCGTGGTGCAGATGAACTCCAATTCCGCCCTGCCTCATTAAAATCCCCAACTCCTCGGCCGTGACGAAAAGATAGATATGCATGTACATGAACGAACCGACTTTTTGCGTCGCTACAAACCGTCGTTGAATAGATGGTGTCACATCACCAAGCATTCTTTGGCTGCCCTGGGTAGGGGCACGGCTGGTATTGAGGCCGCCGTGTGTTGCCATTCGAGATGTTCCTGGAAGGCCCGAAGATCCTCAAACCCGGTGTCGTCCGGGGTATCTCGTATGTCATCATCGTCGCCGCTCCCCTCTGTGTACGGCGCCTCGTCGCAAAAGGGGCATAGGAAGCGAGCGACCCAATCCCCCTGATATGGTGCCATGTGGTTCGCTATCGCCAGGGGCGCGAACACAACCGTCTTCTCTTCTCGGCGTTTTGACGTGGTGAAGGCTCTCGCCTGCCAGTGCGGCATTTGCGTCGTCGGTGAAATGGGCGGCACAGGGCTGGTGCTGGACTCCTCGGCCGCACGCAGCGACGGCATGCTCTCTAGATCCTCCCACACCAGATGCCCGTCGCAAAAGTCGCACACGAAAGCAATGTCTCTATCTCCGAAACGCTCAAACTTGCCAATGGTGTTGCAAGCCACCACCTCTTCCACATGCCGCCGATGGTGCTCATGTTCGTCTATGGCTGGCCGGTTCTGCCATTCGCGCTGTTTTCTGTAGACAAGGAAGGCGCCTAGACACCTTGCTGACGTCTCCTGCTCTGCTGCGAATATCCTCCGGGCGGCACGGCACTGTGCACGGTGAAGTTCGCGGCGCAATTCTGTCGTGTCCCGTGCCCATACCGGGTTGATCGGCCCTCCTATCCTCGCCCAGTCCTTGAAGTTTGCGACATGAAGCTCGAATTTCGAATGCAGCACCCGTAACTCGGCGATTGAAGGGGCTGGAGGAACAATGTCAGCATTAGGTCATGACCGGTTGTGCAAATACAGAAGCCAGGCGAAATTTGGCGGGGAGCCGACAGGCCAGCGCAGAGGCCTCCGCTATATCGCGGGGCTCCGTAGAGCTTCGGAACCAGCTTCTGGACTGGCGCGGAGCGATGGTCGACAATGCTGGGAATGCTGGGGGGTCTTACGTTTACGGTCGTTCATGTAATAGCCCTGGCCATTGACGAGAACCGACAGCTCCTGGAAGTCCTTCTTGGCGTCGTCGAGGGTGTCCTCGAGCAGGCGCAACTGCTCGTGTTCGTCAGGTCCCCATTGGCTCTTATCGGCAAGCTGGAAGATTCGCAGGCCATCACCGATGAGTGTCGCAATGTCAGCCAGAAGGGACCCGACGGTAGGGCTGCTCATGATTCGGTGAACCCTTCCGTGGTCTCCTCGAAAGAGTTCTTTTCGAGGGGCTTCGTCGGGATAGGATGAGGAAGAGGTGTTCGCGCCACGGCAAACGGCAGTTCAATTGAAGGGGGTGCCTTCTGTGCGGCGCGCGCCCCAGTAATAAATCCCCTTGAGCGTTCTCTTGGTAGGTTTGGAGAGGGGCTTGCACATTATCCCGAATGGGGCGGAAACTGCAAGAGCAAATGACGGACAGCGGGCGGCTCGGCTACACCGTCCGAACCTGTTTTGTTGCGTACGTTTCCTCTAGAACGAAGGCTTGGGTCCCCCCAGCAGGCAAGGAAGCGTCGGGGTGCCGGGGAGGACCTATCTGGGATGATGAGAGACGTGTCGTGGAACTCCACCGCCCACTACGTACGAGGGAGCGTGACGAGTCCGGAGCTCTGCTTGGTAGGCTTGTGGTGCGTTGGTCTTACAGAGAGGTCTTGGTGTCTGGACCGGGTGGTCTGCTATCGGCTATGCTCGACTGGCTATTTCGTTACTATAGACTCTATGCGGCCATCTCCATGTCACAATCGAAGAAATCCATGGGACGAACACTAGAGTGGCAGGCGGGCCCCCCTAAACATGTGACGAACGGAGCTCTCACCCAGAAGCAGGAGGAGCGCACGCGACGGAGATGGTGGGGACGTGGACATCAACACGGTAGAAGAGGGGGGAAATGGAAGTGCAGAAGGAAAGATTAAGAGAAAAAGAAATGAAAGCATAACCGGGCAATTCACCTTGCTGGCTGAAAGAACGGAACTGGATCCAACGCAGTGTCAAACGCTTAGGGGGCCGGGGTCACGCGAAGGAGCTTTAACTTTTTGGGTGGGGTTTGATAGTGGGTGTTCAGGTAGCTAGCGCAGCCGTCGTCGCTGCTCAGCTCTGGGTACCTACCTTAGTTGTACGAATGCCTCCCCTGGCAACCAAGGTACCTACCACCTCAGGTAGGTATCTTTCTCTCGGGTTTGCTATAGGCATGGGCGGCCGTTTACAGAGTGTTTTCCTTCTCCTTCCGCGGAGCCGCCGCCCCCATCCACTTTTTGAATGCATCAGGCCTCGGCGTTTCCTTGTGCTCCAGGCATTGCATTGCATTGCGCATTGCGCGGACAATATTCGATCAACCAAATCACATTGCCCAGGAACATGGCAACGCTGCGTGCTTACTGCCTCTTTGTTTAGCTTCTCCCGCAGTGGACCTAGGTAGATACCTAGGTGGTGGCTTAGTGTGCGTAGCACGAGGGCTGTCGTTGCGAAAGATGAGCTAGCTGCTGAAAGTACGGATAGAGAACCAGAATCAGTGTGTGCTCTGTACGATGAGGGACGTGGGGCTTCGATCCCGGCCCTAAAACAGCGTTAGAGGGGACCTGGCGCCATCCCTTCATCCAATGGAGCCCTCTCATAGGCGTGGTGACATACGCGCTTGTCTCTGCCCTACCAGGCACGGGGCTCCTACCCGACTGTAAAGCTCCGTCATTGGCGACTCTTAAGGCCCCCTGGTGGCATGGGTTTCCCATGGCTCCTCAGCCGCGTAAGCCACCCATCTACCTTACCTATTCACGCTGCTTTTTGCAATATATCAGCTTAGCCAAGTGGGCCATGTATCACGCTTTGAGGCTGATCCTCCGTCCGTGGTCCTTTCAAAGTGGGAATCTTCAGAGGTATGGGTATGGTAGGATAGCTTCGGGGCACCGGGACGGGCAAGCACCGCCCAGTAGATCATTCTTGCTTTTCCTCCGACCCAACCCTTTCTTAGTCGTCTCGCCAGACCGTCCAAGCGTGCATGCCTAGTTTATATTCTTCTGTAGATGAGATGCACAACGCAGGCGAGATGTGAGAAACGACGAGAGCATCTTTATGGTCCTTCACGGAGACATGGATCTTGATCCAGTATGTTACGCGACCATTTGGCCTGTCTACGACGAGCTGTCATGCCGCTATGGTTGCCCCTTGTCCCAGACCCGGGCCATGTCCATTATGTCCATGGTGTTATCCGCACTCTCCTCCTCTGCCGCGTGGTGTCTTTGGCAGCTACTTCCTCTTCTTCGCCTTGCCAGTGTCGGCGCCCGTGGCCTTGCCCGCGACATCCTTGACCTTCTCCGTGGCCGCATCGCTCTCGAGCAGCTCCTTGGCCTTCGCCTTCTTTGCATCCTCCTCCTCCTCATCGTCCCCGCCCTGGCCGAACTCGTTGACACGGGTGTAGTCAATCCTGTATGCCCAACGTTGGTAAAGGTAGATGAAGAAAATGATGTCGTCGCGGAAAGTGGACAGACGGTGAAGGAAGGGCATCTTGATGGTGAAGGCAAACAGATCGTCGATGAAGGTGTTAAGGAACTTGTACATCATGGCCTTGGCGGGCATGTGCGCAACACTCTTCAGCCTGTAGTTGATGTACAGCGAGGGGACCATCATGAGGAAGCCGTACGCATAGACGGAGCCGACCAGGGTCGCAATAATGTACGAGTACCATGACTTGTGCGTCTCGTACACCAACGAGTAGATGGCGTAGCCAATGAGCAGGGGCACGCCAGCAATGTACATGTACTTGAAGGCAATCTCGTCGTACTCCTTGGTCTTCTCCTCTGTCTCGCTGAGCTTGTGCTTGTCCTCCACAGCGATAGCAAAGGGCAACCACGAGCCAGGCGGCGCCGGCTTGATCGAAACGTTGACAATCGTGGTGATCTTCCACAGCTCAATAAGAATGCCCACCGCCTGGCCACCCAGAATCATCCAGCTGGTGTTTTGCGAGTTGTCGATGAGATAGAGCAGAATGACTGCCTGCATAAAGACGTTGGCCAGGATAGACCGGACAGAGATGCCAACGTTGTCCTTCTTTTTGCGATAATGTGCAATGTCGGAACCAAAAGCAAGTGTTTCCAATATCATGTGGGCGATACTGACGATGATAGTGACACCCAGGAGGATGGGATTCGTGTCTCCAAAAATCTCCTTGACCATCTCAATCTCAGAGCCATCGCCACCGCCGGGCAGCGATCCGCCATACGCAGCCTGGCGTGCGGATTCCTTGGCACTTGCCTCTATCGCGGCGAGGGTGTTGAACTGCCAAGAGCGCATATTGTTCAGATCAATGTGCAGCGGAACCGACTTTACAGTGTCATTGAGCAGGATCATCTGGCTCTTGAGTTGCCAGAAGGTGTTGACAAACAGTATGGGGTCTATAAAGGTCAGTACTGCCCGTCGACGGGACCGCGTGGAATTCACTTACAGTACCACGAATGCTGACCGGACCCATCTCTGGCGCCAGTCGGCTCAAGATGAATAAATGGGCGGATGGCTGGGTGGGTTTGACGGTAGTCGAGTACTCCAGTGTTGGGGATGATGGAGAAGCTAGCGTTCGGGTGGTAGTAGCTGGCAATGATAGGGCCCGTCTCGTTCTCCTCAATGGCTTCTTCTGGCTCTTCCTCGACCTTACTCTCCAACAGAGACCTTGTCTTGAACTCCTTTTTCTTGGGGATGTACTGGGTGAGGGGGTACGCAAAGTAGTAGGCAGAAGCAAGGTCGTAAGTGTCCAGTTGTGGATCAGGCTGGCTTCCGGGCAACGAGATGTAGAAGTGACCCCAGAGGGTACCGTTGTTCTGAACTGAGGGGGGGATGTCAATGATAGTATCGACGGACCGCTTCTCGCTATAATTGCCAATCTTGAACTTCTGCTCTTTCAGGACCACCTTCTCCTGCGGCGTCTGCGACAGCGGAGTCGGAACGAAGGTGTCAGACAGTGTCACGGTGATGTCGATGTAGCTGTCCATGGGCCATATCGGAGCGAGCTTTTGGGGGATATTGCTGTATGTGGCACCCTCGTTCAGGGTCTTGGGGCGGAGCAGATATGGCGGGATGTCATCGGTGTTGGCGGGAACGCTGATGATGTTGCCGTCGGCGTCCTTAACCTGGGTGCCGGTCTGGGTCTTCTTGAACATGTTGTTCATGAGCATGTTCATGCCAAAGTACATGGAGCCGCCGAGGAGCAGCTTCTGCATCATGCCCATACCCTACAGAAGCGGTTGGTCAGCTTGACGTTCCTCATGATGCAAACCCCGCGAGCTGGCGGGCAGGACACTCACGCCTTGTTCCTGTGGCTGGCCGGCCGGACGAGCGCCGGCAGCTGCTGGCGCATTGGGCTGTGCCATCTTCCACAGCGTGTGCGAGACAGTATATTCGGGGGCTGGCGGGATCTTGAGATTGCGGAGGACAGATCGCGCGTGCTGTTGGGGCAATGCGGGGATGCCGAACAGCGGACTCGCTGATCGCTCCGCTACTGATGGTCACAAGATAGCAACTCGTCGAACAGAATGGCGAAGGGTACCGTGTCTATCCTCAACGCAGTAACCGAGGATGTCAAGCGATATCGGTTGTTGGAGGAATGAAGTCGGGACGATCTTGATGGAGATTGGCGGGCGACGGAGTGCATCGCAAAAGTCTGGCACTGGCGCACTGGACCCTGGAGGCGACTGTGTGGCTGCGGGACAGTATGGAAGTTGCGTGCTGTTCGGGCAAATCAATGGCCGAGGCGTCACCACGAACCCAGCACAGTGGACTTGGGACTCGTCGCGGTAGGCTAGGAAGAGGGCCGCCCGGGGCGCGAAGAGAACAGGGGGGGAGAAGTAGAAGCTCCTGCCAAAGCTGCAGTGTCAAAGTGTACCCAGCATCCTGCCCTGGGACGGGGATAGGTTTACCTAGAGTACTCCGTACCTACACTACATCAATCAAACCCCAATCCCAGCTGTGCGTTTGTCTGGCATTGTCGGGTTCGATCGACAAGGTAGGTTATTCTTCGTGTCGTACCGTGCCCACATCGTCCGACATCTTACAATGCACAAGTGAAGAACCTCGTTCAACCCAATCGACATCCAACACAGAACAGACTCCCGTGGCCCCTTTCCCGCCCATTCGTCAACGGCGCAGTACACACGCGAGCGGCCGTGTCGTGCCGTTGCACCGGCGGCCAAGAGAGACATATACGTACGTACATATATTGGCTGCCTACATTGCGTCTGCTTTCGCTCTCGTTTCTTCAATTCCTTCATCGCCAGGATGAACGCCGTCATCAGGATACGTACCCGATTGCGGTAATTTCCAGAGTTCGCCAACATCTGTGGCCGGAACCAGATGGATCGATCCCCGTGGCTTTCGTTTTTCTCAACAACCGCACGACACATACCCCCGTTCTGTTTGCTTTTCAGTCCTCAGCGGCTATTCTATAGAGACGGGGGCCTACTGAGATCGAACAACGCACCAGACTGGACTCGGACCTCGCCCCCAGACATTGTCACCTGAACACTTGTGCGGGCCAGTCGCGGCGTAACAAGTTTGCGAATACAAACCACCACGCAGGCAAACCAGGGTGCCCCCAAGCTTGTCAAGTCTCGGCGATGGTCGAGTCGAATCAGGTTGGTTCAACAAATCGAGTGTCGCACACGTTGCTGCGCTGCGGAAGCAAAGCGCAGTTCCGGATCCATCTCTGGCCCACGGCCCCTTCCCCATCCCAGATACACACGCATCCATGTTCAGCACTGTCACCCAACCCCCCGACCCTCGTCTCCGGTTAAGCAATGAGGGCAACGAGGGAGGGCTTTGGGCTTTGCTTTTTCCCTCCCAGATAGTGTACTACGCATCAAACTAGACCCAGCATTATTGTACCGGCATACGAGCTACCGGCCCCCGAGCGAGTCTTTGGGACCATCGATCCGTTCCAGTCGCTACGCTAAACCCAGAGCTTCGGCCCGTCGCCCATGCGTCTGTGGCGGCTACTTGACATCTCGTTGTCTCATTGATACCTGTGCTTCCCTCTCGCCTCGTCCAATCTTTCTTTTCTTTCCTTTCTTATTGTCCTTCAGGTGGTTGCCAGGATAGCTGATACGCCGAGTCGCCGACAATAAGCTTGCTCCCCTTTCAACCCTAACCAACGAGACAAACTTGTATCCCTTTTTGGGTCGTCCCCAGAGAAGTATATAACGGGGTCGATTTTTCACCGCCATCTCATCTTCCCTTCCTCATCTTCTCTCTCGATCTCTTGTGATTCCTAGCCTTCTCTTCTTTTGACTCAGAACTTGGCATTCTGTAAATCTCTCGGGACGCGCCGTCAACTGGGTCTACTTTCCCGGCGTGACTCTTACCGGTCTCCACAAATTCCCGTCGTCTTGACTTCCTTCCGTGCCTCCCTCGTAAGCCGGTTTGGAAGCCTCTTATCCTCCTTCGCTATCAAACTAACCACGATAAAAGGAGCGAAAACAAGCCAAGTCCTCTGTCTTCGTATACACTTGACTTCCGTCAGAAATATTGACACAACCGCAACAATGCAGTCTGGCGGTCCTTCACCTCTGCCATCATTCCCGGCATCCAGGGATGGCACACCTGGTGGCAACGACACCATCACTAACAGTGCCACGAATGGTCACACTGACGGCATCAATGGCACCAGCACCAACGGCACCAGCAACAACGGCACCAGCACCAACGGCACCAGCACCAACGGCACCAGCACCAACGGCACGAGCACCAATGACACCAACGGCATCAACGGTACCACGAATGGCGTGCAGAAACGGACAAAGATCTGTGTCTACTGCGGTGCCTCGCCTGGTTTCAAGCCCCAGCACATGGAGGCCGCTCGTGAGCTGGCTAGGGTTATGGCAGAAAATAACATTGACCTTGGTGAGTTGTGCATACCTTCCCCCTCCCTCTATCGTCACCACTTGTTTCCGTCCCCGTCTTCTTGGCATTCACTCCCACCCACCCATTAAGATAGCGGAAAAGCCCCAGTCGCTGCATCGATAACGAAATGCAGCGCCTCACGCTCACGCATTAACTAAACCTTTGCACACTTATAAAAATGACATCAACTGAAACCTCGCAGTCTACGGCGGTGGCACTGTCGGCCTGATGGGCGAGGTGGCAAAGTCCCTTGTTGCCCTCGCCGGTCCAGACTCGGTCCATGGCATCATCCCCGAGGCCCTCGTCAGGTACGAGCGCGACGGGACCTATGGCACCATTAACAAGGACAACATGTACGTACCCGATGAGACCGTTTACGGCCGCACCACGGTGGTCAAGGACATGCACACGCGCAAGCAGATGATGGCCAAGGAGGTCTTCGCTGGTGGCCCCGGAAGCGGCTTCATCGCCCTGCCCGGCGGCTACGGCACCATCGAGGAGGTCCTCGAGACGGCCACTTGGAACCAGCTCGGCATCCACGACAAGGGTATTTGCCTCCTCAACATCAACGGCTTCTACGACGGCATCCTCGAATGGGTCGGCAAGAGCGTTGACGAGGGCTTTATCAAGGCCGCCAATGCCGACATCCTCGTCACCTCCACCACCCCCGAGGGCGCTATCAGAGCGCTCCGCGATTACAAGGTTTCCGAGGCCACCTTCAAGCTCGACTGGACCAAGTCGTAAGTGGCAGGAAATCCCCAGCAAGCCAATTCAATCCAAACGTTTTTCTTTCCTTTTCTTTTTTGCGGGAAAGCAGAACACATACGAATGGAGAGACTGGGGCAAGAAACACGATAAGAAGAGCGAGAGCAACCGAAAAAGGAGGCCAGGTGTGCGATTGTTTGTGCAACGTGACGGCGGGTGCGTACCGGAGTCTGGCGCCCTTCTTGTTTCCTCGTCTCGGCGTCACGGTCGTGTACATGGGGTTAGATAGAAAAGCAACGCGTGAAGGGGAGGGATCTCTGCCTTTGCCGACGGTGCCGGTGATACATGGGATAAGACATTAGACAGGGAGGAGAGAGGGGGAAAGATAGGGGAGGTCGGCTTTCGTGTTGTACTGTCGGTTGCAAGCATTGTAAATTTTGATAGACCACCGTGGGCGTTCCACAACCAAGAAACAAACCTACATTCTTAACCACCCCTGTCTCGAAGGATCACAGTGTGTGCTGTCAAGTCCGCATGTGTCTTGTGTTTTGAATCATCGGACGTAGCTCGTTCATTCGGCTGTTGAATCTTCCCTTTTTGCAGTATATTGGTACAAGTCTAAACGGGCCGGCTCAGTGCGTTCAGGTACCATGCGTTTCCTTTGCCCTCCCCCAGCCGGGCCCACCAGCCGCGTCCTCGGCCTGAAGGAGGAGGGAGCTTGGTGATGGTCCAGTCTAGTTCCGACGCAACGCAGGCGGGCTTTTATCCACCCACTCCCCTCATGTTTTCTGTTGTTGCCTCTCCGGCAAACGAGCGGGCGTCTATTCATCAACCTCCATGCCCTCACCACCCTCCTCGCCGGCACCCTGGCCCTCGCTGGCCGCGACGCTGTCGAGCCATTCCTTGACATCCTGACCGTCGAACAGCTTGAAGGGCTGGATCTCCTTGAGGCCGTCCTTCTCAGTGAAACCAACGACACCGACACTTGTGTTCTCGACCGTCAGCTCGCGGTCCTGAACGAGACTCTCCTTGAGGGCCTTGAGGCCGTGGCGCACAAGCTCCTCGCGCGAGCAGCTCTCAAAGGCGTCGATGTTGCGCTCGAGGTAGGTGCGGGCCATCTGGCTTCGGGCGCCAATGGCGAAGGCGACCATCTCCTCCGTCATGCCGCTGGGCTGGAACTCGAAGAGGTGAGGCCCGCGCTCGTCGACACCGGCAACGAGAAGGCCGACGCCGTAAGGTCGCTTGCCGTAGACCTGGGTGTTGATCTGCGCCTTTTCGCCAATCATGTCGACGAGGGTGCGGAGGGGCATCGAACGGCCGTACGTCATACGGTGGCCGAGACACTGCTGCTTCATGAAGTTAGAAAGGACGCGGGCGTCCGAGGTGAGGCCGGCAATGGCGATGCCCGTGTGCTCGTCGACGGGGAATATCTTCTTCTGGTACGAGGACAGCTCCTCGGCGTTGCGCTGTCGGAAGGGGATTCTGTGTCAGCTTTGTGTCATTGGTTGATAGGAGGAGCTGTGCAGGTGTTGACTGAGGTGCATGATGGAGAGCGATGTCGTACCTTGATTGCTACCAGGACGGCATGTGTTTTGCTGGCGATGCCCACTACTACGGAACCCTGCTTCACTGCTTCGGCTGCATACTCGATCTGGAATATCCGGCCTTGCGGCGAGCTGCAAGGAGAGTCAGTCAGGCTGTAGTGTTTCCCCCTCCAGAACTGGATACAGTATACATAAGAAGGAAGGCAGAGGGGGGACCAAACAACTTACAATGTCACCGAGTCGTTGTCGTAATTGTTTCTGAACATGGCGGGCGTAAGGGAAGGTTCGTAGCTTCGTCAAACAGCTCGAGGGGATCTGCAGCAGGGGATATTGGAGAATTCGTAGAGGCGTGGCTGTGAGGAAGAGGATATCGCGGGGTGTTTTCGTGGATGTTGGGCGAGCAGTCGGTGATGAGGGTGAAAGCTTGGTGATGGATAGGTAATAAAGCGAGGGGCGTCCCTCTCGCGCCCGCCAGCCCAGCAGCTCAAGGCAGATCGAGCTTTCGTAGCACTCTCTCAGCCTGGAGCCAGGTGCCGGGGTGCAAGATGCTCCGTGCACTCTGGAGCTACGTACCGCCTGCCTGTAGCTTACCTCCCCTCCCTGCGCCCGGGAGGAGGCACGGAGGGTCTTGTCAGGGTGGGCCGAGACCACTCCTGAGCAAGTCACTCCGGGCTCTGGAACAAGGTTCCGCCGTGAGCGCTGACGACGGCCTTCCCATCCTACTGCGTCAGGCTTGGACCCGCCATCGCATCACAGCTCAGCCTGCTAGCCTAGCCGCAATTCGCGACGACCGCTCAAACACACCACGACAAAGCTCTCTTACGATCACCAATCGACAAAACTTTCTGTACGGACCATCGGCGCTAAAATCCCTGAAGAGAGCTACAGGTTTCTCTTTAATTCTCAAGTTGCAGCCCCGGCGGGGCCCTCTATACCCAGCTCCTAGCTCCTCAAAGACCCGATACCCGTCCGAAACAAGTAACACCAAAGACGCAGCACCCGCCTTCTCCAACGTCCAAGATGCCTACCGCTGGGCTCAAGACCATCATCGCCCTCTCCTTCGTTCTCGCTGTTGGGTTCCTCCTCGTAATTCTCTCTTGCGCCCTTTGGAAGGTCTACTACCCGCTTCTCGTCGTAGCCACCTATGTTCTGGCTCCGATCCCCAACTGGATCTGCTCCCGATGCGCCAACCCCGATGACTTTGTCGAGGGCTCCGGCGCTGCCGTGCTGGATCTCGGCCGCTTTTGCACCGGATTCCTGGTAGTCATGGGAATTGGTGAGTCTTCCTCCCCTCCCTGCCCCTACCCACTCGATTCTTTTGTCTATGTCGATTATTTAGGTTGCTAACCGTGCTTTGCAACAGCCCTGCCCGTCGTCCTTGCCCACTCCAACCTTATTCAGGTCGAGGCCATGGTCATGTCAATAATTGGCGGTCTCCTCATTTACGGAACCATCATCAGCTTCGGCATGTTCTTCCAGGAGGAGCAGGAATTCTGACTGAGAAGGGAGTCGCGACGGCCTAGCACACATTAATCCGTATGAGCAGAAGAGGAACAGCGGTAGAGAGGGGAGAGACCCCGCATCGAATTCAGATTGGCGACGGGCCTGTACAGTACGACACGGTGCCGGAATAACGAAGGCGCTCTCGGGTCTGGGATTTCGGTATGGGAGGAGGGACTGGGATGGGTCGCGCTTGGCTTTGCTCTGTCTTCATCTGTATATCCAGCATCATCCCGTGAGGCGGGCGTTTTCCTTTTTTTGTCTCTCTCGCTTTGCAGTGCAAAAAAGAACCATTTAATTCTAACAGCAGTGTCAACTCCTGTCGAACTCATCTATCGTCCTTCGTGTGGATAATCCGGGCCGTCTAAAGTTGAGTCTAATACCCGTGAAGGTCCAGAGTCTAATATCCCAGATACGTTGAGGTATCAACCAAACACCCTGCCAACATTGAGCCTATAGCCACGCGTGTAACGCCCAGAAATCAAAATTCTAAGAGATGCCAACCGCCCCGTGTCATCATTCAGATCGTCCCGCTCATGCTTCCGCAAAGACCCCCAAGGGTCCCGCCAACTTGGTGAACATTTCTTCCCTCTCTCCTTCGGGCGTGCTCAGAATCGTCACGGCACCACCGGCCCCAATGTGCCAAACCTCACGCGGCTCCGTCTCGCCGTCCAGAGGCGGCGCGACCTCGTCGTCCCACCTGAACATCGTCCGAATCGTCACGCTCCAGTCCCCCTTTCCGGTCACGTCCATGTACCCGACCACGCCTGAGTACAGGCTCCGCTCCATATGACCCTCAATGTCCTGCAAAAGCTCGCAGCTCCGTTTCTTCGGCGCCCCTGTCATGCTCCCTGGCGGGAGACTGGCCGCGAGCAGGTCCAGCCCCGTGTGCCGATCTGCCTCGGACTGGTGGTCCGGCAACTGCCCATTGACAATCGTAATCATCTGGAACACCGTCGCGTACTCCTCCACCTTCATCAGGTGTGGCACCTCGACATTCCCCGACCCGCACACGCCGTGCAGGTCGTGTCTAACCAAGTCCACGATCATAAGGTTTTCCGCCTCCTCCTTGGGCACGTGCAGGATCTGCTCCGCTTGAGCCAGCGTCGCGACGTCGTTGGACTTGCGGACGGTACCCTTCATAGGCCGCATCGAGCAAAAGCCGCCGGCGTCGTATTCCAGGAACCTCTCGGGCGAGCTGCTGATCAGCGTCGCGCCGCCAAGGCGTATGAAGGAGCCAAATGGGGCTGGTTGGCGGGCTCGGAGGGTCTTGTAGAGCTTCCAGGGCGCGACATAGTTTGGTTTGGAGGGCGTGTGGCCGTTGACCTGCCCTTGTTCCATTACCGGGCGTCCTGGCAGGGTGATGGTCGTCTGGTCTGTCAAGCAGAGCTCGTACGACTCGCCGGCGGCGATGAAGTCTTGGCAGCGAGAGACTTTAGCCTCGTAGTCGTCGGCATCAGGTATCCGAATCACGGGGCGGGTTACCACCGTTGAAGAGTCCGAGCCATTGGTGGCAGCTTTGCCCGACTGCCAGAGATGGGACATCTGCAACGAGGCTACAACAGAGTCCACCCAGAAGTCGGCGTTGAGCTTCCGCTTCTGCAGGTGCTGGACGTGCAACAGCCCCTTCACGTGATCTACGACGATGCTCTTCGTGACCCAGGCGAGACAAAGATCCGGCCGCAGGTGTCCTCGGTCACCCTTAACCGGCACATCGATGCCTTTCAGCCCCATCTCATAAGTGAGATAGCCCATAAAACCACCCCGGAACGGTGTGTCTAGATCACCCGTCGCTGCGATGCGTCGCTTTTCGACGAAGCTGGAGAGAAGATGCCAGATATTCTCATGCGGCCCGAATGCAATAGTTTCAACGAGGTCAACGGGCATCCCCTGAATCGAAGGGATTCGTGCCGTGGCAAAGTCGTCTCCGACGTGATGCTCGATACGCAAGGACTCTTCCACGTCCAGCGCGATGATGCTGAACCTTCCTCGCACGTCAGCGGCGCCGACAGCCATATTGCTCGAATTAGACGAGTCCAGAATGATGTGCTCTGTTCTGCCGCTCTTCAGTATTTCGACGACATCCGGTACCTTGACGTTCGCGGGAATATTGATCGTCTTATAGACGTAGTCGCATTCGAGTCCCACGGTCGCCAAAGACGTCGGCATCTCCGTCCACGCCAGCACGGGTGCGTGGCCGCCCTGTGCTGCGTCCCGGATCTCAGAAAGGAGACTAGGTTTCACAGCGTTCCTTGCCAAGAACCGCTCTCCGCTCACGATCGTCCTGTTCGCCCTTTGATTCCAAGCCATGGCTTCGCGGAGCCAGTTGCGGATGACGGCGTGGCCTGAGGCCTGCGTGCAGACGGATTCGGGGTGATATTGAAGACCCCAGAACGGCTTGCCCTGACGCTTCACCGCCATGAGAATCCTCTCGCGGCCATTGTCCCTCTCCTCATCGACCCAGGCCAGGGGCAGCAACTCAGGGGCCATGTCCTGCGCGTGCCATCGCCTGTCCACCCATTCGGCATCTGAGATGAAATCCTGTCCAATGTCGGCGCAGAGGCTGTGGTAGAGAGTCGCCTTAAATTCTGAAATACCGGCAAAGACGTCCTCGGCGCAAGTCGACCGAGGCTTCTTGTGCTGAATCTGGCGGACCATTCCATGTAGCCCACGTTGCAGCCTCCTCACCTTGCCGCCGGAGCTGAGAACAAGACTCTGGAACCCGAGACAGATGCCCAGAACAGGTAATAGATTCTCACCCCCCAGCTTCCAGACACACCTCATGAGCCCGACATCCCTCTCGTTCTCGGCGGAGCCAGGTCCGGGTCCGCAAACGACCGCATGGTACCGAGACAGCTCCCGGTGAAAATCATCGGAGAATGTCGGCGATTTTTGGTCTAGCAAGGGCGTGTCAATCGGTAAAACGTGGACATCGGCATCAAGCAAAGTTGTGAGAAGGGAGACGATGTTGTTGGTAAAGGAATCGTATGCATCGAGAAACAGGATCTGAGGTCGCGTCATCCTTTCAACGGGAAACACGCTTCCACTGTCTTTCTCAGGATAACAATCGACAAAAGAAGCCTCTCAACGCAACGTTCGCCAAACAGGAAAATCGTTTTGACCAAAGCTTAGATGGCGGTCTTTGACCAAAAGCTTAGACGGGGGTCACGGGCGTCTGTGACGGAAAATGTCCCGGTGTCGGCTAGCACCGGGAGCCCGTTTGTCAAAGAAATTTCGGTGGCGACTGGAGGCAGAAACTAGAAGGCGGTCAGACCCACGCATGACTTGCTAATGCGCCGTTGCCAGGGATAAGCTTAACACAATTGCTCGGTTGATTTGGCTTAATTAATTCCTGTGGCTTTAGACTCTGAACCCATCACGCTGAACCTCTCGTTCTAGAGAGAACTTGATTGTCTATTGTAACATAAAGGTCGCTTCCATGGCCAACTCCGAGCCTCTGGTATGATTCGTTTCTCTTACGTCCACAATACGGTTCTTCATGTACAAAATAGCCAGCCAATGCTGCTACTCCTGGTCCTTCACCTTGATGATGCAGGGCTGTCTTGAATGCCAGATGCGCCTCTCCTTTGCGCCAATGATTGCATTCAGCATCGTCTGAGTGTCCGATCGTTGCCGGCCCTCCTTCGTTTCCTCTTTGTCCTTCTCCGCCTTGGGCTCTTCCCATATTTGGTATTCCTCGATCGATGCTCCTATCTCAAACTCACCACGACAGAGCGCCATTACCTGGATCTCCACCTCAGTGCTAGACTTGGCGGACAAGAGGGGAAGCGCTTGCTGTAAAGTGCCGTTCCAAGCGAATTTCCGCGTGAAGTCCAAGGCCACGTTCAAAGGACGGTGACATAGAGCTGGCATCAGTCGTAACATCGGGTAGATTGGATGTGCTGACCGATTCTTGATGCCGACCTTGATTTTGACAAAAGTGTCAACAAAGACAGACTCCGTGGCTGCTCCACCCGCGCTCTTGCTTGGATCTTCGACTGTTATGTTGATGCCGATGTCGTCAATCCTGAGGGCATCCATCATACGGGGGGAAAGTCTGATACTTCGCAGATCAACGTGACCACTCCGCTTCGGACCGGACACTGTCTTCCACCTGGCTGTGAGAGCATCCAGTATCTTTTCCCTGTACCAGAATGCTTCCCGATTCGAGCGTTCCATGTCTGGCGTGATCTTGCTGCTGCTTACGACAAATTGACGCTGTCTTGATGGATTGAGGGCCGGAATTGAAGCGTGGGGATCTTCGAGGTAGATACGTCGTAGAGGAAAAATGACGCGACTCATGTTGCCTGGAAGGATGCGTTCCTCAATCACAACGCCATCTTCGCCATACAGTTGCACCTCTATGTTGTTGGGCCAGGCATTGCGAAGATCCATGGATAGCAGACAATATTCTTCCGCCAGTGTAGCTAGATCGGCTTTTGACTCGAGTTTTGTGAGGCCAAGCAACGACCGAGGAACAGGGCCGCTGAGAGGCAGAACGTCCAAGCGGGCCAGCTCAACGCTGGCATTGACAGTGACTGTCAACTCTAGTGAAACTTGCCGGGTATGAAATTGCTCCGTCACCTCTTCAGGGGGTACACCAAGATGGCCATAATCGATCTGGATGGAAGCATTCGTCAACCCGGGTTTACCGAGGATCTCGAAATCAAACGTGGCAGTGCCCCCCGGGGCGATGTATCTCTTCTCGGGTTCCTTCTTATTCAACCTTCGGAGACCTTGCCGCTTCATGAGGATATATTCGTACTCATATAGCTCAGCCGGCGTGGCATCTCTGTTGTTGATACCTGCTTGTAACGGCCCTTGTGTGGAGTCCTGGAAAGAGAAAAGCATAAAGTCCACGGGTGTCGTCTTTGAGAGATTCTGCAGTGTTACAGAGAACACCTGTCTTTCTCCCTCGAGCACCATTACGGAAGCTTGTGGGAGCGTCGTTGACTTGAAGATGACGATAGGTTGCTGAGAAATAACGTTCAAACCCAGCTGCTCCGCCTTCAAAGGCCTACCAATACGGACATCAGAGAAGATAGTACTCTCCAGAGCTGGTAGTCCAGTAGCCTTGGTCTTTACATCCGCTTCTGGTGCCCATGGCTCTTTGAAGATGGGGAACCGTCTCTCTCGGCAGCCACGAACCCGGATGATCGCGCCCGTCACCTTCAAGGCACCAGGTCCTTTTGGTGTTCCGGTGACCTTGAGAATTTGGGTTCGATATGGTCCGATGATGGTGCTCTCAGAATTCGACTCAAAGTCTGCCCCGCTGGCGTCTAACCGAAGGCTTTCAACGTCAATCTCGACGTCGTATGGATTTTGCAGAGTGACCTTGAAAGTTGCAGATTCGTTTGCTACGAGTATGTGATCGGCAGCCGCTTTGTTAGGTTGTTTCAGGAACGGGTTGTAAATGAATGGGTTGACATCTTGAGAGGTTCTTGCCGTCACTGCTCCAGGAAGTGTGCTTTTTGCGTGGGGGACCGGGATTCTGGTAATCGGCAGTGGCTCCAAAGTGATACCACGGACAAAGAACTCATCCCAGTACTCGGCGGCCAAGTGGTTCAGGCCTAGTCTTTTGGCCAGGTTCGACGTCTTTGTTATGTTTGTGACCAAACGAATCTGCTCATCGCGAGCGATTACTGGTGATGCATCCTCCTTGCGAGGTCCAGGAGCAACTCCGGATCCAGCTGTACGGAGCAAATCACTTGAGAACTTCAACACACCATTGAAGTCGGGCAATGCTTCAGAAAAGTTGATGCATGCTCTCAAGATGTTCAGTTTGACGCTGGTGAACCCGAAGAACCTCGCAGCAGCCTGTCCCCGAATTCTGTCGATGACAGCAGCGTCTGAGTCTTCAGTAGACATAGTGTCATCCGACAGCTTCCTCTTCATATCAAAGCCCACAATACCGTACGATTTGCAAAGCAGAGCCAAAAACGCCTCGATCCCCTGCTCCACATCACCCTCCCCAAGCTCAAGCGCTACTGCACTGCTGCTGTGTCCATTCGCGGCGTTGAGGGCTACGAGACCTGCAGCAGGATGTATACCCATGTCTGCAGCACCCCTAGTGCGGGCCTCGACCAATCCGTTGGTGAGAACTGATACAAGCTCTCTGGTTACCATGGCCTTCTTGCGATGGTAACCTAGAGGTCCAAGAACAGATGCAATACCTGCCAAGATCGAAACTCGATCGGCAATGGTGAGAAGCTCTGACGACGAAGAGGGAAATGCGCGGAAGAGGAAGGTGACAATTTGTTGTCGGCTGGGTGAGATAATCAACCGAGGTGAAGTGGTCAAGGGGGCCGAAGGAAGCTTCCCATAAACGATCATGTCATAGGACCGTTCTCCCAGCTTCCCGTCGGCAAGATGCAATGCGGACAAAATCTTACAGAACCGAATCGTAGTTTCAGACAGGGGCAAGGGTGGCAAATTCTCGGCCGATATTCTCGAGTATAGTCCAACGATGCGCTCCAGAAGATCTGGAAGAATTATTTGAAGGTTCCGGATGTACTTGGGCTGGCTCGGATCGGTTGCTGTTGCTTCCAGCGCAGCGTAAATCGAAGTCGTAGATTTATCCTGTGGAGGCAGACATATTGGCGGGACTTGAAACTCGACTTTAACCCATCCGAGAAGCAATAGAGTAATTGTGACCAACTCCAGTGCCTTGCCGTGCCAAATGTGATCATTGATTGACCGAGCGACGGTTGCGCCTTCCATCAGCTCTTTCAGAGCGTCCGGCCATCGTCCAGCTTGCAGGTACAGGGAGCCCATCAGAACTGTCACTCTGCCCTTTCCTTTGGCCCTCCAGCGGTCGTTGAGGCCACCGGAACCAAATCCCTGCACTGAAACTCGATCTGAGCTTTCCGACCTAAAGTGCTCTCCGGCACCCGACCGCGAGTTCTGGTCTGGGACCGAAGAGCCGATGTTGATGCCAGCAGTCAGATCGTCAAATGTGGTCGGCGGGTTCGAGAGCCCGCTTCTCACGGGAGTCGAGGGTCGAGCTGGTGTTGAGCCGTCTGATGCCACGATGGAGTTGTTCTTCATTGGCGCAACCGGCATCGACATGCGGTGCATGAGGCGGTCTGGTAGACCGCTGGTTGAGCTTGATCTTTGAGAACCCGGCGTGAACTGGGACTTCCTCTTGTTTACTGGATCCGAATCATCCATGCCCCATGAGGTGCCGTTGGCCAGCCTTGTCGAGTGGGATTGTCCGGGAGACTCGATGAAGGACATTGCCTCGAATGACTTGGCCAGGGTTGTCATTTCAGCCAGGAGCTGCGACGTAATGTCGCACATTATTGTCTTCAAGGTCGTCCGTTTGCACTCTTTTGGCGGTGGAATAGCAATAAGGCCCTCGGGCAAAGCAACCGGGTTTTCCTTGGAAGGTGCATGGTCGAAGATCAAGACCTGGTGGACGAGGGCCTTGTCGAAGCGGTCTCTCAAGTCTTCCAACCCCTGGTCCAACGTTCTAATATTTTTTTCGGCAGTGGTGGGCGCATTGCCAGATTGGCGTTTGTCGAAGGCAACGCGGTTCAGTTCGTCGCCATCTGCGATCGCGATGACTGCGAGGGGCTCGCGATAGAAGTCGAACGGCGAGAGTGCAAGATGAGATGGTGGGGGTACGTGGGTTATTAGTTCGTAGAATACAGCGCCATCGGGGAAGGCCAAGGGCGAGAACATATCTGTGCGTCACCAGTCAGCACAACAGGTCTCTCCTCACGAATTTGAATGGAGAGCCATACTTCTGTTGGGCCGCCCGTCAGGGGTGACATCCCGCAAGGAGACGACATGTTCGGGCCGTAGGCGCTCAACGAAGGACGAGAAACGATCACTTCTGATTTGGCCAAGGGGCACAATCAATGCCTTCACCCTCGCGGGAGCGATGGGTAACAGAGAGTCCAAGCTCATTCTAGTACGTATGCAGCATCTTCAACTTAATGGGTTGTGATGCGAGTTATGTGGCCATATCGAGATGGTCTCGTGCGTTCGGCGCCGAAGCAAAGGGAATGCGAAGCTTGGCAGGTGGCTTCAAGAGCGTCGCCAAGGTGTGCTCGTGGTTTTTGGGCCTCGCGCGCTTTCAGGATAGAGCATAAAGTTGGCTGTAGACCAGGGAAGTTATCTCATGTAGCAAATAGTAGAAAGGAGTCGAGGTTCGTGGCAGTGGACAGAGAAGGATTGATTGGCATGCAGCCAGCCCACTGACAGCAAGTGACGGTGTGTGCGACTCGACCAGGGGGATTAGTGGAGGTTCGAACCCGGTGCAACAATAGCAATGTTAGGAAACTGCTGCTGGGTTTGGGATCGTAGCAGATACCGATAACGGGGTTGCCGCTAAAACAGCCGACGCCACACGTCAACTGGTCCAAGCTTAGCGTTCTCTAGGGGACTGATTGGCTGGACTGGTGGGCCGACGTCGAGCAAGCTGTCAAAGCCACACTTCAGCCTTCATTGAGCTCGCCCAGCTCCTACTTGCCTTCCAACGTGTTCACTCCATCCAAAGGTAGGTACCTCGATACCTCTCTCTCATCACATCTCACTCACTCACTCACTTACTGTCCTAACCATACACGCACGCACACACATACACACACACACAGCTTGATCTTTTTCAACGGCTGTGGTGTGAGTGTACAGTTACTACCTCAGAGCTCCGATGAGCACTGAATGATAACTCACACACCGCAAAGATGGCTCGTACAACGCAGTTGGCCGTCTTCATTACACTTTCCCTATTCAATATCTTCGGCTCACAGCTGGTCCATGCAGCCGACGATGGCCCTGGCTCGGCTTCTATTTTGGCCTCTGAGGTCGGTCGCCTCAACAACGAGAGCTTGTTCTGGGGCCCCTATAAGTCCAACCTCTATTTTGGCGTTCGATCGAGAACTCCCAAGAGCTTATGGACCGGGTTGATGTGGTCTAGAGTTGATAACTATCAGGATGTTCAACAGGGTGAGTCGGGCGCATACATCACCGCCGATAATCGTAATCTAACAGCCTGACAGGTTTCCGTTACACTTGTGAACAGCATGAAGGCCTCCACGGGTACGGATGGGACGAGTATGATGCCCGAAAGGGAGGTGTCCAATCGATTCACGACGAAGGCAACCAGATTGACATCACCACCTCATTTATCAAGGTGCCCGGTGGAGCCAACGGTGGTAGCTGGGCAGCAAGAATTCGAGGTGTCCCGAGAGAGGGTGCCCCAGCTGACCTAAAGACCATGATCCATTACTACATCGCCCAGGAGGGCACCGATGGAGAGATAAAATTCGCTGGCGAGAGCGACTCCGCAGGTTATGATGGCGATGTTGCGTTCGAGGGTACTTCCCCCGAGCTTGGTAGGTATAAGCTGGTCGTCACGCAGGGCGAGGGCAAGCACCCTTCTAGCACCCACCCCTTGGCGGAAAAGAAACACCCCGACCAGACGACGGTGCGATCTCTTACCGTTCCTGAGGAGGTTCAATGGCAGGCCAAGGGTGTGGTCTTCAACCTCATCCAGGAAAGCGTCAAGTATGTCCAGGAGAACTACGACATGAAGGAGCCACCCCCAGCGTACCTCGTCTACCAGATCGACAACAAGCCCGGCGAAGGCAATGTTCACGTGGTTCAGAAGATGTTCGAGGGAGCATTCGAGTTCGACGTCATCTTCTCGTCTGCTTCCGCCGGTCCCGAGCTCACCAGCGCCGATGTGACACGCGAGATCAAGTCCGTCACCGAGTCCTTCGGCGAGCGCTTTTCCTCCGTCTTCAGTCTGAAGGCCCCGTACACTGCCGATAAGTACAAGAAGTTCGCCAAGAGCATGTTCTCAAACCTGCTTGGTGGTATTGGCTACTTCCATGGCTCGCAGCTGATTGACCGTTCGTACGCCCCCGAATACGACGAGGAGAATGAAGGATTCTGGGAGGAGACTGCAGCTGCGCGTGCCCGCAAGCAGCAAGAGCTGGAGGGCCCCTATGAGCTCTTTACGGCTGTGCCCTCCCGACCTTTCTTCCCTAGAGGGTTCCTCTGGGATGAGGGTTACCACCTCATCCCTATTGCCGACTGGGACATCGACCTGACCCTGGAGATTGTCAAGAGCTGGTTCAAAACCATGGACGACGATGGCTGGATTCCGCGTGAGCAGATTCTCGGCCCGGAGGCTCGCAGCAAGGTTCCGGAGGAGTTCCAGGTGCAATATCCACACTACGCCAACCCTCCCACGTTGTTCCTCATTATCGAGGGCTTCATGGAGCGCCTCCGAAAGACCAACGGCAGCCAGCCTGCCGAGAAGGAGCGGCTTGGTCCCGCGGATTCCCTCCAGACTGCTCATCTGGACAATGTCGAGCTTGGAGAGGACTTCCTCCGGAAGCTTTACCCCTTTGTCCGCACACAGTACGACTGGTTCCGCAAGACACAGAAGGGAGACCTGAAGACGTACGATCGTGAGGCGTTCTCCAACAAGGAGGGCTACAGATGGCGCGGCCGCACCGAGACCCACGTCCTCACCAGCGGTCTCGACGACTACCCCCGCCCACAGCCTCCTCACCCCGGTGAACTCCACGTCGATCTCATGTCCTGGGTCGGCCTGATGACCAAGTCCCTCATGAACATCGCCGACGCCCTCGGTATGAGGGAGGAAGTCGACGAGTTCAAGACGACTTTGAACGCTATCCGCCGTAACCTCAACGACCTCCACTGGTCAGAGAAGGAGGGCTGCTACTGCGACGCTACTATCGACGCTTACGAGGAGAGCTCCCTCGTCTGCCACAAGGGCTATATTTCTCTCTTCCCCTTCCTGGTCGGCCTTCTCGATGCTGACGATCCGAAGCTGGGCAAGCTTCTCGATCTGCTCGGCGACGAGGAGCACCTCTTCAGCCCTCACGGCCTGAGGAGTTTGAGCAAGCAGGATGAGTTTTACGGAACGGCCGAGAACTACTGGCGCAGTCCCGTGTGGATGCCCATCAACTACATGGCCGTCTCCCAGCTGAAGGTAAGTCTTTCCCTCCACACCTTCTGGAAAAACAAGTTTCTGACCGAAGATAGAACGTCGCGTCCCAGGACGGCCCCTACAAAGCCAAAGCCGCGGACCTCTTCACCCGTCTCCGCAAGAACCTCGTCGACACCGTCTACAACAGTTGGGAGAAGACAGGCTTCGCGTGGGAGCAGTACAACCCTGAGACTGGCGAGGGTCAGCGCACGCAGCACTTCACGGGTTGGACGAGCTTGGTAGTCAAGCTCATGGCCATGGAAGATCCCATCAAGGCTGGCAACGGCCACGTCAGAGACGAGCTATGAAACCCGCTTCACATTGGTTTCTTTCAGATGCGCACCCAGAGGCATGTATTAAGCAAAAGCACGGTAGAATCTGGGGCGGCACCGCTAGAGAGAGCACGAGTGCCCCCCGCTTGGAACGAGATATACTAGGGATGACTGACCCCTGAAAACAACGAATACACGACTCCAACGCCGTTTGTGAACGTGCTCGAGTGTCGATTGTGGGATGGCGCATCTGTGTGTGTGGTTCAAGATGTGCGTAATCCATCAATGCCGGAGTAGGGATGTAAGCAACCAGTCGGTCATATCCCTGCCCCGCCGCCGAGAGATAGGAAATAGGAAACCAGGATGGTAGCCACGTAAGCAGCGAGCGCTTAAGCCCTCAGCCCCCCGTTCCCGACTAGACCTCGGCGGTTCAAGCGGTGGAACTGTCCTCCGTCCTGTCCAGTTTCTGCTCGAGCACTGCGACCATATTGCGCGTCGTACGATACGATGACGTCCACTTGCTGGAAGCAGCCGGAAGGGGCGGCCCTGAGAGAAGCGAGAGAGCAATACACCGAGTGTCAGGGTCAAAACCGTGTAGGGCTGAAGCTGGGTCCTCGATGCAGAGTTGGCTGCGGGGAGCCGGTGTGACTTCCAAGACTTCTGGAGAGTTCTTCATGCGCTTCTTGTGAGCTGCTCCCTGCCATTCGTTGCGGTGGCGGCAGCGCCGCTGTAGGGCCGTTCGGAGAAACGTGTGGTCCATGGAGATAGGGCAGGCTCTACAGCTCTGATGCATAGCGTTCCTAGTCCTTTGATGTGATGTGACGCGATTCGTGCACTTTGCGGTCGGCGGACAGGGTACAGATGCGGGCTGGAAGGTCGGAGCCCCGGCGGCCGCCTGGTACCTAGTGACTGCGAATCGATAAGTGTCAAACGGGCCCAAGCATCTCCTGTTGTGGACCCAGCATGTAAGCCCGGCGAGGGAGCGTCGCACAAGCATGATGTACTTCTGGGTTACATCACACGCGGGCTGTGTGCGTGCGTCGGTCCCCTCTCGAGGACCGGATGCAGGCCGGCGCTGTGGGCCTCGTCATTGTTGGTGTCAGCAGAGACACGAGGTGCGCGCATGCATGTCATAGGGCTGCGCGGCTCAAGTGAGGCGGGTCAGGATCAGGCAGCTGCGGAAGGGGAGGGCAAGTGTCACCCTAAGCACCCCGGTCGTCTCCTTGAACTACATGGTCCTGCGTGTGGTGTGGCTAGGTCGTTATTACGGTAGGACTTTTGTTGCCCCGATCGGGTATACGGCTGGCTTTTGATAGCAGGATCCGCGTGCTTGGACTGCTGCAGCCTGTAGATTGGAACCCGTGCTCTGAGACACTCCGATGAGGAAATGAATGGCTATGTACGGATAGTAATCTTCTAGAAAGGCTGTCTGGTGCATAGGCCAAGCGAGTATGATACGACATAACCTCCCCTTTTGAAAAATACGGGACATTTGTTCTTCTCTACCAATCACCGGCCCAATGTCTCCTATGGCTTCGACATTTCACCGTCAGCATCTATGACTACTATCAATGCAGTGATCAGGCTAGATTTTCATATGACATTACATTAGCCTCTTAGGCTATATCCTGCAGTTGTGGTGATTGTGTAATAGGAATGAGCTGCTGAATCACAACCTCCCCCTCAACGGTTGTATCTTTCTACTCGGTCTTGATACAACCCATAGACCCTAGGTCTCAACCAATCTATTGTAGCTTGGATTGGACATCCTTATTGCTGTGAATGTATTATTGACCTAGTACTGTAGGTTAGAATGCTGGGTGGGGAGACGGGATCTGTCTGTTGAGGGATTATCATTTCCTATTACAGATCCTAAGGTGTTCGGATTGCCACAGCGGATTTGGAATCAGCACTCTCCAGAGACGAGCCAATGGTCTCCTGCCGCCGCAAACAACGTGGGTGCGTGAGGAAAGACATCGGAGTTCCGACAATCGAAGCGAACTTGGCCACGATGTAAAGGTGAATGGATGTCCCTCAGAATTGGACCATTGTGGAAGTCATGTTTTACTGATTGGACAAGGGAAGAAGACGCCACGAGGGCCTAGGGCGATGTCAAGTACAGCTTGGCTCCAGATAGTGAGAACGTTGCAACAAAAAGCCCTACCTATACACGGCGCAGTAGCTCGAAAATGAAAAGGATGGGTGCAACGGCGTGTTGGTGGCGTTGGCGTTTGTCTCTTGAACTAGTGTAGTGGCCACTTGGTAGACTTGCATGCAATGCAACTGCCTGGGCAGATAGGTAGGGAAGTGATGAGGACAGAATTTTGAAAATACAGCAGAATATCACAAAAAAAAAAAACAAGTGTTGCTTCGGTGGTTTGTCAATAAAATAGGTTGGATGTCGCGATAAACAAGGAATGAAGTTAAAATTGATTGTTGATCTGATCATCCGGATAAGGTTGCGACCATGAAATGGGATGGAATGAGTGGCCCGTACCTAGGGAAGGTCCGTGGTGGCTTGTACCAGGCGACTAAGGTGACTAAGGTAAGGTATGTACGTACCTAGTTACTCGGTCACAGAAATGGCCAGGCGCGGCCCCCGGCGATCAGAAGAGGCGGGCAGTAATACCACGCGGGGCACTTAGTGGCTTACCTACCTAGGTAACTACAGGTAGTCTCCCACCTACACCTTCAGCAACTGCTTCGACGCCAGTCAGCGAGTGCATGGACCCCACCAACTCGGATCTCCCTCCGTCAAAGTCTTGCACTTTCACCGACGACATCTCATCATCAGGTAATCAAGACCTATTTCCATTCGCATGCTTTTCCCAATAGCCTTCCCGAAGACACCTCGTGCCACACGCCTGCATCAAGGTCTGTCTGCCTCTCGATCAGCCTGGCATGGCGATAGGACTGCTGGAACTATTGTGCTGCACCCGCTGACTCACCTCGGCTTCCATTATTTCTCGGCTGTCAGAGGATTGTCGGCATGCAACCAAGAACACACACGCGTTGCCCGAAACGCGTCTCATCTGCAGTAGCGACATCATGTCACATCGCCCTAGCGTTGCCCCTCTGTAGAACTTTTGATATCGGGAAACCAATGACCTCAGGCTTCGGTCTTGCCCGAAACCTAAAGCGCCCTAAGCCAACTTGGGCAGAGTTGGCCAAGCAGACAGGCTTCTTCTGTATTGCGAAATAGACAGGATGACTACTACAAAATCGGGTGCCTTGTCAAGCGAGGCCACGAAATCTTAGGTCATCCTCCAGAAGCGGGCGGGCACCATCTATTCCCGTCCCCTTAGCTGCTCCATGCTGCCCCCCCACGGAACCCAAGACCAATGATTGCAGAGCGGAGTTTCGGCATCTCCATGCCCTCTCTGATGCGTGTCGTTTCTTGCCCGTCCTCGGACCGTCTCCGGAGCTTGTGATCACATTGCTCGCGAGGCGGACATGGGACGGGGCTAATGTGTGTCTGTCACCGTCGCAGATGACTCTTCATGTCGCTCACTCGCAGCGTCGATCAAAGTAGCAGAATTGAAAGCCGGCGTATTACCAATGACGGGACCAACTGTGATTAGCGGACCTTCCGTTCCTCGCCGGGCATAGGACACAGGCGCCGAATGCCCCGGAAACATCCAGAATGATGCGTCTAGATACTGGCGACACCGAAGTCTTCTATCCCATCCGACGAATCAACATCGTACGGGTGACCTTGAAGCTAGCGAAGGCGGGCAGATGCCCCCCTGCCACACCGGTCAATCGTCCAGTCGATGTGCATTGGTTGTCCTTATGTCAGGTTCCACATCCCTCCCACGCGAACTTCACCGTCCCCCCCACCCGACGCGAACTTGATGGTCGGAGGTTCTTGCAAAGCGGCATTTGCACAGCCTTGAATGCTGACAGAAACACATAGCCTGTGGCTGCTAGCGTACGAAACGCCCTGCCTCGTTCACCTCTTCCGGCCCGACCTGAGACGTATCTTCAGGCAGGTCAGGCTGGTGCTTACTCGGCACGAGTGGTTCCCAGCACTCAGCCCTATACGTGCAACCTCTTCCCTGTCCATCGCGTCCTCATTCGTCCTCTTGCCCTTGCGCACCATCTTCTCGTATCCCCTCCGAGCGCTTCCACTAACGATCCCGCGCCAATCCGTGTAACCAGATCCCGTCGCTCTGGTTTCTGTCCATCCCTGTCCTCTCGCCCAGGGACTCGGGGCCCAAGCCACGCCCTTGGCCCTTTACAACCAGAAACGGAAATGAAGAAGTCAAAGACACACAACAGGGATGTGACAGCCTACCTATTCTGGTGTTCCAGAGAACTGTTCTCACACGCGTCTGTCTGCCCATGACCCTGGTCTGCGGCAACCCGGTCCATGGCTCTTGCTCACGTTCCCTTGTCGTCGTCGTCTCCCATCCCACCATCTCGTCGCCCAGCTTTCCGGTCTGCCGTAACATGTCGTGTGGACTGCGCATCGATGACAGTAACACAGCCATACAGAGAAGCCGGAATCTGCGATTCGAGGAACCAGCGGTGTCATACTCGCAGTGGCAAGAACGCTAAAGCTTGTTCTTCACATCTCCACACCCTCCCTGTCGTCCTACCCATGTCATCGCCTTTCACATATGGAGGGGGAAAGGGCTGCCTAGAGCTCCGTGGGGGCCATCCCGGAACGACCATCGCAAGTCTCATCTCCCACAAGCCATCCCGTCGAAGTACCCTCGCCGGTCCTTCGCGGGGGCTGGGATGCCCAAACTGTGTCATCATGGTTGTCTGTTCTGTAAGGTAGGGTTGGCTCTTACTCCGAGCCAACGCGATGAGCCTCAACGCCCACGTTCGGCGAAGGGGGGGGGGGGATGCCTCGACGCCTATATAAACACTTGATATATCCCCCTTTGAAACAAGAAATATCATCATCACCACACTCACAGACCAGACAAGCCAAGCATACAACTCTCACATCTACATCCTTTTCACTCACACTTATCCTTTCAACATCATCATCACTACCACCACAACCAACTCAAACCACACGCTCCTCCTCATCACCTCATAATGGCCGCCTTCACTCTCATCTTCACCCCCACCACCGCCGTCTACGGACGCTCCGGCTACAACAAGGACGGCGACGACGAGGAGAAGGACAGTGGCCGTTCCGGCTACAACAAGGACGGCAACGACGACGATGAGACCCAGAACAAGGGACGCTCCGGCTACAACAAGGATGGTGACGACGAGGAGGACAAATAAGCGTCCCCTCCCCAGGGCCGACGCCCTCTCTGACTTTCCACACCGCCGAGAGTGGCTCGCTTTCTTCACAGCGGCCCTCGGAAGAGCAAACGGCGCCTTGACTAGCTAGCCGCATCGCAACATGCGCGCCTCCCATTCAACCAGCATTAGACCGGAGTTTTATCGCAACGTGTCGCCACCGCGCAACCCCCCCCCCCCCCCCCCCCCCCGGGAGGGAAACGCGGGAGCCAGGAGGCAATAGTACTGGCGGCGGCTTCTCTTTTCGTTTCCTTCCTCATGCATTGGGCCGGAGTTCAGGATACGCATGGTAGCATCGTGGTGGATCCCTCGTTTCTTTTGATGATTGAAATTGCATAGAAGGCATGGGCATAGAGTAGAATTGCTCTTTTCGTTGGTGGCCTTGCCATCTCGTATCCTCCCCCTCCCTCTCTCAAACTCCCCCGGATATATTAGATTTCATTAGAAAAGCGACGACTTCGCTGTCCGTGCCCTGATAGTTGTCTAATCACTATTTTCCTACACAAAACCTGTAGCCATGTGTGTCAGTATGCCGATGAAACAGTGAGAGTGAAAGTCTTTGCACCTACTTTTCGAAGATTACACCAAGGACCTCTTCGACGTCGCCCGACTCAACGCGGCCGGTGATCTTGGCGAGACAGTCTGCCGCGTACCGGAGGTGTTCCGCCGCAAGGACGATATCCGGCTCCTCGCCTTCTTCCTCGGGGTGCGCCGCCGCCATGAAATCGTCCAAGAAGCCGCGGCACTGCTCAAGCAGCTGTGCCTGTCTTGCCGTGACACCCAGCAGATCTTGTTGATCTGTGGGCAGAGACGTCATGCCCGCGAATGAATCGACCAGCTGGTCGATGAGCCCGTGGATGGCACCGGGATCCTTTTGACTTGTGGCCTTGGCCTGCGCCTCGCGGCAAGAAATTGTAATGATTTCTGCCCGAGCCATACCCGGGGCGTGATCGGCTACTTCGCTCCTGAATCGGCCAATGAGGTCGGCGAAGGTAGGCCCATCAACGGCGTCTCGCTTGTTCACGACGACGAGGCATGACTGAGCCTCCGACGCGAGCCTCAACGTCTCTGCGTCGTAGTTGATCCGGAAACCCCCGTCGCGCCCCGGCTCCACCGCCGCTAAAACAATGATGATGTCCGATTCCGACGCCTTCTGTTTCGCACGGCGAATGCCCTCCTCCTCAACAACCCCCAGCGCAGGCTCGGAGAGGTCACCGCCCAGGCTCAGAGAGGACTTGGTCCGGATGCCAGCCGTATCTGCAAAGGAGCAGAGGTACCCCCGGATATCGAGGCTTACCTCGACGATGTCCCGCGTGGTGCCCGCCTCCATTGACACAATCGAAGCCTCGCGCCCGACGATCAAATTCATCAGCGAGCTCTTGCCGACGTTGGGCGGGCCGAGAAGGGCGATCTGTATGCCGTTCCGCAATAGCTCGCTACGCTGACTGGCAGCCTCATGCACTCGAATGCTGTGCCGCATATTGGCTACGAGCGCCGAGACGTTCCTCATTAGTTCCGAAGGCGACTCGTCAAAGTGCTGATCCTCGGCAAAGTCGATGAGGGCCTCGATCTCGCCCCGGGCGAGCAGAAGCTGTTCGCGCCAGCTCTCGTAGGTGCGTCCTAGCACGCCCGAGCTACCTCGCACCGCGGCGCGGCGCTGTTGCTCTGTGTCGGCGGAGAGCGTGTCGCCGAGGGACTCGACCTGGGCCAGGTCAAGCCTGTCATTGAGGAAGGCGCGCTTGGTGAACTCGCCGGGCTCGGCGTACCGTATCAGGCTGTCGGACGGACACTTCGGGATCGCTGCGAGGACCGCCTTGACTGTTGCGGGACCGCCGTGAACGTGTAGTTCCAGGACGTCTTCTCCGGTTACCGTTCTGGGGCCGGCGAAGTAGAGAACGAGGGCATTTGAGTCTAGGATTGGGCCGCCGTCACCGGCCTGGGCGTCCACGAGTGTCCTGACAGCCGCATAGCGAGGTTTTGGGAGCGGTTTATTCGGACAAAGCCCTTTGTAAACCTGGGCTTGTTTTAGTTGTTTTGACTTGTTTATTAGGATTTGATTGCTTACATCTGCACACCCAGGGCCGGATATGCGTATCACCGCAATTCCGGCCCGACCTTGTGCTGTTGACAATGCATATATGCTGTCTTCTTCAAAAATGACTTCAGGCGTGGATGCGATGAATCTTGACTGAGTCCGTAGGCCATCCAGATGCGTTGGATGCTGTTGCTGTAAGTGGTATGCAGTGGTCAATCCCAACGACAGCGGCCCCGTTCTGACAGGATAGTGACTTCGACCACTAACACATCTTGCAGCTTGTAAGGAGACGTTTCGGCCGAGGCTCCTCATCAACCGAACAAGAACAGGCATGGACTAGTAAGACAGATGCAAAAAAATGAAGAGAAGAATTAAAGTCAAACAAATTGGATACTTGCAGAGCTACCGTGCCCATAGTGGTGATAGGTTTTACATGAGTGACGATGACTGGGTTGAAAATGTAAAGAGGTTAGTGAAGAGGATGAGAAAGTCGTGCTCCAGTTTGGAATCCATGGCATGCTATTGGCCAGTCGGACCGCTTTGCACCCGATCTTATCGCGATAAGACCCCTGCAGCCTATGAAGGAAGAAAAAAAAGATTTTGGACTGCTAGAAAGGAAAACCAGCGCCCCGCCGCCTCACATTTTCCTCTCGAGCTCACAGTACTCGATTGCGGCAGAGCCTTTTTACAACTTACATCTCGTCCCGATTTTCGCCATTACCGTCACGATGGCATCCGACGAGATTATCTGGTGAGAAATTGTCTTTCGGACACCCAAATCAGCGTCAGTTCTAACATGACCAGGCAAATTATCAACCAGCAGTTCTGCAGCTTCAAACTCTCCACAACCAAGAAGCAGACGTTTTGCAGAAACGAAAACAATGTCACGGGTCTCTGCAATCGACAGTCGTGCCCGCTGGCAAACTCCCGCTATGCCACCGTTCGACGAGCCCCGAACAAGGACACGCTGTACCTCTACATGAAGACGGTTGAGCGCGCACACATGCCCTCGAAGCTATGGGAGCGCATCAAGCTGCCGAACAACTATGCCAAGGCCCTGGAAATGTTGGACGAGAAGCTCATCTACTGGCCCAAGTTCCTCATCCACAAGTGCAAGCAGCGTCTCACCCGTCTGACGCAAGTCAACATCCGCATGCGAAAGATCGCCGCCGAGGAGGAGCGTATGGGCGAAAAGCTGGTACCGAAGATGGCGCCTAAGATCCGGCGCCGTGAGGAGGCCAGAGAGCGTAAGGCAGAGGCTGCAGCGAAGTTGGAGCGCACCATTGAGCGTGAGCTTGTTGAGAGATTACGTTCCGGCGCCTACGGCGACCAACCCCTCAACGTCAGCGAGTCGATCTGGAGAAAGGTTCTCAACTCCATGGAGAAGGAGGGCGAGGGCAAGCGCGACAAGGACATGGACACGGGCATCGAGTCGGAAGAGGAGGGCGAGGAAGAAGAAGAAGACGAGGACGACTTGGAGAAGGAGGTCGAGTACGTTTCCGACATCGAGGAGAGCGACGAGGAGCTCGAGGACATTGAAGACTGGCTCGAGAGCGACGATGACGACGCCGAAGACGATGACGAGGAGGAAGATTCCGAGGACAGCGATGACGAGGCTGCCCGTAAGGCTGGCGACAAGCGGAAGCGCGGCCGCGCGGTCAAGATGAACCAGAAGAGGCTCAAGCAGAAGCAGACCGAGGAGCGGCCCAAGATCGCGGAGGAATTGACCTGGTAATAGAGAGGCTCGGATGAATTCCTACAGGCGTCTGGCGCGGATACCTTAACGGCTGGGTACGGAACGGAAAACTGAAACTTGGGGGCATCGCGCATACCACTGCATGTTGTGATATACTATCAAAAGCTGTCAATGTTGCCGAAATACCGTTTGCATGCGAATTTCATTTTCATGTGTCTACATACTTTTGCGGGCGCCTAATGATTCGTTGGTGATATCTGTTCCGGGACCATGGAAAACTAACTCCATTCCCACCCAGAACACATGGTGTCTCAGGTGGTCATCTACAACCGGAGGTTGAAAGGCAAGGTTTGCGCTTCCCGAAGCGGCCATGATCCTTGCTCACACCGAAAAGTTGCTAGGGCCGGGGGGCGTCGGTGAAGAAGCCGTCGCACCTCTATTAGTGCAAGTCCTTTTAGAACAATGCGGGTAGGCCCATGCCCCGCCGTCATGCATTGTTCCGCTGGGCCACAAGTGTCGGACCCAGGTCGCTTCATCCTCATTATCCAAGACCGTCTTATGTGAAACGGACCACTCCAAACAACCCTCCAGAATTAAAGCAGCCCGACGGAATCGATTCTTGGATTCAATATACTCCTTTTCCGTTCTACTACTACAAAAAGAAAAGACAAGAACCTATCTGCCAGCAAGCGGCCGACTTTATCCCACGAACTTCCGACGAGAAGCCTCCGCATCCGACCGGAGCAGAGCTCTTTGCCCCAACCCAACCCAACCCGTTCGACAGACACCGTCGGAGACCACCTCTGCCCCGCAGGATCCTCGCGGCAAGGAGCAAAGCACAATGTCATCTTGGTACTCGAGGATCCTCACCAACACCACCTCTCAGATCTCGAACCTGCAGAGTCGATTGTTGCAGAGCGAAAACGACGGCGACACCGATGACGACACCCACGTCTGCAGAGTCCTGAGAGGTTACTACACCGAGAAAGGCCGGCCCTTCCCAGGCTGGCTGCCGCCCGACCCAAAGGCACCACCCCCAGTAACTCCGGTCTACGCTCAGCCAGCCCAGCAAGTCGGTTCGCGTTACGGCGGTCTACAACAGCCACAGCAAGCCGGCCCTACCACGGGGTTGAGCTCACTCTGGGATAACAACGCGGCTGCGCAGCCTAGGCAAGATGCCATGAGCCTGCGACAGGGTCGCGGAGCCCCGCCGCCGATGCGAGGTGGAGAGCAGCAGCCCACGCGATTGAGCCCCTTTGCACGCGCTGGCGACTCGGGACGAGAGGAGGTGCAGGCTCGGCCTCTCCCCAGTCAGCGGGCGGGTAGCTACCAACAGAGTGCGGCTTATGGAAGAGACACGACGAACACACCGCCGGGCAGCTCGGCAGGCTCGGCACAGGATCGACTTAAGCAGCGACTTTGGGGAGGTGCGAGGACAGCCAGTCCAGCGTCAGGGGCAGGAGGCCAAGGGCCGTTCCAACCACCGTCAGGCAGAGGAGGAGGCGGAGGCGGCGGCAGTGGTGATTACGAGGATCGATTTGCCCCTGGCGGGATGTACGATGGAGGAAATGATTATGGCAGTGGTGGTAGCAGTGGGGGTGGCGGTGGTGGACGGCCAGGGCTGCCTAACGGGCCGCGGCGGCAAGGTCTCCCGAGCGGTCCTCGGATGAGGTGAGGTGATACACGAGAAGGGTTATGGATACTTGTGTGCGAAAGACGGGAGAGGGACATATCGGTGACGCCGTGGAGCTGCTCGGGAGCTCACCTTTGCGATGCGGACATGTGCGACCAGGTGCTTGACGGGACCAAACGCAAACCATCAAGCTCGCGCGAGGATCTGCGGGCCATACCTCGCCATCCAGGGACGCGGATACGGATGATGCCAAAAGATACGTCGTTCAGGAGGTTCATAGGGAGAGCTGATGCACACACATACACATATACCAATACACCACCTAATAGCCACGCATTTGCGACTGAATACGTACCTAGGTGATGACGGGCTGTGTTATCTCCAGCGCAGGTAGCAAGTTAACAAGTCGGACAAGGCTTTTATTTCCCATTATCATGATCAAGTACGTCTCATTCAGCAGGATAGCATAAACTACAAGTCACCGGAACTGCGTTCTCTCTGAAATCCCACCCGTAGTGCTACGTCTCTGAAGACCGAATGTCGAGTTTTGGCGATGAAGCGAGTTGCTTGCGCGTGCGAACGCGCAGCAGCCTCCGGAGGGTTAGCCGCAGGCGTGAATGACGACGCATGCATGCTGCAGATGACATGGTTCGTCTCGAAGCTCCGGGTAGCTGTACCGCTAATAAGCGCCAAAGAATGCCTGACAGACGGTACAGATACAGGGGGGCAGCCCCCTCCGATACAAGGGTACAAGCTTTCGTAGCGGGGTGGCCACGCCCCCCTCGGGAGGCGTTGATGACTGCGTAGCACCTTGCCCCCCCTCCAACATCCCATGATACCTAGTCACGGTTCGCTCACATGCCACCTCCCCAGAACCTTTGTGTTTCCTTCTGTCACTGCATCTCTACAAGAAACTCTGTCGGGCAACACCCGATATTGTTTGTTTCTCTGAATAGACTCATCAAGTACAACGGGCCTGGGAGCCTTGCCCTCCCCTACCTATATTACCCTTACGCTCTGCCTTACATCATCACCGAGGCACTGCATCATGACCTCAGACTCGGATCCCCCGCCATCGGCGAGCGCTCCACCAGCACGACCTCGCTCGCCCTCAGGCAGCTTTTACGCTCTGAGCGACGACGAGGAAGGGGACTACGACACGATCACGCACACAGAGACCGGTCGGGGCGTTAAACTCCTTTTTTCTAAAAGCAAGGTGAGTCGCGAAAACTACCGTCGCCACCCCCATAGACTTGGGAACTGATGGGGCTTCACTGCGCAGGTTTACGTGCATCCCACGCCTTCGGCGAAAGATAACATTCCCGGTTACATTGCTCTTCTCCAACAAAAAGGAGGCCAGCTTGGTCGTCCGGCCTCATCTTCGTCGGGAGACTCGCAGAACCCAAACGCCTCCGATCTGCTCCTGGCATGGCTTCCCGAGTCGTCCCTAGGCGAATCCGAGAGCATCTACGTCAAGGTCGACCTTAGCGAAGGGGAGTCGCCTCCGAAGCAATCATATCTTGTACCACCCCCACCGACCGTCACATCTCACCGCGGCTCTGTCGGCACTTATGCGTTTGCCATCCCAGTCAGCGCAATCTACTCGCTTCTCGTAAGACCGCCGAGTCTTGGCTGGTGGTTTGGCTCTTTGATCATCAACTCGAGGGCAGGCGACAGCTTCCCTGCACTGTTCTTCCACGACAATGAATGTCAAAGCACAATCCTGAAGAGGAAGAGGCGGACCAGGGACAACTTCGACCCGTTCGGCGATCGAGGGGAGATGTTCTGGGGCGGCGACGAGGTCTTGCGCTGGCTGCGGCGTTACGTCCCTATTGAGAGATCCGGAGCAGAACCCAACATCTATTTAGTAGACCCGTCAAAGGAGGACAGCGAGGCCTTCAGCGGCAAGCTTACTTCCAGTACAGCCCAGGTTGGCTTGAAAGATGGAACGGGGACTCGCGCTGGCGGCGCCGGTCCCAGTGGCGACGCGCAGATGGATCCTTTTGTGAAGTTTGTGAAGGAGACGGGTTGGAACATCATGGAGAAATTCAGCAAGGTGACCACCTTCACACGACGGGCCGCGCAAGATGTCATGCAAAACCCGAACGTCCCCCCGCAAGTCAGGAGGCTCCTGCGCAACCCCGAGGTGCAGACTCTTCAAGATGAATTCGACAGTGCGAGGATATACCTCGCGCGCTGGGCCATGGGAATTGCCGAGCAGAGCGAGCGGGATCGGAGTCAGAGAATATGGACGGCTAGGGAGGTCCTAGAGCTCGAGGATACCGATGTGGGAGAGTTCGAGCTCTTGGACGGGAGCAGCACCATGTCATTGGAGGACAGGAGGAAACCAGTGACACTGAAAGAGTGGAACACCTTCTTCGATCAGCGGACCGGACGACTCTCGGTCACTGTCGATGAGGTTAAGGAAAGGGTCTTTCACGGCGGCCTTGACCCAGACGACGGAGTGCGAAAGGAAGCATGGTTGTTTCTGCTCGGGGTCCACGACTGGTACAGCACATCCGAGGAGCGGAAGTCTCAGATTGCGTCACTTAGGGACGAGTATGTTAAGTTGAAGGGTGCTTGGTGGGAGAGGCTTGTAGACCTTGGTGGTGAAGGCGAGCAGGGAGAGTGGTGGCGTGAACAACGTGGCCGTATTGGTAGGTTTCCGACGAACGACTAGGTGATGATTTGGTGCTAATACTGTTGCAGAGAAAGACGTTCATCGAACAGACAGGAATGTTCCTATTTTTTCTGGAGAAGACATTCCGCACCCAGACCCCGAATCTCCCTTTTCCGAGGTTGGCACCAATGTCCACCTGGAGCAGATGAAGGACATGCTTCTTACGTACAACGAGTACAACAAGGATCTCGGCTACGTGCAGGGCATGTCTGATCTCCTGGCCCCCATCTACGCCGTTATGCAGGACGATGCAATCGCCTTCTGGGGCTTCCAGCACTTCATGGATCGTATGGAGCGCAACTTCTTGCGCGACCAGTCAGGAATGCGGTCACAACTGCTCACCCTTGACAACCTCGTCCAGTTTATGGACCCGAAGCTTTACGCGCACTTGCAGTCCGCAGACAGCACCAACTTTTTCTTCTTCTTCCGCATGCTACTCGTCTGGTACAAGCGAGAGTTCGAGTGGATGGACGTCTTGCGCCTTTGGGAGATTCTCTGGACGGACTATCTGAGCAGCAGCTTCCACTTATTTGTCGCATTAGCAATCTTAGAGAAGCACCGGGATGTCATCATGACCCACCTGCAGCATTTCGACGAGGTTCTCAAATATGGTATGTTTCTTAGCACTATGGCTTACGGCTACAGGCGCTGACATTGCACAGTCAACGAACTTTCCAACACAATGGATCTCGACTCAACTTTGATTCGCGCCGAAGCGCTATTCCGCCGTTTCCAGCGGCTGGTGGAAGCAGTTGATAAGAAGGGTAACTTTCCTGGGCCACGACTGCGAGATCCCGGCTCTCCCTCCAAATCTTCATCATCCGACCAGGCCGACAAGGACCCGAAACAAGGCCAAAGCAGTGCCGGACCAGCGTCCCCACGCAAAGATACGGGCAAGGCGCCTGAGGGGTCGCAGGTGAAGAAGATCATCACCCCAGAATTGAGAGAGCTGCTCAGCCGCAAAGTTGTAATACTTCCACGCAAGGAGGTAGCGAACAAGGGGGACGGCCCAGGGAGATCATGACCAGCACAACAATCACGAAAAAACGGACGAAAGGTTTGGCTTTACGAAACGTCGGGACGAAAACATGTTGGTACGCATTCGGGGATAATAAGGGCGGGCGTCTAGGTGTCTGATTAAATAGTTGTATGAAAGAAAGCAAACACGCGACAACGTGTATTATGCAGCCCTCAAGAAAATCCTCGCCCCTAGTCAGCTTTCGAAGGCCTAGAAGACCCATCGGTGACTCTTATATGTCCGGCATGGAAAAGGAGGGGTGAGGAGCCCTACAGGTTACGCCAGAAGAACAAGGGGTCGCGGAGACCCTGCTCTGTCCCTGGGTGGTGCATTTTCCTGTCAGGGACACCCGTACTCGGTACAAGTCTATTGTTAAGCCATCAAGGCAGCCGACTGTTGGGCCCTGACGCTCTTCTACACGCCGGCTTTTGATCTAAAGCTCTAGATGCGTGTCTAGTCGGTTTTCACAACGATGTGGTAAGATTTTGGGTTGGCTGCTCCCCCCTTTGGCTCCGGAACTAGCATCGTGTCCCCTTCCCCCTTGTTACAATGCAACCTGTGACCTCACAGCGCATCTTAGTATCAACATCATGCGCGGAGAAAGGGGGGCGTGGGTGGTCATCCGGGCAGCACTATGTGAGATGAAGAGATGAAAGTATGATAAGTGCGTCTGCCTAAGGTCGGTGCAAGGGGTTAGGGCTCAGGCAAGACGTAATTAGACTATAACTGGAGGCCTGCCAAAGGTCGGCATTTCTGAGGGCTGAGTGATGATATATAATAGGTAAGCCAAGGAGCCATAACGGCGGTCAACACCCCCCGTTTCTTTGAAAAGACATCACACGACTTCACAGCAACCTTTGACTTACACGACAGCACCCCTGAGCAGATATCACCGCTCACTGCCGACTTGTTTCTCACATAAGCTGCCTAAAGCAACCGGAACAGGCAAAGGCAAGCAAAGGTGACTAGGGATATAATACCCCCTCGAGACCCCCCCGACCCCACGGAGAAAAAGGTCTTCTCTCTTCCCCCTCAAGAGAAATCTCGCAATAATGTCACCCGGAGGCGGTGAAGTAATTGAAGAAGAAGAAGCCCGCGCATCCGTCGTAAAAGAGGTCATCAACCAGCCCGGCCGGAACGAGATCTTCGCTGGGGACCGGCCGAACCATATCGCCCTAGCCAGCGGGGCCCTGATCAACGGGTTCAACCCCGGATACGGACCGATGGGTTATCAACTTTGCACTCAGTGCCGCCGCTGTGAGTCACCGTCTTCCGTGCCTTGCTGCCCCCTTGGACATCTTGTTTGTCCGGGACACGCTTCCCATGTCGACGCTGGCCTCTAACACCTCTCACAGACTGGCATACCTCCTTCTCCGAGACCATCTGCTACCGCTGCCGCAATGCCGTCGGCTACCGCGGCGGCTACTTCGACGACCGCTCCAGCATCAGCTACAGCTCCGGGTACGGCTACGGCTACGGCTACGACCGTGGGTACGGCCACGGACACGGTCACGGCCACGGTTACGGACACGGTCACGGCTGCTGTCGGTGCTCCTACTGCGAACGCGTCAGGTATTCGGGTGACTGCGGGTGCCGTGGAAACATCAGTATCTGCAGGGACCGGTGCGGGAGACCCGCGCTGTGCCGGCCTTGCCCGAGGAGGCTTGCTTTTGAGAAGAAGATCGTGAAGCGGTACTATTGCTGAGTCTTTGTTAGTGGATTCTTGAAAGAGAGAGAGAGAGAGAGAGAGAGAGAGAGAGAGAGAGAGAGAGAGAGAGAGAGAGAGAGAGAGAGAGAGAGAGAGAGAGAGAGAGAGAGAGAGAGGATGAGAACGCATTCTGAATTTGTCGAGGGCGGGATGTCTTGACTTTTGCATTTTTACCTCTTCGTTTCAGCTATTTATTTTGTGGCCAGAGACATAGGTTGTCGTTTTCAGCTGATTTCATGTTTCCCTCAAAGTTGTTCGTCATGTTGATGGACGCACATTAGGTTGGAACGTTGTGTTTTTGAGGATTCCACTGCAGGATACATACAGAACCCACCCTCCAGCCCCCGCTTCTTTTTTACTTTCGAATTTCTTTACAAAGAATTTACGTGTTAGTAGTATTAATTGCATCTTCATGATTGATATTGGCCTTGAACGGCACGCGTGAGGCCAATAACTATCTTGAGGGATGGGCCATCACAGCTGAACGTCATGATCTTACCAAACCATAACCGTGTTGTTCATGAAATAGCACCTATATTGGCAGCGCAGCACACCGCGGTTCAGCTACAAACCCGGCCCAGAAATCAGATGGTCCTGTGTAGAGACACTAGTGTTGACGGCAGTTTCTAGCGGGAAATCGGCGTTGCTTTACATATGGCATCGAGGGCATGAATGCCACATCACTACTGTCTCAGCCACGCAAAATATGCTCAAACACCGGATCATACGAAAAACCGACGTTTTTAACCACTAAGCATTGTCCACGTTTGACCGGAACGCAGGGGATGGGTGCTAGTTGGTTACACTAGCGTCGAGCTTACCGTGAGCCGACCGGACCCGGCACCGATGCCAACTGGCTTGGGCCCGGCATTGCCGATGGAGTATAGGACCGGCGGAGCATGAGGGAACCTCTTGGTAGAGCCATTCACCATGGTTCCTTGCGACGCTATTCGTGATGGTCTATGATCTCATTGGCATGAACGTTACATGCATCATCATATCTACTTCCCAAATGTCCTCTGTACCAATTTTAGACTAATCCTCAAACCAAGAAAACAGCCTGTATATAATTGAAATACATATACTCTTAGTGTCGGTCATGAAGATCCACCCCAAGATACAAAGCTCAGGGGACCACAACGATGGCTTGCCAAGCCTCTCTATCGTATTTGTGGAAGATCTTCAACTCACTTGGTTACCCCTAAGGTCGACGTGGCGGCGGCGCAGACCGGTCGGGCAGCAAGAACTCCTCAAGAGGCACTCATTTCCGCCTCGAGCCAGGAAGGAACCGCGGGCGGCCTCGCCCAGCCGTCCAGGTAGCTCTGCCTAGGGACGCCCTCGCCCTCCGGCTTGGCGTAGATGCCCGTGATGTACCAGACCGACTCGCCCTTCTTGATCGTGTGCTGGAGCGTCGGGATGGTCGTGCGGCTCTCAATCAGGTTCGAGTTGGGATCGGCGTTGACGAGTTTTGCCGTCCGCTCGATCGAGCTCTCCAGGGCCTTGATGCCCACGGCGCCCTTGGACACGGCGAAGGAGCCCTCGCTGCCCTTTGCTAGCCCCTCGGGCGTGTTGGTGTCGTAGTTGCCGATGATTTTGGGCGATGTCCCCTCGACCTTCTCCGCGTCGAAGAGGTCGAGGTACCGCCCGTTTGCCGAGTTCTCGTTGGCAATGGCGAACGACCCGTCCGCGGTTATGACCTCGCGGCCCGCCTGGATGTGGTGGATCCGGAGGTGCCAGTTGGGCGTAGGCTCCTCCGGGGGGACCAGGATAGTCTTGATCTCGACGTCCGTAAACGGCTTCCACACCGACACAAGCACCGGCTTGCCGCCTCTGGTTTCGATGGCGGCGTATTGCGAGAGTCGCCGGGCCTTCCAGTACTCTCCGCCGTCGTCCGAGAGGCCCAGCTGCGAGGCCAGTGCGTACTGCTCGAGGGAAAACAGGCCCGGAGGCACCGAGTAGCCGTACGCGCTCGAGTAGGCGAACCCGCCGTACTTGGCGTGGGTGCCCTTCATCGGGTAGCTGCAAGCCTGGCCGGACGATAAGAGCATGCAATGACCGCCAATGTTGCTCATGATATGGCCCGGCTGCTCGAGGGCTTTGATCCTGGGAATGACGCTCCAAGCCTGCTCCTCCTCCGAGGTCCAGAAGGGGTGGTCCTCGGGGACTGCGAGACAGATGAAGGCGAGGCAAGCCCAGTACTGTGGAAAGGGTTAGCGGGTTGGATTGCGCTCGTCTGGTAGACATGCTTACCGGGCTTCCGGGACTGTTGTAGTTCTCCGTCATGTACATGTTGGGGTAAGAATAGCCCAACGTCAACGTTCCGCTGGGGCTCCATATCCCATGCTGCGTCTGCCACCACCGCAGATGACGCATCACAATACCCTTCACCATACCCCATGTCAAAGGCGCCGGCAGCTCGACACCGGCGTAGGCGAGGGCGCCCCAGAAAGACACCATCGCGAAGCGGTAGCCGACGCTGCGGCCGAAGGGGATGGCCCGGCCTTGCTCGTCGAAGTAGTGCACCAGATCGAGCGCGACCATCTGGGCTCGCTTGCGGAACTCCTCAGCCCGCTCAGGCTCGTCGTCGCCGGCCAGCTTCGCGTAGAGGAGCTGGAGGAACTGGATGGCGAAGCTGGAAGAGTAGTAGTCCATCTGGTGGATGCCCTCCGGCCCGTCGTTGGACCAGCCGCCGCCCCGGTAAAACGTGTCGAGGTGTTTGATGTCCGCGTCGAGTCGGTCCTGCGAGAACTTGCCACCGTTCTTCTTCAGGCCTAGGTTCGCGAAGACGCGGAACCAAAGCCAGTTGGTGTTGGGCATGCTAGGCGGCGCTGTCAGTGTTTGGGTCCCAGTGCTGCGAGGGGTTCATGTTTTGCCCACTTCTTTTCGTTGATGGAGTTGCCCAGCCAATTCTCGACGTTAATACGTTCCTTTTCCGAGAGATTTTCCCAGATCGTGGGCGCAACGGCAAGAGAGAAGCCTGATGATGCGTTCAGCCAGAGTCGACCGCACGAGAGCGTCTAGCCATACCGAGAGGGCACATCTCAACCATGCGCTGGTCATTGTCCCTCGGGAAGCCCCAATACTCGGGATTCTCGGGGTCGGTGCCGGACTTTATCCCCTGAATCCACCATTCAGTGCCGCGATACTCCCCGCCACCGGCCAGGAGAGCGGCCAGACCCCAGATGGGGCGCAAGATACCTTCGACTTCGGAGGCGGCCTGGTCGAACCGCACGGCCGTGCCTCCAGGACACTTGACGCGGGCCTTCTGGGGAGAAAAGAAGGGCTCGAGGGGGTCGAGGAGGGTTTGTAGAAGCTCCTGAACAGACGCCCTGTCGGTAAGCTTCACTCTGGAAAAGGGGTGGACACCATTGTAGCCCAGGTTGAGGCCGATCTTGGGTTCCTCCATATTGCGGAATGATTGTCAACAATAATCTCTTTCCAAATAGAACGGTTAGGCAAGGCAGGTTTGGCAAGAAAAGCACCAAGAGGGAGGGAGTACAAAACAGACAAACGTTAGGCGGGAGCGGGGAGCATCGAGGTCATAACCAGCGGCTACGCAACATCTCGCTATAGAATTACTCCGGGCAACCTTGAACCCACAACACTGGCGACTTCGCCATGCCTCGCAGACGTCGGGTTAGTTGCGGGATGGTCAGGTAGCGGGGCAACTTCGGGGGAGCTCTTCCCAGTGTCATCCCACATTCAGGACAAGGACGGACAAGATCACCAAGGAGCCCGCTGGATGAATTAGGGGCCCCGCCGGCCAATATTGGGGTATGGTGGGGGTGGAGGGAGGGGAAGCTGAGCCGCGGCTAAATGAGAAATGGAGGGAAATGGTACGGAGTAGACGAACATCCTCAGCGACCATCCCGTCCGTCCAGCGGTACCGGCGCCGGTGCATGTTCGGCATGCTAAGCATGCGAAAGGAGCCGCTGCTAAAGACCCGGCGATGCATGCATATGTTGTCAATCCAGCGAATTATCCTGGTCTGATATCCGTACTCGCAGAGAGGAAACCCAATGGATGGAAACGCTGCATAACCCGCATTTCCGGCTTGAAGTCGCCATGCCGGCGCTCTTTTCCGGGCCAGTTCCGCTGGAGCTGACACTCATGCCCACTGAGGCGCTCCACTCAGTGTGGACTTTTACGGTACATATTATCAAGAACCGCCCAGTAGTTCAACAACATCCGGAAGGGTGGCCGAGTTGGTTATGGCGCCAGGTTAAGGTCAGCTTAACATCTGTTTCCTGGTGGGGCAACCCGCGCGAGTTCGAGTCTCGTCCCTTTCAGTTTTCATTTTTGTCTCTTTCTTCTTTCTACCAACCTGTATCGTCACAGTATTTGTTCACGTACGGCTGACTTGAACCTACCCTGTCTGGTCCGTGGAAAACTTCGGCAAATGGCGCCTATGAGAAACCTCTTTTGCCTAGCTCGCCAACGAAGACGTAGTAAAATCTCTTCCACCGAAGAGAAACAATGTCATTAGCTGACGCTGAAAATGGAAAAGACTACAGGTACGCAAGCCGGCGGAGGCCCTTACAGCTGTGCGATTCAGCCAGCATCATCCGGGCTCGACGTTACCTCCGTGGTGTCCATGCTGGGTGCGCGGGTGACAGATAATAAATAGTGTGGGACCGAGAAGCGGTAAACACATTGCTCTTCAGAGGCGGTCACGATATGCCGTCTGTGCCGTAACTTCGAAATGCGCATATTTCAACGGCCGTGGACGCTGGCTAGAAGAAGTTCCTCAGGCTGCTCCTCGTATGATGAAGGCCAGGCAGTGACAAAGAACTGTCATCCTCATACCAATCACAAGCCACATAGGCAGGCGGACAAGTCAACCTTGTGAATGTTGCGGTATTGTGTAATCTCAATATCAACAACAGCCGTCTACGCCACATCTTCCCAACCATCCCTCCAGCGTACCTTGCTTGGCCTACCTCTTTCTCATGGAACAATCGCACCATCCGTCCACCATGCAACAAACAACCAAAACCGCCCACATGACAAAATACCAAACCCACAGACCAGCCGGGAGAGCCCAGCAAGCCCATTATTTCCCTTACTATGCATTTCTCTGCCACGTAGAAGACGAGAGAAAGCGGCGACCGAAACAAAGACAACAACACAGCGACAATGCGATGATGCCTGCTCGTGGCAGTGCCCGACTCCATCCAGTCCCCTTATATAGTGTGCAAAATGATAAGTCACAAAGGTGTAGAAAGACCAAGCGGTAAACCGGATTCGTCTCCTCCAGGACTGAGCCTATTTCTTTCTTGTCTTCCCTTCCCAGATCGTAGTTGTGTGATGGTTTCGAGCTGTACGAGGGATGGGCATATCCCTTCAAGCTGGTGTTCCTCGAAGGTAGTAAACATTATGTAGTTTGTGTATATATGGACTCGGCTGGAGACTCCACATATGAGATCCAAGCTCATGGTTCTACAGGCGTGTTCTCAACCGAAGGTGTCGGGGGTATCTCCTCCTCCTTCGCATCCGTCACAGTCGTGTCTCCTTCACTGACGGCAGTGTTGGTGGAAGTCGCCTTTTCCCGCCTACGTCTTCTCATACGTCTCTCTTCCTCGGCCGTTTGCCTCCTCGAGCGCCGTAGGCTCTCCATCTTCTCCGGGTCGGCATCGTCGGCCCCGTCTCCACGTATACCCTGTAGTAGCATCGCCGCGCGATCAGCGACATCGTCTTCGCCGGCTTCTCTGGGCGACGACAGTCCTGGACTGATGGGGTTGCCTTCTTCGTCAATGGGCGCCTCCCTGGGCGACTGCTGCAGGGTGGCTTCAACCTCGGGGATTTCGTTCGGATCAGGAATCTTTTGTCCGGATGCTATCCGCACTTGGTGACGATCCTTGAGCCTCGCCCTACGACGTCGATCTCTCTGGTCTCGGGTCTGGGGTGCGGCAGCACGCAATTTCTCCAGTAAAGAGTCCATGGCACCTGCGCTTGATGGCGAGGGTGGTTGCCCTTCCGCCTTGGCACTCGATGCTTGGAGTTGCGCGTGCTTCCGCTTCATGGAGGCCTCGTTTCGCTTGCGCGTCTCCTCCAACTGGACGTTCTTCTCCCTGGACTTCTTCCACTCAGAGATAAAAACAGCAAGCTTAGCAAAGAAGTCCCTGCGGGCGTTTTCGTCGGTGGGGTCTTCGCCGTAGAACACCATGATGTCGTTATAGCTCTTCATCATCTCCTCCAAGTATAGCTGCATCTCCTCTGCCTTTCGTCTTGCATCCTTCATGATCCTCTGGACGACCTGGCTGACGCGATCTTGGGGATGGAACTTCTTGGAGTCGCTAAGGTTACCAGCGTCGAGCGACATCTGCACATTCTTGACCGTGTCAATGTACTGTTTGGCGTCCGACTGGAGCTGCTCGATGTTGATCTTCTGCGCCATCATCACGCCCGAAATGTCGTTTGCGAAGTCTTCCCATTCGGGGTACTGGTTGCGGACGATGCGTTCGACCAGATCGGCCAGTGTGGATTCGTTCTTGTCATCCTTGACCATGCCAAGACGGGCAAGGGAGCTCAGCTTGAAACCGCGGGCTTGCTTGTTGGCATCGTTCATGTAGTTTCCGATATCGAGAATGAGACCGAGGACGTTCATCAGGGACACGGAGTCTCTCAAGGACTCGGATACATGCACAACTTGGCGCATCTTCTCGGTAATCTCGTCAAAGTCGGGCTCAAAGCTCCTGGTAAGCGCGAGAGCGCGCATTCTAGCCTTCCAGTAGTGATGTAACTCGAAGGCCGTGAACAGGTAGATTTGATCCTGCCTTGTGAGCTCGGCTGGATCCTGCTCACGGTCCGCCTTATCAGGGTTAGCGCCCGTCCAGTCCTTGCTGTACGGAGCCATTTGCTTGGCTGTGTTGTCGGGGATATTGCAGAGATCGTCTTTACGCAAGAAATCCATGACAACGCTATTGTCCAAGATATCCTTATCGCAATGAATGATCATTTGCACAATCTTCTCAACAGAGACTTGAGAAAACTTGGCAAATGCAATTTCTAGGTACAAGAGTCAGTCACATCACATTATATTTTCAGGGGGAGGGGAAAACATACCAAAGGCTTTACGAAGGTCTCCCGAGATGATCTGCTTTTTGTCATCCTTCTTCGCACCTCCACCAATGCCAAGCCTCTTGATTTCTTTGGCCATGAACAGCTTTTCGACCTCGTCCAAGATACCCTTGCGGCTAAGTTCGAGATACTTCTCTTCCCGCTCCTCAGCAGAGGGTGCATGTGCGGCCCAATGAGTGGTCAGAGGAGAATCGACCTTGTCCCAATGGAGAGCCTTGAGCTTCTTCTTCGGGCGAACGACAGGAAGGCCGAAGGAGGGTCCGCTAGCAAAAGGCGTAGCCTGTGAGAGGAAGTGCCCAGAAATTGCACCAGGCAATGGAGGAGGCGGCGGTGGTGGCATTCCAGGCGCACCCCCCATTGGTGGTGGAGGCGGCGGCGGCGGCGGGGCAGCACCGGTTGGCGAGAGCATCCCAGGCATGGGAGGGGGAGGTGGTGGTGGCGGTGGGGCAGCGCCGGCTTGGCCAGGCATTGGGGGCGGCGGAGGTGGAGGGGGAGCACCGGTTTGCCCGGGCATTGGAGGTGGAGGGGGAGCACCGGTTTGACCGGGCATTGGAGGTGGAGGGGGAGCACCGGTTTGACCGGGCATTGGAGGTGGAGGAGGGGGCGGGGGCGCGGCGGCACCGGTGATTTGGATCTTGGGAGGCTCGCCCTCGGCGGGAGTGATGGGAGAGCCGGGCTCGAGGCTCGGGTGTGACGGGCCCGTTGTTGCGCCCTCGACGTCTTCAGAGTCACTTCCTTCGTATCTCTTCACCTTGCCAGCCATCTCGCCAAAGAGACCAGCTTTTTGGCTGGGGTCCATAACGGGGCGGCGAATTTCAACGACTCTGGGCTTTTCGTAGACGACTCCCTCATCGTCCTCGTCGTCATCTCCACCTTCTTCGACCTCAGGGGAATCGCCTTCGATATATTCGCCGCGTCCGTTGACCGGCTTCCGTGGAATCTTTGTGTTGCGGTTGACGCTTCCAAGCATGCTGTTGGTGAAGTCTCTTGGCGGCGTACCCGGCCCTGATCCTCCCGATCCGATGGCAGCATCGTCCATTTCCTCGCGAAGAGCGCGAAGGCGATCCGAAGGTCCCACAGCCTCTCCCCATACTCTGCCCTCCAGCTTGAACTGCGTCTTCTGGCGTTCGATCTGCATCTGCAGACGCTCCATGAGTCGATCGCGATCCAGGATACCTTGCATCCGCGCTGGGTCTTCTTCTCCGAGCTTACTGCCCTTAGCAGCGGTGGACGCAGCAACATCCTGTGCATCCCTAAGCATAAGGTATAGTTCTCTGGTCTCGAGCTCGTAGCGCTGCGCTTCCTTCTGGCGCAATGTCTGTATGTTCTCCAGCTCGGCTTTGAGGCCGTCGGCCTGCCGCCGCTGAGCTTCAATGAACCTGGCCTGCTCATCCAGCTGCTTCTGGAGTTTCGCCACGAGGCCATCAGCGCCCAGCTCCATCCTCTCTCTCATTTCGTCTCGCTCAGCCATGGCGGCGTCGGCGACTTGTCTGGCCTCCAGCGCCTCGTCCAAGGCTTGTCTGGCTTCCGAGTCCGTATGGAGCTTGTCCAGCAGACTCTGAACGGTAAAGTTCAGGCTCTGCTTCAGGTCCATATTCGGCAAGCGCCTGTCCATGGCCACATAGCTGAGCATAGAGTCTACCAGCTGGAACATTCGCAGTCGCTCTTCGCCATCGTTATCACGAATGAGGAGCAGATGTTGCAGAGCTGATATGAAGTAGTCCTGTGTCTTGCTCCCACGCAAACGTTGCTGGATAGCGTCGACAATTTGAACAGGGTCGTTGAGGTCCTTAACCTCCCCTTCAACGCTGTCTTTGACGCTGTTGTTCTCCTTCTCCAACATGTCCTCGTAGTCGATGGCCTCATTTGTCCGGAAGTGCTCGACCTGCTTGTCGATGAGGTCGTACTGGAACGAATCCATTTTGGACAGGATACGTCTGATGCCGCATGCTGTGAACTGGGCACGAATATGCATCCGGAGCTGCAAGTCCTTCTCTGGCGCATCCACAATCATGTTGATGAGAATCAGTGTCGCAACCGCGTATTCCATCAAAAGGTTCTCCATGCCGATACCACCGCTTCGGACCTCGTCGCTGGCTCCCACCATGCTGCCCATCTTTCCTCGGCCATCCACCGTGACCTCAACGAGCCGCATCCAGGCATCGAAGCGGCCGTTTTCTCCTTGCTGCGTTTTGACCGAGTCCAGGGCCTGGATGACCTTCAAGTGGCCTTCGCCGTCGCCCCAGTGGCACAGGAACGTGAGGACTTCGCTAACCAGCTTCCGGGTCGTCAAGCGTTGAGAGGTGAGCGAGGTAGCCAGTGCAATGATAACTTGTTGGTGTGCGAGAGCATCGTCGGCTCCAAACTTGTTGTTCATCAAGGCCTTTAGGCACTTGATGATATCGTACTCGCGATCAGAATTCCTGTCGGATTTCCCATCCGGAACTGGGCCTATTGCGGTCTTGCGGTTGAGCTTCATCAAGACGTTGGTCAACGCGACCTGACCTTGGCACTCGATGAAGCGCTTCACCCAGCCGATCTGCTGCGTACGGAGGTTGACCTCCAAACTCCCAAGTCCTTTCGTGTCCAAGCTGTTGTCCATCACACGTCGGACGTACCATTCAGGCGAGCCCTCCTCGTCCGAGTTGACTAGAATCTCGGGTGCCGCATATTGGTTCGGTTTCGCTGTTTGTCTCCTCTTTTGTTCCCCTTGCCACTCGGTCAATCGGTCTTGATATAGCAACGTCCACTTCTTGTCAGGCGCGTACGCGACCATCTGCCGACGGGCCTGTTCGGGTAGGTTGTGCCATCCTCGTTTTTGCATCAGCGCCAGAAACATCTGGTTGATGACTTCGTCGTTGTCCGGCCGGGGGAAATGGAAGCCATCGTGTCCGGTAGGTGGCATGCCGGGAAATTTTGTCAGTCGGTGTGAGGAGGGAGGGTGCGAGGAGTCCCTGTTGGACAAGTGCGAGGAATAGGAACTCTGTGAAGAAGCACTCGGTAATGCTGGTCTTGATGAGCGATTTGTGGTCATGTCATAGGTGCCTCCATTACCTGATGAGAATATGCTAGCTTGGTCAGCAGAGCTACGACCCGCCGATGTCATATACGAATCGTATCTGGGGTTGTGGGACCCGTTGATTGTGCTCGCCGTGCTTCCGCGACTAGGCCCAGGTCCCCACTGTTGGTATTGCGTCTGACGACCGGTGGTGGCCATTGTGATATTTGACTGCGGAACGCGCTGCGCGGACGCATGTGAGCCGGCACCACCCGCCATGATTGACGGATCGAAGCTGGGATATTGGTGAAAGTCGCTCGTTACTTTGTTAAGGTGATGCGGCAAAGGGCTCTGGCGTAGGACCCCAAGCTGATCACCCCTGGGTAGATATTCGGTTGGAACCGGCGACCTGGAATCGTGGTAGGTATCGTATGGGATGCTCGTCATGGGACCGGCCGACAGACCCGATTCAGGGTATTCGTCGATGGATACAACGGACGAGTCGCGGTGATGACGAGAACCGCGCGAGTGTGTGCTGGCCGTGTCGGAGTAGTCGGCTCCAGCCAGGTAGCGGCCTTCGTCGCTCGTGTTACGTTTGTCTTTCCTATTGCGCGAGAAAAACGATTTGCCTCCTGATGACTGCCTCGACTTGTCGGTAGAAGACATTGTGGGCGCAGGAAGGGGAGGCAGGTGAAACACCTGGCCCTCTCACGTAAAGCTCGATCGATATGGCACGTCTTCGGATTATCAGAATTGACGGGTCTGGATAATTGTTCGGGCGAGCAAGGTGGCCAGGGCCGGTCGCATGATTGAAGCTCTCTCTAGCAGCCTACGTGGAGCCCTGTGGTCGGTATCGAGCCGTGTTGAATCTCTGTCCGCATGAATCGGTTATGTTTTAGCATGTCTTCTGCACAAGTTTGGTTCAAAGCAAGTAGAGGTTTGGGCTTGGGGCCGGGGACCTAGGGAGGGGGGCACCCTGGGAGGACGCACCTTTGGTCACCCTGAAATGCGACAATTTGCTAGTCGGGGGGCGCTGGGATACGTCCGCCAGTTCAATTTGTCCGACTTGGAAGGTTGTGTCGCTGGGCAAGGGCAGAAATGGTTGCGCGGTGACGTAGAACAGACCAACCAGGATTGATTGAAATTGGGAAGACGACCGAATCGCGGGAAAATGATGGTGTGTCACGAAAGAGAGTGGATGGACTTTCGGGTATCCAAAGCAAAGGCAAAGCCGGATTGAGTATCTGGAATGTGCCGTACAGCTGGTTCGCAAGCTGAGGAGCTGCAGGGCTGGGCGGGCTGGTGATGATGATGGGCCTGGGCAAGTGCGTGTGTTTTGTCTGTGGGTTGCGGCCCAGGATCCCCATGTGAGGAGGGGGAGGGACCAGGAAACAGGCAGTCGGATGCTCGCTCGCGTGTTCCGTCGACGAGGTCGCCGCTCCAACTGGTACCACCTGGATATGAATAGCCGATGATGATATTGAGCAAATTGTGAGCAGAGTTTGTCCGGTGCCTCGCAGCGTCGATCAGGGCAAACTCGAAGGGCATGGGAAAAGGGCCGTGTGGTTTCTGCGTGGTCTTGTCGCTGGCGAGGACGGCGTTGCAAGTGCGGAGTCCACTGATGAAACGGGGCTCGACAAGGGGCCGCGATTGACTTGACACTTCAGGGGCAGCAGATGTGCGAGTTCCTCTGCGGAAACTGCCTGAGCGTTCTCCGGGGGGCGGCCAGGTACTAGCTAGGTACCTAGGCTAGATAGTAGCGTAGGTAGGTAGGTAGGCAGCGACGGCGCGAAGCCTCCAAAGCCTTGGCCTTCTGGTGGCTTGGTGGGTTGTAATGGTGACAGCTGGACTGGAATGTGCGGCGCAGAATGACGAAAACCAAGGCAAAGAGAGATAAGAGAGAATGGAGGAAGACAGACGAGGAGGGCCAGCAAGGGCGCCAACAGAGGTGGCGTAGGTAGGGGAAGGGAGAAGAGATTCTAACGGATCCGGCGCTTGGAGTGGGGATGTTCGTTGGCGAACTTGGCAGCACTCTCCGTTGAGGTCCAGTGTTGTGGTGTGATGGGATTGCGAATGATAACCCGCAATGTACCTATTTAGCAGAACTATAGAAGGACTGAAGACTAGATCTGCCCGTAATTGCTACGCTGTGTAAAGTACATGCCTTGGTAATGTACTCCGTACGTACGGACGGATATTAATATTGGCATGCGATGCTACGGGGGCGCTGCTGCATCGCTCAGGGGGTGAGAACGTGGGCATGGGCCTGGACCTGGACCTGGACCTTTATGTGGATGTGGATGTGGATGTGGACGCGGGCTGCGATCCAAGAAGGTGCGAAAGAGCATGGAAAGGAATCCAAGTCCTTGGGGTGTCTGTGAACTATTATCCAAAGCACTCAAGACCGCCATCGGCATCTGTCCTCTTACACGACTAATCCCGTAGTACAGGTTTGGCGCCGTATTGGCCAGATGAATTAGCAAGAACTCAAAAAGGTCGCCGAGCTAGTTTGGCGCCGGCCAGGGCCAAGCGGTGTTGCGTGTGCGTCAATCAGATGCGATTCTTCATATTACCCCAAACCACTTTCGCATTCGTCCGTCTGCCATGGCCCAAAGCAGAAGCTTACATAATAATTCTTTCTAGCTAATTACGTGCCTCCGAGCACTCTCGCTCTCCTTTGCGAGGATCCTGACCGCGTTCTGACCGCTTTCTGACATCTAGCGGACGGTTCAGCTGCTGGTCCCTACCCCCTTTAGATAGATACGATACCGTACCGTACCGTAGGTATCTTACTTGCTGTAGGTGTGTGTAGGTGCCTTGTACTCGTACGAAGTAGACCCCTACGACCCTTTGGGCGACGTGTGATGCAGGGCTCAACGACCTAGGTGATGAGAACCCATTCTTTGGGCCGATTACAATGCTTTCGAGTTTCCGAGAGGGGTCTGGAACCATGTACCTCCACCTGGAAATGTGGTGGTGGGGTACCTGAGTTATGTTTGGCATCAATGGCATCCGGGGTGTCCACCATTGTTGCAGGCCCAGCTAAGCGATATTGATGCTTATTTAATCTTGTACGATGTAGGTAGGCAAAAGTCGGCCATTACTACGTATAACGACCTACCGACTACTCCATGGGCCGCTTGCTTATTTCGCTGCGCGTGTCGTATGAGACAGAGTTTTCTGTGTGTGGCTTCCCAGCAAAAGCAATGAATAATTACTGGGTCGCTAGGTACGAACGGAGTACAGACCGATACCTAGGTGTATTAGCTTACGCTAGCATGCCCGACTCGGCAAATCTGCGCTGTCGTGATCGGCCAGGTTCCTCATATCCTCTCGAACGCTTACAAAATGGATGGAGTGTAGAGGGGGTTGTTCTGGATACTGAGAAAGCAAGGCAAGAAATGTGTTCAGCCGTGGCTCATCCCGCTTGCATTCACTAGGAATTCCCTAGGAACTTGCTGCGGTGTCTTGGCAACTTTCTATCCAACGGGGGGAAGCATGTTGTGAGCGAGCTGACGGCTGTCGATCATGAACCGCAGTGGATGGAGGTGCGCAATCGACAGCTTGTCTAGTGGGCCAGTCCAGGTAGGTTAGCACGTTCAAGGCCCAGCATCAGTGTAAGGTGCCTCCGAGGTGCCTGTCCAGCCCGGCACCGGCCGGGGCCAAGTGGCCCTGAGGTTGCGTGTGCGTGCCCCCAAGCCCATGTCGCTTTTGCTCCCTGTCATGTCAAGCCGTCCGCCCGGTCGCCTACGCCCACGCCTGGCTTGGCAAGGCCACACACCTCATTGGACAGCTTTACCCGTGCTCGGCCAGTGGCCTACAGCTACGTAGGTAGGTAAGCCCGCCGATAGTCGCCGCGCCGCCTCTGTTCAGTGTAAACCAAATTTTGGTTTACCGGAGAGCCGAATCCATCTACGATCTAGAAATTCGATAATCCATCTTCTCAACATTAACACCGCGCCCCATCATGGGCGCCACGGTATCGGTCGTCAAGGTGCGCCTCCCGTTCCCATCTGCGCGCGTCTTGCCCCTCCCAATTGCCGTGTCGTTCCGTGAGCTGACCAGGCCCTCTCCGCGATATAGACCTTGATCGTGCCGGCCATCGTCTCGCTCATTCTGTTCCTCGTATCGACCTATCTTCTCGCACCGCTATGGCGCAGATGGCGCAGTCGCTATAGCCAATACCTGCCCATCGACTCCATAACTACCTCAAGTGTATCATTACGGCATCGCTTGCAGAACGGCATTGCAAGGCTGATGGTGCCCAGCACCTGGAGGCGGAATGCTCATGAACGTCTCGTTATTGCAACCGATGCGTCCGAAGATGGCTTCATGTCAGAAGACGGAGAAGAGCTTGGGGAAGTGGGGGAAGATGCCCGAAGAGCCCTAGCAGATGATGCCCGGCAAGGCAGGCACGACAGCACGAGACGGTTGAGTAGAGAGTGAGCCTAGCTTGAACCCCACCCACCTGTCACCTATCATGTGGCCTTGGAGCTAACACGTTCTCCGTGCTAGCCTGGAAGAGGGCTTCAGAGACGAGAGTGACGATGAAGACGATGGAGCTGGTAATAGGCGGTAGCATCAATCTTAATACTCACCTCAGCCTCGTCTTCCTTTGTGTCGGATGCCTACCTTGGTCTCTTACCAGTCGATGAGACATTCAGCTGAATCTCGCGTCAGTCACACGTTGCCGCACAGAGCCCATTTCTCCCGCCTTCTATGCGATGCAGCGTTCCCATACCGACGAGCTGTTTTGCAGCTGCATTGGCCAATCTACTTAGGCGCCGCTCTCGAAGGCCGTTCGGCGTCCGCAGCTCGGATTCAGGGAAGCCTCTACGACGGCGACCTGAAGGGTTTGCCCCTCCAACTTCTTGCAGTTTTCTGGGGAGAGTGTCGGTAAATGGTGAGGATAGCCAAGAGTTGCATACAACTCTATGCTTGTATCAACATCAGCCAAACCTTATACCGCCTCCCACGCTGCCTTACTTTTCTCGCGTGCCCCCCTCCAGGGCAGACGCAACCGCATGTCCGAAACAGCTGCCGCTCAGGCGCTTGTGTTTCCGTCCCGCATGTCCATACACTTTGTCTCGCTAGGCTGTTCGGGTTTCTTCTCCTTTGCCATCATGGATGGCATCGCCCGCCTTCCTATACTCAACGAGACTCTTTATATGCCGCTCTCCGAGATAACATAGCAAGCGGTATGAGTGGTTGATAGAGGTCAGCAGTTCGGAAACAGGTCCCGTTTTGGAGCTGTCTGCATTCCTTCTGACAAGCGTCACACCACTAGCCGATGCTCAACGCTCCTGGAGGTCAGACTGATTAACCACTGCCAGCGCACATGTCAGGCACAGCCCAGCAAGAAGGGTGCACAAATTTTGCTCAATGTGTGCCTCCGTGCGCCATGCCTTTTTGAAAAGGCGCATGGCCTTCCCGGTCAGGGATTCGGAACGGCCTAACGGTGAGGTCAATGTTGTGCCATCTGCAAGGCACGATTAGCTTTGCTAAAGCTTGTGTATATTCCCTTCTTGGCTGCTGCCATTGTCCTCGTTGCCAAGCTCCCCACTCTCTTTGTTCACCACCGCTCCCCTGTCGTTTGTCCAGCAGGAACAAAGGAAAGGACTCGATCCAAGTCCACGGACTCGTCACCCCAGAGATCTTACGCCTGGTTCATATAACGAGTTCAGTGTCCCTCTTTGGCGCTGGCGACCATGAACATTCTTAAGACTGTTATGCGTAAGCAGGAGATGGCGTCCAACCCCGCCGCCGACGACAATTGTTGCGCGATATGTTACGAAAAGGTCGGCGAAGTGAAGGAGGAGGGCGACCGAGAGGTCTGGCGATACCTCCCCTGCGGCCACCGCTTCGGTGGGGACTGCATACAACACTGGCTCGGCGTCGCCAGCGTCGAGGAGCCACACTGCCCGTGGTGCCGGGCGAGCATGCGGTGCGACTGCGGGCATCCCGTGGTGCCAACGACGAAGCCGGCGCGCAGCTACATGTACTGGGGCTGGATGCCGTGCGAAATATGCCACACCCAGCTTCAGCGGTCACGCAAGACGTCGAAGTACTTGCGCGGCCAGCTCTTGCCGCGGCTCAACTCCCTCATCCACTCTCTTGACCACAACATGGCCTCCATCCCGGCGGAGGTGCCCAAGGAGCAGGAGGATACGTCGGGGAAGGAACCGTGGGAAGACCGCGAGGTGTGGAGGAAGAAGTGGATAGAGCACTTTCTGCAAGAAGATCGGAAGGCTTCTACGTCGAAGTCGCCCAGGAAATAGCAACAACCACTTGCCACGACGACGGGGGCGCTTGCACGGGACGACAAAAGGGATCCTCCAGAACCGAAGACTCAGTCGCGCCTACCTAGTTTGACAAAGTCGGTTCTGTGGAAAGGAATACAGCATTTCAGCGGATGGACCAGTTGGCATTGTGACACGCAGGGTCTGGGTGGCTTTTCGTCGGTCGCATCTCACGAAAGCAGACAAACAGAGCTGGTCAGAAGACGGGGGCATTTGGGCAGGAACATGGTGGCATTTTGGCGAAGCCCCTCGAGGTTATGACACACGACAGATGGTATAGCTGACAGGTTCCATTTACCCCAGGTCACAACTACTTGATTTTTTTGCTTTTGTGGAAAAGCTTCCATCTTCTTCATTTCTGCAGTCTCCTATCTGTCGGGCCCTCGGTATCACGGACGTACGTCTGAGGGACCGCCTCGTGGGAAGATTATCCATCCGTGTAAGACTTACCATGCCATAGCAATATCCAGACCATTCCCCCTTCCACACCCGCCGACGACCCCCTTGTCAGCGTTTTCTGTACTATCGCAACCGGACTCCGAAGCATGCCAAAGGCTAGGAAGGGGCGGTGTGAAGCCGCTCGGTATCAAAAGATCGTGAGCGGCCAGGCCTTTTTCCAACGCGTCTGAGGTGATTGCGGGGTATGTGCGAACTGTGAATGGGGTGAGGTTTCTCAACTGAGCACGCTAAACAGGGGGATACCCCGCGCTAAAGAGCTGCCGTCTACGTGCATCGTAGCGTGGCAAACAGGCATCCCATCTGTCCACCCACCTGTTCAGGTCGCCCTTGCCAGCGGCACCACGCAGTTGCTTACCATGTTTGCGCACGCAGTAGCTACACATACCACGGAGACCTTTTTGGTGCAAGATCGTGCGCCCGCTTCACTTCCCACTTTACGCGTCTACACCGAAAGAGGCAATCAGCTACCCATCCATCCATAGCTACCACCAAATTCATCACCCCGAGTTCCTCGTGATTAAAGCCTCAAAATGCGATTCAAGACCGAGCTCAAAAACATTCGTACATTCTCCAGTGCGTATCTATCTTATCCATTCATCCCCTGCTTTTCCACACTTCGTAGTCGCCTCTCACCACTAACTGTTGTCATTATTCTGCCTGCAGAGCTTACCGCCGCTCTTAACTCACTTGAAAAGATCGCTTGGGTTCGCCTCGATGATGAAACAGCGCGCTTCACCGTCATCCCAGATACGGGGTCTCAGGTCTGGTCGTGAGATGACCCCTTCTACATTTGACACAGAGCAGGGCGGCTGAATAATACTAGTTCACTGCCGATGGACTTCATCTTCGACAGTTATCACATCCAGTCTGCGGAGGAGCACAATACCATCAACCTAGAGCTACCCCTGCAACCGCTTCAGCGCGCCCTCCGCTCCGCACTCAACAGCACCTCGGCCTCGCTGCGTCTTACCAAGAAAGATGGGATCCCCGTGCTCTCTATGACCATCACAACGACGACCAACGCCTCCGCGGGCTCCGGGCTGCCGGGCCGCGGCAACGCCGCTTACGCTGGCCTCGAGAACGATCCCTTCGACGACGATGACCAGGGCTTCATCGCGGAGCACCTGGAGACTTCCCTGCGCCGTGAGCGCGAGAAGATTATCACCCAGGATATTCCTGTGCGTGTACTGCACCCGGAGACTGTGGAGACCATCATGCAGCCCACGGTGCGCGAGACGGACGTGCACATCACGATGCCGCCCCTGCTCCAGCTAAAGGCTATTTCCGACCGCTTCACCAAGCTCGCGCTGTCGTCCGGCATGAACTCCCGCGTGAGTCCCAAGCTGGAGCTCAGCGCCAACATGTTTGGAAACCTGAAGCTCCGTATCGCTACGGAGGCCGTCGACGTCTCGAGCACATGGTCAGGGCTGGTGAACCCTGAGCTGGACCCGACGCAGCTGGAGATGCCGGTCGAGGAGCATCCGAGTGTGAAGTTCAAGGAGGCAGGACCGGACAAGTGGGCAACGGTAAGGGTCGACGGTAAAGACTGGAGCCGGGTGCTGAGCGTGGGGAGATTAGAAGGAAGGGTTGTCGCGGCTTTTGCGGACGATCACGCCTTGATTCTATATGTTTATGTGCCCCAGTACGATGCCGCGTCGACGGATGATGCCGTTCTTACCGTAGGACTGCAACCAACACCGATGCTGGAGAATATGCTAACCGTCAACAGTACTATGTGACATCCTTTAGTGCGTGAGCTGTATTCAAGAGTTCGGACCGTACTTAGTGGGCATCGGAGTTTGGGCTCGGCGTTCAGAAAACACGAGGGCTGCATAAGGAGAAAGACCATTGTTTGCTTGAGACCTACATGCTAGGATAGACTTGCTATTACGGTGGGAAATCAAACTGCGGCAAGCAGGCAAGGAGTAGTAGTACATGGTGTGGTAGTCGCAATTCATCCCGAGTATCATGCGAAGCTACAATGACGTCAGATGTTCAAATTCGCCCGGCACCAGTAGCTCTATATCCAACCTCCCCTCAGCTCCTTCCAACCAAGCCCGATGAAGGGCCTATTGGCCCAGAGGTATAACGCCCTGGATCGTTAGTGTGAACTTGGTGATGAAATCCAAAGAAGTTTGCTGATGGAGGGTTTCGTAGGGTGCGGGTTCGAACCCGCACCTGAGCTTTTGTTTTCTGTTTTTCGTTTTTTTCACTGGTCCTCAGCTTCTTGCTTTCCCATTCCTGTATGACGGACGCCCTTACTTTCTGAAACGAGACCATTACATAACACCTTGTACTTATTCACTTTCTTGGCACAGTCCCAGTGTTGTGATTCTGTAGGTCTTTTGGATATTAATCAGACGGCGCACCAGACAGGCCGTGGGTATCATTCTATCATTCGTACAACTCTATAGCACTCATCGGGGGCGCTCGTCGGGGCTACGCCGACGATCCTTGGGCCGTGACCCATGTCCCTGGCGACTCCTACTCCGCCGACGATGCTCTCTCGGCTCACGCTCGCGACTGCGGGTCCTCGCCCGGCGGTGATGCCGCCTCTCCCGCCCCTCCTCGCGACCCCCGCGTGCGCGGTCGTGCTCCCGTACATCGCCCCTCCTCCGCCTCTCCTCCCCGCCGTGCTCCCTCTCGCGGCTCCGTCTTCTGTCCCCATCCCGCCTCCTCTCCCGTCTCGGACTGCGGCTGCGGCTTCTGTGTCTCCTTCTCCTCTCCTCGTCGCGATCCCTACGCTCCCTCTTTTCCGAAACAACTAGCCCACCCCTTTCCTCCTCCACGGGCCTTGCGTCCCCTTCAGTTGCGGGCCCGATGCCCCTGGCGCCGCTGACCTCCACGGCGTTTGCGCCCGAGGTATCCCGCTGCGGTACCGGCAGCCCCAGAGCGCGAGCGATCGCGTCCTCCTCGGCCTCCTTGATCTTGCGCAGCTCCTCCTTACGCTCGCGCTCCTGCCGCTCCTGGTCCGTCTCGCCCTCCCGCGCGCCGGCGCCGTCATCCCCCTTGGCGTACCAGTTGAGGTCGCGGCCCTTTTGCCAGCGGCCGACGGGGGCCTTGAGACTGTGACCGAGGTAATTCTCACGGTGCGACGAGTTGGCGACCTCGTCCCAGCTGAAGTTGACGCCGCCGCGGGAGCCGGATTTGCGGACGCTCGAAAGGAGGTCCATTGTGGGGATTGTGGAGATTGTAGGCTATTGTTCTTTCTTTCCTCTTTTGTTCCCACTTGTTCGCTGGGTGGTTTTTCGTGTTTCGATAGTCAGTTTTGTTTCTTCTGGCTTGGGTATAGCGATGTTTGTTTCCGGGTTCGTTGTGATTGAACTTGCTAATGTCTGTCGCTCGTAGCGCAAGATGGGAGGTTGGTTCGCCAGTCCATAAAATCACGTGACTCAATTAGGTATCCACAGAATACCCCTGTCAGCCACCCGAGACTCCCTGTAGTTTAAACAAGCTCCGGCCCCACGATACAGCAGAGCTCCTCGGTTCACTTGCGGCTCAGTAAAGCTCCGCAAACCGCCTTAGCAACATCAACCACACCCGGACGAAACGTTTGCAACCCTCAATAGCCCCTTCACTGAACCATTACGCAACCGCCTCAACCCCCAAAATGGCTAATCCGAACGAGCCACCCCTGGACGAGATCCAATGGCGCGCGCCCGAGATCGCGGCCTCGATGCAGGGCATCCACTCCAACAGCGTGCTCTTCTACTTTGCCGAGTCACCATTCTTCGACCGCCAGTCCAACAACGCCGTCATCACAAACCAAGCTATGTTCAACCCGGCACTGCTCAAGAACCTGGCGACGCGTGAGGCCTTCGAGGGCGAGCTTGACAAGATGAGCGGCCTCGAGTTCCGCGTGCTGCACGCGCCGGCCGACATGGTTACGGGCACGGGCGTGTGGACGATCGTCAAGCAGACGAGGCAGAAGAACCTCGAACGGAACAGGATGGAGACGAGGCCTCTGGCGTATTATTTTGTGGTTGGGGAAAACATCTACCAGGCGCCGACGTTGGGTGACATTCTTAGCTCGAGAATTGTAGGTTCACGATAACCCCTCCCCGTGAAGGAGGGAATACCCTCGGAAACTGGACACCGGCTAATGGGAAAACCAGGAGTCCATTGCCGAGGCGATGCGGAAGGTCCTACCCGCAACAGAAAGTGTGCGCAAGTGGACACCCTCCCTGGGCCACGTTTACACCCAGCCTACTCCCCCCTCCGCCCTCTCTCGCGCGACCGCTTCCAAGGATGGCGGCGACACCCCCATGCCCGATGGCACCGCTGCGAACGCCAACGCCACGGCCGCCGCGAAGTCTGCCATTGCAGCTAAGAAAGACTCGACCAAGAACGCTCTCGACCGGCTCGCGGAGGAGTCGTTCCTGATCCACATGCGCCACGGCGGCGACTACTTTGACGAGAATCCTATCACGGGCCGGCCCGGCGACTTCCACTTCGCGAGCACGGGGCGCAAGGACAAGATCGCGCCGCCGCCGCCGAAACCGGTACTCAACACGAAGCTGGCGGAGGAGACGAAGAAGGACGGGAAGGAGAGCAAGAGTCCCAAGACGCCTACCGTGCCGAAGCTCAAGAGGAAGAAGAGCAAGGTCGCAACGCCGGGGACCACCCCGGGGCCGTCTTCGTGAGGGAGGGGTCGGATGTATGTGAATAAGAGCCGGCTTAGACCTGGCCTCATGGCGTTTGATTTCAAAATGATACCCCCTTTTTTTCTTTTACTTAGGAGACCCGTGCGATATGCATTCCTGCCGCTGGTCCTTCACGCTTGATGAATGTGTACGCACTTCTACTGGTTGGTTGTGAATCTTTCGACACTGCCCCATCTGTTCGTCGTCATTCGTTGTCCTCGTTGCCCTTTCACGCCGCCCATCTGCCACTCTCCCTCGGCCTCGTCTACCAGGTGTGCAACCTCGTCTCCATCTCCTGTAACGTTCAAGGGGGTGGACATTCTTCAGTACAGCCTTGGAGCAATGCGTACGGACCATGAAGACTTTTTTGAAGACTTTTGTGAGCTGCTTATGTAGCATTTATAATGCGAATAACTTACACCGCCAGTTGAACTCAGCGTGGATGGGATCATTGGGGCTATACAACATGCCGTTAGTTTCCTGATTCGGCCACTGTATTGTGTATGGCGATGGACTTGAAGGTTTGTCTCGTAGATGATGAATGGCACATCGAATATCTGGACACAGAGACGCTCGCGTCTCACCTATCCAACCGTGATACCAAGCGAAGTCGTGCTGTCCAAGTTTCAAGAAACACATATTCGCTTAGAAATCCACGCTTCATGCTCCATTTCATAATGGTCCTCTTCATAAGAATATTAGCTTCCAGATAGATTACTTCGGAAACAGCGAACGCAGCTTCTGCTGAGAACCCCCGCACTCCCCATGCTTTTGTAACGCAAATGACTTTCTACCATACAAACCTGTTTAGGTCTCCATTCCCTCTTGGACTTGCTTCCCTCATAACACACACGAGCCCAGTGGACCTAGTTGATCACGTACCCTCCGTCGACGCACAGCGAGGCACCCTGGATGAAGGTCGCCTTGGAGCTGCATAGGAACAAGACGGCGTCGGCAACTTCTTGCGGCGTCCCCTTCCTCTTCATCGGCGCCACGGCGATGATGGGATCGTCCGGAGTGACCCCGCTGGTCATCGGAGTGCTGAGCTGCTGGTCAGCTTTGGGATCTCCTGGCAGCTGATGCAGAGACTCACTCAATGATCCCCGGGCAGACGCAGTTGACACGGATGTTGTACTTTGCATACTGCTCGTTGTCAGAGCCACGCTCGCCAGTCTATTTACGAACACGGGCTCACTAACATCAACAGCATCGCTTCTCGTCATGCTCAGCACAGCTGCTTTAGAAGCACTGTAGGCCGCTAAAAGGGGCTTCAGTCTGGAACATTCTTGAAGACAGGGTTTGCCGCCCACTTACGGGTTTCCGACCGGCTGACCAAGCTTAGGTTGCTCGCAACGTTGACAATGACGCCTCTGTTCCCTGGCCTGCCGTCGTGCGTCGTCATCGGCTCCTGCTTGATCATGTGCGTCAGCTCGGCGCGGGAGCACAGCCAGGTCCCGCGGTAGTTGATCGTCGTGATCTCGTCGAACTCTGCTGCCGTCAAGAGGTGCGACGGCGCCAGTGGGCCGAACATTCCTATTGTGAGCTGTGAGCCCCCTTTTTTACTAACACCTAACCCGCATCCTTGAGTCCCCATGGTGATTGACAAAGGGCCACTCACCAGCACAGTTGACAGCGTAGTCGATGCGCCCCCATTCCTCCACCACGTTTTCCATGCACGCACATACTTCCTCCTCGTTGCGGTTGTCGACCTCCATGACATAGGTGCGCGTCTCGCCGTTGGCCTCCCGGCACATGCGGGCGGTCTCGAGGGCACCATCCTCGTCCCTATCAAGGAGGGCGATGCGCTTGCACCCCTCGCGGGCGAATGAGATGGCGACCTGACGGCCGATACCTGTGGATTTCCGTCATTCCCGTTCACATTTTCCATACATATCCCAAGACCAAGGTCGGCCATTGGACATCTGGGGATGATGGGCATGAGGGAGGCTTCTCACCGGAAGCGCCGCCTGTGACGACAGCAACGCCAGAGAAGAGAGACATTCTCATTTCGATGGCACGCAACGTGCTTAGACAGTCTTCAATGAGAGCTTCGTTGATTACCGAAAAGGACCTTGGCTGTTGTAGTGTCATCGGATATCCCAGCCAGCGCCGCAGGTGGGACCTGACTCGCAGGACCTCTGCAGGAATGCCGATCTTATGTGTTGTTGCAGTGGCCGGTATGGTAAGCAAGCGCCGTTAGTTACCCCGGGCTCTGCGGCTCAGCAGAAGACGGGGGAAAGTTTGGGGTGTGTGAAGCTTGGCGATAACTCGCCCCAAACTTTTTCAACACTTATCCTTTGCGTCCTCTTACCCCCCCCCCCCCCCCGGGTCAGACCCTTCAACAGGTAAGAACAGCGGAAAGAGGGGAGGTAGGCCGGATTAGTAAAACACCGTTGCGAAAGGTGAGGCCAAGAGCACGCGGAAGTTTCACTCTGGGCTCGTGGCGGCGGAGGTGCATCATCTCGTCCGAAGTTGTTTGTCCCACTTAGTGCCGCGCATTGATAGCCAACAAAGAACAGCCCGGCTCTCGGGCTTTTCCTCAGCGACCAAATTGGGGAAGCAGGTAGGGAAATGGAAAAGAGATCAGGCGCATGGTCCGTCCTATGTACACTGAGGAAGAGGCTCTCGCAATATTTCAACCATTGGGCCGAACTGCCCGCCTGCCACGTGTGTAGTCTGCGTTAGTCTGGACTTATGTTTTTCTTCTTATGTTTTACTTCTTCTTCTTCTTCTTCTTCGGAGGGGTTCGTGCGGTTGGTTCGGGTTGCTGCAGACGTGGCATCGGCAAGATGCGATTCGCTGAGAGGAGACGATACGATACGTCTGTGCGGTGCTGGCCCCCTTGACTGAGGAGGTGTCGCGTCTGTATCGACGCGTGTAGTGCTTGGCTAGTCAGTATTATCGTGATATGGGCTTTACCCTATCCCTTTCTATGACCGTTGAAAAGATCACCACGCTCTGGTGAGGAGAGGGGGCATGTTGGACAGCGCAAGTTGTGGGACAGAACGCCTTGCCTCTATTCTTTCTCTAGACTCGGATATGCCTACGATGGACTTTTTATTTCCAATACCTTATTCGACCACCCATCCCTTCCCTGCAACCTTGCGCTGCGTGACCTTCTTCATCGGCAACGGCCACCCCTGGCCACCGACACCCTCGGCCCTCAGGTATGGCACAACCCAGACCTCGCGCGTGTTCGCCGTAGACGAGATCTCCTTCACCGGCTTGCCGTAGCTCACCAGCGGCGTCCCCTTGGCGAGGCTGGCCAGCTGCCCGCCCGTAACGTCCGTCAGCGACTGCATCCTCGTCTTGGGCGCCTTGTTCGGGTCCGAGCCCTGCGTCGCCCGTTGCAGGTGCGAGTACACCACGTACTCGGGGCACTCTTGCGGGCTGAGGTGGGAGAGCGGCGAGCTCGGGTGGATGTATACGAACTTGTCCGTATCGTGGCCCACGCCGAGCGGCACGAGCGGCACGTACGGCACGTCGATGGCACGGCGGGGCTTGCGCGCTAGCTCGGGCGGAACGGGGGACTTATCAGCGCGGAGGGCAACGTGGTCGATGAAGCCCGCGGCCACCATCTGCTTGAGGTAGGCGACCTGCTTGTCCGAAGGCGCATCCAGCCGGTCCTGGTACTTGAGGTTTTTGAACGCCGGGATGTTGGTCCGGAGGAGCTCCGTGATCTGCTGGCGCAGCTGCGTGATCTCCTTCATGACCTTGAACCGCACAAAGTGGTCCTCGCACCACTTCTCCGTCGGGTCGTGCGCGAACTCGCCGACGACCTGGAGCAGCTTTATGGCGTCCGACCGGTCGTCCAGGTAGCAGAAGTTCCTGTGCGCGGCATTGAACAAGCGTCGGATGTTGGCCTGGCGGTCCTCGGCGATGACGTCGGCGTTGCTGCGGAACTCAGACTCGTCGCGCGCCGCGAGCGAGGGGATCGCCTGGTGCTCCGGCACGAAGATCTCGGCCGCCGACAGCGCCGCGACCATCATGATGGTGTACGGCAGACAATCGTGCTGGTGACCGACGAGCAGGATGCGGGCGAAGCGGGGCGAGAGCGGGAAGATGGACATGGTCGCTCCGATCTTTGTGATTTGGCCCTCCGGCGTGACGGCGGAGAGGTAGCTAAGGAGCTTCTCCGCCTGGTGCAGGCCCATGCGGTTCGGCGGCGTCGGGAAGGGGAAGTTGACGACGTTGGAGAGGTTCATGGCCTTGAGCTGGAGGACGACCCCGTCGACGGGCATCCGCAGGATCTCGGGGTCGGTGAATTCGGGCAGGTCTCTCTCGTAGACGGCGGAGGAGTAGAGCCTGTAGCAGTGGCCCGGGCCCGTACGACCGGCACGACCGGCTCGCTGGCTGGCACTGGCCTTGCTGATCCAGCCGATCTCGTACGTCTGCACCCCACTGAGGCGGTCGTACTGGCGCTCCTTGGAGCGGCCGCAGTCGAAGACGTACCGGATGCCCGGGATGGTCAAACTGGTTTCTGCGACGTTGGTTGCCAGGATGACTTGGCGATGGTTTTCGGGAGGGTCTTCAAAGACCCTCATCTGTTCCCTGGTGGGCAGTAGAGAGTATAGGGGCAAGACCTGCATCTTTAGGGGTCCCGTCTCGCCCTCCTCTCCCTCAATCTCGAACTCCTTGTCGTCCTCATGCTCATTGTCGTTATCGTCATCGAGCCCGTCATCGAAATCGGCAGCGTCCGCATCATCCACCTCGCCAAAGTCGATATCTTCGACTTCGACAGGCGCATCAGTGGCCGAAATCTCAACCTTGGGGGCGCTTGCTCCTGTGAAGCCACCAAATGCTTCGGTTAGTCGCTTGCTCAAGTGCCTGATCTCGTTTTGACCCGTGAGAAAGACCAGAAAGCCACCTGGCGGCAGCTTCTTGTGACCACGCATGATCTTTTTGAAGGCCTCGTCGACGTAGTCGGCCTGCGTGTGCCGAGCAAAATGAATCGTGACGGGATGCTGTCGTCCTTCTACTTCAACCACAGGTGGCGGCGTGGGGAATAGTGTGGTATTGTTGGTCATGTCCTCGACTCGCAGCGTTGCCGACATGATGATGATCTTGAGCGGCTTGATCGAGGAGTCGATCTTGTCGTCGCCCTTACGGATGTTGTTGACACGACTCAGCATGCCGACCAAAATATCGGTGTTGACGCTTCTCTCATGAGCTTCGTCGATGACGATCGCGGAGTATTTCTTGAGCGAGAAATCCTGCGCCATTTCTCGCAGCAACACACCATCCGTCATGAACTTGACAGCCGTCTTGGCTGACGTTGTGCCTTCGAATCGGATCTGGTATCCAACTCTGTCCGAGTGATCACCCAACTCCTGTGCAACACGCTTGGACATGCTCACGGCGGCAACTCGACGAGGCTGCGTGACACCAATCATTCCCGGGGTAGCAGAACCAGGAGAGCCGTAGCCAGCTTCGTACAAGAACTGTGGCACTTGGGTCGTCTTACCGGAACCGGTGGCACCGCAGACAACCACAATATCGTTGTTGTGGATCATTTCCATGATCCTTTGTTCCTCCGCAACGACCGGCAGCTTCATGCGCGCTTCTTGGATCTCCGGCGGCCTGGTCACCTGGACGGCGTATGCTTTGCGAGCCAGATTTGTTGTCGGCTGGAGTTCCTGCGGCAGGGGTTCTCGCTCGAGAGGTCGCGGCTGAAAGTTCTCCGGCCTGGGAATCTCGAGAGCTGTGGAGGACGGTGTTACCGGTTGGTAGCCCAAAGCCTGATTCCTCTGAGCATGTGCCCAAGCCTTGAATGCAGACTTTCTGTTGCTTCCCGAGTCGCCCTCGCCCTCCTCTTCATCGTCGTCTTCGTCGTCGTCTTCGGATTCCTCTGATCCTTCACTTGACTCTTCCGACTCCTCTTCAGAGGCTTCCTCGTCATCGCCGGATTCCCGGTCCTCGCCTTGGTCGTCGCTGAGACCACCCCACTCATCCTCTGCATCCTTCGCCTTTTCGGTTTCAGCGATAGAGAACTTGGAAACTACACCGCCCCTCTTTTGGCGTTTCCGGAGCACTGGCCGTCCCGACTCATCAACATCAAGCGGGCGTTTCAAGCCCGAACCGACAGAAGCGGGGGGTTGTGGTTCCGACTTCGTGATAGGTGTTGGTGCCGATGCTGATGTGGATGTGGATGAAGGCACCGCCGGTGCTGCCGCTTGTACCGGCCCAGGGGCTTGGGCCTTGGGCGGTGGCTTGATAGCCTTGGGTGCCTCAGCTTCACTCTCGTCGGAATCCTGCTCTGGCGCATCCTCTCTCTTCTCATAGAGGAGCTCCTCCGCGTCCGGGTCGACTTCCAAACCGGCATTCTTCTCCCTGAGCGTGCGAATCAGAGCTTGTAGTTTCGTCTCCTTCCCTTGGCCGAGAGTCTTGATACTTGTGAATAAACTGGTGTCGACTTTCTGCTGTGCGAGTTTGGCGAGGATTTCTCGGTTCTCGTCTTTGCGAAGCTTATTTGTGATGTACTTTTCCAGGCGCTTGGCCTTCTTGCCGCTGACCTTGACTCCATCTCCCTGCAGCTCAGCCTTGAGTTGAGCTCTCTTCTCCTGCATACGCTTCTGGTCCTCGGGGAGAATTTCGTCCGCGTTGGTGTCCAGAGAGCTGACGCCGTTCTCCTTGGCCCTCTCCCGGGCGAGCACCTTGTGCTTCCTCTGTCTTGGAACAAACTTTGGCATCTTGGTGACGTGAGAAATTCGTTTCCTCCGAGTTGAAGTTTCTTGCTGGATGGGTAATTATTCTGGTGATTGTTTGGTACCAGCTGTGGTTGTGGTGATGCAGTCTCAATCAGGAAAATCCTGGTGAATTAGACAGTTGTTGATCCAAGTGAGCGTTGACCGGAATTCGGAGGTCGATGGATCAATCAAAGTTGAAGAAAATTTTGCAAAATCACCAATTCAATGTTTCCAAAGATTTTCCATTTTAGGGGGGGTATCAATATTGGGAGAAATGCACGAAACGAGTCTCACAGCCTCTCACCTGGAACTGAAAAGACGCTGAGATGCGCAGGCGAACTTCTGGATTTTTTTTGGGGTGGAAAAGGTTCTGCCGACCCCGACCGCCAGCTTTTTGGTCTGTTTCTGGCCTAGTGCGGGGTGATCCTCTCCCCTGTCATCGGCCGCTTTTGTGGAGCCGTACTCACTCGGACCCCGCTGCACTTAGCACACTCGCTGCGAAGCCCACTTAACAACACCCCGTCAGTTCGAACCACACGTCACGTAGGTGCTTAACCTCAAAACCAACACTAACTTACTCTGGGACTCGAGGTGATACCGACGCCATCTCTATTGAAAAATGGAGCCCCAAGGAATAAGAGAAGAAGCCTTCCCCGCGCGGAGTAGACAAGAGACGGGCACAGTGAACGGCGTCCCTACCGAAGTCACTTCCGTGTCCTTCTCTGACAAGTTCATGGTGACAATCTCCCAAGACGGCAAGCTCTCACAATGGGTGAATTCATGTTTCCTGCTTAACCTTCTTCATGAGGTTCTCAATTGCTCAGAGATGCTAACTACTGCTAGATCCAAGTGCCTCTGCAAGCATCGTCAGGCGGCATGGTCGACCTGAGCCTGCCGTCAAGTAGCAGGGGACTGCTTCCTTCCGTCCACCTCACACCCAAGACTCTTCTCGGCGGAGGTGGCGATGAGAGGGAGACTCTCGGGCAGCTCTACGCAGCACAGATTGCCAGTCTCATCTCTATCAGAGACCCAGAAGATCGTAGGACACTGGTTCTCGGGTTGGGACTCAACAAGGTCGATACCGAGAGGGAGGCCTTCTTTGACACGATTGAGCTGATACAAAAGGTGCTATAAAATTCGAATCTGCATAGACGAAGATGCATGTCTAAAAGAGAGTTTATTCAAACTATTCAATGCAGGCAGAGATGGGTTTAAGGCTGGACTATGCCGGGTCGAGGACTGCCGCGTATGTTCAAGACGGTCGTCTGAGAAACCGGATGTTCCGTTCGCCTTCTTGAGGCAGCCTTGAGTTGGAAGACGCCAGCACACACCATCTGCCTCGAGTGAATTATTGAGTCACGCAAGGGCACTTGCAAGTCGTCCGCTTTCTCAAAAACCACACTTGAGCTCTTGGGTATTGAAACGTAAATAGCCGAGCCTAGCAAAACAAACCTCATGCATGGCCTTCATTGATATGGTCCATCTTCGCCATGCTGCATAGCCTGAAACAAAGTGAAATGCAACTCAATCTTGCGCTCTGCCTCTTTTCACATGGCAAGGAGGTTAAGGAACATCTCTCAAAATAGATTACGCAACAACAATTATGTGCTGTCATTTCTGCCGCCTCTGAAAACCGCCGGGGTCAGCTTTCTTTTTTCCACGCGCCTCCGACAGCTACGGCCATGGCGGTGAGCCGGAAAAGCAGGAACGGCGCCACCACTGTAAACCACTACCGTAGACACTCGCGAGATTGGGACAAAGCTAGGAAGCCCGCTAGCCAGATATAGCAAGCAAATATCCTATAGCAGCTAGTAGATATCGGCGACACTAGTCCTAACATAGAAGGCGGTCACCCTTTCCACCCTCTGTTTCCCACTAGCCAGCCCGCCGTTAGTAGTAATACAACCGTTACGTAAGAAAACAGATATATACAGATCCCTGTTTTTGCCAGCACACTATACTCCTTACAGCGGCCCGCGATACTCCTTGCCGTTAGCGGGCTCCTTAGCTTTGTCCCAATCACGCGAGTGTCTACGGTACCTACCCAACCCCCTTCCCCACGTTCGGGTAACACCCGTACCTGATAGGCGAGGGCAGAGAGGTTCTCACCGTCCTCCGGGAAGACGAGCCGCGAGGAGCCGACGGGCTGGGACGGATCGGGAGTGCTGATAGGACACACAGGCCCTGAGCGACACTCTGTCGGGCGGGACGGGGATGTAGCGGGCGGTTTCCGGCATGCGAGTGGTTAGTCGGTCAAACCAGGCCGACAGCATTTCGCCATCGCCAACAAAAAGGAAAGAAGAGGCAACAATGGCGGTCAGACGACTGGAGAGCGCGGCAGCGGACGCAGGAGGGAGTGTACGAAGGTGGGCAGGGTGACGGTGCCCGCAAGATAAGTACATGGGTTTCCTGCGGTAGACTAGCTTGGATAGCCAAGATCTAGAATGATAAGACGCTGGGCTTTCTCTTCCTGGAGCATTCCGAGTGATGCCCCGGTAAGCAATCATACACGCACCGCGTAGCGCGGGACAACGTTGGTAGACCTGCAGAAGGGAGTAAAGGAAAGAGGGCTAACATTGTACGTGTCTAGGCGCCCCTCAGGACTTTTGTGCATCTAGCTACGCACCATAAACGGCCTTGGATCCCTTGACAAATATGTCGAGGAAAGATCCTCCCTCCCCTCGGCCGCCACCAAACCCACCGCCGAGTCCAAGTTAACGGCGGAGCCTGAGGTCTTCGGTCTACGGAGTGTGAGCGCCAATCCCTATCCCTTTAGGATCAGTATCTTAACACCCCCGAAGGCGGTTTCTGCTCATTCATGCAAGCGAAGAACAGCTGCGGTAGGAGGATGAGACAGTTCTTCGTGCCAGAAAAAGGGCAATTGTCACACAGGAGATGGCCACAGCAAAGAGCCGCGCCGTGCGCCAAATTAATATACCAATATCATCGCCGACTTAAGGGTCACAACTTTGCTTTGTCGTTGAGCACCCACGCCCCGTCCCGGACCTCAAACTCTCTGCCCCTCTTCCACCCGAGCCACGCTTCGAGCGCCTCCTCGCCGCCCTCGCCCGGCGTAAGCGCAACACCAGCGTGCCCTCCCCCTTCGACGCCGGGCCCCTGGCCGCGTCTCGCGTCTCCTACCTTGCCCTCGCCCAACGCCAGACACGGCGTCTCGACCAACGTGACGGCCGGCCTCTGGTCGCCTTCCCTTCCCTTCCCCGTCTCGAGCTCGTGATACTCCAACACGGGTGTACAGCATGCGTCTGTTCCGTCGAACACCGCCTCCCACTCGCTCCGCGTCCGGCCTTTGAAGGTGTTTGTGAAAATCTCCCTCAGCTCACCCCATCTCTCCCTGTCGAACCTATTCTCTTCCCAACCTTTACCGGCCAGCCCTAGCCCCTTCATCAACGCCCGAAAGAACTGCGGCTCCAACGCCCCGACCGCGACGTACTTCCCGTCCCTCGTCTCGTACGTGTCGTAGTAGGGACACCCGCCGTCCAGCATGTTCTTCCCCCTCCCGTTGTCCCCCAACGTGTTCTTGAGCGCGAACCGCGGGAACGTCGCGAGGTACGATGACCCGTCGACCATGTTCGCCTCGACCACCTGCCCCGCCCCGCCGTTCCCTGCCCTCGCCAGGAGCGCCATCAGGACCCCCTGGAACAGCACGGCCCCGCCGCCCGCGAAGTCCGCGAGGATGTTCCACGGCGGGTGTGGCTTCTCGCCCTCGCGGCCGAGCAGGCTGAGCACCCCCGAGACGGCCAGGTAGTTAATGTCGTGGCCTGCCATGTCCCTGTACCTCCCGTCCCTCCGGAACCCCGTCATTCGGCCGTACACCAGGCCGCGGTTCGCTCGCCTCAGGACCTCCGGGCCCAGGCCCAGCTTCTCGAGCACGCCCGGGCGGAACGGGTCGATGAGCACGTCGGCCTCGGCGGCCAGCCGCTTCACGAAAGCGATGCCCGCGGGCGACTTGAGGTCCACGGTGACGGAGGCCTTGCGGCGGGCCAGCATGTCGGCAGTGGGCAAGGGGGTGCGGCTGCCCCCGAGGGCGCGGTCGACGCGGATGACGGAGGCGCCGGCGTCGGCGAGGAGCATTCCGGCAAAGGGCCCCGGCGCGAGGCCAGCGAATTCGATGACTTTGATGCCCATGAGGGGCGGGGGACCGACCATCTTCGCGTGCTCACAGCGTGATGCTAGGCAACAGGGGGAAAAGATGGGTAATGACGGGATCGATAGAGTACAACCTGAGATGTATTAAGGTGAAAATATCTACATGGCAAGTGGAATACAACAAAACGAAGGACGCCAAAGCCAGGAGTGTGTACTATGTATTTTCAATTAATAGATGAGATGAAAGTAACCGGCAAAAGCCATAGTTGGGGACGCTCCAAAAAGCCGAGGCAGCGTGCGCCTGCGCGAGCGTTGGAGGTGTGCTGCGCCGGGGCCAATCGAACACCAAAAAAGACATGCACCTCGCATCGCGGGGGAACGGAGACGGGGGATCCTGACCTACGTCAGTCCACCTGCATCAGAGGAGTGTGGGGTCACCGACGGTGAGCTGGTTGCTCCATTCGGACTGCTCGTGGGCCTCGACCCGAATAAGGCGACGCCAGGTGGGAGCAGACAAGCGAAAGGGAGGACCAGATGACCGCCATTGTGGTGATGCGTCTAGAGTTCGCCTGTTTCTCACACTTTAGGACTGTTTTGCGACTCCTTCCTACGGTCGCCGAATAACGAAAATGGCAGCATTCAAATCGTCAGCTTCTGCTCTATGAAGAGAGAGAAAAAACGCAAAAAAATTGGTAGCTTCTCTTTGATTGAGCGTGTCATCCTTAGTGCAGGGGCCATGCTACTGCGAGGAAGTTAGCAACCGTGATTCGAACTCACGACCTTTGGAGTATAACTTACATCTTCTCTGTATCGTTTCAAATTGACCAAATGCCCGAAGGCGAAATTGGAGGCTGTTTGATCCGTTATATACCTCGAAGCTCCACCCACCCTTGTGAACTAAACAAACAAGGAAGGTGGGTACCCGTGGTACGTAGCGCCTGCCAAAGCTCCAACAGCAGTTACAATTATTCTTGCGTTGGTAGTCGCAGACCTGATGTTTACATCGTAAGCTCTTCCATTCCAACACAGAACAAGACGATAGTAGCTCAGTATCATTCTCTTCGATCAGCGGGGAATTTGGCTGTTTTGCTTTGATGGCTAAGATAGCAGCGGCGGCTGCAAGCCAGTTACGGTGCTGCACCAGACCATTCATTATGTGCTCCGTGCTTGGGTGCCCAGCCAATGTTAAGGGACAGGCTGCACATCCTCCATTACGACCTGACGACAAGTGCCGTTGGCAACGCCCGTCTCAAAGGGTACTGAGGTTGTCTCGAAGTGTTAATACTATACCTATATGAGATGGATCGTCTGCTGCATCGATTCCAAAGACTATTCAATACATCAACTATGGGCATGGCGCGTTGAGGCAACCAGCTACTTTTAAAGGCAAGACCGAGGACTCCTGGTCGAGATTTTCTCCAGTTCGGGACCCATGGCCATCGGCAACACATCAAGAGAGTCTACCACAGGAAGAGTCGACTTTCGCCGGGCGACCACAATATAGACATCTTCGACTTCTATGTAGGGGTACCGTAAGTGGTTGCCCCAATTAACCCAGTCGAACTTTCTACGATATCTAGCATATTTGCCTTTTTATATACCATATACCACCCTAGAACTAGTGTTAGTTTGACAGTACAAACAAGCAAAAGGGAGAACTAAGTCACAAAGATGTAGTAATTGATGGATATAGTCGCTCTAAACCCCTGTAAGTGGTCTAGTGCAGTTCACCAATACGGGGCACCTCTGACCTGTGCCAGATCTCTCAATATCTTAATACGGTATAGAATACCCGATAACGCAGAGCAACTGCCGAACCTGACTTCACTTCAACCATGGCGCGAATGACCTTCGCGCACCGGGACGTCGGTGGCAACCTTGGAGAGTCGCTGCTGGGCTGCGGCTTGATGTACCGGCGATGACGGCTGTTGAATAAGGTCGCGCGGGTTCGCGAGTGAGCCACACTGAACGGCGATGATAGCATTGTCGAACCTACCACCAAGGTCGCGATGGCTTCGTTGCAAGCCACACGATGACTCCGAACTCTGCCACCAAGGTCGTCGGAAACCTTGAGCCTTGAGTCACAAAAAGATGTAGTAATTGATGGACACAGTTAGAGATTTACACCCTAGTCCCTTATCAATGTTATTTGTTTTTCATTATCCATCTACTTCCAGCGGTTTTACACCATGATGCCGCGGACGCGAGGGAAAGAAAACCACAACTATTGAAATCCCCTGATTCTGTGGCCTTGGTATATACATACTAGACTGAACGAAATTGGCAAAAAAAGAATGAGAAAAAATTTGGTAGCGTCTCTTTGATTGAGCGTGTCATCCTTAGTGCAGGGGCCATGCTACTGTGAAGATGTCAGTACTCTGGGTCGAACTCGTAGCCTCTGGAAAGGGGTATAGAACATACATCTTCTCTGTATCGTTTCAAATTGACCAAATGCCCGAAGGCGGAAATTAGAATACATTTTGTTGGCTATGTACCTAGAACAAAGTCGGTGGCTAAATGGTTGCCTGGCGAGGCAACAGACGGGCAGGGGAAAGGAAGAAGATCACCACCTCAGGCAGGATAAGCTTACATGGGCACGGGCGGGCATGCCTGCCTGGCGGACCAGACTGTGTACAAAGTAGCCACATAGGTAGGTACCTTGGGAAGTTCCAATAAGCATGGGATTCTCTCATTCTTGGCTTGAGTTCCTATTCGTTCGGGCCTTTCCTTCGCTGCTGATAAGACGTACTGTAATCGTGGAAACCACGCACTCATCGCAAACACACTCCCCATTAACACAAACCAGCGCAGTTGGCTCATAACTTCTTCGAAACCCCGGGGTCAATACCATCAAGTATGTCCACGGTCTCCTCCCACAGTCGGTTCTGCATCTCCTCCCCTTCCTTCCCCTGCATGATCTTGGCGAACTCGACGACGGCACAGTCGCTCATGTACCGCCCGTGGGCCTCATCGCCCGCGAACGCGGCCGCCATCATGCACCGGGAGCCAACCTCGGACGACCGGGCCACTAGCTTCAAGACAACTTTGATGATGATCGTCAAGGGAAACGGCATGTGGCGGAACAGCTCCGTCGAGCAGAGGCCCGGGTTCAGCGTCGTCACCTGCACCCTCCCCTTGTCCGACGCGTCCAGCGCGATGGCCATCTGCCGCCCCAGGATCACCTGCATCAGCTTCGTCGTGTTGTACCGATCCAACAGGCTCTTGTTGGCGTTGAGCGCCTTGTAGATGTTCTCGGCGTTGCGTTCTCGGAACTTGGCCTGCGGTTTCACCGGATGAGACATTAACGCCAATTTCACTCACCTGACCGTAGTTAGGGGGGCTACTCACCAACTGACTCGCCTCCGACGCGGTGATTACAATCTTGGGCGTCACGTTGTGCGTCTTCCCCGTCCGCCGCATCACCGGCAGCAGCTTGAAGCCCAACAGGAACGTGCTCAGCACGTTCACCGTGAGCGAGCTCTCCCACCCCTCGGCGTCGATCCTCTCGTTGGTCGCGATGCTCGCGTTGAGCAGCAAATAATCCAGCCGCGGCAGCTGGTCCGCGCGCGCTGCGAATTCCTTGACGCTGTCGAACGACAACTGGTCTAGCGGCCACACCTCGAGGACGCCGTGCCGGCCCGTCGTCAGCTCAATGTTCGTCTTGGCCGCCTCGCCCTTTTCGGTGCTGCGGACGGCGAGGATCACCTTGGCGGCGTTGAGGCGCACAAAGTGTCGCGCCGCCTCGAGGCCCAGGCCGACGTTAGAGCCCGTCACGATCACGGTACGGCCTGCGCAGTCCTCGGTCGGGTAGGGCAGCTTTTTGAACTGTGAGTGAAGGAAGTCCACGGGATTCATGTTTGAGGCTTTCCTCGGCGAGTCTCCAGGTTTAGATTTGGATCTCCGGTGTCGTCTTAGCTGCGTTTTGCTGCAATGGATGATTGCCAGTGGTGGTTGATGGTATGTCTTTGATTCGGGAGCTGCCACATACACGTGCGGATGAAACGAAACGGGGGGTTGAAGACAATCGATGATGCAAGGGAGGTCTGGCGAGTTTATCAATCGGCAAACAGACTCGTCCCCCTTCCCCCAGACGTCCCTCCAAGGGGTTTCTTTTTACTCGGGGAGAGCCCCAAGCTTTCCGGCTCGTTTAATGTGGCGGGGATGTATGGAGCTCGGAAGCTACCATGATGCTTTCGCTATCCAGGAACTGTTTCACCATCACCCGGCTTCCAGCAAACAGGGCACTGACCACCAATATGGGACGCAGGACGCTGCGTACTCCAGAGTCTTGTAACACGGACTGGAGACCCAACGGCCATGACTGTAGCATTCTGTATGATTTGCTGCAGCCGTTGTCGACAATGGTCCAAGCCCCTGTTTTCGTAGACGTGTCCGTATTCTCTCTTCTTCTCGTGAGACGGGGACATCCCGCATAAACGGTTCCCATTGATACGTCACAGGTCAATCGATGCATGGGAGGTCGTGGTGTCGGGGCTGGTAGAAGCTTAAATCAGCGATGCATGATTTGTTCATCACACACACACGCAAACCTTTGTTTGCTATTGGACGCTGAACCTCCTTCTCCAACGGCTAGATGCGCCAATCACTTGGTCATGGATAAATGTGCGCCTAAAGGCCATCCGAGCACAACTCCCAACGCTTGATAAATCGCTGAATGTCGCAGCCATGATTGGTTACTTTGGACTTCAATCATATATGTTTAAGTGAGGTGAACCACACATACTGGTAGAAAGGGGGTCATGGGGCTAGAACATGAGTCTTCGTAGCTGCCTCTACCTCGCTGTAGCCTCTTCGGCCATCTTGGGCCAGTCTTCATATCAGAAACGAATGGGTACTACTTTCATTAAAGGACTATCACCGCAACTGCCGCTGTTCAACCGTCTAATGCCTTCCACGCCTCCAGGGATCCCGCCGACGATATATGGGAAGATTTCACTGCCTAAACGCCGCGCTCCTTCTTTTCTGTGCCCCCGGAAGCATGGGGCGGCCAGCGTTTCAGCGGGCAAAGTTCTAGTGCTTCTCGGAAGCCGTTCCGTGTGTCGTATCGTGCCTTTACTGGACCTGGCTCACAATCTCGCTGGCCTTGCCAAGGGACTCCACCATTTGCTGGCACTCCTTTCTTCTGCGGATGGTGAAGTCGCTCTCCTTGAGCAGGTCATCCAGGGTGTCGGTGCGGTACATGTTCTCCAAGAGCTCCTTCTGCATCTCGTCCTTGGTAAATCTGGCACGTGTGTCAGCCCGCCGAAACCCATCAGCCACAATCATTATTTAACTTACTGGACGAGGGTAAGCATGATGGCCTTGGGAACCATGTCGATCATGGTACGCCTCACGATGTTGTAGTAAGAGGAGATGAGCAGCTCTAGACATCTGTGTTAGCCAACATCTCACACGCCAGCGAACTGCAGACTTACTAATGACTTCGACCTCAATGTTCTCCCGCTCCGAGAGCGTTCCGGAAGCCTTGAGTGTTGGTGGGGGGGCCTCCATGGCGGCTGCCTTCTTCTTGTTCTTCGCAGCAAAGAAGCTGCCAAAGAAACCACCGTTCGAAGGGTCCTCTGGCACTACCGGGCTAGACGCTCTAGGAGTACCGCCTGGCAGAGGCTTGCCGGTCTTGGGGTCAACCTGGACGGGCTTAGGGTTGTAGCGCTCGTTGACCATGGCCATGGCCCTGTGGCCGTTCAAGAAGTCAGGATGACCGGTGTTGATGTAGCATGCCTCCATGGCGACCAGGTCCCTGACGAGCTTGTTGGTGGGCTCCATGGCCCTCTTGAAGAAGTTGATGACCACGGCGTGGATCTTCTCCTTGAGTGAAGGATACCTACGGTAGAGAGCCTTGCCGAGGAGCTGCGACAGAATGCGCACCAGCTCGTCGTAAACGAGAGACACACATTTCAGACTAGGGTCCTCGAGGCGCTTGATCTGCTGCTTCACGATCAACTCGAAGGCAGTAGTGCCGACGAAGAGAGCGGGGGAGGAACCGGAAGAATTGTACAGTATGGTGCGGATATCGACGTCCTTGACCACATCAAAGGGGTCCACAGCCTTCACACCGTTGGCGTACAGCTCGTGGAACACGAAGCTGATTCTGGCACCACCTGACAACTCAGTGCTCGAAAGCTCCGTGTTGTTACCATCCAGCACTGTCCGCCACTCGTTGGTGAACTCGGTGATAATGTTGAGCACGATGTTTGCGCTGTTGCCCAGCATGCTCGGTCCCAAGGTCTCCAGTTCAGCAGTGTACTTTTGCAACGAGCTCGAGATACGAGCCTTGATATCCGGCAGTGTCTGCTTGATGTGCATCATCAGGATAAGGTTTAGTTTCCTGGCCAGATAGGGCGTTCCACAGTAGGAACTCTTGTTCCTGTATGCCTTGTGGTTGTCAAAGAAGTTCTTCTCGTTTTCCAAAGCGGCCTGGATTGGCTTCTTGTTGTCAATGTCTCGCTGGCCACGGTTGACCACAGGGACGTATCCCAACCGCAGAGGAATGATACGTCCAGCCAAAATATCGACGACGTCAGTACCCTCGTCCATGAGATCCACCTTTGTGAGAACACCGATCGTTCGTTGACCCTCGGGGTCGACCTCTCGTGCAAGCTTCAGACCGTCAGAGTTGGCCAGGTCGATGTTGGCAGCGGTGACGGCGAGGACGATGGCGTTGGACTTGGAGATGTACTTGAGAATCATGTCGCGGATCTGGCGCTCGATATCTCGAGGCTGATCTCCAACGGGCACTCTGGTCAGACCAGGCAAATCGACGAGGGTCAGAGTAAGGACGTTCGGGGAGTAGACTCTCAGGTTGATAGGTGCGGGCGAGATGCCTGCGTTGCGGCCGACCTTGGCCTCGGTTTCCCTGCTAATCTCATCCCGAATCTTGTTGAAGTCGTAGAACTTCTGACCAGGAATGTGGAGGAATTCGCCCCATTCGTCGGCGTTGGCTGCCTTGTCGGTGCTGTTTTCCACCTCCTCGACGCCGTTTTGTGAAGTCGCGGGACGGTTGATGAGCTGAAGGACGAGAGGTCGACGAGTGCAAATACCAGAGCCTCGAGGCAAGCTGCAGAACACAACCTTGTTAGATGCCCCCAAAACCTGGGAAACATGTGACGGCGGGGTAGAGGGGGAAGGTTGCCACACTCACAAGTCTCTTCCTACGATGTTCTCCAGGACGGAGCTCTTACCGCTGGACTGACTTCCAACGACAACTATTTGAGGGAGATCGATGGGGTTGGTGACGCCGACTGTTGTGAAAACATCCTGGAGCTTGTTCACGAGCCTGAAGCGCAGCGCAGTTAGCTTCCGCGTGGGTCACGCAGTGTTGGGCATCACGTACGTGATCAAGGCGGGATCCGAGATACCGCCCTGGGACTGGGACGCGCTCATTATTGCGATGCGGCCGGCGCTCTTGAACGATGCAGTCGTCAAAGGGGTGGGGGTTGAGGATCAAGTCGAGGGCGGATTCCTTTGTGGTCAAGTGTCCTGTCGCAGATGGCTCCTGAATCGCAATACGTGGAAGAAGCCGGAAAGGGGGGTGCGGGCTCGAAGCGAGGACGATCGGCAGCTTGGGGCGGGGGACCTGATGGAGCTCAAGTGGTGATACCCCCTGCGGTGTCGATGGCGACGGGTATTTATACCAGCAAAGATGTGAGGTTGTCAAGCAGGTTGCGAGTTTGGAGTGTTCGGTTGGGTTGGGAACGGTGGGAGAAGATGTCGCAAGCACCCAGAAGTCTGGTCTGTCAAGAGCCTAGTACACGTTGCTGCCCTGAGAGTGTGTGCGGGATCCCTGACGCACCAGCCACATACGATGTACACAGGTTCCGTCCCCACCGGTGTCGTAGGCCCCTGTCACTCTGCCGACGACAGCACCTCAGGCGCAGCACAGCACTGGTGTGCACTATCCGGTTGGCGGGGACGTTGGGCTGATGGAATACTTGGAAACCTCCCACTTGGGCGCCGGTGTCTCACGTGATGAACTAGTCTGTATCGGGGACAGCTTCAGCACCTTATTTGTGCCGTCAGGTTCCGTACTGCATCGTTAATGGGGCGCAGGTGTGTCGGTGAGTGAGATGCTGCTGGATGAAGAATGCAGGTGCCTGCCTGCCTGCGGACGTCACTCGAACCGCGTAGGTGTCGACGAGGTCGCGTCATAGCACACAGGCGACGATGTCTTGTTTGATCACTCGTTTAGCAGTTATGTTGCGATGCATGGATTTCGAGGGACTGGATGAGCCTTGTCGACTAGTCCCACCATAACTCGTTGCATTAAAGTGTCAACTGAACTGGAAATGAGACCAGAGCTTAATTGCCGAGTGGGATGGTCCCCCGCCCCTCCCATCGCTCCCAACTGATAGCCGTGGCCCGTCATAACGCTTATCCTCGATATCTTGTATCTATCTATCTTGCGGCTAAGTGCAAGATGCTGCAACGAGTGCATTTCATTTGGACCGGATCCGTTAGTAAATGCGTCCGGACGCAAGCCACAAACGAAGAGACGGTAATGAACCGGCAGAGAAACTGATACCAAGACAGCTCTGGCGATGCGCTCGAGACCTCTGGCAAACTGCATGTTCATCCACACTTTGATATACTTCCACGGCAGACCAGCTTGTCTTGTTGCTTTGCAGCGAGGCGTACTTGGCAAGTAAATAGGTGCAGATTGACCAGCTATTACCTCTGGTGTAGTTTCAGTGCTCGGTGTCAAGAAGCGCTATAGAGCAATCCTGATGTGAGTTGCTCCGCACTCGTCATGTTCATGACTACCAACCCTCCGAGGGGGGAAGACGTTACGCAGCATGTGACCTCTATCCCCTCAATACATAGGTACCTAGGTATCTGAATCCATCTTTCGATGGGATCCGTCTTGCATACCTTGAATACCTACCTTCTACCAGGGTAGGCAGGTATGTGTAGGTACCTATGCAACGTATGGGCCGGTACGTAGTGGTGTGTTAGTGGGCTTCACTGTCTTAGGGCCCCACCAGTGAACCGGCGCTCCAGCCCCCCAAGGTCATCCGTCCCCACCCTCTCGTGTGGAGGGACGGCAATGGGTCCAATCAGGCGGCATCCCGTCATCTACTGCCCGCTGGCCCCAGTGCTCGCCCATTCAGAGTGGTACAGCAGTGTGCAGCTGCCGGCCACGGGTCCCTACCTGGCAGGCTGCCTGGTTAGCGGCCTACATAGTACTGAAAGGCCAGAGGTACCAGACTACCTACCAGCCTACGTACGGATACCTACCTACCTAGGGTAATGTGCCTATCAGAGTAAGGTAGGTGACCTGCCTCACCTCAAGGTATGACCTCTATCATCGGGCAGTCCCGAAACCTGCACCTACGAACTCCAAACCTCCAAGCTTCACCTTCCACTCCACGTCCTGCGTTTAACTCAACGCACTTTTGGTTTGCTCCCAGACCTTCGACTCTCATGTACCTCGCCTGCTTTGCCTTACCGCACCGAACACTTGCACGTCCGTCCGCCTGCGCTACCGTACGCTACCTACCGACGTTACCTATCCGACCTTACGAACAACGCTTCTCTGAACCCGTACCGTAATCAAACATCTAGCCACAAAGCACTCACCACAACATTCCTACGTGCCTGGGCGTCTCCGTTACCTCCAAGATCTCGAACTCTGAGAACAACCGCGGGTCCTTCCCGCGGTAACAAAGGTCGACCTGGACCCCAACTCCAACACAGCTCCCAATTCCCACCCCATCATTACCGATCAACATCTATCCACCCCGCCGACTATTCAGCCATCTTCCACCCCAACTTTCCCGCCAGCCCCCGCGGCTTCCCGGCCCTCCCCTCTTCTGACGATACCGCACCTTCGAGCCCCTACAACCCAACCAGTCCAAGACATTCCTCGGCTGTCCCCGGCGCGATAGAACCTCCCTTGGCGCCCCGTCAGGTCTTGGGCCGTAGACAACGAGCCGATTCCGACTCGGATCGGGGAGACTCTCCTGTGACGTCTGCGGGCGCCCGTCGACCCGCCTCTCATCCTCCTAAACGCAGAAGAGGAGACTCCGCCATGATTTCAGACGGCGACGGAGCAGCTTCGAACGGAACGTCCAGGACGTATTCCAACGGCGCAAGGACGGAGGCGCCGGTGACCGCCTCGGCCACCAACGGTTCTCGCAAAGCCGCTGCCATGAACGGCTCATCCCGTGCCGAGAAGGATGCCCCACCACCCGCCCCTTCGACCTATTTCGGACACGATCGAGAGGAGGTTACGCGAATACTCATACAGGCCTTGTCCGATATGGGATACCGCGGAGCTGCCGAGAGCGTCAGCAGGGACAGTGGTTACGAGCTGGAGAGCCCAACCGTCGCCGCCTTCCGTAATGCCGTGATCAGCGGTGGGTGGGGCGAAGCCGAGGAGCTTCTATACGGAGCCGTCATGTCTGACGAGCGAGGCCATCCAGGGAACGGCCTAGTGCTAGCACCCGGATCTGACCGAAATGTGATGCGGTTTTGGCTGCGGCAACAAAAGTTCCTCGAGCTTTTGGAGCAGCGTGACACCGGCAGGGCACTGATGGTGCTGCGAACCGAACTGACGCCGCTCTACCAAGACACCCAAAAGCTCCACTTCCTCTCCAGTCTTCTCATGTGCCAGTCTGCGGAAGATTTGAAGGCCAAGGCCGAGTGGGATGGAGCTCACGGTCAGTCAAGAAAGATCTTGCTATCGGAACTATCAAGTGCGTACCCCTTGTCCCTTGATGATGTTTATGCAGTGCTCATTACCCTTGTAGAATGTATATCACCCTCAGTAATGCTGCCAGAGAACAGGCTCGCCGTATTGTTGCAGCAGGTGAAGCAAAGCCAGATAGACAGCTGTCTCTGGCACACAACTGCGTCCTCGCCGTCATTGTACTCGGACCACTACTGTGAACGAAGTCATTTTCCCACGGAAGTCGCGCTGGAGCTCACAGACTTGACTGGTGAAGTTTGGCAGGTGGTGTTCTCGCACGATGGGCAGCGCCTCGCTGCGTGCGGAGATGGTGATACCGTTGTTATTTGGGACCTGCCCTCATTCACCGTCTCTCACGTCCTCCGGCCGCATGCTCAAGGTGTCGGCGGCTTATCGTGGAGCCCCGACGACTCGATGATAGTCACATGCTCACAGGACAAATACGCACGACTTTGGGACACAGCGGTATATGCTCTCCTCGTCGTGAAAAAGTAAGATTGCAACGCTGACTCAGAACAGACCGGAGCGATGATCCTTAAGCTTGAGCGGTTTGATGAGCCGGCCAGCGGCTGTGTCTGGGCGGCGGATAGCAAGACGTTCATCACCGGATCTCTGGATAAAGATCACGGCTTGCGCACTTGGAGTACGTCGGGGGAGATGCTGTGCGAATGGGGCAAGAAGCACAGGGTACAAGACCTTTGCGGTTCGCCGGATGGGCATTGGCTCGTTGCAGTCGACGACGCGCAGAAGATCCATGTCTACAATGCTTTCACACGTGAACTGGAGTACGAGATGGAGGTCAAGTCTCGGCCGACCTGCGTGAGCATCAGCGAAGACTCGCGCCATTTGCTCCTTAACAAGAAGGATGGAGAGCTTCAGCTGATTGATTTGGTAAACCGGACGTCGGTGCAAAAGTTCCTCGGTCACACCGGAGGCGAATACATCATTCGCAGCGCTTTCGGCGGTGCCAACGAAAGCTTCGTTGTGAGCGGTAGTGAAGGTAAGTCGGTTTTTGGTCATTTGAATGGCAAGCGTGCTGACCTCTGGGGATTAGATGGCAACATTCTTATCTGGCACAAGAACAGTGGAGCTGCGGTTGAGAGGCTCGAAGGGCATCAGCCTCGAACGAACGCTGTCGCCTGGAACCCTGCGGACCCATGTGTATTGGCTTCATGTGGTGACGATGGCAAGGTTAAAATGTAAGTTTGCGATATCAGCATCAAGTGCACTCTCACTGACACTGCATAGTTGGTCGAACAAGAGCAAAAATGCGACTCTCAGGTCATTACATAACGGAGCGTCTCGGGCGTCCAACGGTTGGAGTGCAGAGGAGCGCACTGGAGACGAATAGGATCCTCGAGTCGCGCTGAACAGAAAGAGTCTGTACTGGCTGGCAACTTCCGGCAGAGGTAGTGGAGCATAGATAAGAGGAGGGGCCAGAACCGGAATAAACCCCCTTCATCAACATGTCACGGTGTCACGGCGTATTTCTGGGTTGGGATACAGGAGCGAGGCGGCTATTGCTGCTTGTTGGCTCTTCCACGGTTGGTCTGGCCTGTTGCGGATAGAACGATTGATGTTATATAATCAGGTATTGAGACTGTTATTGCAACGCAGGAGCTCACAAGACGTTGCTTTCATTAGTGTGAATGTCTAGTCAATGGGGTATAACGGCTGCAGCTTGGATCGTCCCCTCCTGTGACGTTTGCCTCCGCTCATCGCTGTTCTTTCTGGCATGTAGGTTTCAATCAGCTTGACGGAAGGTGCCGTATCATATAGTGCATGCCAAATGTCAGTGCTTCCTGCGTGTTTTGTGAGAAGCTTGGTCCTAGGCGTTCGATTCCAGAAGTAGCGGTTCGTTGTGTAAGGTCTCCTCCTATCTATCAATCTTGAGTCCGGATAGACTCGCTGCCTTTCGTGGCCTCTCCCTCGTCACCCACACCCATCGGCTACCGGGGATCCTCAACGGCCTGGTCTACCGCTGTGCTTCGCCTCTTTCTACATTTCAGTGCCGTCCGTTTTATACATTAGGCTCTACATCATGTCTTCCCCGCCATCGCTTACCACGGAAAAGCCAGCCAATAACAGACGCAACTCAACGGAGACAGTGCACCAAAGACCTAGTATGCTGGGCACCGTTCGTTCGCACAAGTGGCTCGCCAAGCAGAAGCCACACATCACCAACGAAGCCGCATGTTGCCCCTGCGTCGTATACGCCCGCACTGCGGAGAGACTCGAACGAGTCGCCTACGATGAAGATCCCCTGGCTCCATCTTCAGGGGCCTGCAGTAGTCCCTGCTGGTCTTGTTGCCTGAGCTCTGCGAGTAAGTTGGGTCTTTGAAGAAGCCTCAAATCATCGCCTAACAGCCATAGTATGTAACTGGAAGAAGCCACTCCGCGATCAACGTGGCGATATTCGGGATCGCTACGCCATCACTGGCAGTGTGGAAGACGACGATGTCAACGCTTGCGCACACCCGTTCTGGACTCTCATGCTCAATCACAACGAGGTCTTCATACGCGAAAAGATCTGCCAGGACCTCAAAACATATCCCTTTTCTCCGGGCCCTCCACCAAAGGAGATCCGCCGCTTCAAGGCCCAGCCAAACAGCCCATACAAGTCACCGTCGCAAATGCAAATGAAGAGCAAAAGCCTACCAAGAATCTTGGAGTTGCCAGAATCCAGTAACTCAACGGGGAAGCATGAACCTCCTAGCATAATGACGAGCCCCGAGTTGGACAAGGTCGAGCCAGAGACCAGTTCTCCGTTACCACCTCTCAAAGACCACAAGCGCAACGATACTCCTGCAAGATCTCCCGACGTCCTGCAAAGTCCTAATCTGGACCCTCAAGATTCTCGCGTAACAGTGGCCGACTTTGCGGGGCCTCATCGACTCAGCCAAGACATCAAGAAGCCAGTTGGAACGAAGCAATATCCCCATACCGTTCACAACGATCCTCTTTTCGGAATTGCCGAAGAGGTTCACCTCCATACCGTCCATGACGACCCTACGATGGAAGTGGCACGCCGACTGGTTCCTCATCAAATCATCATAGATCCCAGGGCACCGGTTTCAGAGGCGACGGCCCCTCACAGCGTCCATTGCGACCTCACTGCCAAGGTTGCTGAAGACCCAAAGCAACATTCGGTTCATGATGACCAGGCCAGCAATATTGCCAATCCTGTTTACGATCATAGGCTCAGCCAAGACCATGTGGCCCTGGTGAGCACAGGAACGAACCCTCACAGTGTTCATGATGACCGGATAGAGGGCATTCCTGGACAGCCAGCCTCGCATTCCCTCAGCGTAGATCCAATCATGGCTCAGCCAGAGCAAGCCTCTCCTCACAGCATCCATGATGACTCTGAGGTCAATGTTACCGAAGGCGAACCGAAGCAACATACCATGCAGACCAGCTCCGCGGCTAGGGCACCCCGGAACAAGCCGAGTGGGCACCAGCTCGGAGATATTGGGCGTTCTGCAACAGCCCCTGCAGAACTTGACAACAAGTCTGCAACGGGCAGCATCGATTCTTCCGCACAAGTAGCGGGAGTGGACAAGTAATGAGTAGGAAGCAAACCATCCAACAGCTTTTGTGATTATAATCCATCGCCGCGATTCCTAGAGCCACACTCCATAGTCCACTGCCAGTATTTAGTATAAGCATAGCTCAATAATGAACTTTCGTCTTGACGATGAAATACGCGCAGCGCAGTATTGTTAGAACGACTCGGTCGTGGTCGAAGCTGTCATGATGTCACGTTATATCGAGTCCTCAGAGGCTAGAAATATCAACACGGTTGACGTGTGCTCGCACTGCGTCCCAAGTGGCTGAAACTACAACCAGGATACATGTGCGTATCCCATGGTCTGATTCCAGTTGGTAGCCATCCCATCTCACCACCCACTCTTAAGACACTCCGCAAAGAACTGCATCAGGGGAAACATCTCCTCCCGATCACGGGGCATAGCCACGTCCTTCCTCTTCCACTTGATGAGCCTTGCGTCGAGGAACTCTTCCTTGATGGCTTCAAACGCGTCGTCGTCGAGCTGGACAGCACAGGCTTTCGTCTTGCATTTGCCGCGCGCACTGACGGTGGGAAGCATGGACTGCGGCAAGGGCCCGCCGATGGAGAGGACGCCCTTGAGGGTGTTGCCGTCAAAGTGAGCGTTGTCGCCCCTATTCGGTTTGTCTGCCGGCGCATCGGTCACGTCGACGACCTGGGGCCCGAGGCGGAGCTGCGAGGCGATGCCCAGGGCCAGGGAGCCGCCCTGGCCGAAGCCGAAGAGGATGATATCACTGAGGTCCCAGCCGCAGCGCGCAATGATGGTCTCGCGGATGAGGCGGTCAACTACGAGGGTGTAGGACCTAGAGAATCCCGGGTCGGAGGAGATGGAGTCTGTGGAAGGGTCGAAGGTAATGTCATCGCCCCAATGGAAGTGGCGCGCCCCGGCACCGACGGAGGCCGCTGCCGATGAGAGGCCGTCATCGGGGAGCATGGACGGAGGCAGCGGAGAAGGCCCGCGGACAGAGATGGCTAAGACGCCGGGCAGGGACATTGCCTTGGCGAAGGAGGCGAAGGGGACCTCGGAGTCGCCCAGGCCGTGGAAGAGGATCAGGATCGCGGTGGTGGACTCGGGCGGGTTCGGGAAGGATAGGGAAAGGGAAAGGACGGGCTGGATGGGAGCGAAGTCCTCCGGGGTCGGAATCCGGGCAGGCATGACGGCTGATGTGTCGGCGCGATGGATTCCTTGGCGTCGTGTGTGGTCTAATGTCCTATGGATGGGTATTTAGATCTCGACCGTTGTCTCCGCAGATCTCGGCCAGGGTCCAACAACGAAGGAGCCTGATGGCTCTGTATACAAGCAGGTGTGCGCGAACTTGCGGGTCTAGGTGTGAAATGGTGACTCTGAAATGATCTACGATGACGTGAAGTTGTCTACGGATGGTGTGGGCAGGAGAGCGGCTCCTCAGACTGCGAATTTGAACTTTGAAGTCTCAGTGACGTGAAGTCAATATGTCTCCACTTTTATCCCACCAGTACAGACAAGCCTTCGAGCGCCGCCGTCTGTGATATATTGCCTTTATACGAACATCTACCACTGCAATCACCACAGGGCTGGTCTTCTTCACAAACACACCGTGGGTAAACTAGATGGGCCAGGCCGCCGTGCTTTTAGCTCACAATATGGAGATCCCGATAACCTTACAATCTATCGGAGAGATAGCGCCATCTCCGAATCCTTACCCATGACACTTTTTTGCCCAGATTGACGACGCGGATGGTAGGGTTCGTCGTCGACCGGGTCATGAGCCGAGCAGGCGCGTGTACATGTCTCATCCCGTCCTCTGTGCTCTTCTGACTTTTCTCTCTCCTTCCATCGTCCTAATCTTCTAGCAGACTTTGCCCCTCACACAGACGTCGGATCTCGTCTCTTCTGAGGGCCCAGGCTGTCAGGAAACAATCAGTGGAACTCATCTGAAAGAAAGAAAAAATTGACTTTTATCTCTTCTTTGGCCCTATGAGCCCATCCCATCTTTATCACCGATATATATCCTTAACACAATTCAGGAGAATGAAGCTCTCTGATCAGCACACCGTTCTCCCAACTGCCGGTTGTCCAGTAGTGCAGCCCAGCCGTGCTTGCTCATCAGGCAGGGACTGACTCGAGACTTACGCTTCCTCTTTCCAAATGCGCTTGTCTCGTCGCGGTAACACGAGACGGTACTTAAGATAGCATATCGCTGCAAAGCTGCGAAAGGGGTCTTGAGGGGAAGTCCCGAGCAGCGCCGCTCTTGGACATATTGACAAACTGATGAGCGTTGTTACGGGGCGGGCCCGCTAGTCTCCAGACTCACTCCAGCTATGGGGCGTTCTCTGTATGCATCTGCAAGATGGGAGATCTGAGGATGGACGATGGCACCACGAAACGCCTTGCGCATCCGTTCTACAAGCTATTCCCAGCTCTCTGTTTCGTCTCATCTTCACACTTGGAGACTGTGACATGGCTGACGAGAATTGCGTCTCCGGCAGCGATGCTGGCCGTTCGTTCTATGGCCCCCGGGCTCTAGGCATGCAGAGTTGCTCTGGTATTTCTGCCATAGTATACGTAGGCGAGGCTCATCCAACTATGAGATCAGCTGACCTTTGATGAGCTCTTCATCAGCGGTGGTAATGCCCACACCGCCAAGGAGGATGCCCTCGCAAAGCTCGGCGGCCTGCCAGCAGACCTATCCACAGTCGATAAGGCCGACCTCACCTTCCTCGATAGCGTCAACAAGACTGCCAACCAGGCCGAGAGGGGGCGCTTACGACGTAAAGATTGCTGAGACGGTTCCTGGCGAAGACGCTCTCGCTCTTCAGATCAGCCTGCGCCCTCTTTAGCCTCCTCCTGTCAGTCACTCCATCACAAGACATAACGGCTAACGCGACCACCACAGCGCAAGCTCACAGCCACCGTTATAGGCCTGCAGGCCGAGCAGGCGCAGGGCAAGAACGTGACGGCTCAGCTCGAGGAGGAGACCAAGAAGCTCGAAAAGAGCGTCGCAGACGACGTGGCCAACGCCGGCGAGCCCGCCACTGCCCTAAAGTTTGACGCCTCCATCGACAACCCAGCCGCATCCGAGGTGCCCAAATACGATGCGGTGGCGGCCAAGGCGGGAGATGTCATCAGCTAGTCCCTCCCTGCCGCCGAGAGCAAGAATAACGGCGGCAATGGAAAGGGCAACGGCCAGGGTAAGGATTCCGGTGCGGTGGGCACTGCTACTTAGGCTGCTCAGGATCCCGCCGAAAATGAGGAGTGAAGGAGAGGGGTGGATCACTGGCTGAGTTATTGTCGTCCAGCTCGGATGTAGGTAATGGGATCCTATCGGGCCCTGGAGGCCTATATGATGGGTTCTGCAACTGTCTTGAACAGTTCAAATGAGGTGATTCAAGACTTCTTGTGTCTAAACAGCTGAAGCGATGGTCGGAGTGATAAATGATTGGGATGCCAGGCAGAATTCACCAGCAGCCATTGCAATATAATGTCAAGATCCATCAGCCAACTATTGGTCATTTTTGTTATGGAATCGTTTGCCTGCTGTCACTCGCCGTCATTTTCCTCCCTCATATGAAAATGCGTAGGCTTATAAAGCCTCGTGCTTGGACAGAAATACTTATTTTGGTTCAAATTACACATTCTGTGTCAACGGTTCCAAGTGTTGCACAGACGAACTCAACATGCACAGTTGCCGCAGAAACTCGTCACCGCTATATGACAAAAGGTTTATGATCGTCTGTCTGACTCGGTGCAATGTTCTGTAGATCATTTGTCCAGATCACCGGAACGGTGCTTCGAAGACCTCCAGCAGTGGGCCCTCGGTCGATCATTCCGTCCTTTGTTGGGAATTTCGTCTGATTAATGTTACCGTGCTATTCGGACATCGTGTTCCATTTACCCAGACATTGCCTGAAGATGGCACCGCGGCGGATACCTGTCGTCCGTAAGTTGGAACCTCCAACTGAATCGTCAACCCACGATGCGCTGCACCACTTACTTGCACGAACAACGGAAAACACAACCTCGGAAGCAGCATGCGAATGTCGCTTGTCCTGTGAATTTCCCGACTTCTCCTCTACTTTGGTCTCAATCACATTTAGGCGCCCTCGTCAACCAAATTCGCCCTCGGTACCAGCGCGCCGCTGAGGCCCAGGGCCTCGGTACCCCTGCCCACCGTTTCACTTTTCCACCCCAACCCAGCACCTCAAACCGTCGCATCGTTGCCGCATCTGTGGGCAATCTCCTCGAGCTAAACTATATCCGGATCGTCTGCATCAGTATTATGGGTGAGGATACCCCGGCTCTTGCTATCCTGCCTCCAGCTACAAACCTGTGAATCCTAACTAATTCACAATTTCCTAACTCTAATACTAGCCGTAACTCTATCCCTAATCCTAACCTAAACCATGACCTCTATCTTAACTAAAGCTACGCGACAGCTTGTTTTGACGTTTCTATTTTATTTTATTTAAGCGAGTTTCTATATCGATTGAGGAAAAAGAGGATGTCAAGAGACGAGTGGGACAGAACCTGTGATTGTACAGATACGAGAGATGGAGATAGAGTAGCAGCAGTCGGCAGCAGGGTACCCCCGTTCGATGCTATTTGCCTGCCGTGCATCTTTGCCCCACGTTCGTCTCATGAAGCCTTGAGCTTCTCCAGCCTTTTCGGGTTAGCAGAGGGATGGGGGGGGGGAGGGGGCGGCTGAAAGATGCTCTTCTGGGACACGAGACAATACTGACTCCGTAGAGGCCCCCGTCCTCTCGTCATCTTCTGGCGCGTATCCAGACACGAGCGGAAAGGGGGCCTGAGAAACTGGACCAGCTTCTGTAATGTAGCCCCGTCCCGAAACTCCCCTCTTCCTTGGCGATCATGGGATCCCGATGCGATTATCTCGGGCTCCTCGCGCCGAGTTGCCTGCTGCGCAGGATAGGCCACTTGCCATGGGTTCGGGTTACGGCCTCGTCAGGAGGCGTCGCCTGTTTGACACTTCGTGAAGGACTGGCTGGGTATTGAGGATGGCAGACAAGGGGCTATGCTTAATTTCCTTCTTCGTCTGATCTCTCGCCCCCCGATGTTGTATATAAAGTCCCTATCCTTCTCGCCATGTCTGTCTGGATATCCTCATCAGCTCCAACAGTTTCATTCTATCATTCACTTCTTTTGCTTCTCTCCCGCCGGACGGACACTCTTTTTCTTGCAATCTTAACGTTCATTTCCCGAAAAGCTTTCGCTCAATTTCAAACTACATCTCTCTTTCAAACGACAAGATGAAGTTCACTCTCCAGTCCGCCGTCCTCGCCCTCGCCTTCGCCCTCCAGGCGAGCGCCGCCGCCGTCGAGGACCCCTCGATGGCCGCCGTCCGCCGCAACACCCTCCTCATGGAGCGCCAGGGTGCCAACGCCAACCGCCCCGTCCCCAACGGCTCCTGCTGCATCGCCAACACGAGCTTGAAGCAGGATGTCTGCAACGTCAACGGCCAAACTGGCCGCTGCGTTCCTGACAACATCAACAACTGTGAGTTTCCGTCCTCTCCTCACATCCCCTCTTCCAGGGCACCTCTTGAGAGGGCCTCGGGGAGGGGGAGAGAATGCTTGGCTTGCGGGAGAACATTGCCACTAACAAATCTGAACAGGCGGCGCCAAGTTGACCTGCATCGAGGACAGCAGATTGACCTGCGACCCGAACACCCTCGAGCGCGGCCGCCCCCTTTGCCGCCGTCGCCAGGGTGCGTAAATCAGTGGCTATGAAGTAATTGTAAGGGAAGGGGTAACTTGCAAGCAAGAAGCTTATTGATCATGGTCGTGTTGCACGTTACCTTCCATAGTCAGACCAAAAAAATATGAATGATAATGAGTCTCTGGAGAGATGGAAAAAAAAGAGCACGCCGCGCCCGTTGAAATGAAGCTCCAGTGAAAAGTTCCAATTGACATATGCAACTCATCTAGTAGTGTAAAAGGGCTTATATTACATCACCCAATCATCGCGGCACAAACTCATCCCCGTCTCCTAGAGACCGGGCCCGGACCATGGAGGGGCCCGGCTTCATATCTATCCATCTCCCTTCTGCGTTCCAAATACCAGCTTTGGTGAAGTCATAACTCGTGCTGCCTTCCATGAAGCCGAACCGGACATACTCGTTCAGCCCGAGTCCGCTCTCGCGGGTCCAAACGAAGCTCTTCGTGGGAACGGGACCGTCGTCAAAGTACGAGCGGAAGCGCTCCACGTCGTTGACCAGGACGCTGATGCCATCATACTGCGCCCCCGCCGGAGGGCTGTTCCATGTGAAGTTGATGCTCCACATGGCCTGACTCAAATCGATGACGGGAGGGAGGATGCTGGGCAGCACAGAACCATGCTGGGCATCGCCCTGGAGGGCGGCGGGCGTTTGCAGCACGGCGTCGAAACCCCAGCGGGCGACGCCGTTGATGAAGAGACCGACCAGGAGTCCCTGATAGAGCAGAGAAGGTCTCGTTTGCATGCTCGTGCCCGGAAGCAATAGCAGAGCCAGGATGTAGTGGTGGATACGGAGACTCAGGTCTGGCAGGACTAGACAGACAAGGATCCCTCCCAAGAAAAGTAGGTAGAGCTTGAGGTACTTCAGTAGACGGCCTTCTTGTCTTAAGTACCACACCTGTTGGGCAACGATGACAACCAGGACGATGATGATGGCTGCCAAAGCGGCCTTGGCTCCTGGTTGCTGATTGAGATCATGTGCGTTGAGCCGCTGGATTGGGATCCAGCTGAAGGTGTAGTTGCTAAGCGCACCAACCCAGCACCCACCGAGCCACAGAACCGTCTTCTCGATCTGGGCGGTGAGACCAGTCAGCGTCCGCCGGACGCCCATCTTGTCATAGATGACCCAGCCGCAGAACATGGCAGGGATGAATTTGCCAATGATGTTGGACACGAGATCGGCGACGGAGTAGTGATTCGGCGGGTCTGAGGCAAGTCCGACGTGCCAGAATACGCCGACGAAGATGGAGAAGAAGAAGAGCGCGGGAGACGCCGTGAACAGAGAGAGCACTGTCGTGAAAACGACCGACACCGCCAGCAGCATCCATCTGAGGTCCCGGGCCTTGCATTCGATGCCTGGCTCAAATGTGAAAGCGAGCGGGAAGTACGAGTCGAAACCGATGCTTTGAATATCATTCCTTTCGGAGCTGACGAAACCCTCACGTCGCCCAACCAGGCGGACGACACCGCAGCCTCCGTTTTCGTTGGAGATCACACCGGCATGGATTGCGGCGCCGCAGAGGAACGAATCGCCACGATAGATGGGCGAGCTTGAGTTACCGCTTGGTCCGCCGACTACGAGCGGCTGGTAGACGATCTCCTGGTCTCCTACGGCCCTCGGGTTCAGGACCATGTAGCCAGCGCAGTTGGCCGAGCACCTGAAGGGGAACCCGCTGCCGTTGAATGGGCGGCAATCAGCTCCGTTGAGGCCGCAATTGTTTCCTCGGCCCCAGTACGTTGCGCCGCATCCGATTTGCTGAGGCGCTCCCCATCCTTCAATCTCCGTAGCGAAAGTCTCGCTCCTCTTGACCAGAGCGAAGGCGATGATCCAGATAGCGATGTAGAAGAAAACGAGGCCGAAACGGTGTTTGGATTTTCGCAGGCACCGGTCAACCAAGACGAGAGGAAACTCTTGGACTTGTGGCAGTATGGGCTTGATCTTGTAGTCTTGCGGGTTCGGCGGGCCCTTCGACCATTTCGCGGCGGCCTTCACGGTGCGGCGTACCGGGTATGGGACCCATCTCCACCGCTTCCAGTGCCCTTCGTCCTGCATGAACCTGGGCGTCGATGGGGAGGAATCGTCGTCGACTTCGAGCTCGCGGCGTGGGGAATCCCCGAGGGGCGCATCGGGGTGCTCTATGGCTTCGGCCTGGTTCGCAGGCTCGTGGGCCTGTTGCCGCTCCATGATGCTCAAGAGCGGTTCACGTTCGTGTCTTCCGTCGACCATGGTGGCGATATGGAACGTGGCGCTAGGCAAGATATGTACGGATAAGGTGAGTCGAGACGATTCGCCGGACCGGACAGGGGCGGGAATCCAAGAAGCTAAGCGGTTAAAGAAGCTGAGGAGGGCTACGCCACGACGATCAGTCAGCAAAGGAAAAGGCTCGGCATTGGGGGCGTAGGCGGAAGGCCGTACTAAAAATGTAGAGATCAGTGGCATCAATGCGATGCTATCAATTGACGAGGCCCTCTTGAGCGTGAAACGAATGTTTCGCTGGCCCCTCGACCAGCTGTATAATGGCATCAACGCATTGGCTTCGAAACATCAGACGGACGGAGCGCAGCCTATGGATGGCAGCGCTGTGGCACAAGGAACAGCTCAGGAACTGCATTAGCCAGCTGGGTGATCCTAAAGCCTCGGCACTGAAGCGCCTCCGTTCCCCGTCTGGCTTGACTTGACCCTGGCAGGTGGGGGGTCCGGCGTTCCGCATGGCGAAAAAGCGGGAAAAGAGGTACGTACCTCATGATGCCGCTTTTACTGTAGTGGCATGAAAACGGAAGAACTAAAGGCGAGGGTCCGACAGACGGCTATCGGAGGGATGTGTCAGCACCCTTGCCGAAGCTCAGCCACATTTCGGCCCGACTATTCTGCCAATTTGCGGCGGATCTGTGGCGTGGCGCTCCCAAAACCCGTGTGGCGAGTCATTTGTTAGGCAAGAGGTTGAACTCGGGGGCTCATCTGGCTTTAATTACAAACAACCTGCAAGTCTCTCTCACTGTTCATGCTTAAAATGGCCCCCACGCGTTTAGACTTTTTCCTTCGTGACCGATATCGCCTCTGCCACCTTTAGCATGTGCTTGCAGTCCCAACATTGGCTTTCCCATGTTGCCCAAACCCAAGTTTTGCATACGGATTCGCTAAACGAAGCGCGCAATATCGCCTAACTACTTAGGTTCTCCTGTCTTAGCGGTGTTAGGGCTGTCTTCTCATCACTGATAGCTACATAAAAGAACTTGGGAGCCAACACCTTACCGATCCACACTGCTTCACCGATAATACTCCGTACCTCTCAGATAGATGCAACAACCTTGGCGGTTTCTATCGCCTTCTCTATTCCTTCGACCCATTTAAACTACCGGTCAATTTGGCAACCATGCACCTCATTGGCCGTTTCCTCTTGTCCGTTAACGCAATGGATTGGCCTGGGCTATCCCCTCCCGATGATCGAGCGCTTCTTGACGGCTGTCGGTGCTACGCATGTGCTACCTACGTGTTCGGTGGTTCAACTTGTTGAGGGAGTTCTAACCGGCAAGGGGCATGGAGCCCAAGCAAGGTACACGCACATCTGCCCTCCCGTCCTGTTGGTTGTATCGTTTCCCTTGCCTCGACTGCCTTTAGTGCGCAGTTGGAAGAGCTTCTCGCAACTTGTCTCGTGACCTCTTTCCCAGATTTAATCACACCTGCGGTTACCCTGCATCAGTTATTAAAAGAGGTTAGAAGTGGTCTTTGGGTCTACAACAACTCTTTCCCTCTTCAGGCTTGTGTCTGTGTTCTCCCCCCCCCCCCTTCTGCCACCACTCTTATCGCGTCTACTTGGAAGTGACCGCTTTTTATTTTATTTCATCTCACGATACCCCCTTTGCCAGACACTTGTTACCATGCCCATTCTCGACATCACCAAGGACCTCGCCGCGCTCTTCGAGCAGCAGGCAAAAGCCACCCCAGATGCCATTGCTCTCGAGGACGAGTCACGAACTCTTACCTACGCTGAGTTGGACCAGGAAACACAGGCCCTCGCCGACCGTTTGCGTCGTCATTATGGAGTTGGTAGAGATAGCCTTGTTGGCATCCTCATGAACCGTAGTGCAGACTATGTTATTGCTTCTCTGGCTGCACTTCGCGCTGGTGGTGCTTTCCTGGTTCTTGAGCTGGCATACCCCTCTGGGCTTCTGCGAGATGTCATTCAGGACGCAAAACCACAAGTGGTCATCACGCAAAACGCCCACGTCAACCACATCAAGGCGGACGTGCCCATCATCGTCCATGATGAGCCCAGCAAGACGACAGTCAACGGCCATGCAAACGGCGAGCTTCCCCCGTTGCCCGCCAGCGACGACCTCGAACGTCTTGCGTTCGTGTCATACTCCTCAGGCACGACTGGCCAGCCAAAAGGCATTGCCAACCCTCACAGAGCCGCAGTACTCTCATACGACCTCAGGTTTGGCCTGAGCGACTTGCAACCGGGCGATCGTGTAGCCTGCAACGTGTTCTTCGTCTGGGAGATGCTTCGCCCCCTTTTGCGCGGAGCGACCGTCTTCGCTATTCCGGACAGTGCTAGTTACGATCCATCAGCTCTTGTCAGCCTGCTTGACTCTCGACAGATCACAGACACACTCATGACGCCTACGTTACTGGCAACTGTTCTATCTCGTCACCCCGATCTGGGCAAGCGCTTGACCAAGTTGCGGTCTCTATGGCTGAACGGCGAGGTTGTAACTACCGATCTCTGCCGCAGAGCTATGAAGGCTTTGCCCGAAACCAAGCTCCTGAACGTTTACAGCGCCAGTGAGACGCACGAGGTCGCTGCCGGTGACATTCGCACGTTCGTTGACTTTGAGGCCCACGTTTGCCCCGTTGGCCCACCTATGGACCCAGAGCACATCTACATCATGGACGAGAGCGGCAACAGAGTTGGCACCAACGTCAGTGGAGAGCTCTACGTTGGTGGTGACCTCCTGGCCAGAGGCTACCTGAACCTGCCAGAGACCACCACAAAGGCTTTCCAACCGGACCCCTTCGACACGAAGGCTGGAGCTCGCATGTACCGTACAGGTGACCTCGCTCGCATACTTCCCTCTGGGCTTCTGGAAATCACTGGCCGAGCTGGTGGCATGATCAAGACTCGTGGCTATACCGTCCAGCCTGGTGCAGTGGAGAATTCCATTGTCAAACACTTGGCTGTGCGTGACTGTGCGGTCTCATCTCACGGAGAGGGCCTCGAGAGACAACTCGTTGCCTATGTTGTACGCGATAACGGTGATAAGAGAGGCCGAGCCGATGTCGTAATCGATGAGTCTGGATACAGTCCTGCATCCAGGCGTGTTCTTGGGAATCATCTCGCCCTCTACATGATCCCGACATACTGGGTCGAGCTTGAACAGCTCCCCACCCACGGCGTCTCTGGCAAGACGGATTTGAAAGCGCTGCCGCCGCCACCAAGCCCCAAGCTTGCCATCAACGGCGAGAAAGAACAAAACACAAAGATAAAGCTGGAGACAGTTAAGAAGCTTTGGGCTGCTGCCCTCAACATGCCCGACAGTGCCATCACCGAGGAGCACGATTTCTTCGACATAGGAGGCCACTCCCTCGTCCTTGCCGATCTGGCGAATCGATTCACCAAGGAGTTCGGATTCCCGGTTCCGCTTGCCCCTCTCGCCGGCACACCCACTTTGCAAGGCCACCTGCAAGCGATTCGCGATGCTCGCGATGGTCACACCGCGGCCGTGCAAGCCGATCTTCCTGCCGTTCTCCGTGCGGACTCTATTTTGCCGGACGACATCCAGGCAAACGGCACTTCGATGCGTCGTCTGAACGATGCCAACACGGTGCTCCTGACCGGTGCAACTGGATACCTTGGAGCCTTCCTTCTCAAGTCTCTTGTTGAGACCACCTCAGCACACATCATCTGCCTTGTTCGTTTCACCGACCCTACGGAAGATATGCGCCCTGCGGGTATGGCCAGAGTCCGCAAGAACCTCATCGATCTCGGCATTTGGGACGATTCCCTGCTTGACAGGATGGAGATTCTGCCTGGGAACCTGTCTCGGGAGCACCTCGGCCTCTCCCCTGAAATCTACGAGGACATTGCTTCTCGTGTCGAGGTCATTATCCACGCCGCTGCGACCGTCAACCTAGTGTACCCCTATGCTGCGCTGAGAAGCCCCAACGTCGGAGGCACCAGAGAAGTTTTGCGCCTGGCATCCAAGAGCGGCGCCACTCTCCACTACATTTCCACCAACGGTGTTCTGACGCCATCTGTGGCAGGCTGGTCCGAAGACGCGATGGTCGACATCGACGACGTTCCTGAGAAACTGCTCGACGGTTATGGGCAGACCAAGTGGGTGGCTGAGAAACTAGTCTATGAGGCCGCTCGTCGTGGCATGCCGTGTAAAGTCTACCGACCGGGCACGATCAGTGGTCACAGCAAGACGGGTTCGTGCAACGCCTGGGATCTTCTGAACGCCCTGATTGTGGAGTCGTTGCATCTCAAGACTGCGCCTCATGTCGATGGCTGGTTTGCTGAGATGACGCCCGCCGACTTTGTCAGTGCGGCGATTACAACGCTCGCCAACCATACCGACCCTAAGCAGCTTGTTTACCACCTCGGCGATCCCAACCCAGTTTCCGCCAACTTCATTTTCGACACCTTAAACGAGCTTGGATTCCCGACCACCCGCGTGCCGTGGGATGACTGGGTCGAGCTTTGGACCAAGAAGAGGGGCTTCGGCACTGCAGGCGATGTGCCTTTCACTGTAGATATTCTTCGTGGTGGTATGCCCACCGCTGAAGGTCTGCAGGCAGTCACTGTTCTCAAGGACGATGCCACGGCGCCTGCTCTGGCGCTATACAACCTTCAGCGTCCCAAGATTGACATTAACCTGCTCGAGACTTACACTCGTCACTTCTGCGCCAGAGGTTGGCTTTCAAGGCCTCCGCGCCGAACAGATGCCAACGGTGTCACGTCCCACGTCAACAAGGGCCGCCTGGCCGGTAAAGTTGCCGTTATCACCGGCGCTTCTTCCGGTATTGGAGCGGCTGTTGCAGCTGGCCTTGCCAAGGAGGGTGCTCACATTGCCCTTGCTGCGAGACGCACAGAAGCCCTAGATGCCGTGAAGGCCAAGCTCGCCGGCACCAGCGGCAAGGTCCTCATCCACAGGACGGACGTCACCAAGAGTGAGGATGTAGCATCGCTCATGCAAGCAGCAACCGATGAACTCGGCCCCGTCGACATCCTCGTGAGCTGCGCTGGCGTCATGTACTTCACTATGATGGCGAACAACCACACCGAGGAGTGGGAGCGCACCGTCGATGTTAACTGCAAGGGTCTCCTGCACTGCCTCTCAAACACAGTCCCTGGCATGCTGAGCCGCGGAAAAGGTCACATTGTGGCCATCTCTTCCGACGCCGGCCGCAAGGTCTTCCCCGGCCTGGGTGTCTACTCGGCCAGCAAGTTCTTTGTGGAGGCTACACTGCAGAGCTTGCGTCTCGAGACAGCCGGCACGGGTCTGCGTGTCACTTCGATCCAACCCGGCAACACGGCTACGGAGCTGCTAGGCATGTCTACCGATGCCGAGGCCATCAAGAAGTACGGCGAGCCCACGGGTGCCAAGGTTCTGGACCCCGACGACGTTGCTTCGTCGATCGTGTACGCAGTGTGCCAACCTGAGCACGTTGCTGTCAATGAGGTTCTCATTGAGCCGAGAGATGAGCCTATCTAATGCTTACGACCATGTTGGGAGAGTTTAAAAAAGCTGCATGCATGTTTGTCACGATACACATAGTTGGCGAAGGTTCAATCTTTCATGGGTTTAGACTAGCATCAAAATATTTTGAACTTTTCAATCAAACCGTTTGCTTTCTGTCCTGTCTCGCTTTGTTTAGTACTCGAATCAGTCTTACTGGGGTAGTTATCCGACAACAAACGAAAGGAGCAGAACGGTCAAGTTAGTTGGACAATTATCAACCGGTTGCTAATCGACCCTACGTTCCAGCATCAAAACCCAACCTCCAGGATCAGTCTGTAATCCCCGCGGCTCAGATTTCCATCAGTTCTCTCACATACCTCCCTCCCCGCTTCCCAGATCTGCCAATGTTTGTCAGTCTTGGCCAACGCCAGCAGACGTCATACCGTGAGTCTCTCGGTCTCCCGACCGACAGCCGGGCCTCTACAATGACAGGCAAAAGCAGCAGCGACATCCCATCTTCATCTGATCTGCATTGCATATGCTATTGCAGCGGTATCGGGCGTGGTTAGATGATTGGCCAAGATGGCTCGGTCGCACTGCGTTTGTGCGTTGTCTAAATCCCTGCAGCGCCCTTCGCCCGGATCTGCTCCGAGCCCCAGGTGCCCCCCATCGGGAGCCCGAGCCGCGGTGGCCCGCCGTCATCGGCTGAAGCTCCAAGCCCCAGCCACATCCACTTTATCAACAGGGCCGCATATACGCCTCACTTCCAAGCCTCGCCCACTCTGCTCGGTGTGGCTGGAGTTGTCGCGCTTGTAGCTGCCATTTTCATTTTCACTACATTTGCGCTAGAACATCTCACAACCATCGACTTGGTTTGGCGAATGCAAGCGAGGAAGCACCGAGGACTACTTCAAGAGAAATCGAAACTCAGGATTTCTGAGGATTTCGTGATCGGGCATAGTATCCGCAAGCCATCGTCACGCCGGCGCCCTGTGACACCAAGGTTGAGATCACAACTTGCGTGAAGGGGTCTTTGATGTGTCAAGATGAGTAATGCAGAAACTTTCAACGTGGAGAGGAATTCAGAAGGCATGATATTTGAGATATTGCAGAAAGCCACAAATGGCTCCTCGGCGGCTCGGCTGGGAAGACTGAGTCTCCCCAAACGGAATCCCATCGAAACTCCGAACTACATCGCCGTGGCATCCAGAGGTGTTGTCCCTCATGTCACGCCCGACAACATCGAAAAATATACTTCTATCGGTGCAGTGTACATGGCGCTTGAGGACTGTTTGTTGACCCACATGTCTCTATTTTTGATATCTTATGAAACTAATCAGAGCACAAGTCATCGAAAAGAAGAACCCTTCGGTGCTCTCAATACCCTCGCCAGATAAGAAGCCCCTCCACACCTTTGCCTGCCTTCCCGATGGCGTGGCCACTATTCTTGCCCCTAGACGATGCCCGGCGATTAAGACTCCCGTAGGAAACGGCGCAAAATTCATGGCCATCTTCACCTCGACCGGCTTCCGGAACCTCACCACGGATGAGTACTCGGCGGCTGTCGAGACGCTCAAGCCCGACATTGCCATTGGCCCCGCCGACCTGTTCCATACGAGCACGATGCCGGTTCCGAAGAAGCTGGTCCGCATGGCAGAACGCACCGAGGAGTGGACTGACGCGTTCCTGACGCTCAAGGGGCGGGAGGCTTTTAAGGAGTCTGGGGTCTCAGTGTTTGCGCCAGTCCTAGCAGTGCCGCATCCCATACAGTGGGAGCATCTTCGTCACTTGGCTGAAGACGTCATCGACTCTATTTCAGGGCTCGCAATCTACGACGTGGACCTACTGCCCGATATAGAGGATAGCTACGAACCTCTGGTTTCGCTGCCGCGTCTCTCTCTCCATATTCCCTCTACGCCTCAAGCGATACTCCGGCAAATCTCTCTAGGTGTTGATGTTTGCACGATCCCTTTCATGAACACCATCTCCGACGCTGGCGTAGCGCTATCCTTCACCTTTCCTCCACCCAGTACTCAGAGCAACGCTATCTTGCCGCTCGGCGAAGACATGTGGTCTCCCGAGCACGAGACCTCACTTAAACCTCTTGTCGAAGGCTGTCAATGCTACGCCTGTACAATACACCACCGAGCCTTCCTGCACCACCTCCTCAACGCCAAGGAGATGCTAGGCTGGACACTGCTGCAGATTCACAACCACCACATCATGAAGGAGTTCTTCACCGGTATCCGAACGACACTTGCGGAGGAGCCCTCCGCGGAGAAGTTCGAAGAACAGGCGAAGCGCTTCGCTGCGGTGTACGAGCCGGAGCTGCCGCAGGGCACGGGGACGAGACCCAGGGCAAGGGGATACCACTTCAAGCCAGACCCGAATCCTAGTAGGATCAACCCGCCGGCGTGGGAGAGATTCTCAACGGGTGGGGAGGCTGTGGCCAACGGGGTCGCTGTCGCAGCAGTCGCGGTGGAGGGGATGGAGACGCCGCTTGTGCCGGACGTGGGATCGCTGAAGCTTGAGGAGAAGGGATTTGCGGAGGTTGCGCACGACAAGCAGAAGCCTGACCCATAGCTGGTTGCGACGATATCACTGTTGGGAGTGTCGCAGTGGCAGGGAGTATAAGATGGTATTTTGATCCAAAGCCAGCGAGTCATACATACTCCAACACCCTTCCAAGAAAAAGAAAAACTCAAAGCCCGTACGCATGTGATGGACATGATTGCCTCAAAATATACTTTCAATTGGCACTGGAGGAATTCCTTCAGTTTCTCTTAAGGTTAGCTGGAACCATGGGATGCTCCCAATCCTTGAGAGCCAGGTCGGCAAAAGGCATGATGCTGCTGTTTCTTTTAATACCTCGATAGATTCCTCGTGACCAATCCTGAAAGATAATCAATCATCCTTCTTGGCACCGAGCCATACTGTGTCCACGTTGTATGCTTTTGCACAGTTCCTGGTGTACTAGCATAACACAGCCAGCCAGGCAGCCGACATCGAAATCTGCGCATATCTGGAACATCAGAGGTTTCCGCAACTTATATACTGCAACCACGTTGCAATCCCCAGTTCTCTCTCAAAAATCTTGCGGCACTAAGACAGGTCCAGGGTCAAATAGCGTCTGGTGCATATACAAAGGTCCGCTACCCGGCGAAGTGCAGCCCATCGCGATGGCGTCTTGGGACAGCGAGAATCCGGAACCTCCCAGTACCCAGCATCCCATCAACATGGAGCCTCTCGTCCAAGAAGCCCGATGGCCATCGCCCGGCCGCGAGGCATCCCCGCCGTCCTGGCCTGCCTTTTTCCTCCGCGTGATCGTATTTGCCCTCTGCCCCTGGAGGTGGCTCTCCGCCCGGCGCCACGCTCGGCGGCTCGACAAGTGGCGCACTCGGCTGCAAGAGCAGTGGGACCTCGACATCAGGGGGAAGCACGGCGAGTCGAGGCCGCTGCCCGAGAGCGAGGAGGAGTTCCTGCAGCGGGTGTACTTGTTGGTGAAGGCCGAGTTCGCGGGCATGACGACAAGGGTGCCGACGTGGAAGATGTATGGGGAGTTGAAGGGCCGGAGGTGGTCTGGAAGGACGTTGGAGGACCGGGCCGCGAAGAGGCTTGTTGCGTATATGTATTGGGCGTTGGTCTGGAAATGCGTGTGGCTTGACTTTCTCGATATGGTTTGGGAGTATGTCGGGTTGTGAAGTCGAGCGAGGCTGTATGTACCTCTCTCAATCTGTACTCTTCAAGCTCATGGGCAGCCTCAAGCTGGCCATAAGTTTCTGCTCGGTAGGGTTCCCCGTGTGATGGCGGGGTTCTGGTTTATGATAGTGCAAGGAATTCTCTTACAAGCCCTGATTCTGCACCCGGATCCAGGCTACTCACAAGATATAGCGCTGGCCTCTGCTTATTGGAGTACGCGAAGGATGATGTTCGGAATTGCGTTATTTGCTATTGGGTGTGTCGTTTCCCCTTGGGTTTCTGGAACCACTTACTTGCTTCTCCCTTTACCCTATCTTTGGGGTGCCTACTGTAATCCCACGTGCTAATGTGCTTGAAGACACAAACTGCGAGAAAAAGCGGACAACTTTACCAGACTCAAGAAACGCCAGTAAAACCATTAGCCATTCATCTTAAATTGCGCGAGGCTATGCCATGGGTAGGCCCTGAGATTAGATTGTAAGCTTCATGATGACAAGCAGGCTTGTTGCATTTCGGCATTCATAAAGCAGGGTATTCCCCAAATGTAGAGGGCCTTGCTCCTATAGCTTACAAGCCGCCAACACTGGTTGTTCGCCTGTCCAGCTTCCACGCTTGTTCGCATACCAGTATGTTCCAAAGTGCTTCCAGGAAACTCTGGCAATTCCAAGAATGGTTTAGAATCCTGGTGTTCAGACGAGAACTTTGGATGCGCTGCTGTTACTCGATTCTTGTCATATTCGTACGAATTCACTTTGCAACACACATGGTGATATTGATCACAAAGCAGAACCCCTGAATTTTGCGTCGAGCGGCCTTGGATATATACATTCATTCCAATATCTCAAAACTCATTGTCTCTCAATAGCCTTGGGCTCCCAAGAGGAAACCTTTGGCTTGGTCCTGAGGCACCTGATATCAGTATCCCCGCAAGTTGCTCCGAAAAATACCCATAAGAACTTACGTGTTATATGTCTTAAAAGCTCCTGGTGTCGCAGTGAAGTTGGGAAGAACGTGCGGGACCTCCCACTTCCGCGTCTTGGTCTGAAGAAGAGCATCCTCGGTGGGCGGCTTGTCAACCATGTACGCCAGCCACGCGTGCCAACCAGGCTCAACCTGGGCAGAGTCGTAGTCATGCTTCTTAAAGTCCACCCATCGCGTACGCACTGTCAGCCCCTTTCGTTAGTCCTTTCTCCCTCCTTCATCGCAACGGCCGATCGAGGAGGGGATCCATACGGGGAAGTTCGTCGTTGTTCTCGTAGAACTTGTTGCCCGCCTTGTCCTCGCCGACTAGACGACCGTGTTTGGTGTCGCCAATGTACTATTCTCGAGCGTTAGAGGGGAAATGGCGATCGGGGGTTCGGGGGCCATGTACCAGCATCTGGCGGAAGTATTCCTGCAGGAGAAGGTTAGCAACGGTGACACCGGCGGCGCGGGAATTGGTTACATACCTTAATGCCAATCTTGCGCAGGTTGTTGAACGTTCTCGCGGGGGTCGACATGGTGGCGGCTGGTCAATTGACCTCGAGGAGCTATACAGACGACGACGTGATTGAAGACTTGACGTTCCGAAGGTTGAACGACGCAGGTCCCAGGGTGGAGCTCTGGATTACATAACCTCGAAGACCATTGGGCTTTGGACTCCCTTGCGCTCCCGGCAAAACCCGCCACCAATGACGGAGCTTCATGCACGCACCCATGTCTCTAGGATCTCGAAGCTCTGCTGTTTTGTATGAGCTTTTGATTAAGCATCTTGGAAATCGCCAGGTCCTAAACTTCCAGTCGACCGACGCGCGATGATTGTCCGCGGTGTCTCGCGGTGCTCTACGAAGCTCAAAATCCCCTTCGCCCAAACGAATGTTACACGTGCACGACCGCAATGCCGACGATTCGCAATGCCTTCTGCCGGTACCCCATCGGCCTCGAACTCCGGTAGCGCTGCTGGCATGCTTGCGCCGTTCGCAAACGAGCTCGACAAGATCGCACCATCCTTCAGCGTCAATGGCTCTCAGATCCAGATCATTAGAACACCGGCCGATTTTTATGAAACACTCAAGGTGTGCACCACTCGCGAGTGCAATGGACTTAGGGACGGGTCTAACCCAGGCATAGGAGCGGATACGGAACGCAAAGAGGAGGATATTCTTGTCCACTCTGTACATCGGAAAGACAGAGAAGGAGCTGGTACGTTTTCGTATATACGAATCTGTTGGAATTGGCGGTTAATAACCTCCATTTCCAGATTGCGACTCTCCAGGAAGCGCTGCGAAACAACCCCGAGCTAAAGCTCAGCATCCTGACGGACGCCCTACGGGGCACTCGAGAGGAGCCGAACCCGTCGTGCGCCTCTCTGCTTGCACCGCTCGTTTCTGAGTTTGGCGCGGATAGAGTCGAGATTCGGATGTATCACACACCCAACCTGACAGGCGTAAGGAAGAAGTACATACCCAAGCGGATCAACGAGGGATGGGGACTGCAACACATGAAGCTGTACGGGATTGACGATGAAATCATTCTCTCTGGGTACGACATTGATGCACTATGACACACTCTCGGCTAATAGAAATACAGAGCAAACCTCTCTTCCGATTACTTCACAAACCGACAAGATCGCTACCACCTCTTCTCCTCCAAGGACGTCACCGACTACTTCTGGAACATACACCATGGTGTCTCGTCCTTCAGCTTCCTTGTTGAGCCCTCAGAAGAAGCTGCTGGATTCACCTTGACCTGGCCCAAGTCCAATCCCGCACCCTCGCCGCTGGAAGAGCCGAAGCAGTTCATCGGCACCACCACACCAACCCTGGACGCCTTAATTTCGCCCAAGCAATCTGCTTCGGCAGATGCAGGCAAGGACACCAAGGTGTATATGCTGGCTCAACTGTCCCAGCTCATGAAGCCCGATACCTCGACGGAGCTCCCTGCCATTACTCACGTATTATCGACACTCAGCAAGCCTGAATACACAGGCTCGTCATGGACCTTTACTGCGGGATACTTCAACCCTGCGCCATCATTGACTAAGCTGCTGCTATCAACCGCATCACGGAACAACGTGGTTATTACCGCCTCGCAGCAGGCGAACGGGTTTTACCAATCTCCCGGCGTATCCGGTCTCTTGCCGGGCGCCTACACCCTCCTCGCCCGCCGATTCGTCCGCGCTGTTCATGAACGCAGGCTCGATGATTCCATTGTCCTGAAGGAGTGGCGCAAGGGGACAGTTGGCGAGCCCGGCGGGTGGACCTACCATGCCAAAGGCCTCTGGATCACGCTTCCGGGAGACCAGAACCCCTCGATTAGCATCGTGGGGAGCTCAAACTACACGAAGCGTAGTTATTCGCATGACCTAGAGGCTGGCGCCATGATCCTGACCAAAGACGAGGACCTCAAGAAGCGCCTTGGTCAGGAGCAGACGTGGCTTCAAGAACACGCTGAGCGTGTTACTCGCGAAGACTTTTCCAAGAACGAGAGACGGGTCGGTCTTCAAGTAAGGATAGCTATGTGGATCGCCCAGGCAGTTGGCGGTGCCTTGTAAAATGTGCAATGTATTATTATGGGAGAGGACATTCGGCGCACTCGAACAAGTTCACTTCGGTCTGTGTACAATCTAAATAATACAATAAATGATACCCGTAATGTTGACAATCTAAGTTGCTATTGATGGATAAACTGATAAGTGAATCCCTTGTCTCCATGCCCTGTGTAAAACAATGTAACCAGCCCGCATACTTAGAGGATGCATGCATCTAGGTCACGTCGCAAGACATGAAATAATTGAATCGAATACCATTCCTTCAATGACCGGGATATTTTCTTCCTTTTCTACTTATTTTCTTCTTATCACGTCTCTCAGTGTCACTTAGTTCAGTAAAACAAGAGGGCAAAAAAGGCAAAATGTTCCGAAACCGAGAATCGAACTCGGGGCTATGCCTAACCTCTCAAGAGATGAGAGGGCATCATGTTGGCCACTACACCATATCGGATGCTGTTACAGGACTAACAATGATGTAGACCTAAGTATCTTTGGTGCTTTCTGATTCGTATCCTTGCAGACGGGACTCCTGTTCGCCTCCTTTTGAACCAAGAAGCCAGAGCCCTTGCTGAAGCTAGTTCTTGATCAAGTCTTTATCTCTTGAAGAAAGTCTGTCTGATTTCTTTCTGCATAAATTTCTTCTCTTCTTCATTGACCCAATACGTGTTTTCTCCTGTTTTAACAGCGCTGTCCCGCCGCCTGAACCCCCAGCCCTCCAGGGGACTTATAGTGCTACAAGCCGCCCAGCGCGCCACCGAATCGGAAAAACTGGATTTGCAATTGTTCCGGCCCAGGTACCGGCGACCCGGCGGGTACGCGGACCACACCTTCAATCCGGGGAGAGCGTACGGACAAGCTTCGACATCATCCACGATCGAACCCCCCCCCGACGCAATCGCGAAACGAAGGAAGCGGCGCCCATTCCCTTCGACACTGGTCAATTGACACGCCCTACTCCCTCTCCGACAAGAACCCTTTCTACAATCGACAATGGTCGGCAGGATCCTCTTCTGGAGTGGCTTCGGTGCGTGATACATCCTCCTCTCCCCGTGCCCTTTCCCCTTGCAGCTTCGCGTCGTCACATACGCCGGCCACGCTCCCGCCCCCTTCTCCACACATGCGGCACCCTCGCGACCGGAAAAGCCATAACTGACTAAAACCCCTTCGACAGGCTTCGCCGTCCGCTTCTGGCAGATGGGCATCGAGATGCGCCCCTTCTTCAACAAGGAGTCCCTCTGGGCCTACCCGGCATACATGCTCGGCGGCGGTAGCTTCGGCTACTGGCTGCAGGGTGTCGATGAGAAGCAGACGTCTATTCTGAGCGAGCGCAAGTCGATCCTGCTTGAGAAGCGCGCGAGGGCGGCGGCGCGCAAGGAGGAGGAGGCTGCCAAGGCATAGACGACGGATGCTTTCCAACACCCAGCTACGGCTGACGGAAGCTGTAAGTCAAATAGAAAAGGAGAGAGGGGGCAGACAGAGAAACCAGCATCAAGAAGGAAAATTCGAGAAAGGAGGGGCGATGGCGTTGCGTGTGGAATCGGGTATCCCGTCGTCAAACCATCCGAGACAGAGGATGGGACCACGCTGCGCGGTGCCCTTCATGGCTGGCTGAGATTGCCAATTGGGGAATCCCCTTCACTACAGGGAACAAATTCCCTTTTGTACATATGGCGTTTAGAGAGTGGGCTGAATCGACGCTGTGAAACTCGTTAAGCAATGCACCCCCTCCCTGGCGATTGATTTGCCGCTGTGATAGACCACCCGCTCCAAGAGCGAAAAAAGAATCGCCTAAACCCGTACCGTCGCAGTGCCTTAGCTGGACGGGATGAGACGGGGTGTATGTCTTACCAAGAGGACCAAGGAACATCTCTCGGCCAAGGCTGCCCAGGTAAAATAAATTGATACACGAAAGAAGATGCGGGAACTTCAATGACCAGGATGCTGGAAAGGGTCACTGCGGGTAGACCGCTTGTGCAACTGGTGATAACGTTATATTAATGAGCAACGTACGTTGTGTCTTCTATATGCATGCCTGACGACGAAAGAGTATACATATGCACACCGCACAGATAACCTGCTACTACCGCATGAGATCATGTACAGACTTGTGATTGATGGCCAAATGGTCTATGGTGCAACTCTACTCGAACCAGCTTGGTTTTGGTATCTATCTTAAGCCAAAGATGAGCAAAAGTCTTCCCCCACCAATGCCAAAATACTTTAAGAAGCCAACGGCATCATGCATTCCAGCCTCCATCACATGCCTCCAGAAGTTATGCCTCAACTTCTCATTACCCACCGTGGTTTTCCTTGGTCTCCACGCTTACAGCTCCTCCAGCTTCCTGAGAATCGCCGGCACAGATACGGGCGACGTGATGCCCAGCTCCGTGACCACGACGGAGATGTAACGATCACGCGTGGTGTCGAACAGCAGCCGAAACCCTTCCTCGGTGTTCTGCTCCGGGTCGATCTCGTTGTAAGTGAGCGAGTCCATGGCGACCCTCTCGGTAAAGTTGATGGTCTCGCTGAGCGCCACGACGCGGACGCCCTGGTCCGCTGCGGCGATGGCGATGTCGCTCGTGCCGGCGCGGGCGTACATGGCGCCGTTGCTGAACATGGCCTCGGCGCCGACCAGCACGCGCGACGTCTCGCGGAGGTGGTCGCGCATGGCGCTCAGGTCCGGGCAGTAGGCGACTTCGAGGCCGCCATCGCTGCCGGGCAAGTCGCGCAGACGCTTGGCGAAGTCGCGGCCGGTGTTCTCGAATGGGTCATCCACAACCACGACGGAGAAGCGCTTGCCGTCGGCGCGGGCTTGGCGCAGGGCGCGCTCGACGAGCGGGTGGTAGGCATAGGTCAGGACAGTCTCGCCGTCCTCGATGCTATCGGCGGCGGTCTTGACAATGACAAAGTCGGCCAGGGTTATGCGCTCGCGGATGAAGTTGTCGATGGACTCGCTGAGGAGCTTCTTGGCATCGATGTCGGGCAGGTCAATGTCGATTTTGCTGACCTGGAGCTTGAGCCAGCGGACGGCGTTGCCCATGGAAAAGCACATGGGCCGGCATGCCGAGAGGTACTCGATCTGTGGGTTCAGGATGTGTGATGTAAAGTGGCGCGAGAATGTGTTGCCTGGGGGCGTTGTGTAGGAGTCAATCACCTACTGCCGTGTTAGAGCCAAGTCATACCGCCGGATGCGAGGGCACAAGACCAACCTTCTTGAACGCCAGCAGAGTCGCCTCCAATCTCGTGGTGCTGTCGCTGATCACAAACGCGCTCATCTGCTGACCCAATACCAGGACGGCCGGGTGGACATCCTTATCGGCTTCCGTCATATGTATCCTCTTAGCCATAGACAGGTGACTGAAGCACTCAGGGACCTTGGGCCTGTTGTCTTTGGGGGCAGCAACCGGAACGACCTTGACTGCCGAACTGCCCCTTGGGCCGCCAGCCTGGCTATATCCCTGGGGACCTTCCTGTCTTGGTTTCGACTTTCCTCCTTTGGCGTCGCCTGCTCCGCCCTGCTGGGCAACTCCCTGACCGAGCGGTGGTGCGGGTTGCGCTTCCTTGGCCTTTGCTCGTCTCGCTGCCTTCTCAGCCTTTGCCAATGCCTTCTTCTCGGCGCCTGAGAGCTTCTTCTCTCCTTCTGCAGGTTCTGCCGATGGATCCTTCTTCTGCGCCTTGTCGTCCTTCTGCTGAGATTGTTGAGCCTTCTTGTCCTCGGGAGTGGCCGTGGTGGCCGGAGGCGGCGCGGTATTTGGCGTTGATGTGGCCATTACGTCCTGATCCTTCCTTCCCTTGTTTCCCGTCGTAATAGCAGCGCGACGATTTTGTCTGCCCGATGTTTCGTTGGAATTTTTTAGGGCTTTGTCGTGGGTGGGCAGCGGTCGATTGGAGTGTCTTTAATCGGTCTTGGGAGGCTGAGAAGTTTTGGAGGGTTGAGTCACAGGGGTTTGCGAGGCGGGATGCGACGGGTGCCCCGCGCTAAAAGCTCGCTAAAGCTTAAGTGCATAGTGCGGGGAATGATGTCCCAGCTGTAACGCGAATCACCACTCAACTCGGGAGGTACAGTTACAAGGCGCTCCCTCTTGAGGTCACAGGTACCCAATGATAACCATATACACTGTAAAAAGAACGCTGTAAAAGTACCATGCTCGGCAACACAATATAAGGTTTTAGAAGAAATATCATAGAAGTATCCGGGTATCTACCGTATTGACTGAATTCGTAGGTAACAACCAGAGTTTGATCTTAACCCCGGAGATAAAGAGTACCACCCTCTTGGGATAAAGGTACTATAAACCTGACCTTGGTCTACCTGTAGCTGCCTCATAGCATCATCTGAATCACCACTCAGCGGCTGCAAATGGCTGCTGCAACCAGCTCCTTGTCCAGACAGAAGCTGCTCCAGATAGGTCTCTTCAGATAGGTCTCTTCAGATACGTAAGAAGTCAAAGGCAGATCTCAAAATATTCCATTGATCACGCAAATAACGGTTTGACAGGGGAAGGTTCAAGTCAATTTTCAGCCATCTGACCATAGTCTGAAGAATAATGGTCTGTTAGGCTCTGAACTTGCGTGACTAGGGGGTGAGGAGAAGACATGTGACTCACCCGTGTGCTTCAGCCCAGCAAATGAACCAATGTTTGCTGGGTTTCTAGCTCACACAGAGAGATGTTAAAGTTACAGAAATAAGAATCATTCTGGAAGCCTCGGTAGCAGGTATTCTATCAAGATGACTTAAAAAGTCGAGACACATTAGAGCCGCAGTAGCAAGAACATCGGCTCTGTATGCAGATCTACTATGCAGAAATCTGATGGATACTCTAATATACAGACAAAATCTATGACACAGCCTCAGGTGCATCCGTGTAAAATCATATCAGCATCCGTAGTCTGTCGCGGCCCAATCGTCCTAGGATGATCCCGCAGGCCTATCAGTTCTCCAAAGGCTCCGAAGACTCCGAGTTGACGGCAGAAGACTTGGAAGGAGCTTTCGCCGATGGTGGCGCATCCAGGTATAGCTTCATGACCTTGGGCGGCTGCCCATCCGCCGCCTTCCACTCTTTCGCACCACGGACTTCGGCAACGACGTCCCGCACCGCCTTCACAAGCGCCTCCGCTTCGTCACGTGTGGCCATCCTGCTACCCCTCTTCTTGGCGAAGATTACTTCGACCTTGTAGCCCTTCTCCAGGAAGCCCTTCATCTGCTTCATCTTATGGCCGAGGTCGTGCGACGCGATGGCCCAGTTGAGTTCGAGCTCCTTGATCCGCGCCAGCCTGCGCGCAGTCTCCTTCCTGGCCTTCTCCTGCTCTTTCTCGCGCTCTTTCTCGAGGCGCTTGTCGACGATGCGGCAGATGGCGTACTGTGGCTGGTCCCCCGTCGGGTTCGGCGGTGCCCGCGAGACCATCCGCAGGGACTGCGTGTCCAGGTCGAGCGACTGGAGCACCCGAGAGGTGTTGTGTGGGCCCGTCAGCTTGCTGTCTTCGCCGGCGATCAAGATTTGGCGGTCGCGGATCAGCACGTCGGCGGGGAGCCTTTGTGCAGCCTTCGGCTCTGGTGTTGCCGAACTGCTCGGCTTCCGGGGTCGGTGAATAAGGGCTGCGTGACGGGCGAAAGACTGCATCGGCGGCGACAATACTGGCGGTAGTGTTCTGGAGGCGGGATGGGCAAGGGCGCTTCGTCGGGCTAAGGCTTCCACCTTCTCAAAGGGCGAGACGAAGACCCTATAAAGGGCTGTCCTGTTGTAGTTGTACAGACATCGTGTGCCACTCATGTTGGATAGTTTTTATCTGAATTGCGACAGTTGCGATTCAGGGCTTTCTTCTGAGTCACAGTTCGGCCTCGTTTGTCTCCGTTCAATGTTTGCTCCTGTAGAAGGTAAAGATGATTGCAAGATGCAAAAATGAGGTGCGGAGGAGGCAGGCAAACAGGCAAGCAAGCAGGGAGGAACTTTCATATGGGGCCGGAGACGGCAGCTCTCGCACCAATCAAGTCGCGCAATGCGATGAGCTTTCGAATGGTCCAAGCTCTACATAGCGGAACCTCAGACGTCAGCCCAATCCGCTCGTCTCAGCACTTCCCGTTGTCGTTCCTCACTCGCTCTAGGTAGGTACACAACAGTCAGCAGACAGAAGGTTGTCCAAACAATCTGTATGCAACCACGATCGCGAATGCAAACGCTCCATCGATAATGGCGGGGAATCCTTTCCGCCTGGCCCTGAATGTGGGAAAAACCATGGCTTTTGCCCACATCTTCTGGGAATACGGCTACGCCTGTGGTCCTGCGTCCGGCCCTTCCATGCTCCCAACCTTTGAGATTACCGGTGAAAATCTCGTCGCGGACAAGCGCTATCGTTACGGTCGCGATGTCGCCGTCGGCGATCTGGTCTACTACAAGATCCCAATCTTCCCGAAGGCCACCGGTGTTAAGCGTGTGGTGGGCATGCCAGGCGACTTTGTACTGTTTAACAGCCCTGACTCACGGAAGGACATGATGGTTCAGGTACGAGCCGGCGTTGGCAATCATCCCATAAGCTCCCCTGCTAAAAGTAGCTACAATAGGTCCCCCAAGGGCATTGCTGGCTGGTTGGTGATAACCTGGAGGCCTCTAGAGACTCGCGGACGTACGGACCTGTGCCATTAGCTCTGATCGGGGGCAAAGTGGTGGCCAAAGGATTGTCTTTGTCCGGGGGCAAGTGGCTGGAAAACGGACTACGCGATATCCAAGAAGGCCGAAAGTGAGGCGCGGCCAAGTGGAATCGCACCGTGCCATCATGCGTGATTCAGGCAATACGAGACGCGACGGGCGAGATGTGAACCTCGGCCAATCACAAGCTGAATTATCACAGATTGTGAGTTGTGTTTGTGGTCTTCTAAAGTCTGATCCTAATTACAACGGGTAGGGGGAGCCAAAGGGCGCCAGGTGAAGGTTCATCAAGCCTGACGACAGGCCTAGTAATATGAGACATGTATGACCCGAGAAACGAGCCACGATGCTTGATACAAAGCAAAAGGTCTGGGTCGTCTCCGTGTAAGGAAAAAAAAAAACTAAAAAACTTGGCGTGGCCTCTGACGGCGGCCGCATCATCGTCCGCCAGGACATTGGCATGCCGAAATAAACGCTCCTTCAAGATGCTTCCACGCCGAAATATACACTCAACGTAACAACCGAATCTCATTCTGCATGCTGATTAACGCCGATAACACCACCAACCCAAGCCTCCAAGCCCCTTGGTCCTGCTGTAGTACCCCGGAAGAGAAATTGGTGAACAAAATAATGAAGTGAGATCCGTGTAGAGCGTTGCCGTCTTCCTTAGCCTTCGATGTGAGTTTTGGAGCCACTTTGGCCAAGCAGCTCCAGACACCGTTGTGCCAGGTTGACAACTTCGCCTTCGTCGTCGTCTTCAAACTCATTGTCCGGCTCGATCTGGCGATTCGCGATTTCCTTAATCTGGTCGACAATATCTTGCGCCTGGCCGATCAACTGAATAAGATTCTTGTCCTCAGACTCAAGCAGCTGAAGCAGAGTCCAGATCGCTATATGCTGGAATGTCGCATCGCCGCTTTGGAGGAACCTCGTCAGGTAACCGTGAATACCGCCGTTGGGCTCCTTCCAGTCCTGAACGAATACGGCATAGTCGCCGACTAGTTCTCATTGTCAGTTTGGTACTTAAAACGAGAAACATTCAACACACCTTTTGAAGAGAGATTGCCAAGAGCTGCAGCACTGTTGCCCTGAACTTCAATGCTGGGGGAATGTGTGAGGGGAATCAAGACCTCGAAGACCCCGAGGTTCAGGAGATGAGACTTCAGCTCGTCACTAAGAGCCAGAACCGCAATCGCAGCTGTCATCTCGGATTGGACCGTGACGGGCACATCGAGCACCAGCTGCTTGCACTTCTGAACAGCGCCCGCATCGAGGACGAGAGCTTTGTTGCGGTCAGAGCTGGCGGCCAGGTTCCTAAGGGTTGAGATGGCGTGGCATTGGATCTCTTCGTTCTCGGTAGACCCGAGAAGATCGACCAGCGGCTTTAGAAAACCGGCTTCGATGATGGGCGACTCGTTCAAAGGGTGTATGGAAATGTTTCGTATGCATGCAACGGCGGAGAGAATCAAAGGCAAGTAGGACGACGAAAGAAGTCGGAGTAGAGGGGCGAGGCCGTTTGACCGCACAATGTCCAGTTGGTACTTCTCGTCAGAGGCCAAGTTACGGAGCGCGAGGGCTGCCTGGCACTGAACCTTGGGTGACGAGGAATCCATAAGAGTGACGAGCGAGGAGACGAGCTTGGACTCTGTCTGAGCAAGCTTGCGGCGGTTGTTAGCATCAACAGCAATGTTGCTTAGAGCCGTCGTGCAGTAGTACTGAACATCGACGTCGGGCGAGGAGAGTAGCTGGACAAGAACAGGAATGGCCCCGGCATTAACGAGCTGCTGACGGTTCTCGTCTGTCGCATGGGTGTCAGTCCCGTATCCCTCAAGCTGATGTGCCAGTAAGAAAAGAAATACCTGAGTGTGTCATGTTGAGCAAGGCTCCAGTCGCGTTCCTCTGGACCCGCATGTCCCTGGACTTTGCCAGCCTCGTCAAGGGACCCAAAGCGCCCGACCGTGCTATCTTTGCCTTGTTCTCTTCGTGTGTGGCCAGGTTTGTAATGCAGCCGACTGCGTTGCACTGCACTTCGACGTTTGGCGATAGCATCTGCCTGATGAGGGGCGTAAGGCCACCAAGCTGGACAATCAAAACCTTATTCTCGGCTGATGACTTGGGTCAGTGTGCATCCTACAGTGCTGCTTGCGAAGGTGAACCTACTGTTGACCGCCAGGTTCCCTAATGCGGCACTGGCCGCGCGCTGGACTTCGATATCGGGACTTTGTAAGAGAAACAGGATGGGTTCAAGGGTATCACGGTCGACCTCGCGAACATCTGTAGCAGATCGTCAGCAAGTTACGGTGACGTAGGCTAAAACTATGCGAATGGCATTCGCGACTGCAAGCAGTCAGAGTGTCGACATACCTCGTTCTGTGATTTCGGCAAAAGTCAGACTCGCACTCCGTTGCAAGTCAATATTCTCGGAGAAGACAAGAGTGCTCAGAGCTCGGAGAGGTTCGCCCGAGAAGAAGTCGGTTTCACCCCGCTGAAACAAGTCAGTACTCAAGGTCAGAAAGATGGATCGTGGCAGAGAAGCCATACGTTTTCAAGATACTGAAGCAAGTCGGCAACGGCTTCCCTTTCGCTATCGGCGAGGACTGGCTCGTAGAGCCCATCGCGGGCTCTCCCTAGGCGATCACCATCAGCTTCGGCTCAGACGTAACGATCGAAAACCTAATACCTCCGCAGCAGGATTGGCAGACTCCCATGGCCGAGGTGGGCGACAAAGGCCAGTGTTGATGGTATCAGGACTCGATGTAGAGGTGGCGGATCGGAAAGCTGGTGCTTGTTTGTTTGGATGGATCCTCTCGTTCGCAACACGAGCGTTGTGGCAGCCCAACGACTGGAGGGATGGAAAGTGAACAGTGGCGTCGGCGGCTCGATAAAAGTACGGTTTTGTCGAACAGGCTGATTGAAGACGCACGCTCGATAGCAGTCAGTCGCCTCGGCGAATCGATGCTTCTTTGCTGGTCGGTGTGAGAGTCCCGGAATTCGGTCGGAGGATGGACGACTCAGTCGGTCAAATGAGGTTTTGGGAGGAAAGGCAACGGGAGGATGCTCTAGGTGCCTCGTGGAGCACTGACCCAGGATCAGGTTGCAGCAACCCGCGGCAAGAGCAATCGGGGCGGCAGCAAGCCACCGGGGCCCTCTCTAGCGTGCCTAGGTAGATAAGTATGTGAGGCTGGTGCGAGGTAAGGTGCCTGCCTGCCTACGATAGGTGGGGTGGGGTACGCACCAAGCAACGGGCAGCGAGCAAGCACAACAAAACAGCAGCACGAAAGAAAGGCCCGTGGAACCCAATGTGGGACTGATAACCTTGGGCCTTCTTACCCCTTCCGGCTTAGAGGTCCCAGAGAAAGGAGGTACAGTGTACACAGGAAGGTTCGAGTGTACCTGCAGCGTGCGCCGGCTTTTACTCGTAATGCGACTGGCCAGTGACTTATCCCCAGTGAGACGAAAACAGTGAAGGTACCCACCCACCGCCTCACTCTTTAATTTTTCCCGTCTGCAGCAAGACCCAGTCTTCCATGTCCCTCAGGCGACGCTGCCGCGCAATCCAAAACCTCGAGCTTGGGAAACGCGGACCACCTTGTTCCTTCCTTTACATGTGGGAACTCCAAAAGGCGCCTTCGATGATGACGCCTTATCTTTACACTTTTCAAGATGCCTTCTCCGGCTCAGGCATTTGACTTTGGGCAAGGGTGGACGAAGAAGCAAAGCCAAGAGCTGCCTCTAGAGGCATTCTTGGTAAACAACGCAAGCCACACTGGTGACATGATAGCTTGAAGTTGACGTGAATCCCTCTCCAGACCATCATCATCACGAACTTTTATTGCTCTTTCTTTCTCCCTCTCTCTCTCTCTCTCTCTCTCTCTCTCTCTCTGCATCGGAATCGTCTGGTCATCGTCATATCATCGCTGAGAGCTAGTGAGCGATTTCCAGAATGTTCTACTCACCTGAGGCAGCTGTGGCGATGCTCCTATCGTGGAATGAGTGTGCATAGAGGCTCGAGCAGAAGTGTACTGCTGACTGCAAGCTTACGTTCCTCCCTTCTACGATGTGCTCACTCACTGTCTTGGGGAGCTCTGCCTCGGTTATCTTGGGCCAGAGGAGGTTTCAGATGAACACGCCCAAGCTAGACATCGGCCTGCACTCTCAGTTGCCATGTTCCCTCCAGACTTGCCTTGATGGCTTGCACTTAGCAATAAGGCGCCAATATCAGAAGGGTCTCAGGGTCCAGTGTCACGCGAGGCCAAGTAGTTGTCACACATGTCGCCTAAAGCCAGCCAAGAACAGACCATCTTGTCAGACAGTGATGTTGGGTAATACAAGAAAAGACCCAACTGCTAGCTGTATTCACATTCAAGGTAGATTGCAATCGAATTTTTGTTGGTATCTGAACGATAAGCTGAGAATTTCAAATGGAAATTTAGGAAATGTCTTGAACTCGCATGTTCTTCGGAGATGTGTCTTCAGACCTTGAGCCAAGGCAAGACAAGCTGTCTTGGAAAAGGAAAGCGTCGGACAGCAACGGGCGGAGAGTCATCACTTGTTTCTCGTTAGCTAAATCTGACCCTGTTCTTCAATAAATATGTGTCGAGCCAGCCTACCGCCGCAGGCGCGGGGATCGGTTGAGTCCAGTCAGTGTTTTTGATCTCGGCCGGAATGCTGACGGCAGCTTCTTCACCAACAAGATGCTGTTTCTTGTTATTTGTCATTGTCGTTGCCCATCGCTCGACTGCCTACCTTGTAGCTGGGTGTGTCGCCTTGCGTGTGCATCCCCCCTCCCTTGTGGGTTCTGAAAAGGTCATCGGAGACATTGGACAGCACTGAAGAAACATGGTCGCATTTACTCTCCCCGTTTCTATAGTAGAAGTTTTGAGGTCATCACCAATGGCGAAACACGCCACCATGTCGCGGTCAGCCCCCGCACAACCTGGGAGGAAAAACCGCCAAGCATGAACAATGAGCATCTTTGCGACTCGGTCGATAATCACCGCATTCTGGCAACGCCAAATGTCAGCGCCAGCACCAGACACCAGACCGCGCTTGCGGGGGGATGAAGAAAAAAGAAAAAAAAAACAAGATCCAGACGGTCGATGTCCCCCCGGCCTACCTTAATCGGTTGGGTTTCGCCAAAGTCCAATGCAGTCACTTTTCGGGGCCTTATCTGTGGTAAAGATAAAGGGATAAAGGCTGGTTACAGAACAGGTACACTGCTCCGCAAGTGAGACAAGAGGGACACAGCTTAGATAAATGCTATTTGCTGCCAGTACCGGTGCCACTCCCGGTACCACCGCTGTAACTGTCCACACTAGGTAGGTCTCTTAACTAATCCTTACCTGCCTAGGTATCTACCTCAGGTACACTAGAGGTAGGCAAGTAGGAATCTTTCTCTCGCCTTACCTCATTGCTGCTGCACGTTGGGAGGGGAAAAAAGAGCAGCCCATGGGAAACTCACCACAAGGAGTCCGTCCAATCTAGCCCAGCCCATTATTCGGTCCACGGATTCCTCTCTTTCTCTCTTTTTCCCTCTTGGTTCCTGTTGCCTCTCATTCCGCTTACTGTCTCTGCCTCCCGTCTCTCCCGTCCCCGTCTCCCGCTTTCTTCGCACTCTTAGCCCGTCCAGCGTCCAGAGGGGCCACACGCGCGCCATTAGCCCTCGTACGACGACACTATGGACGACGCCTCCTCGGCTTCGAAGGGCAATGCCGATGCTGGCTCCATGCCCACGTCGCATCAGCAACGGTCTAGCGGTAGCGGTCCACTACAACCACCCGCAGTCGCTACTGTTGCGTCTATCGCGAGACCACATGGTCACGAGCTCCCCTTCGTCACGCCCTCATCCTATCTTCGACCGAGACCTTCTTCGTCCGCCGCTCGCAAAATGCCAGAGAAACCAGCCAGTCCGCTCGACAAGGATCAAATCCAGGGTCTGGTAAGCCACCCGTCTTCTTTGATCAACCCCGCGATCTTCGCGCGCCCCTCCGACCCCGTGCCCGTGCCCGATTTCGTTCCCTGATCAGAGCGAGCGCATGCGGGGTTGTTCCTCGGCCACGACGCCATCGTGAGGGGCACTTTTGTATCGCTCCGAGCTGTCGCTAACATTGCCCTCCTAACCAGAGATCCATTCGCGACTTCCTTAAAGTTCGAACTAGCTACGATGTCCTGCCGCTCTCCTTCCGCCTCATAGTGCTCGATAACGACCTTCTGATCAAGAAGAGTCTTAACATCCTCATCCAGAATGGTACGAGTCATGTTTCCCTCGATGCGCCGAGCATCTATTCTGACCTGCCCAACAGCTATCGTTTCTGCGCCGCTATGGGATTCGCACAATTCCAAGTTCGCCGGCCTCCTGACAGCGACAGATTACATTAACGTGATCCAGTACTATTGTCAGTTTCCCGACGAGATGCACAAACTGGAACAGTTCCGACTCAGCAGCTTGCGAGGTACGTTGTCCTAGATAGTCACACTAGCTCCGGGTTGCATGCCAACATGTCTGCAGATATCGAAAAGGCCATCGGGGCCTCCCCTCTCGAGACAGTGTCCGTCAACCCAATGAGACCTCTCTATGAGGCCTGTCGCCGCATGCTTAAGACGCGCGCTCGCCGAATTCCCCTGGTGGACGTAGACGACGAAACCGGCCGCGAGATGGTTGTCAGTGTCATAACACAGTACAGAATCCTTAAATTCATCGCTGTCAACAACGAACACAATACTGTCCTGTTGAAAAAGTCCCTCAGAGAGATTGGCTTGGGCACATATAAGAACCTCGCTACCGCCAAGATGAACGATTCAGTCCTCAACGTGGTCGACATGATGGTCAAGCAGAACATATCTTGCGTCCCTGTTGTGGATGCGCACAACCATCTCCTTAACGTCTTCGAAGCAGTCGACATCATTCCGTGTATCAAAGGGGGTGCGTACGAAGAGCTATCCTCCAGCGTTGGAGAGGCACTGTGCATGCGACCTGACGATTCGCCCGGAATCTACACTTGCAGTCCCGAGGACAGACTGGACTCAATCTTTGACACAGTTCGCAAGTCAAGAGTGCATCGTTTGATAGTAGTGGACGATGACAACCGACTCGTGGGTGTCATTTCCCTGTCAGACATACTCAAGTATGTACTCTTGCATGGAGAAGAAGATGATATCAACGAACCTTGAAGCTGGAACAAAATCGGAATTGCATAGAAGTAAGAGCGACGGATCCTCGCTGGAATGACTTGGGAAACGGTAGACATGGTATCAGCATGTGCCAGGCGTATGGAGGCGTAACTGGGAGGAGTACCAGACGGTGCGCGTACCTCATCATTATTTATTCGCTTCATTATAGAGGTTGGGGGGAGGTTACGGAGAAGCCGGCTGTCTGGCTGCATTACGAAATGAGAACATGCCCAACATTACACCCGGCCGCTGTCCCCCCGTGTAATGTGCTCTGTCCGCTGGTGGTGTCGCGGGCGCTGGATACTGGCCAGATGAGAGCGGCAGCAACGACGACAGCGGCTTCATCCGCCGCCGTGACTGAAAAATGATAACATCGCAGGTGCGGTCACGATAGGTACTGATGGACCACGGGGTTGACGGCAGGAGGCAGGCACGCCCTCATCTTCCACCTGCATGAGGTCCGATCATTTCGGTTTGGCAGGTGCATTGTCTTCACAGGAGGGCCGGCTGATATCATACGCTATCGGTCTCCCAGTCCTTTACGTTACTTCATAAATTGCCGTTGTTGGACATTCGATATTCTCCACCTTGAAGTCGAGCCAGTTGGCCTACTCGCTCGTATACGACGGTTTTGGTCAGCCACTCCCTGGTCTTTCTTCCGATGCAGCCTTACAATAATAATGAACCATCTTTACCCTCAGTCATGTCTCGAGACCCTGAGACCGGGACCCTCACAAGCCAAACCACGAGCACTGCACCGACCAGTACCGTGCCTCCTCGGCTACCTATAGCAGCCTCAATGGCATCTATCAACGCCAGTGATGTTGGTGGACGACCACTTGCAGCCTCGAACACCTTGCCAGTTTTGACCATCAAAGAAGGGCACCGAGGCAGACTTCTCCCGAGCAGCGCAACATGGACATCATCGATTGGGGATCTGGCCATGTTCTCAGATACGGACGACGTTCAGGATCGCCTAAGGTTTATTCAGGAGTACAATCGATTAGCCAAGAAGGTATAAAACATCTCGGTATCCACTCCAGGCTATTTAGCTGCGTCGGACCCTTCTGAAGGTTCTTGATCTTGGCTGACATGTACCCGTAGCACGGAATTCGAGTGCTCGTTGTCGGCGATTTCAAGGGTGATGTAAGTGTCGTATTGTGTCTACGCCCAATCATCTGCTGAGTCTTTCAGCAACCCAGGATACCGGCTATTATGACCGAAAAGCGTAGATGGTGGGCTCGAGTGCTTCGTCCAGCTTCATCCGGACAGCCATCCAATCCAAAAGGGCCGCCCGGGGCCGTCAGACACAAGAGAAGCGTCAGCGACATCGCCCTACATCTGGTTCATTCACGAAAACCAGAACCTACATCGCTCGATCTTCAGACAATGATTCGACTGAGCGGCAAAAGCCTCTTCTACCTCCCTTCCGACTATGCTCCTGGCTCACTCGCCTTGCCAACTTGCTTCCGGGCCACCGCTCAATACTTGGCCCAGTATGGTATGTTGACAGAGCCATTCCTGTGGAGAGTATCCTGACCGACATCGCACCAGGCCCTAATACACGGGGAGTCTTTCGTATTTCCGGATCGGTCCGCATTGTCAATGCAATCTTCGACTATTACTGCTACGAGAAAGCTGGAGAGGAGGTCACTGGTACGATCCGCTGCCCTACGCTTCCACTTCATATCAACGCTGGCCCGCAAGATGTAGCCTCAGCCTTCAAAAAGTTTCTTTCCGTACTTCCAGGTGGTATATTAGGCTCCCTTTCGCTTTTTGACGCTTTTGTGGCCATCCATAGCCAGCTTCGAAAAGAGCCCGAGCTTAGCCGCACCAAGGACACGAAGACTCGCGCTCGACTCATTGCGCTAGCTATCGGGACCGTCGAATCTCAGTATCGCCGAGAACTGATATGTGCTGTATTTGGTCTTCTTTCCTTGATCGGTCGTGCTGCTGAGACAGCGGCTCGTGAGGACGAGCAGGGTCGACCGCTTCCGACCTCGGACCTTATGGGATACACAGCTTTGGGAATCGTGTTTGGACCGCTTCTCGTCAGCGATTTATTGGATTCTTACACTATGAAGCTCGCAAACCCGTCTTCAGGATTGTTGCTGTTTCCCCTCACCCCACCTCAAATCAAGAAGGGACGGCAGCGTAGGATTGCAACACAGGGCGAAGGAGGCCCTCTATCTGTCGACAAAATCCACGTGGCCAACGATATTGCTGAGATGCTCATCACAAACTGGCGTGAGGTCGTCCGGAACATGAAGAACTTGTCGATTTTAGCCATAACGAGCCATGAACTGGAGAGCCCGAGCTGCCGAGGGCTTCTTCGGTCGTCGAATTCCGAGCCATTCACCATTGGCTTGCCCAAAGGATGGAAAAGCAAGCGGTCTTCTCCGGCTAACTCTTTCAACCGAGAGAGGTCGCCATCTCCTACAACCCCTACACCAGCTCCACGTAAGTTCAAAACGAACTCCGGTCCATCAAGCTCACGTATGCTTATGGGTGGCAGGAAGCGGAGGGAAGCCGACTGTGAGAACAACGGAAAACTTAGGCGAAACGCTTAACATCAAGAGAATCCGGCCGAAAGCGTCACACTCGGCCTCTTCAAATAAACTATCCATGCGTCAATCTCTAAATCCATTATCACCAACGGCAGAGGAGAGCTTGGTAGACGATACGAGTGCCGCAGGGCCGCAGTTTACATCGTCCAAGAATGACTCTCCAACCATCTCGCACACTCCTAAGAAGAGCTCAGCTTCTCAACCCGAGAATTCCCAACAAATCTCAAAATCGAATTTTGTTCAAACTCGGCGAACGCGTCGTGGAAGCTTGAGTCGATGGCAAACCAGCCCTGGGAAGGACAGCAAGTCTATTGATGAGACTCACAGACTCGCGACTCACAACCACAGTTTGGCTAGGAGTCCTCGTTTATCGGATGAGGTGGTGCCAGAAAGAACCTCGTCAATACAGCTCACAGATATACTACGAGAGCTGCGAGCGTCTACAGAACACCCAAGAGATAGCAGCCAATCAAAAGAACAGGCCATGTCCGGAAGGGATGAGGTTTCACCTGAAGATACCGAGGCAACTAGACGGAAGACTAGAGGAACCGTCTCCTCGGCTCTTCGTCGATTTCTTGGCAACGATAAACGTCGAATATCAAATTCAATCAGTCCAGGACCTAAATTATTCAACGCAAGGCATCTCTCTCCCGAGGCAGTAAGTCCACGTACGCCCACTCAATCTGCATTGCCTCCCAAGACTCTGGACAAAAGAGATACGACACAAGAGCCGCTAGGCCCCAGATGCAGGACAAGCACAGAGCACGGTGGCAACGACACTACCAAGATGCTATCTGAGGCAAAGCATAGACAAGATCCAGGAACGGAAAGCAAGTCATTGGATGCCAGCCGTACTATGCATACGAGACTACTCGAAATGTCACCAGTTCCTAATTCTCCTCTACGAACTCCGAGGCAAAGTACAGAGTTCGACCCAAGATCGGAGAGCATCGGTCCCATTCAAATCACGCCGAAGGGTTTTCTTGCCAAGAGCGAGGAACCAGTCACTCCAAGGGCAACAGGAACCGATTTTTCGAAGCCGCAGTAGGAAACGCTGCCTCCGATCAGTTCTGACCACAAAGCGTTGTCTCATTTTGTTGACCATCAAGATACATATGACCAGGCAGCTGGCGCTTTACCACAACGGTATCGTATAGCCGAGGGAGGACCGGAACCCAGGCATCCTCGGTCTCTTATGTCCCAGCCAGTTCCTTCGAGAACCCAAAGTGTAGCCATGGCGAAGGAGTTTGCTCACCGACCTCAGGAATCAATGAAGGCTATTATGACACCATCAGCACGTATGCCAGGTGATGGGAGCCGTGGCAGCTCAACTCCCTCTCGTGGATCTGTTTCAAAGCCAGTTGGGGTGAAGGCTATGGCAGCAATGTTTGAAACAGCCTCCCAGGAGTCGCCCTATGTGCCTTCCCCTACAGCTTCCCGCTATTCACGGCCAAATGAGATAGCCTTGAGCCTCTCTCGGGTAACTACGCCGTCTCCCCGAATTCCGAAGCCTAAAGCCTCGGTCTCGAGTATTGGCAAGGATGAGCCAGATCAACGCTGGCAAATTCCAGGCAGACACACCCAACCGGCAGGTCATCATCACTGTGCTTCCAAAGACGGTGGCATGAGCTCTTTGGGTGTGTCTCAAGCAGCTCATGGTAAAGGGTGGATTCCCTGTCTGGAAAAGCCATCGGTCGCGCAGATTCGGCGGACGCCAGATAATATAAAGCTACAGAATCATCTTCCAACGGCCCCAACTCCAGGCGATGAAAGGGCTTTTCCCAACCTTGGAACAATGACAAGGCCTACTGAGCAGCCTCCCATCGCGCAACATGTTATGTTTCCCCGTCAGCCGCCATCCACTCCCTCTCTGCGCCAGCTCAGCTCAGAAACTGTCTCTGTACGAGCGGCAAGTCCTGGCGCCAACTCGGCGCTTCATAGTCAAATCCGCAGTCTTCAGAGACAGCTAGATGCCAAGACTGGAGAGAACCTATCTATGCGGCGTGAACTAGAAACAAAGGAGAGCATGGATGTTGGAACACTAAATGAACAGTTGCGCGCGGCAAAACGGGAGTGCGCTATGTGGAAAGCCCGCGCCGAGGCGGCAGAAAAGCGCGTGTCGGCTCTCGAACGCTTCACTCGCAAAGTGCAAGGAATCAAGGGGGGTGACGCGCAAAACGATACAGATCGACCATCACACAGCAAGAGAAACAGCACCGAAACCACGGGCACAGAGGACAGAGAGGTCGTTGCAGAGAGGATAAGGAGGGCGATGAAGGGTATGGATGGACCCAGGAGCAGCGATGGCGGGGCTGCAGCATGGTGGGACCCCGGCCGGACTGGACCCATTTGGGACCATTCAACAGGAGTTTGTGAGCAACATATGGTATTGTCGGAGAGAGCATTATTTGAGGTTTGGGAGGCGGCACAGGCCTTGCTAGCGGATGGCGATATTTGAATAGTGACGCGAAGGAATGAATGTTGGGCTGGCAGATGTCAGAGTAGGAGTGGCGCACAGCCAAGTCACGCACCCGATCTTGTGTGCAGGGGTCAAGACATATATGTCTATGAATGCGAACCTTCATATCACTATCAACTCGGGATGAACCCCCTTCCTCATAAAATCGTCATTAGCACCACGATTGGTAAAATGGAGGTGCGCATCGAGCCTCATCTCCTGCGATAAGAGGTAGCGTTCCGACCTACTAAGTGCTCTCGCCATCCGAATCGCGACGGATCCTCCACCTCCCGGCCTCGTCCATCTGCATGGCAACAGTTCCGACAGCCATGCGCCCGATACCGTCCAGGATGTTGTCAAGTAGTTCCGCATCGTCAACATCTTTGGTTCGTGCTCCTGGCCTCGTTGGTTCCCATCTCTGTCGAGGATGCCTGCCATCTCTTCCTTCGTATACGTTGCTGAGTCCGCCAGCAACGTCTCTGTTGGCCCCTATCGGCTGCAGGCCTCTGGTGCTTGGCGTGAGGACAGTAGGTTGGCTGGGTAGATCCGTCAACGACGGTGTCGAGGGCGGAGTTGCTGTACGACAAGGACGGTAAGGAATACCAACTCTCTGGCCACGGGTAATTTGCAGGGTTTGCTGATGGCGATGACTCTGCCTGGAGGCCTGAGGCGATGGGCGGAGGGTGCCAGGAGACTGTTTCTCAGTCTGTGGTGAAGGAGGGTGGGTCAAGAAGACAGGCATAGCGGAATGATGCCTTGTCGAATCGGGCGAGGGCGGTGTTGGTGTGGGCGAGTGGTAGTACAGCTGCGATTGGTAATGATGGTGTTGCGATGAAGGCGGTATTTGCTGCTGATGGTTCTGATGTTGAGAATTGACGGTAGTGGTCGCCGTGGCAGGCCGGACCGCAGATGCTCGGGGCAGGGTGGTGGCGCTGTTGATAGCACGCGCGGGTTGGCGTGGCGCGGAGACGGTGACCTGGGTTTGCCCGTACACGCACCTGGACGGCTGCGGCCGTCAGTTGTCATAGACAAAGAGGGACTTGTGGTGGTGCGTCGCCTCGACTACGGCGGAGGCGAGTTGGTAGTCTGGAAGAAGTCAGCTTGTTCGAGTAAAGTCACTCCGATGGAGAGGATGGGATGCCCGGTATTTGCAAAGGAATGTGTAAAGCCCTCCCTCCCCTTGGATCACAGGGCCTTAACGGAAGCGAGGAGCCAGTCGGCAGAAACTCGATGTACATGCCCAGGCTTCACGTCCTTGCACGTAGTGTAGCGCGGAGGAGGGATGAGTAGGGATTTGGAGGAAAAGCAGATATATACATACCAACATTAGGTCCCAGATCACGCGAGCTCAGAACTTTGATGGACAGATCGGGGTTGACCTTGCCAATGACCTGGGCACCGTTGCCGTTGGTGAGGTGGACATCCTATGACAACAAGATTAGGAGAGTCTATACCGATACCCAACTCCATCAAAGGAAAGAACTAAGCGCTGATTCATTAGATGTGGACTTACACGGTTCAGGATGGCAGTGACGTTGCCGTCGGAATCGAGGACGGCAGAGTCGCCGCGCAGCTGCAGGACCTTGCCAATGAGCATGACGTTGCGGCCGACGTAGTTGTCGAGGTACTGCGCTGTGATGCGCGGGGTTGAAGTGGCTTCGGCCATCTTAAGTTAACGGGTTAAGTGAAGGTGATGCTTCTCGGTTCGGTTGTTGTGCAAGGGTCTCGTGTGGACGATGGAGATTCAGTAAGCCACGGGTGTTCACGCTGGAAACAATCTGGTGCAGGGTGGCCGTCCAAGGTTGTGTTCAGAGGAAATTGGTCTAGCTAGGAGACGCGTTTTGGGGCACTCGGCAAACCACTCGTCGCGGTGTCAGGTGACACATCAGGTGACCAGAGATGCGTGTCTCGACGTACTGAACGGTTCTGAGATGTCCTCCCAAACAAAACGTTATGTTAACGGTGTCCCATCCACTATCACCGTCTTCACTGTCGCGCTCCCTTCAGAGGCAAGGGTAAATAATGGGTCTGGGTGGTGAGCCATGACCTTGCGTCTTATCAATTGACTTTTGACCGGCTGGCTCGTCCAGGATGCTTTTGCCCAATTAGATAATTCGGTGTTGGCTCGGAAGACCAGTTCGGGACCACCATCATCGATGGCTGATTGTTGAGTCGTCACCAGCGTGGCATCCAGTGGAGTCCTTTCCTGCCACTGAACTTGCTCAGTCTTTGTTCCCTCGTTCGGGGATTGCCCCTTGCGCGGCAATGATGTCATTTCAAACCCCGTCGCCTGTTTTTCTTAATAAATATGTAGGTTCCGGGCGATCACTAGGAGCAGCGCTTCATGTTGGTGGCTAAGGGCGCAGTGTGTTTCTGCCCTACCCCGGGCGTTAATAACGAGACCTCGAAGACTACCTACTTAGTTGGGCAGCCATCTAGAAACGTGATGAAAATTTCGGTAACAACCAAGTCCAGCACGGGTTGAACAGTGGCTTGGTATTGCTTCCAACGATGTTGGGCTTGTAGATGCATGCAGGGCCCTCTGTAGCAATCGCACACCCTTTTCCCCCAGCACACGCGGCCGCCCGATACGGAGTTCCTCCAACACGCGTCGAAACTCATCATGACCTGAGATGTAAATCTCTTGCCGTATCAGGGCTCTTTAGTCTCGACGGTGCATGGCGGCCCAGGAAGAAACCTGGAAACTTGGACGCGGCAGGCATTCGAAACCCCACTGCACTGCCCCGGGGCCGATCAAAGGTCGGAACATGAGTCGGGGATGGAGACGCCGCAATCACTACAACTTTTATGGTCAGTCGGCTGTGGGCGGGCCGTATAAACCATGGCCTTTCCGTCTGACCTACCATGCTACAACCCGTTATAGAGACGACTGTCTGTAAGGTGGAACAGGTACTATGGTATCAGGCAAAAGTAAAAAACCCCTGTCAGGTAAGTGTGCACCAGGTAAGGGGCTAAACTAGGTGCCGGCTGCTGAAAAGACAAGGCGGTTGGTTGGGTGACAATTTCAGGGTCCATTGTTGGCAGCTTTATGCAGGGAATGCCCCATACCTGCAATGTACACTACATCTAGGTAAGATACCACTTGGCCGGGTTGAGACGGCCGACCACGATGGGATAATACAAGTAATTTCTGGAAATTTCGACGGGCACGAACTGCTTGCCTTTATTGCGTGACGGTATTGCGCTTGACGCACGATGGGCTGGTAGAGTATCCCCATTACGTTTCGGACTTGTGCAGTACACTCCGTCCAGCCTCCCGCTCTGTATTTGTACGATACGGTTGCGTTGTCAGTTGGCGTGTGGGGTACCCATTGGTTTCGTTGTCTTGGGTTGCCTCGTTTTTCTCTCGGGCCATGATGCTGCCACTTAGGGAGGCTTCAACACACGGGTAACTGAGTTGTCACGGCGCCGTCACGCAACGAAGCGATTCGCATGCTATCGGCGATCTAGCATCGCGATCTCGTATCGTGCGGGCAGGGGGCCCTCTGTAAGCTTACATTAGGTAAACTAGCTGCAAAATGGGGTCTGTCCGGATTCCGGAAGGCTTCAGGTCCTGCAACCACTCAATACCTAGAGTCGGCTGTGGGTTGGCAAAAGTCTTGATACTGGACCGCGGATGTAGTGGGTGAGTGCAACGTCTACTCCACCACAGCCGTCGTGTAGTACCATCTACGCAGTAAATCAACTTACCTAGGTACCTGGGCATTCGGATGACAAACAAAAAAAGGGCCGGTTACCATATGGTAGTGGTCGGGACAAGCGGCCATGTTTTTTGTCACCTGAATGCTAGGTAGCTCTGGGCTGTTTTTGGCAATGGTCTGCCCCTCATCTTCCCCACCTAGGTAGGTACGATGTAGCTCCCGAGCTTCCTCTGCTCCCTTGTCTGAGCGCTCGGCCCTGCCGCCCTGCGGTGCCGTGCCGTGCCCACGCCGGCACCGGCAGGGAAGACCAAGCCCGTTCATTCATTGCTGCCAATGGCAAGGCCGAAGCGGAAGGCAGGCAGCCCCGGCTCCAGGATCATTCACCGCGACGCTTTTCATTGGTTCCTGGAGGATACGGATGCTAAGTACGGAGTATTACACGCATGTAGGTACCTACCTAGCTAAGTACGTAGGTAGGTAGGTGGTTTAGGTAGGTGGTTTTACATCTGATCCCCCTCTCTCCGGCTTCAGGTCTCTGTGTCTCTGTGATGCCAACCCCTCAGTACCTGGCTAGCTCCCACGGCCCGTGCTCACCCCTACAGTGTTTGATTTGGGGCTTGCTTCGACCACAACTCATTCTCGTCTGGAATCCAATGGGCTCTAGCGCAAGGTCCTAGGTAACAAGACGAGACAGCGCACAACGCACAGACTCGGTCGCTAGCGTCGCCAGTTGTGCTTGTGTCTCTTGCTGTCGCTGTGGTTGGCAGACATGCGGGTCACATACAACAGACGAGCTTGAACCTTGGCCAACACAGACACATCGAACCAACGCCGACGAAGACCGTACGCGTCCACGACAGGGAGTGGCTGCCGCTCAAGTCGGGGCAGCTCAGTCAGATGTCGGTAGAGTAGGCAAGTAGGCACCCGGTGTCGGGTTTCGGTCTATCGCAAGAGGAAAACAGCCACACACACACACATACACACACGCACATAGCATACCCACCTCCTGAGGTACATAGGTACCCGGGTAGGTAGGTAGTGTGAAATGAGAGCTCCGGAAGCTTTCGTCCGAAAACAGGGACTTGGCCGCAGTATTCCAACTTTCTGCCGACGTATTAATCCCCCAAGGCAGAGATGCCCCACGGCGAACCCGGAAGAGGGGGAATGCAGCATGGTGGAAGGCATGTGGAATTTCGAGACAGTTTCCGGCATCCCATAATTGCTCTTCCGGGCCTAGGTAGGTAGGTACCTCCCCAGTTAGGTACCACAGCAGATACGTACGTGTGTGTGCACATCTGCCTCAGGTCACCGTCATCTTCTCCTTCCCGTTATCCTTACTCTGATCCTTTCCCTTGCACTGTTTTTTCTCTCTCTCTCATTTCCCCCCCATTTTTGCAACTAGGCAAGTAAGCAACATAGAGCTTGAGTACTGCTGTCTCTTAGGTACCCTAGGTAGGTTGTCGGTCCAGTCTACCTAGGTAGGTAGACAGTGCTCTTGATAAGACACGAAGCGGTTTGTGCAGGAGCTTGGGAGACACAAGGGAGCAGGCGCTGATACCCCGCTATCCCGTCTGTCTCTGTGCAGAAGCCAATACAAAAGGCAGCACTGTTGGTGCTGAGAAATGGTAGGTGATGGAAAAGGATGTGTGTCGCTGCAGGTAAACGCACGCGCCTCCCCGCCTTCCCCTCCAACTACTTACCTACCTACCTACTTACCTATCCCCTACCTACCTACCTATCTAGGTGGTGTGGTACCTTGCCTTGTTCCTTCTTGTGTAAAAATACTGTGAAGTGTAAGTGAGCTGGGGCCTTTGCTCTTTACCGAGAGACCAGCCTCAAACACTCCTCAAGTACCTACCTCCCTGCCCACCTCACTTTCTTCTAACTACCCACCTACCATACCGAACTACCTAACCTAGGCACCTACTACTTATTACATTGCTTCCAGATCTGGGTAACAGTAGCTATGGCCCGGGCGAGCTAAGCTCTCAATGAATGTCAAGCAGAAACGGGGCAGTTCGTTCAGATAATGCGATTGACGAGGAAGCTCCTTCCTCACCTACCTTTGCAAACCCCCCCAATCCATATCCACCGCCTTTCCTGACAACTTCATCTCGCCCCCTTCCTTCCCGTCGCAGAGCTTCCACCCACCCACTGCTTCGGCCTGAGTCCAGCTCCATACCTGAGGTCCAGTCCTACCGACACCTTGTTCCGGCTTGCTGCCTTCCTGGGTCAATTTCGTCGATCGTCGGAGCGCGTTCCGGTACTGTCACCATCACCGCAGCAGCAGGCCGCGTACCATTCCCGTCGTCTTCCACGCCTTTTCTCTTCTCCTCTCACGCGCCGCCCCATTCCACCCTGCTTGATCGACCCTCGTTTGGCAACTTTCCACCCATCCCTGTTATCCCGTCGGCCGACTATCCTGCAAGCACTAGGTATCTCAGCAGTGCCCACACACCTCCACCAGCCGAACATCCTTGCCTGACTGATGACCAGAGATTGCCGCGTCCTCTTTCGATCACGGCATCTGGCAACCCAACACCACGATACCCCATAGTCGCCCACGCCATTGGTGGCTGTCCTGAACCACGACCAGGCTCTCCCAAGCCAGCACCGTCAACTGTCCATCCAGCTGGGATCGCCCATGCCTTTTGACCGTTTTACCAAAATACCAATACACTCGTAGCAGGCCCCGGATATCCACGGGCCGTCGTGGGGGATTGAAACGGGCCGCTTACTATCTCGCTATCCGCCGGTTCCCTTGCTTTTGTCGAGCAACCTTTTGTCGTGCGGGGCCACTTGCTTCGACAGTATCGCCTCGTCATTCTCCTCCAGCTCAGCGGCAGCGCTCACGGTCATCGCCAGTGGTTAGCCCCGACTGGTGCACGATTGGTTATCTGTAGCAAACGGTAAGCAGATTCCAAACATTCATTCGAGCACACCCGCAGCACTATCATATCCCCAAGCGACTCCTCGTAACGTCTCGTCACCCAGCCAGCCCTCTTCCAACGTTGCCGTTTGCACTCAGTGGCGAGCTTTTCCATACAATACATGCTTCCGCGACGGTTGCTCCAGCCCTCCTCGAACTCCCCAGGCCTTGGGCCCGCCCGCATTTGGCCTTGTGCCTGTGCGACTCCCCATGTTGCCCCATATGGCAGCGGCCCCTCCGTTTGTGGGCGATTATCAAGGTAGTCTTAGTCACTCTTGACAATGGCCTGTAAAGTAACTCCGCTGAGCCGTCCACATCATTGAGCCGTCACAGTTTGGATCCCGCCAAGTCTCTCATACTGCCTTCCCTCATTCAAACGCACCCCCTTCTCTACTGGTCTTACCGAAGTACTGATTACTGGGCATTGCAGCTCAGTCCTTCCAGCATTGTCATAGTAACGGGGAGACGTTCCCTCCGCCTAACCAAAGCAATCGACATCTCTGTTCCATAACTTGTCCCGTACCCTCACAAGGCATCCCGCTGCGCAACGAACCTCAGGTCCAATCCATCACCAAGTATATGGAGGCGTCGAAATCGGTCCGGGACTCTAGAGAATTACTCGTTGTACACCTCTCCCAGTCTTCCGTCTTTCCAAGCACAGCTCTTCGCTTTTGCTTTGCCAAATCCCCCCCCTGCGGGTATCTCGACGAGATTACTGCAATTGGTTTGCTTCCGACATCCATCGACTGCCACCCGTCGACTCCCACAACGCAGCCAGCGACAGGTTTCGGCCTCTTCAACACTCGCAAACCGTTTGGGGTCTTTGGGCACTGGATAGGCTAGCGCACGACAAAACGGGCACGATTGTGCCTTGGACCAGCCAATTCTGCCAACTGTCGGTACGATTCAATCCACCAGAACTTTTGAGATCAACACTGGTTCCAAACTTTGCGAATTCCCTGTCCCGGACAATGAATACCCCTCCAAGCTTCTTCAATGATGCGGTTGATGTCGCAACACCAACTAACGATGAATTCCCCAGCGATCAGCCTCGGACACTAAATCCAGATTCTTTCCACTTCACGCCTCCGGAAGACATCGACTCGCCTAACATCATGTCGCACGATCCGTCAGCTTTTATGCCCATGCCGAGTGCCTGGGGCCCACTTGTTGGAAACCCACCGGCACTCTACGGTCACAATTATCAAGAGCAATACACAACGAAGCAAGAAGACTTCGATGACCGGCCAACGCTACAGCATGTTTCTTCTGTATCAACCTCCCAGTCGAACGCAAGGGCCGATTCGAACAATTCAATTCAAACGCAGACATCCAAGTCAAGTAGGACGACTGATCCTTCCGATGCTAGCCCGCCGAGGAAGAAGGGGAAAAGAGGCAAAGCTCCCACGCAAGATATGCACGACGGCAAACGAGACAAGTTTCTCGAGAGGAACAGGATCGCGGCAAGCAAGTGTCGCCAGAAGAAGAAGGAATGGGTCTCAGACTTGCAGGAAACTAAGCAGGGGCTGGAGAACCAACACGCCCAATTACAGATGGAGTACAATGGGCTGGTGGATGAGGTTACGCGCATGAAGAACGAGCTCATGTCCCACGCCAACTGCAATGACCAGAACATTAACTTGTGGCTTGAGAACGAAGCTCGACGCTTTGTTCAGGTGAGTGCTGAGCGTGTCAAAAAACAGAGTTTTGTCGCTAGCCGGATGGTGGGCGAAAGGCCACTCGACAATGAGGGTAGTTACAGGCCGTCGATTGACAGTAAGGAAGCCCGTCCTACCCCCCACGAGTTTGGAGATGTTGACCGACGTCAGGCCAAATGTCTTTAATGTCTCCTGCACGCTCTGAGCGCGCAATGACAAGCATGTCTTCGAGGTCCGGCAGCAGTGCTGACATCAACTACGACCACATGCCAGACAGTGTGTTCGAACAGGCGTAAAGCGCCTTTGATGGGGATGAGCCATCATGAGAAGCCAAGGCTGTACCAAAATAGGTGGAGAGCGAGATATATCACTGCATGATTTTGACGCACTCGCCATCGTGTATTCCCGGACTCGGAGTTGAGGAGTGGGTTTTCGGACATGGCCCTTCTATAAGCAATGGTTTGGGAGGGGGGAATAATGACTACTAGCCCGTATTTTTGACAAAGCCAGCCGAAATCTCAGGGCTGGAACTGCGACCTGATACCCTAGGGATGTTTGGGCTGCACAGAAGAATCCCCATAAGCCGGACTAGCAAGATGGGATCTGATAGACAAAACAACAACAAAATCAAAGGACAAAAGTGAAGCGTTGGCCGCTTATCTGACAATACCTGATCTTGGCTCAAGTGTAAGGTATCTCCCATACCGTCCAACATTTTGGACCAGTTGTGACTGAGAAACCAAGGGATATCATCTTTCACCTATTCGGTAGAAGAAGAAGGAGAAGAAGAAAAACCACACACACACACACACACACACACACACACACACACACGATACACTAGTAGCCGTGCTGATGTTCGTTGTCTCGGCTGGAGTTTTCGACTCGAGAAAGGGCGCTGGTGACTAATGACAAACGGGGTTGACGGTCGACTTCTAACGAAAAAGACGGAGAAAGAACGCAAGGATCCGGGTTGCAGCGAGCGGGTTCGTGATCTCGGCGGTCCAGGGCTTCGATGGATGGCTTTTCGGAAGTGGTGTATATGCGGCGACAAGCAGGTGAGTCCCAGTTGGCTGGTGCTGACGTTTTCAAACGGCCCTGCCTCAGCGGTGGCGACGGCGTGACTGACGCCTTACGGTTCTAGGAGTCCTCCCAAGACCTGGAAACCCTCCCGGGAGCTGAGCAAGCCATCTCGGCCGCGGCTGCCGGGGCTGCTTGTTACGGGCGAGGCAATGATGCCTTAAACGGGGATGTCAAGCCGGGGGAGAGAAGGAGAGAAAGCCCCGGGAGTCCAGCCGGTGGATGTCCGCAGGGCGGGAGGGGAGAAAGAAAAAATAAAGAGGGGAGAAGGTAGCGGCAGAAGAAGAGAAAGCAACCTCGGGCGCGCGAGCTGCGTGAATGGCAGAAAGTCGAGTTTAAGGGGGGGCGAGTCGAGGGCGAGATTGCTCCGAGCGACGTCAAGCTGTTGTAGCTCACCAGGGTGAAAGCTTGGCCTGCAATACGTCAGAGCGGACCTTGCCTCTTCGTTTCTGCCCCCCCCCCCCCCCCCCCCCCCCCCGCCCGGCCCGGGCCTCGTTCACGCTCAAAAGCGGTCGTTTGTCCGAGTCCGACACGGAGATGTGACCCTAGTTAGCCCGAGTAGAGAGGATACGCCCGTCCGAGGAGGAGTTGAAAAGGAAAAGAAAGAGGTGAAAATAAGGGGAGGATGCAAAGAGAAGCACACGACAGCTTGGGATGAGGAGGTGTAGTCGAGGAGAAGGCTTTGCCGGGCCCGGGCCAGCTACCCATCATCATCATCTACGTCACGAAACCTTTAACAACAAATTAAGCCAAGACACGCTGAGCTGCACCCTCTCCGCCGCCTACCTATCCCGGCGGCCTACCGCGCCGTCTCCTTTCGAAGCGGAAGTCAAAAACACATTCCATCCTCAATGACCCGCTTGCTCGGTGGTGCCTCCCGGGGTGCCCATTGACCAATGGGTGCCGAGAAGGAGAAAAGAGGGGGTGGACGGGGATGCTTGAATCAGTCAAACTTGTAAGCCTGAGCGTGGGTAAGTTAGGTGGATGTATCGTTGCGTCAATTCACTACCACAGAATTGCCGCGGACAAGGTGCAGACCATGTTGCTGTAGAAGGGAAGGGCAAGGATACGGAATAACCCTGCAGGGCCGTCCTGGGAGGAAGAGTCCCGACCATTGAGATTTCTCTCTCGCCCATACGAACGGGGGGAAGCCAAGAAGCTCCGGAGGCGAAAGCTTTGCCAGACACAAAGGGGAAAAGGTGACCCTACCTATCCGGGCAGCTTACAACACTCGCTGAGCAGCTCCTGAAATATAGAGATGATGAAGGGACGTTGAGATAAAGCCTTCCCCTTTCCCCTCTCAGTGACGATACACCATTCCGCATGATGAGACGCAGTGTAATCGTTCAGAACAAGGCGGGCCCGGTCTTGAATATGGGAAACCTTAATGTCAAACTACCACCTAGCAGGCAGGTTGTGATACGTCGCCGCCAACGAGAGAGAAAGAGAGGAAAGGGCGGGAGGAACCAAGGGCCTGCGCGCGCGCGCGAGCAGAGCAATGACGTACTATCTAGAGGCGCGCATGGACCCGGTTGATTACCATTGATTACCACCCCTTCGGGGACGCCATTCCGGGCCGAGTAAGGCTCCTCCACTTTGTGCGACGGAAACTATGGGGCAGGTTCAGGTCCCGGATCTCGGGTGGCTAAAGGGGGGCCCCGGCCGCAGAGCCCGTTCCTTGAGGGCCGACAAGGTGCAGAGACTCTGCTACATGTCTTTTGCCCCCGGACTCAAGTGCAGCGAGTGGCCGCGGATAGAATTCGAACCGTAGCTCGCTGTAAGGTACGGATCAGGGGTTTTGGTTTCCTTCTCCTTTCTCAGTATTCAATAAAGAAAGAGAAGGGGAAAAAAAGAAGAAGAAAAAAAGAAGAAGAAGAAGGAGGAGGAGGAGGAGGAGGAGGTAGCGGCACGAGTCGATCGTTGGCTGGGCGTCTGCATTTGTGTGTGGGGAGGGATTCCTCTCTGCGTGGTCAAACCGGGCGAGGTACCCAGGTCTGCCAACATCTGACGCGAAATGGCGTATGCCGTTTCCGAATAGAGGCAAAGCTGGACGCCCCAGGGGGCCCCATAACACAAAGTGATATGATTCCCTGATGCCAATCCTTCTCGTTTCAATTCCCCCCTCCCCCCAAATTCTCCCCTTCGGTAATTGGTCTCGCAATGCATTTTTTTTTTGTGCATGGTCTGCGTTGCTTCCTGCATGTAGGTAGGTGGTTTATGAAAACGGTCGACGCGCCAAGCCCGGCCGTGCAGGCTTTTGAGAGACGGAGGTTCATGTTACGGAATGGTTCGTGTCATTTTACTCTTCAAACGATGTCTGGTGCCCGTTGGCGAACAGGCGATGACCCAGCTGTGATCAGAAATGCATCTTCCTTTTCCTGGCATGATTGGGCCTTGTGAGAAGTCTAGCATCTAGACTGAAGCAACGCATCGGGCCTGCTCAAGCGTTGATGTGCTTGCTGTTCGACCTCTAAACAGGTTACATGGTGAATGGCATCGTGTGCCTTATGTTGCTACAAGCCGGAGAGGCGCCCTCTAATCAGACAATCGCTACTCCTCTTTGACTGGTGTTACAAATATCCACAGATCGTTCTCTTCCTTCTCCCTTCCCGCCCTTTTTTTTCCCCCGTCAATCACCCAGCACGTACTGTTCATTGAACGAGGGGCTCGCCAATTGCCGGCCCGGTCTTCAAGGCACCGTTGATGAAGACCTTGGTCACCAGGTCGCTCTGGTGCGACTCGATCATCTCCCTGAGCGCCGCCCGCTCGATAACCACGCGTCCCTCCTCCAACAAGTCCTTGACGTCCACATCGTTGACGTCAAGGCATCTGCCCTGGTCGACTGCGGCCTCCATGGTGTCCCATAGCCGCGGCCTCTGCCCGTTGGTGACGAACAGCGTCCGGCCGTGGGCCTTGCCCCACTCGTTGGCCTCGAGGACCTGCATCATCCACTTGCGGCGGTACTCGGCGGCGATCTGGGGTCCCACGGCGCCGGCGTCGGCGAGCTTCGTGAAGTCCAACGGCAACGGCAGCTCCATGCCGTCCTCGCACACGACGAGCTGGCCGCGGCGGTAGCGGTAGCTGAGGGCGGTGCGCCAGGCGACGTCGTACACCTTGCGGTTCAGGCGGGTGCTGAAGTCGCGCGGCTTGGGACCGTGGGAGACACCTCCGCCGCGGCGGATGGGCGACTGCTTCGTTCCCGCGCGGGCGCGACCGGTGCCCTTTTGCGGGTGCAGCTTTTTGTGCGAGCCGCGGACCTCCCAGCGGGTTTTCGTGCTGGCCGTGCCCTGTCGGGTGGCGTCGCCCTCGAACACGACGGCGAGATGGAGGAGATCGCGGCGGAGAGGAAGATAGAGGTGCTTCGTCGAGTAGGACTCGAGGGAACGGGGCTCGAGGGTCGGGAAGGCGTGGATCGTGACGGGGACGGAGGTGGCTACGGGAGGAGCTCCTGTTAGCAACTGATGTCTGGGAGCATTCGCATCTGATAGAGAGGTGGACATACTTGGTGCCCACGGTTCCGTTGTCTTCGGGGTAGCGTAGGCTGATGTCGTGATACCGGGGAAGGGCGCCTCGGTAGCCATTGATCTCGTAAAGCTTGATGAGCCGACGAACGAGGTCGCAGGGTTCGCCGCTCGGCACGTCGACGAGAGGGACAGTCCCCTCATGGCCTCGCTGAGGCTCCTGACTCCCTTGCCGGCCATTGTGTATGCGGGACGGAGCAATGGGAGGGATCGGGGTCGTTGGGTTTCGCAATGCTCTTCGTCGATGGGATTGGGAGCCGCACCTTTTGGCGCAGGAAACACGAAAATTTGGCCCGTCCTGTCGAACGAAGCTACCAATCAGACGACGCTAGGCGCAAGGTACGTACCTAACGTGCACGGCTTTCTCAATGGGAGAGAGCTTCCTCGAAAAGGAACCCCTTGTCCGGGGCGGGATATTCCGTCGTTCAATTGGAAAACGGGAAAAAATAATATGGAGACCAGCAAATCCGACCCGTGAAGCTCAGTGTCTGGTGAAAAACCTCCTTCTGAGCTTCGGTCGGGATTCAGTACGACAACCCGCCCACAACCACCATCTCCTTTTTTTTCCACCCCCTACACACAACCCAAAATGTCATCGTCGTGTAGGCAGGCCATCCGGCCGCTGCGGCGATGCCTGAACAGCATAGCCACGCCGCTGCCCATACGAAGGAGCCTGTCGACGACGCCCGCCCCGGCCGCCGAGGTGTACAAGGTATCGCGCGAGCGGCCCGAGACCGTGGACCCCGTCGAGCTCGACCCTAACACGGCCGTCGCGCCGTGGGCCGAGAAGGACCTCTGGAAGGCCGGCACGCCGCCCGTCGGTTCAAGGCGTCGCCGCTACGCCATCCGCACGAGCCCGAACCTGCCCTTCGAGCAGCTGCCCTACCAGGCCTTCCAGGAGGCGCGCAAGATCCTCGCTGCCGATCGCGAGGAGAAGCTGCGCGCGATTGTGGCAGAGACGGAGAAGATCAAGAGGCTGGAGGCTACAGAGGGGGATAAGATCAAGGGAGGGGAGAGAATGCGTCAGATGAAGCTGGCCAGCTTGCGCCATCACGTCGAGAGGCTGAAGGTTCTGGCTGATATTAACGATCCCGCCGTGAAGAGGCGGTTCGAGGACGGTCTTGGTACGGCGCCCTGTCAGGATCGTGTGCTTGATTTTTCTAGTTCTGTTTTGTTTCCTCCCCCAATCGAGTGCTGACGGACCTCCCGAGCAGGCGACATGAATAAGCCCATCTACCGCTTCCTTGCCGAGCGTAAGTGGCGCGCCTACGAGGCCAAGATGATCGAGCAGCGTATCGCCCAGTTCAACATCGTCCCCGACGTCCTCCCCAAGCTGGTCCCCACCTACGACGTCCAGCTTTTCTTCCGCCGCTCCAAGGTGCCCCCGGGCAAGATCCTTCCCAGTAACGTCACCGAGGTGCCCCCGCGCCTGCGCGTCACCCCTTTCACGGCGGGTGAGCGCCTCGTCACCATCGTCATCATGGACTCGGATGTGCCCTCGGTCGAGAACGACGGCTTCAGCAAGCGCTGCCACTTCCTCGCCGCCAACGTCCCCGTCTCGCCGACGTCCACCTCCGTCCCGCTCTCCAAGGTCCGCGACCCCTCCCAGCTCGCCGTCCCCTACCTGCCTGCCTTCTCGCAAAAGGGCGCGCCCTACCACCGCCTCTCCGTCTTCATCCTCGAGCAGGCCCCCGGTCAGACGCTCGACACCGCCGCGCTCAAGGAGCTCTACTCGGCCCGCGACGGCTTCTCCCTCAAGTCCTTCCGCGACAAGTTCCGCCTCAACCCCGTTGGGTTCAACCTCTTCCGTACCGTCTGGGACGAGAACACGGCCGGTGTGATGGAGCGCGCCGGCATGCCGGGCGCCGACATCGAGTTCCGCCCCACTCGCGTATACTCTCTGAAGGAGCCCAAGAAGCCTCGCGGTTGGGAGGCCAAGCGCCAGGGTCCCAAGTACAAGCACCTGTGGAAGTACACCAAGCGCATCAAGGGCTACTCCAACGCCAAGGGCCTGGTCAGGAGATAAGGGGCATGGAAGTGTCGTTGGAGGGGAAACGAGACGCGGGTGTTTTTTTGGCGGTGAAGCCAGACCGGGATATCACGCAGCGGGAGCTGGAAACGAGAAAAGGGGAAGAGCGCGGGGTGCTGTCAAAAAGTGTAGAATACGTGTACTTTATGTGCTATCATCTGGCTGTAGATGGGTGCAGTCCCAAGGCTGCGGTTGTTATAGATCACCTACTGTCAACTCTCCATTGTTTCGGGGTCTGGTGTGGCGGCTCAGCTATGCGGCCTCGCCGCATCGTTGCCTGGATTTGACCATGATGAAGCTTCGTAGGCCCGGGCGTTTTGCTTTCCAGCTGAATGAAGCCCTCCGTAGAATCTGAGCAATGAAGGGGCAGTAATGTCTCTCCCTTCCGTTAATTTTGTGGCCTGGAGTTAAGGCTTTCGCGAATGATCCCACTTGTCCCTGGAGTTGTACACATGTGTTTCGCGCTCTCTTTTGGGGCCCCGTTGTCCTTGGTAACTCTGGCGGAACATGCGTGACTGGGTGGGCACTTGGCACAAGAAGGACATGTCTAGTAGATGTCGTTGGCTGTGACTCGGCTAAGTATCGACTTGAAATACTAGCTCCACTCTTTGCTGTCTTGGTGTAATAAAATTTTGAAGATTTTCTTGGTCTGGCAACTGCCTCCATCTCGAGGGCTATTGGCAGGAAGTCTTGCTGCGAGACAGAGGCCAATCAATGGTCGTGATGATTTCTTATGCGGAATAGACAGTTGACGCGCTGGAATAATGCCATACATCGGCTCAGCATGCAGAGCCGACATGATAAGAGCAGAAGACTCGAGCCATTGGCATATCTTGCATAATTGATTTATGAAGCGAAGATGGACAACTGGTGCGCGATAAGGACGCTCGCCACGGATACTCAGCCTTTTGGTAGAATCGAACCCGGAAACCCGATACTAGTTTGCGCCTCCAGCCAGAATCGAGAAACTCGAACTGAGTCCGAAAATCGGTTTCACGGTTACTTTCAATTATTTATTTGCCTCCTATTGAATGAACTCCATGTTCCATCTACACCTGTGATATGGATGATGCCCACACGAACCCGCTACAGGTTTCGTGTGCAGCGCCCCCAGCACTAGCTTGACAATGGGCTTTTCGAGTAGAGACAACGATCTGGAGCCATTGACTACATAACATTTATGCCGTTGGCATTTACAGGTCGGGTGCTGCACAATGCTGGTCTTCTTGAGAGGAAAGATGGGCTGATGTTGAAAGAGGGGCCAAGCGTTGGCCGATGTCTAAATTAAGGTGTGGCGGGTGGGTCCTTCAATGGGGCCGTGCTTTCGACCCGTACTTGTCCCCAGCGCTCCAACCAGGCTTTGGCGCCCGGCGGCTAATCCTAAAGCTAAACTTCCCCTTCCGCATCCTTTCAGTCCGACTCAAATCATATAAGCTTAAGATCATCTTACAGACACCTTATGGAAACCAACTGGGCACCATAGTATAATGGTCCGAGTCTGTTGCAAGTGATCTCAATGTGCCTAAAGAAGACATCAAAATGAACAAACCCCCAATTATGGCTGAAGGAGGCACAGCAGCGGCAAGGTGTTCTCGGCCCCGGCCATGTCCCCTCCCGGCCCGCGCCCCCCCCTTCGATCTTCCCTCCGGCGCTTAGCAACCACCTCTCATTCCCCAACACCCATGGTGAAGGCCCACGTAGAGCACCGCGCTTGTGCAGGAACCCCGGACAGAGTCGCTCTCTGTTGGTGCGAGGTAGTATTCTTCGACAGGAACGGCTCGAACTATGCACATCGGCAAGTTGCCGCGCTGGACAATATGCTGTTGGAAGCAGGTCGAGCTCTTAGTCTGTTTCGGCGTCCCAAGCTGTCGGATACAGTCTCTCCTCATAAGGTGCCGCCACTGCCTCCCAGCCATAGTCAGCGTTTTGACTTGAGTTCCTTCGTCTCTCTCCTCCCCTCTCGTCTCGTTTCCTTTGTTCCTGGAGCTGGTTTCAACGAGCTGTTCTTTCGGTTTTCGTTCCTGAGGGATATTCTTTGGTTCATTTCTGCGGTTTGCCGGTTGTTCTGCGTTGCCGCACAGTCTCATCACCGTTGAGCAACCCTTCCGCCTCCCACAGGCAGACCCTCCGAATCGACGCCGTCGAGGCAATGGGCTTCAAGGCACCCGAAGTCCATGAGACTATGCTTCTCGAGGGCCCGGAAGGCGCGCCTGAGAAGCAGAGTCGAAAGACTTCGATTCCCTTGCTGTTCAAGAGGGCGAGGGACAGTGAATGCAGTCTGGACACAGGTCATGCCGCACATAAACAAACTCGCAAATCGAACACCGCAAACTGATATTTCCGACAGTCCATAAGCACGGATGGAAGCCTCTGACCTTGAGCGCCCCCGTTTTATTTTCCTTCGCTTTTGCATCTTTCATCCTCGCCATCATCATCGAAGTCCTCGCATGGCAAAGCCGGGTCAAGGGAGGACTCGCCCTCTCCAGATCGGCGGATGATATACCACCTTTTGCGAACTTTTGCTACCTCTTCCTACCTACGATTGTCGCCGTTATATACAGCTTGCTTTGGAGTTGGATCGATCTAGACGTCAAGCGTATACTGCCATGGTTGGAAATGTCAAAGCCGGGGGGTGCAACTGCCGAAGGGTCGATATTTCTGGATTATCCCTACGATTTCATTGCATTTGTTCCGATTAAAGCAGCCAAGAGACGGTAATGATTCATTTACACCCTTGGCATACTGCGCTAACATCTCGACAGTCACTGGGCCGTATTCTATGGTGGCACGGTCATGGTAATGATTTTCTGGCTTATAACACCATTTCAGAGTGCAATACTCGGCACTGGACCAGTAGATGTTCGAAGAACGACAATGGTGTCTATCCCTGAAGCACCCCGGCCGGCATCGGAACAGATATTGCCCATGGATCAGTCCATACTCAACGAAGGGTATGCCATCACCTGGCTCAACCAAACTTATCCGCCGTACACCACTGCCGATTACACGCTCTTGCCTTTCACGGTTGACAGTGATGTCGAGCAAACAGCGTCAACTAACTGGACTGGGTCCACAACCAAGTTTTGGACTCAATTAGATTGTTGGCCAGCCCAGTTTGCTCCTCGCGGGCCATATTACGACTTTCTGGACGGCCGTGGCTGCAATGCCAGCGATATCGTGCCGTACGGCGGCTTCCCAAGCAGCGATGAACTCTACAAAATGCAGTACATCGGCTACCATAACAGCGCCTGGGCTGATTACTGGCTTTCCCAGTCGTGCTCCAAAGCCGCTCAGAATCAATTCTTGGCCATTTGGGCCCGCGTGGAGGATGTTAGTGCCATATTTTGCGAAACGAACTACTTCAAGCAGCAGGTCAACGCCACTGTATCGTCTGTCACCAGATGGCCCCTCGAAGACTCGGTTGTGCCAACGGGGCCCCGGGAACGACTTTCCTCAACAGAGTTCAACTCATCAGCTTTCGAATATCTCCTCGGTGCTGGTGTCTCACCCGTCGAACTTGAGGTCAGGCGAGATTATCCTTTCGGCCATCTGCTTGAGCAGCACTATCAAGTCAAGCATTTAGCTATAAGGTGGCCATCGTCACCCTTGGTGGGCTTCGCTATTGGACAAAAGAATGTGACCACCCTCGACTCTTTCCAGAACCACGAGTTTTTAGGGGATGGTTTCAACAGGACACATAAGCTTCTTTTTTCTATCGCGCTACGTCGTATGCTTGCCGGCACAACAAGCGAACCCCAAACCAGGGGTGTTGTGGAATTTGAGCAATATGGGATCGTCGTGAGCAGAATATTCTCAGCTATTGTGGAAGGCTTACTGGCACTGGTCGGCATTTTCACGATCATGCTTTGGTGGCATTGCCACAGAGCAACGAGTAGACTAACCATGGACCCGGCTTCGTTGGGATCACTGATGAGTTTATGTCAGAACAGCTCTGTATTGTTGGACAAATTTGCTGGGAAGGGTTGTCTTCCCGACGACAAGCTCCAAGAAGCGTTCCAAGACAAGCGATTTCAGCTATTCTGCGGCTGCCAGTCCCGTTCCGGGCAAATGACCATCAAAGTTGTCGACACCCGCGAGGAGTTCTACGAAAGTCAGCGACTCAGCATCGAGCCGGATCTTTCATTGTCCATGGGCCACTATTCGCCCGTCAAACCGCTGGCCCTGAGAAGGGAAATCGGTGTGTTCGTGATCCTCTGTATGGTAGGCGCAGCTGTTGCGCTTATCTACTTGAAGTTGGAGGAGCAGCGCATCGGAGGTAAAGATGCCGAGTGATCGACAAGAAGATACGACTGACCCGGTGCACAGGGCTTATAAGACCAACCACGAACTTCGAACTTCTCCAGATTCTTGAAAACTACGTCCCAACCATATTTGCAACATTCCTGGAGCCATTCTGGGTCCTCATCAATAGACTGCTCTGCATTCTACAACCCTTCAAGGATCTCTGGACTGGCCGACGAGCCGCCGATGGCTCTATCAACGCAAGGTATACCTCTTTGCCCCCTCAGCTGGTAATTTGGCGGGCGGCAAGGTCAGGCCACTTCGTTCTGGTGTCAATCTGCCTGCTTGCTCTTCTTGCGAACCTACTCGCCGTCGGCCTCGGTGGTCTTTTCAACGAATCGCCTGTTCTTGTCAACAACACTTTCGAATACCAGCAGACGATGAGGCCAACGCTCAACAACGATTCAGTACTTAGCCGAGCCAGCCAGGAGGCATACCTTTCGAACGTCATCGCATACGAGAAGCATTTCTACATCGCCATGAATAACATCACACAGGGCACTCCTCTACCTCCCTGGGTGACTAAGGAGTATTTCTTCCAACCTTTCGCTCCTCCTCCCGGGACCAGCAACAAAGGCGAGGTCTACACGGCTCGCACCAGGGGATTCGGCGTGCTTCCGTCTTGCTTCGACGCCGGCATCGTTACAAGCCGCGTGAGGCCCCCCGTCCTGAATTATACATACACCCGCCACGGCGAAGTGCTCGATTGCTCGACGACTTTTGAACCAAGTAACTTGAATCTCAACAGAACCTATAGCATGCAACCCTCCGGGCCTTCTGCCGCCGAAGATGTGTCGTATAATGCAACCGCCGGATATACGAGTTGCGCTGTTCCGCTTTATCTTTCTTGGGCAAGAACCCCGGATGGGTTGAACAAAGAAGACGGCGATGTGAAAACCCAGTTCGTTGTTTGCGAGCCCCAGTTCACCACGAGCATGTTCGATGTCACCGTAGACCCACAAGGCTACGTTCTCAACACCACGCAAGTAACCGAGCCGTCTTCGACCCTCGACACGCCAACATCGAATAACAACACAGAAATGATGGCAATATACCTCAACAACATGATGCCGGGCAACACTTTCCCCTGGCACAATGACACGTTCTCCAACGACTGGATGAACTACCTGATAAAGATCCAGCCCGGACAGAGCGATGTGCTTAGCCCGCTGACGACGCCGAACACGACATCCATCATCCCTGCCGTCGAATACGTCTACCGCCAGCTCTACGCCATCTTCCTCAGCCTGAACCCAGGCTTCTTCGACAACTACGCGGAACCCGTCATGATGACCGGCAGCGAGCGTCACACCGAAGTGCGAATTTTCATGGACAACACCGCCCTCGCCATCAGCCTTTCCGTGCTCGCCCTCAACATTGCCGTCGCCGTCGCGCTCTACGGCTTCACGATCAAGCACTTCCTGCCGCGCATGCCGACAACGATCGGGTCGATCATGGCCTACCTCGCGCCCAGCAGAGCCATTCGCGAGTACGAGTGGCCCGGTGATACGAGCAGAGTTGACAGTGGGAGGAGGGGCGGTGGGTTGGGCAGCAAGAGCGGCGGCCTCAAGAAGGCGCCAACGTTCAGCTTCGGCCGGTACGTCGGCGACGACGGGCGCGCGCACGTGGGCATCGAGATGGACCCGTACGTGGTGCCCGTGAAACTGTCGGCGTTGAGGAAGGGGAATACAGAACCGAGGGCCGGGTTGCTGAGGCGTGTGCTGGGCCGAGGAAAGAAGGAGGGAAGAGGCGACACATGGTTATAGGAAGACCGCCGCGGCCATCATGACCACCACGAGCGACATCGGACGGGAGAGAGACACGGAAGCGGATGCTTTTCTCGCGTTATGGTTTGTGTTTTGGAGTTCGGATTATTACAGGGGGATAGATATCATGGGCCACGACAAAAAGACGGTCGGATACCGTCTCAGCACCACCGATACGCGCGGCTCGATATGTCATGCGGGAAACGAGCATTCGATTGCACAACGCGCAGCTCGAGTTATCGTCCCCGGCGAGGGAGACCAGAAAAAACATGGACACACTTCCCCAGCGCATCCTTCCCCGCAGACGTGCTTCTTTGACTGTGTCGATGGCGTCCATGCGCATGTATCCGACCGAGGTGGGATGTGTCAGCCATCCAGCTCGACAAGGAACAGCTCCCATTCATTCGGCCGCACACCCTTCCCGAAATGTCCATACGAGTATGTGTGTGTGTGTGTTTGTGTGTGTGTATCGCAAAGTTTCTGGCCGCAAAGGGTTAAGTTATGTCAAACTCCTGGGTTCACATTCTGGTTCCACGCGATCCTTAACTCCATCTCTCAGGGACTCCCCCGCCAGGTATTGGTATGGGAATGTTAGAATGGCCGCCGAATTTTGGGGCTGTCCTGTCACTGGCTGATATCTTGTGCTTTGGCTTTGGATGAGTTTAAGGGCTTAGGCACCGATGTGCAAAACTCACTCAGCTTCTGTAAATTACATTCAGTAGTTCTCCGAGGACCTGTTTTACTCATCAAATCACATCACACCGTATGCCGCGTAGGGCGATCCAGAGTTGGAAGATCTTATGCTATTCATGATATCACTCTCTTCTTTCTCGTAGCTGATACAAGCATCTAAGCCCCCTTAAGCATGCAAAAGTGTATATACAGAAAATGGTAGTAAATGTTCAAAGAAAGCAAACGCCGCAAATGTTTGTGCCGAGCCTTACATGTCGTCATGACTTTATCCAGTTTCCTCCCTGAGGTATCATATCCCGTAAATGCTAAACCGTTCATCAAAATGTTCGCCATCAACCAGCTTAGGCGAAACGGAAGCGAAGGGAGCGCTGGCGCAGAGCACGAGTGCGACCGTTTCGGGTCACGACCATGCTGAGATCGGAGCCCATGCCGGCGGAGCAGGCGGTACCGCCGGCAAGCTGCTGGACGGCAGACCAGGTGCCGCTGGCGCAGCGCTGGAAGGAGGTGCCACTGACACAGTTCCATGCGCCCTCGTTAGTGCAGGCGGAGCCGACGGTCTGAACACCAGCGCCAGTTGAAGGTGTCTCAGTACCGTTGCCAGAACCGGAGCCGGAGCCGCTGCCAGTACCGGAAGAAGGGGCAGCAGGAGCAGCGCTAGGAGCAGCGCTGGGAGCAGCGCTGGGAGCGGCCACAGGCGCCTCGGAAGGGGAGGGAGCAGGAGTCGCGGAAGCGCCACCCTTGGAAGGCACGGTGATGAAAACACCGCCGGGAAGACCAGCGCCGGCCGTAGGCTTCGGTGCGGAGGGCTTGGAAGAGGCAGGGGCGGTGGGAGCGGGCGCGCCACCGTTGCCGGCAGTGTTGCTGGGCTTGGGGGTGCCGGAACCGCCACCAGAACCGCCGCCACACGCAGCGGGAGGAGCCTTGAGCGCCGAAGGCTCGCCGAACTTGTCAACAGAGTTACCGGGGTTAGGGAACTGAACATCAGTGGTCTCCTCGGTTTGGCAGTTGCCGATGTTGGCAACGAACATATCGGGGAGAGCGTTGTAAGCTTCCTGGGAGCCCTCGGAGCCGGTAATGGTGACAGGTCCGCAGTTCATGTACATCTCGCGGTTGCCGATCTTGTTGAACCAAGTCCAGGCGATGGTACCGTTGCCAGCAGGCATGTCATCTGGGACCGTGAAGTCGTACTTGTCTTGGTTGACCTGGTTGGCATTGTCACCCAGGTTGCCTGCGGCGTTCTTGGCGGGGCAGCCTCCCTCAATGGACTTGATGACCTTCCAGACGCTGTTCTTGTCGGGCTTAGCATCGTAAGTGATAGAAACCTGGCAGGAGCCTCCGCCATGAACAGCGGAGCCGATGAATGAGAGCGAGCCGCCGGCTCCCTGAGCGTAAACGTTGGAAGCACCCTCGGCGTCGTAGACTCCAGATCGCTGTTTGCAGGGGAAGTCGCTGCCGCTAGCATCCAGGGGGCTGTTGTTAAGGCTGGATGCGCCATAAGGAACGGGAGTGGCCATCTTCATGTGGGCACTGGCAACGGTGGCCAGGCCGAAGGCGATGATTGCGTTGGTGTACATGTTGAGTATGTTGTGTGGGTTTGGTTGTGAAATGAGAATCTAAACGTTCCGGACGTAGAATCTCAGTATCGTGTCAGCGTCGTTGTGACTGCAAGTTGAAAGTTGTTCTGAAAAATGGTTTGAATGACACCTTTTTAACCATGTTAGTTTTCAACTCTACTCGGTTCTCGACGGCACGATCCAGCATCTTCTCGACGACAGCGCACACGTTCCTCGGCAGGCCCGACTCGAGACGACCAGCCGCGACTGCGACGAGCCCGGTGTGACGAGGCCGCTGAAGAATGACATTATGCGTGATGTCGTGCGGGCCGAGAAGTTGAACAATGGCACCGAAGAAGCCAAGGCGGCCAAGGCCGCATGCCGCCCCCTCCAGTATGTATCATTCCAGGTACTTACAGTGTCTTCTCGCTTTGTCTGCCGGGGAGCTTGGACGTGGCGGGTTTGTTTCAACAAAGTGTTTGATATGAAGGTTGAGAATCGGATAATCGATGGGTCTCGAAGTTTCGTTGTCTTGTTCGTTTGTTCCGGAAAGGATGGAAGTGCACCAGGCGAGTTGGAGTTGATGGAAGATTCGAAAGAACTAAGGACTAGCCTTGTGGTTGAATGAGAGATGAGAGAATGTTAAGATGTCGAAAATGACAAACTCTTTCAAGCTCACTGAAGGAATGTGAGAAGATGTGATGGTCCGGGAGGATGAGGAGCAAAAAGGGAATGTGAGGTTGGAAGAAGCCCGGGTCTTATAATAGGCAAGACAGGCCGAAAAGATGTGATGGAGGAAAGGAAGTGCTACGTAGTAGCAAGTAGTGACTGACAAGGCCCACGGACAGAAGATGCCGAGCTTGAAAGAGTGACTAGGGATGGATGGGGAAAGGAGAGGCAAAAAGCACTAAGCACGGCTGCAAAGAACGGCGGTAATCCCAGAACGATTGGAGAATGATAGACTTGAGGTCGGACCGGAGGATGGAGAGCTGGAAAGATTGGTCCACTTGGGACGGGAGAGACATAGCGTTCTTTTTAGATGGGCGTTGAGGCTATGGGCCAGTCAAGACCAGGCATGGGCATCAGCCCAAGGGGATTTGAGGCATGGTGGGTCGACCGAGAGGAACAGGGGCAGGCCGTTGAAGAAGGACAAGCGACGACTTGAGCCTATGATAGGTCGGAGACGTACCCCTCGGCTTGTTTCGACATGCCACAAGAGAAGGGACTAAACATTCTTGAGAGTGGGCAGGGGTGGGAAAAAGGATGGAAGGGCGGAGCCGTGGACCATGGACCATGCCGTGGAGCATCTAAGGGCCTGGCTGTTGTCCGCCTGTCGACCTTGACTAACGGCTCGCGGGAGAGACCAAGACAGTGAGACCATGCCAGGTTCTGGAGAGATGGATGGATGCGAGTGAGTGAGTGAGTGAGTGTGTGTGTGTGTGGGCATGGTGGGACGGGGATCTTGCAGCAAGGCGCGCATGGTGCGTTGCGCTGTGTGCTTTTCGAGCGGCGGATTCCCCTGACTAAACTCGTCCGAGGAGGAGCCAAGGATGGCCAAAGGCGGGGTGAGAAGGGAGGGTGTCCACAGTTGAGCGTGGTATAAGGAGTATAGGGAGGGATTGGTGAGGAGTTTTTCCAAGGTGTCGTTGACTGAGAGGCTTGAATGGCTGGGACGATATGGAAAGAGAGACAGGTGTCACCGAGGAGAGCGGCACTACTGGACTAGCGTGATGCGTAGGGGGTGAGTGAAGGGGGGGGGATGTCCGTGACAGGGGTCAAGGAGGAAGGTACTAGTTTAGTTTAAGAAGCAGGGAGCATGGGTGCACATTGTGGGGTCTCGACCTCCGGGACCCACCAGATAGATGGTGCGGTACGTATCCGTATCCTTCCTTTTCTCGTTCAGTAATGAGACCTCATTGGCTGCCTGGGGCACGAAGAAGACGGCGAAGAAGAAGAAGGCTTGCCTGTTGGAGGGAGTACGTACCCGCACTTTTGAGTGGCGTAGCGTATTCAGCCACCAGATCATTCAGTGCGTGGTTTACCTCCTCAGTCAGGGAAGGAGGGTGGCAACGGGAGACGTAGTACCTATGCCTGTGCTATGTAACCATGTGTTTCCTTTTGGTGGTTTGATGGCAGCCTCTACCGGACTATAGTCGTTGCTCTAGTGTATAATAGCGGTGGGTGGGAGGCACTGAAGCGCTGGGAGATGCAGCTTCCTAGACAGGAGACGCATCAAGATGGCGGCGACTACTGCAAGGCACCATCTGCGAGTTGACCACAGCTGCAGTGTAGGTACCGGTAGTGTAGTGTAGTGTATTCGGATTGAGAAACGGTGAGCGAACAGCCATCCCCATCTCGACTAGTTTGCGGTCTTTGGGATACACAGCAGCGCGATGGCCCGAACCACCGAGCTTTTGGTTCCCGTCCTTTCTACAATGGAATTTCGTCCATACTATCCATCTCGGTACATTGTAGTAGGTATTCATTCGTACGCATACCGGTAAAGCCCTCTCCAACGTCCCGAGTCTAGAATAGAAGAGGTGCCAGCGCTGCAGCCATCCCGCACCGATCGACGGATGACAGGCCAGCCCCAAAGGATGAGTTTACACTACACGTACACAAGGCCTCCGACACTTTGACTTTCTATGGCAGCAAACAGACGGCGGCAATGCGGCTCGTCTCTGGACCGCCATGCACTGACAGCCGGGCTGGACTGGGATCGCCAGAAGGCGAGAAACCATTTCAGAATCAATGCAGTCCAGTCCCTTCCAGACCGTCGCCCGTTTTGGCAACAGGCGGCCTCCAATCAGGACATGCCGAACCTGGGATTCGGGCGGCCAAGTTGCTGCGGCCTCGCTTACCCGGAGCCTTGGTGGCGGCCACTCAGATCCCTAGCATGCCCTCGTGGAAAAAATACGTCACGGTGCGGCGCAACCTTGCCTGACCACATTGGCTACAGGGGCCGCCGAGGACGTTTTTATCCGTGTCTTGCTGGATAGAGTGCCCCCTGTCACCGACTTGGGATGCGCAGGGGCTGATGGGAGTCATTCCAGATGGAGACTAACGCCAAAAAGGGGGCAGGGGAGGGGGGCTTAAAACCCGATACTGACCGGGGACTGGCCTTCATTGGTGTCGCGCTGGGAGTCCTCCTCTCGCCGCCCCGTCCTGTCCAATAGGAGCTATGCTCGCATGGCGCGGGTGATGGGTGAGAGCACGGAGCTGGACAGAGAAGGGTAATCCCAGAATCAGGGATCGGAAAGCGAGAGCCTACAATGACAAGGGGCCTGCTGAGCAAGGGGTACGGAAGAGGAAGAAAAGGGGTGCGGATGGTGTCCAAATGTCAGGCTTATCGAGTCATCGGGCTGCCGAGTTCCGGCATGCATTCCCGTTTGAATGAACCAAACTGGGCGGACGGGGCGGGCGGAGGAAACGACCTCAAGCCAAGACAAGAAGAGAGAGGAGAGCTTTCGGAACCAGTGATGAGTCGGCGGTCCGCACCGTTTGCCAAAACGTCTCGAGTGAAGAAACACGAAAACACTGAGGCGACGGTGTTCCAGTCCAAGCCGAAAACGAGACATGTAAACGGGTAGACTTCTACGTAGTGGGGCCGGCGAGGGCTGGAACGTACGTAGAGACAGACGTTGGCACGGGGCGCCCACCTCTTCTCATCCATCCAGCCACCAGCCAACGCTCAAACTCAACTCAACTCAGCTTACCGATCACCGATCACCGATACCGAGAGACACCTAGCACACACACACTGTCAAGAGAGACATGGACATGCCAGGAAAATGTAGCGCCGTGTACGCGCCGCACGTATTGTACGCTAGGTATTGGCTAGGCATATCCCTCCCGCCCATTGTGCGCATTGTCAGTCGAGGAAACTAAACCAAAGCCAAGACCCCGATAGTAAACGAAGTCACGAAGATCGACGGGATTCTCCCGAGTCAGTGATGGGTCATCCCCGCTGAGCGAAAAATAGAGACCGAGTAGAGTTTCCGGAGGGCGAGCTCCATGGGTGCTTGTCTTGACATCGGTATTCCCGCGCCTTGGCCCGTCTGCCTACCTACCTACCTAGTACGTGTACATTGAGGTAGGCATCCCAGGTAGGTCAGTATACTACACACTACTTCGGTGTAATACGTGTACTGAGGACAGCAAAATGGGAGCATGGCGCTGTTATCCGCAGGCCTCAACTGCGGCTGCGTACCCACCTACATGTCTTTTATCACGTCATACTAAGATACCACCTGGATATTATGTAAGGCATCTATCATCTACCTGTAAGTCGCCTGTCGGCGTGACCGCGGTGGCAGTGTACTTAAAACATTGTACCTGAGCTGTTGGTCCGATAGTGGGGTCGTTTTTCTTTTCTTTTCTTTTCTTGTAAAAACGTTTACAAAAAGTGGACAGCACCGTGATTAATGTACATCAAATTGAAACAAGAAATGATCAAGGCGCGGATACAAGGCAAAAGAGAGGCAAAGGAATTATGCTAGGAAAAAATCAGAGTGAAAAAAGAAAAGAAGCGGGTGAGGGAGCGGGTTACCACAGCCACTCATTCACGCCTCTTTCCACATTTCCTCTTCTCGTCTCTCAGTGCCAAGACCCCCAGGTTGACGTGCATCCACTACCACTACAGGTAGAACCGCCCCTGTCACTTGCGACCCACCCATCAAATTCCCCGCTAAAGCAGGGGACAGACGGAGCCTTTCCAGCAGATCCTCCTTGGCTCGCGCAGAAGGGGGTAGGGCAGAAGACCACTACCAGGACGCTGACAAGGGTTTACGATTCTCGCTTGTCAGGGGTAAGGGACACCACGAACCCCCGGCTGGGAGCCCTCCTGTCCACAAAGTTGAGGCCTTTTTGTCTTTTCCTCCACGTTTAATCGTGGTCGAGGCAGGCCCTACTGGCCACCACCGCTTGCGGCACATCCTACGTGGTAGTGCACGCAGGGTCTTGGGGCCATTCGTCCCCTTCTCGGGGGGAGAGATGACACTGCTGCCCCCGCCCTTGCGCAGGAGCGAGGGGGTGAAACGAGGTCGGTTTCACGACACCTCAAGTTCGCCGCTCCTTCTTTCGGACATTGAGCGCTCAACCTGCGAGCTACTGATAGCGAATCAATGCCCCGTCAGTCGTCACCTATGCCATGTGCGATGCGACGTGGAAATGGTGAGGGGATCATCTAGTTACCGTATCCTCTGACTTAACTGAATAACCGCACAGACCATACGCTAGACCCCTTATAGAAAGCGGTCAATCTATCTCTACACACACCCACCCATGTAACCCTAACCCTTGCCGCCTAACTTGCTGCTGACGTAAATGACTCCCTGTATTTGCCACATCTAGATCCCTGTTTCTGCCACCACGCCAGCCCCTTTTCAGCAGCCCGCGGTCTGTGCGGTTATTCAGTTAAGTCAGAGGATACGGTAGTGTACTGGATACCGCGGGCTAAGCTTTTTGGCGGGTTTTGTTTCTTCAGGCACCATTTTGCTTGCGATCGCGCGGGAAAGCGGGAGGCGGAGAAGGGCATGCACACCTGGCCCTTGGGAAGAGGAACGGGGGAGAGAAGAAGATGATGCGATTCAAGTCAGGCACCCTGCGACCAGTCGTTTCCCGCCGTAGTCGACCAAAGAACTTGACGTTGTCATGAGGAACACCCCCTTTGCGTTTGGGGTAAGCGCGCTGGAAACGAACAACAGCAAACGATGTTATGTTCGCTGAGCACCTGATCACAGCCAGCCCGTTAGCTTCTGCCTTTGGAACGCGCCGAGTTGCCCTGACGCCGGCCAGCCGTTTGACGATCACCGAACGACACGACCACGAGGACGCGTCGACGGTGACAAGTGCGCCAAAGCCCTCAGGGCTTCATTCGCTCTTGTCAGCTTTGCCCTTTTCCCAACCAACGATGCAGCCCGTCGTCCGCTTGCCACTTCTGGCATGTTCGGCGCCCTCCCTACACGTATAGGACCCAACGCACATCCAAGCACCATCGACCTGGGGCCCTGCTGCCGGCCTGGTCGACCCGGCCTTTGCCCGACCGTAGCGGGACATTTCACCGGCTGTTGTCCGCTGTAACGTTGGGCGATCGCCACCCACCTTCGAAATCCCGGATGGATGTGGCCCAAACTCCACGGCCGAGTGGGGACTTGGTGACAGGGCTCGTGGAAAAGGAGGCTCATCGCACGAGGAGGCATGACTTGTCGTCGCCATTTAGTTACTCCATCGGAACTGCGTGCGGCACAGTATGCAGTCACGTACGGTAGTGCAGTGTAAACTACGTGTGTGGTGTGGTACGGCCTCCCCTTGTCCATGTACACTACATCTTCATCTGCGCGATCCCCGGTCCACGTAGGCTTTACGTCGTCCGAACATTTTTTTCGACAGAAACACCTCTCCCTCTACCTTCTTTCGCTCTGGCCCGTCCACGCCCCCTGCTGCTGCCTCCCGTGGACATCGCAGCTGGTTGGGCACAGAGCATTCGGGCCAGACTCGACAAGCGCCGTCTATGCAGAAGATCCGAGAGGGGCTGACGGCTCTGTTCCGCAAAGGAGAACACTGAGAGCACCAAGGGCGCTGAGCGTGCTTGCTTGGGCTGGTCAGCGCCGTTTGTCTTTCCACACATCTTTAGACGATCTGGCTGGACCGAGTCTCGTACCTGTGACGCCGATCAACCATCAGCGCACACAGCCCAGTGTGGTACCAGCTACGAAACGACGCCATCCCGCAGTGCGCATGAACTCCCCAGCTTGGCTTCGACACCACCCGCTCGCTCCTTGCTAATACGCTATCCGACTCTGTTCAGTAGCAAGCAGCCCGGTCGCCGTCAACTGAAATCATAGAACGGCACATATCAAGATTAGCGGGGGTCTCCCAGCCGAACACCATTTTCAGCGCTTGGGCATGAATGATCGTCTCTGAGCCACAGGGAGAAAGATCGGATTCAATTTGGATGGCAATGACGCCACCGCAATCGCGCACCTGCGCCTCTGCGCCCCTGTCCGGAGTCGCTTTGCTAGCATCGCGTGTGGCTGTGTGTGGCTTCCCTGCATTCCCTTCCCTGCCGGAGCCACAGAGCTCACATTTCCTGTGGCTAGTTCTTCGTGCTTCCCGAGGTGAGGGCCAGCTTGTGGTACGTGGCACCGCGCATCCCGTACCCAAACCACCTCCCCCGCTTGTTTGTGCTTCGTAACCCCATACAGTAGGTGGTTTACCTAGGGAGGATCGATATCATGCATTCCCTCTCGTTCTTCATCGGATGCCTCAACAGCATCCTTGCATAGCTGGAATGAGAGGCAGCCGCCTCGGGCGACCGGCATTCCTGGCTTTCCCGGTGTCCAGAATGCGGGGGGGCATTGTTCACGAGGCAGCACTTTACACCTCCTTTGGCCTCCACGACGCGCCAGCGCCTGCTCGGTAGCCAACGAGGTGCGAATGCCGTGGCTCGTCCGCTATGGCATGACTTCAGCCGCTCAACAGGATCCAGCTTGAATGTTACTCGGAATGTTTGTACAAGCGTGAACCCCGTAGAGTCTTCCTGTTAGGTCAGCTGGTATTAGTCCGACCTCAACCTTGGTTGCCGCCAGAATCACCAGGGTTATTTCGCAGATTGATGACTCTTTCCTTGAATCGTCGCATTGCCGCCACGAACCCGGCCCGACAGCGATGTCATATCACTCAGCTTATCGCTTCGAGGGGTGGCGCCCGCGGCTGCAGCCCTGCCCATCAAGACCGGCGGCAGTCGTCGGGATATGACTAGGTAAAATCGTGTTCTATTCGCTGTCATCACGTCCTTGTTTCATCTATCTATCGAATTCGTAATCGCTGCGTGTTGTTGTTCACGGGCGGGGCGGCGGCACTAGATTTCCCCTCTCTCTCTCTCTCCAATGCCGTGAGCCGGTGCTGACTTGTCCATTTCACACCGCCCCGAGCGACCCAGTCGCCGACCTGCGTCAGCCGCCTGGCTGGGAACCCATCAAATAATGCCGTTTGCCGCCATGCACGAAGGGGGGAGCAAGAGAAATACGAGCCATGCTTGCTGCGAGGCTTCCTACTCTTAGGCACCGTTCTGCTTGGTCGCATCGTCCTTGTCGTCGTGGCCCCGGGTGTCCTCGTGTTCGGTCTTCTCGAACTCTGCGGAGTCGGTGCAGCCTAGTGCGGGTTCGTCCAGGATGTTAGCGGTGACACGAACAAGGAAGCGCCTCCACGGCGGCTTCGTCAGCGGAAGGGTGGGCTCGCTCACCCTCAAAGACGTAGCTCTCGCGCGTCCAGATGTGCATCTTGTCCCTGCGGAACTCGTCGAACGACCACTCCCGGCGCTCCAGAAACTCCGGGCGCTTGTAGATGTAAGCCGTGGCCTCCTTCTCCTCCTCTCCCTCTTGGCCGCCACTCCCAGCGCCTTGGAGCTTGACCTTGACAACCTTCTTCTCGTACTCGGAGCCCTCGAAGAAGTCGAGCTTGGAGACGTTGGCATCCGTGAGGCCCGTCGCGTAGATGCCGAGCACGGAGCCGCCCTCCTCAGGGATCATGCCCGGGTATGCGGCGTCCTGGACGCGGTGGCGTGTGTGGCCGGTCAGCACGGCCGGGGTGAAGGTGTAGAGGTCCTTGATGACCTGGGGAGGGTTGCTGTCGCCCTGGACAACGGTGAAGAAGACCTTGGGCTCCATCTTGGGGCGATGTTAGTGGGTGCGGTGCACTCGGCTTGTCTATACTGGGGTTCACTGACCAATGTGCCTATGTAGGAATGTTAGTTTCGTGACATGAAGATTAAGATGAGGTATTTACCGTAGAAGAAGGCAGTATGCGGTCCACTCATGGTGACGGTGTTGCGAAGTGGTGATACACGAAGTTGTGATGCTATGGTGTTCGTATGAGCAAATTGACTTCCGAAAATGACGCACCAAATGTGTGCGTGTTTGTAGAACTGATGCTGAGAACAGACCACTTATCGTATTTAAGTAAAGTAAATTTTGGTCTAGAGAAGTTCTTCACTGGTGTTGGCGGGCTTCTAGCAGCTTTAAATATACCCCGTCAAGCTGGATGGTGGGTTGATGGAGAAAGTCGTAGAAAGGCAAGGTGAAACAGCAACTCCGTTTACTGAGAAAGATGTCCAAGGAGTTGCCTAAAGACAGAAACACGTTGGGTATTATCACTCAAAGAACAGGAAAACCACACAAAGCAAAGGAAAACGAGGCTGAACAAGTGACGGAAGAGTGAAGTGCGACCCCGGCCCACCTCCGAGCCACCGGCATCCACCAGAACTACGGCACCGGTGATAAGAGCTTTCCCCAGGTGCAAGCAAGCCGATAAGCAGGGTTATCGCGGCCCGGGTGCTCTCCGGGTGGGTCACTAGCGCCGGATTAACGTTCTTCAATGTCCTAGCGCAAAATGAATTGGCGACTGCTCCCCCCAGCTTCGCGACTGCCTTTGGGAAATTTGAAAGTTCACGTCGAGCCTGGGCCTCCAAATCCATTAAGTCAAGCCGCGCGATCTTGAGCTACTGGGAAACAAATCCTGGCCACTACCCACCACAAGACACGGGCGAAGGCAATTCCAAGAGCACAATTACCTGCGGCTTTTCCCGTTTCTCTTCACAAGCAGAGATTTTTCTTCCTTCTTAATCTACGAACGATACCCCTCCAGCTCCGACGCGCGCGCGCAACTACGTATTCTCATCTCAGCCTCGTTACGACACGAACCAACCCACGATACCTTGCTCCCCCACGCATGGGAGCGAACCACGCGTCCCCAAGGGGCTATTGAAGCCGCGATGTCGGGAACGACAATTGACGATGTCGTGAAGCGGCTCAGTAGTCCGGAAACGGGTACGAAACGACCCCTCGTGCGATGCGATTCCTCCACACCCCGGGACCCCGCCAGAGGTGGAGGCGCACTTCGTCCGTCATGACCTTACTGACATGTGCTTGCGTTGCAGATGCGAGAATCAAGGTAGAGGCGGCGACTACCTTGCGCGACAGCTTAGACCACTACACGGCCGGTCCCATATACCCCCCCTTCCTCAAGCGATTGGTGCCCATATTCATCGCCATCCTTCGTGGACCATGCATCTTCCAGAGCAACTCTCCGGAGCAGGTGAGCTGCCCCGCATCAAACCCGATAGTGCGCTGCTGACATGGTTGAAAGAAACTGCGGAACTGCATACTGGAGGTCCTTCATCGACTGCCGACGACACCGTCCCCGACCGAACCCTTCGAACCGTACGCCGAGGAGGTTGTCGACCTGCTGATGCAACTGGTCCGAACGGACAACGAAGAGAATGCGACGCTATGCGTCAAGATCATCTCGGATGTCATGCGACATCAACATAAGGTGCTCGGCGGCAAGGTCCAGGCCTTTCTCAGCCTGATCCAGGAGCTCTTTGAGCAGATGGAGAAGGTCGTGCGCGAGCAGCTGGACAACACCTCCATCTCGAACGCATCGAGCTCTGGCGCCCCGTCGACGCCAGGCAGCTCCCAAACGAACTTCCAGTCGCCTCGTCCCGGTTCGCCCGTTGCCTCGGTCACAGATCTCGGCCCGGACCCGCAACAACAAAACAGGCTCCTGCTAAAGGGAATGCAGTCCTTCAAGGTTCTGTCCGAGTGCCCCATCATAGTGGTTTCCGTCTTCCAGGTCTACCGGAACACCGTCGCTGCCAACGTCAAGGCTTTTGTTCCGCTTATTAAGGGGTTCCTCAGCCTCCAGGCAAGCGCGCAGAAGCAGGCTCATGCCGATGCCAAGGCCAGAGGACAGATCTTCACTGGTGTGAGCCCGTTGATCAAGAACCGTGCTGCCTTCGGGGAGTTCATCACGGCTCAGGTTAAGACGATGAGCTTTCTAGCCTACCTGCTGCGACAATACTCCCAACAATTGACCGATTTCTTGCCAACCCTTCCCGAGATCGTGGTACGACTCTTGCAGGACTGTCCCAGGGAGAAATCCAGCGCACGGAAGGAGTTGCTTGTCGCAATCCGACACATCATCAACTTCAACTTCCGCAAGATCTTTCTGCCAAAGATCGACGAGCTCCTGGACGAGAAGACATTAATCGGCGATGGACTGACAGTTTACGAGACTATGAGACCGTTGGCTTATAGTATGCTTGCCGATTTGATCCACCACGTCCGCGACAGTCTCACCCCGGAGCAGATCCGCAAGACGGTCGAGGTCTACACGAAAAACCTCCAGGATAATTTCCCGGGCACGAGCTTCCAAACCATGAGCGCTAAGTTGCTCCTGAATATGGCGGAATGCATCGCGAAAATGCCCAACAAGGTAGACGCACGGTACTACCTGATCATGATCCTCAACGCAATCGGCGACAAGTTCGTGGCCATGAACCGACAATATCCCAACGCAGTGAAGCTCTCGAAACTCTACGCCCAGCAGGCCGCTGACGGGACCCAGGACAGCTACCTCGCGGACAAGGAACACCCCCCTGACTGGGACGAGACAGACATCTTCACAGCCATGCCGATCAAGACATCGAACCCTAGGGACAGGGGCGCTGACCCCGTTGCGGATAACAAGTTCTTGTTCAAGAACCTGATGAACGGTCTCAAGAATACCTTTTATCAGTTGAGGACATGCAATGTTAACAACGTCATCGATGTACAGAATGCTCCAGCACACTGGCAGGATGTCGCCTATGGCTTCACGGCTGAGGAGGTCAACGTTATAGTGAAGCTCTTCCGAGAGGGCGCTTACGTCTTTCGCTACTACGAAATCGAGAAGCCGGCTACCGAGTCCCAGTATATGTCCCCTGTGGAATACATGGCCAACTTTTACATGGTGTCTAGCAGCAAGGAGGAGAAGGATCTCCTGGAGACGTTCGCCACGGTCTTCCACTGCATCGACCCGGCGACTTTCCATGAAGTCTTCCAGCAGGAGATTCCTCACCTGTACGATATGATTTTCGAGCACACAGCCTTGCTTCACATCCCCCAGTTTTTCCTCGCCAGCGAAGCGACATCACCTAGCTTTTGCGGTATGCTTCTGCGCTTCTTGATGGAGAGGATCGACCAAGTCGGTTCGGCGGACGTGAAGAAGTCGTCGATCCTCTTGAGGCTTTTCAAGCTAGCTTTTATGGCTGTAACGCTCTTTGCAAACCAAAACGAACAGGTGCTGCTCCCTCACGTCGTGGACATCGTCACCAAGTCGATCGAGCTGTCGACTAAAGCAGAGGAGCCGATGAACTACTTCCTGCTCTTACGGTCGCTGTTCCGAAGCATCGGTGGCGGCAAGTTTGAGCACCTCTACAAGCAGATTCTTCCTCTGCTTGAGATGCTGCTGGATGTCCTCAACAACCTGCTCTTGGCAGCAAGGAAGCCCGCCGAGCGAGACCTCTACGTGGAGCTGTGCTTGACAGTGCCGGCACGGCTCAGCAACCTGCTGCCCCATCTCAGTTTCCTCATGCGGCCCTTGGTTGTCGCTTTACGAGCTGGTACAGATCTTGTCGGTCAAGGGCTGAGGACTCTGGAGCTCTGTGTTGACAACCTCACCGCGGATTATCTCGATCCCATTATGGCTCCGGTGATCGACGAGTTGATGACGGCGTTATTCGATCACCTCAAGCCACACCCATACAGCCACTTTCATGCTCACACCACCATGCGCATTCTGGGCAAGCTTGGAGGCCGGAATCGAAAGTTCATGACCGACGCGCAACCTCTCAAGTACAAGGAGTATGCCGACGACCCGACCAGCTTTGATCTCCGCCTCATTGGATCAAAGAGAGACAGGGCCTTCCCGGCAGAGACGGGTGTCGACATGGCCATCAGGAAGCTGATGGAGCAACCGAAGGGCAGCAAGGGCAACCAGTCCCGGCAGTACGACGGATATTACAAGAAGCAGTCATTCAATTTCATCAAGTCCCAGCTCAAGATGCGGATTGGCTTCGAGAACCTGCCCGACGACCTCCCAAGGCTCCTGCGTCTCCAGGCCCAAGACCTCATCAGCAGAAAGATCGATTTTGACTTTTCTGCGTTCGAAACGTCTGACAAGGAGCGATCCATTCCCAAGAAGGACGAGCAGGATGATCTTGTTCGGCGCTTGCTGAAGGCAGTCATGTTTGCCGAATCCCTGCCAGAGTTCAAGGAAGACGCACAGGCGTTCCTCATGAACATCTGCAAGCACTTTACAATTGTCGAGGTCGGCCGGGCCTTGATCGACGTCAAGCGGGCCTACAGCCCGTTCGACCCCAATGCCGGAGAGGGCCCGCTCTTTATTGATACCCGGGTACTCTCCGATGCGATTGTGGAATCCTTGGCTTCGGACCACCCTGAAGTGCGAGAGTCTGCGCAACGCGCGATCCGCGAAGTGTACGACTCTGCGGCCACAATCTTCGGATCCCAACACAGTGTTGCCAGGCTGCCCTTCTTCAACAACCTAAGCGCGACCTTCTGCCACGGTTGCTACGAGGAGGAGTGGTTCACCAAGACTGGTGGCTCCCTAGGCATCAACTTCCTGCTTACTGAGCTGGACCTTGGTGACCAATGGGTCGCGAGCAAGCAGATCGAGTTCATTCGGTCGCTCATGTACGTCATCAAGGACATGCCCCAGGATCTCCCCGAGAAGACTAGAAGATCGGCTCAGGTCACCCTGGAGACTTTGCTGCAGAGGATCACAAAGAACATCAAGAAGGAGGATGCAATGCCCCAGCCAAACCCGGGTCAACCGCCGCAGCAGAGGTCTCGCCTCGCCCAGATCTGCATGCAATTCAACACAGAACTGGCACACATGAACCGCCACGTTCGAGAGACCGCGAAGCGATCCCTCGAGTTGATTGCCAAGGCGGCCAACTGTGCCGTCTGGGAACTGATCGAACCCTACAAGGAGCGATTCCTCCAGCCCATCTACTCCAAGCCTCTCCGCGCGCTCCCGTTCCCTATTCAGATAGGCTACATTGACGCAATGACTTACCACATGACTCTGAGAAAGGAGTGGGTTACGTTTGACGACAACTTGACCAGATTACTTATGGAGTCTCTGGCCTTGGCCGACGCGAGCGACGAGTCTCTGGCCAACAAGCCAGGGGAGTTCAGGACGCACGAATACATTGTCAACCTGCGGGTAGCGTGCATCAATATCCTCAGCACCGCTACCAGCTTTGAGGAGTTCGCCCCCCTCAAGCAAGGGAGCAACCCCACTCGATCCAAGATCGTCTCGGTCTTCTTCAAGTGCCTGTACTCGGACTCGAAGGCCACGATTGACGCTGCCAACAACGCGCTCAAGAACACACTCGAGGCCCACCAAAAGCTTCCCAAGGACTTGCTGCAGGGAGGTCTCAGGCCGGTGCTTGCCAGTCTCCAAGATCCTAAGAAGCTCACTACTCACGGCCTGGACAACCTCGGCCGGCTTCTGAAGCTCCTTACGACGTACTTCAAGGTGGAGATCGGAGCGCGTTTGCTCGACCACGTGAAGGTCCTCGCGGACCCCACCGTTCTCCAGCAGCTCTCCTTTACCTTCTTCGAGCAGCATCCTCAGATGAGGGTCGTTGCCGCAGTCTTTAACATCTTCCACCTTTTGCCTCCCCAGGCCGAGGGATTCAAGCAACGGCTCATCGACCTGGCTCTGGAGTTGGAGGAGAAACTGCGCCGAACCCACGAAAGCCCCTTCCGCGCGCCCCTGTACAAGTTCATCAACCGGTATCCCAACGAGATCTGGAACTTCCTCCTCCCCAAGATCGAAGACCTCAAATATGGACGCTTTCTTGCTCAGGCTATCCGCCACCCCGATAGCGGCCCCCTCAGAGAAGCGGCGGCTTCCAACGTTCAGGCTTTGATCGACTGCTGCAACAGCACCATTACGCAGAACAAGGACACAAAGTTCGTCGCCGTCGTCAATGCCGTCCACATCCTGTACTCTCTTACCGTGTCGCCCGGTACGGATAGGTGGCTGGAGAAGAAGGAGCACTTGAACTGGCTGAAGCAGGTTGGCAGGGAGTTGGAAAAGCAAATGCGAGCTCATACACTCGCGCCCAACCTCAGACTCCCAGCTTCCCAAGCGTCGGACCAGCTGATGGCGATCTTTATCAAGTCTCTGGAGCGCAACCCCAGAGATCTCGAATCACTCTTCAGCCTGGTGGACTCGGTCACGACGGACGACTTCCGCGCTCCGCAGCCTCTGATCGCCTACATCTACAAGAACGTCATCAGCAGCGACTCGCCCGAGTTCTGGAAGGCAACGGTCCTCAGATGTCTCGACGCGTACCCCCAGAAGAACGTCTCTCAAAAGATGAAGTGCTTCTTGTTGCATTACATTGTCAACCCGATCGTTGCTATGGACGTCGAGAGGCACTGGAACCAGCCGCCACAGAGCAAGAGTCGCTTCATGGACAAGACCATCATCGATGCTGTCACGGCCAAGATTTGGAAGACGCACCAAGATACCAGTCAGCACGACGTTGACGATCTCACACAGCCCGGCATCGACCACACCAAGTTTGAGGTTCTCCAGCTGTCGGCTATGCTGGTGAAGTATCATTCCGTCATATTCCAGGAAGCCAGGAAGGACATCATTAAGAGTTGTTGGACCTTCATTCGATTGGATGATGTCATCAACAAGCACGCCGCCTACGTTGTCATTGCATACTTCATCGCACTTTATGAGACCCCGGTTAAGATCGTGACTCAGGTGTACCTTTCCCTGCTCAGGACGAACCAGAACGAAGGACGGGCGCTAGTTACCCAGGCTCTGGAGCTGGTGGCCCCCGTTCTGCCGAAGCGCTTGGGTACGCAACCCAATGACCGGAACGCCGGATGGGCGCTGGCTCCTAGAAAGATCCTCGCCGACGAGGGCCAGAACATACAGCAGATGACCAGCATCTTCCACTTCCTGGTTAAGCACCCGGACCTTTTCTACGAGTCGAGGGACAAGTACGCTATGCTCATCATCTCATCGCTGCGTAAGGTTGCGGCGCCTCCCAACCCTTCCAACGAATCTAAGAAGTTGGCGCTTAACATGATGTGGCTTCTTTGGCTTTGGGAGCAACGTCGTGTGGAAGGTAAGGGAGATGCGGTCCCCCGTTCCATCTCCGAGTCCCCGACTTCCAGGAAGCGGAAGCTGGACAGCAGCGACCAGCCCATGTCGTCTCCTCCTGCGGCCAGGCAAAACCCGGAGCGGGCCGAGTACGTTATCCCGCCTATTGGCCGTCAGAAGATGATCAAGTACTTGGTCGAGTTTATTGCCCAGCTTAATGAGCGGTACCAGCTCCCCTCCACACGGGCGAAGGATTCCGTTTCCACCAACGGCCCCGCCGTGCCGCCTGCGTCCAACGAGCTGTGCAAGAAGGCTATGAGCTTATTCTACAACCTCGTCCAGCCCCAGTATTGGGGCGACCTGGACATCGATCTGTTCCCTAACGTCACCGATGTTGTCCTTGCCAGCGACAAGACTCAGACCATCCTCTCCGCCGACCCCTCGGACAAGGAGAAGTTCGACGAAAAGTTCATCACCAATATCATCAATACTCTCCAGGTTGTCCGCATAATCTTGAACTTCAAATCAGATGAGTGGATTGCAAAGAACATACCATCGGTCCAGAAAGTCCTGGACAAGTGTCTGAAGAGTGAGAACCCCGAGCTGCAAGACTGCTTGCACCTTGCCGACAAAAAGTACGACGACGGCCGTGAGCTGAAGGCGACCATCCAGAGAGTCCTTGATGCTATCCCCGAGGATGTTCCGATGGAGGATGCCGACGCCGAGGGCGAGACCGAGTCGCAGAACTCGGAGATCGTCAACTCCTTGTCGTCGATCGCCGGCGAAGCCATGGCGGCCGGCCACTACGGATCTGGAGTCAACATTCTGTGGTCGTTGGGCAACCGCAAACCCAGCGTCATTGACCAGCACATTCCCGTTCTGATGAAGGCTCTCCAGAGTAAACTGGCGCGAGAGCATGTGCAACATTATACTGCTATCGCCAACCAGGCCGGGATGGCCCCTCGGACCCAGGACCCTAACACGCCGAGTGGGGAGATGTCCGCCTACGACCTTGAGGTATCGACCGCACTCATGCTCAAGGCCATCCAGGTCGTTGCGCTGCGAATGGAGGTCTTGGGCGACAACCGGCGCCCGTTCCTGAGCGTTCTGGCGACGCTTGTCGAGAAGTCAATGCACATCCCGCTCTGCGAGGAGATCCTCAACATGGTGGAAGGATGGGTTTTCCGGTCTGAAGGCACATGGCCCACTCTCAAGGAGAAGACAGCGGTCCTTCACAAGATGCTCTCCTTTGAACACCGGCAAGATTCGACGATGCTGACCAAGTTCCTGGAGCTGGTCATCCGTATCTACGAGGACCCCAAGATCACTCGGACGGAGTTGACCGTGCGTATGGAGCATGCGTTCCTGATCGGCACACGCGCTCAGGACGTTGACATGCGCAACCGCTTCATGGCCATTTTTGACAAGAGTCTTTCAAAGACCGCCAGCGCTCGTCTTGCCTATGTACTCACTTCCCAGAATTGGGACACGCTGGCTGACAGCTATTGGCTCGCTCAAGCTTCGCAGCTTCTCCTCGGCGCGGTTGAGCTGAACAACCCTATCCAGTTACACTACGAGGACTTCAAGACTCTGCCGATCACTCAACTCTTCTCTATCCACGCCAAGGACAACAGAGAGCCTGCCAACATGGCGGACGACAAGTTTGACGCCTTGATGAGCGCCCATCGACGCTTCATGAGCGAGCTCGGCGAGGTCAAGGTACGAGACCTCATCGAGCCTCTGGTCCAGCTCCAGCACGTCGACTCGACGTTGGCGCATCAGCTCTGGGTTGCCCTGTTCCCCATTTACTGGTCCGCGACGATGAAGGAGGAGCGTCACGATCTGGAGCGAGGCATGGTTGCGCTCTTGACCAAGGACTATCACAGCCGCCAGATTGACAAGCGACCGAATGTGGTTCAGTCCCTGCTCGAGGGTGCGGCCAAGGCTTGGCCTGAATGCAAGATCCCGCCGCACGTTCTCAAGTACGAGGCCAAGACGTACGACGCCTGGTACACCGCGCTCGTACAGCTTGAGAACGCGGCCATCAAGCCAGAGATCGAGTCGGCAATCGTTCGTGAAAGCAACCTCGACGCGCTCGTGGAGCTGTATGCTTCTCTCCAGGAAGACGATCTCTTCTACGGCACATGGCGCCGACGATGCCAGTTTGTGGAGACGAACGCCGCTTTGTCCTACGAGCAGAATGGCATGTGGGACAAGGCGCAGAAGATGTACGAGGCCGCTCAGATAAAAGCTAGAACCGGCGTCATCCCCTTTTCCCAAGCCGAATACGTCCTCTGGGAAGACCACTGGGTTTTGTGTGCGCAGAAGCTGCAGCAGTGGGAGATCCTGCAAGATTTTGCTAAGCACGAGAATTTCCAGGACTTGCTCCTCGAGTGTGCGTGGAGAAACAACACCGAGATGTGGCAGACGCAGGAGCACCGCGAGGCCTTGGACAACCTCATCAAGGGTGTTATGGACGCCCCGACACCCCGCCGTGCCTTCTTCCAAGCTTTCATGTCGCTTCTCAAGTTTTACAACAAGCAGGAAACGCCGCAGGACTTTGCCAAGGCTTGCGACGAGGCCATCCAACTGTCGATTAGGAAGTGGCACCAGTTGCCCAAGCGGTTGACCAAGGCACACATCCCTCTGCTTCAGAATTTCCAGCAACTGGTCGAGCTCCACGACGCGAGTGTTATCTGCAACAGTCTGGCCAGCACCAACCAGGGCAACCTGGATGTCAAATCTGGAGAACTGAAGCTTCTGCTCGGAGCTTGGCGCGACCGTCTGCCCAACGTCTGGGACGACATCACCGCCTGGCAGGACCTGGTCACCTGGCGTCAGCACATCTTCGGCCTCATCAATCAGACGTACCTCCAGCTGCTTCCCCAAGGAGGTGGGCAGAACGCCAGCGGCGCCTCATTCGCCTACCGCGGGTACCACGAGACTGCCTGGATCATCAACCGCTTCGCACATGTCGCCCGTAAGCACAGCCTTCCAGAGGTTTGCATTACGCAGCTGAGCAGGATCTACACCCTGCCCAACATCGAGATTCAGGAAGCCTTCCTCAAGTTGCGGGAGCAGGCCAAGTGTCACTACGAGAACCCCGAGGAGCTCACGAGCGGATTAGACGTGATCAACAACACGAACCTCAACTACTTCAATCCGCCTCAGAAGGCCGAGTTCTACACCCTCAAGGGCATGTTTCTCGAGAAGCTCAAGCAGAAGGAAGAAGCCGATTCGGCCTACGGCACAGCCTTGTACTTCGACATCACGGCGGCCAAGGCCTGGGCCGAGTGGGGCTACTTCAACGAGCGCAAGTACAAGGAGGACCCGTCAGATATCAACTCGGCCCGCCAGGCGCTTACGTCGTATCTGCAAGCGGCGGGCAGCTACAAGAACGCCAAATCACGCAAGCTCATTGCCCGCATCTTGTGGCTGCTCAGCCTGGACGATGCCAACGGTTCCATCGCTGCTGGCTTTGACGACTTCAAGGGCGAGACTCCTGTCTGGTACTGGATCACCTACATTCCCCAGCTCATCACCGGCCTGGGCCACAAGGAGGCACCAAGGGTCCACCAGATCCTGATTAAGATCGCCAGGTCGTATCCCCAAGCCCTGTATTTCCAGCTCCGTACCAACAGGGAGGACATGCTGGTCATCAAGAAGAACCAGGAAGCCAAGGAGAAGGCGCGCCAGCGCGCTCAATCTACCGTGTCCAACGGCAAGCCTAGCGCATCACCCCAACAACCAAAGCAGGACGGCATCGCCAAGCCGGATGCCTCCGGCTCGAGACCTGGCACCGCCAGTGGTGGTGACGCAAACGCCCCCGTCAAGACTGAAGGCAACGACGCGAACGGCACTCCCGCTCCTCAGGCGAATGGTACCGGAGACCAGTCGGGTGCCGGTCAGAAGAAGCCGCCATGGGAGCTTACCGAGGAGATTATGAGCGCCCTCAAGACGGCTTTCCCTCTCCTCGCGTTGTCAATGGAGACCATGGTGGACCAGATCCAGAAGCATTTCAAGTGCCCGCCCGACGAGGACGCGTACCGTCTTATCGTTGCTCTCCTCAACGACGCGCTGGCGTACGTCAGCCGCATGCCTTCCTCCTTTGCCAAGGACGTCAAGCTTCCCTCGGCCACCGAGACCAACATCACTCGCTTCGCCGAGACGATCCTTCCTGCTCATATCAAGAAGTCGTTCGAGGCCGATTTCGTCGATGTCAAGCCCACGATGTACGAGTACATCCACAAGCTGAGGCGCTGGCGCAACAAGTTCGAGGAGAAGCTCGATCGCCGTACGACGCGGGTTTCTCTCGAGGCCTTCTCGCCTCACCTCTCGGAATTCCGCTACCAGCGATTCGATGACGTCGAGGTCCCCGGCCAATACCTGCAGCACAAGGACAAGAACCAAGACTTCATCCGCATCGAGCGCTTCTTGCCCAACGTTGACCTGGTGAGGTCGATCAGCGCCTCGTATCGTCGTCTCCAGATGCGCGGCCACGACGGAAGCATCCACTCGTGGGCTGTACAGCACCCTGCTGCGAGACACTGCCGCCGCGAGGAGCGCATCTTGCAGCTGTTCAGACAACTGAACCAGACCCTGAGCAGAAGGAAGGAGAGCCGTCGCCGAGATCTCCAGTTCACTCTGCCCCTGATGGTTCCTCTGGCACCCCACATCCGTATCGTGCAGGAAGACACTTCGTACATCACCCTCCAGAGCGTGTATGAGGACCACTGCCGCCGTCACGGCATGTCCAAGGACGACCCTGTATTGTTCACCATGGAGAAGTTGCGCGGCGTTCTCGACACCAAGAACTCGGTAAGTACTGCAGTGACAGAGCAATTAACAGAGCCTAACGATGCGCCACAGAAGCACGCTGAGCAAACCGCGACCGCTCGGCTCGAAGTGTTCCACGCCATCCAGGAGAAATGGGTACCGCAGAACCTGGCGCTGGAATACTTCCAGCGGGCTTTCCCCGACTTTACCGAGTTCTGGCTGTTCCGCCGACAGTTCTCGTACCAGCTGGCGTCGCTCACCTTCATGACGTACATCCTCTACATGCACAACCGGTACCCGCAGAAGATCAACATCGCCCGCGGATCCGGCAACATTTGGGGATCGGAGCTCATGGCGTACATGAGCGCCGCGAAACCCTTCTTCCATAACCCGGAGCCAGTGCCGTTCCGACTTACGCCCAACCTCCAGACCCTGATGGGGCCGTTGGCGACGGAAGGTATCTTTAGCTGCGCCCTCATGGCCATCGCGCGATGCCTCACGGAGCCCGAGTACGAGCTTGAGCACGCCCTTACGCTCTTTGTGCGCGACGAAATGATCTTCTGGTTCACGAGCTCTCACAGGACCGTGCAGATGACGGAGAACCAGCTCCGCGAGTCGGTGCAGGTCAATAGCGATTCGGTCGTCAAGCGCGCCGTCAGCTTGGCACAGAGCCCCGTGGGCAACTTGCCGGCCAACCAGACGGTTATTGACCTGATTGCAAAGGCTGTAAACCCCATGAACTTGGCCCAGTGTGATGCGCTCTGGATGCCATACTTGTAAGGGTACAGAATATTGATAGAGAGAGAGAGAGAGAGAAAGTTGGAGGAATGGGGGGAGGGGGTGGATATGTGTCTAAACGGGATTCCTGTTGTATGATTTCAGCAAGGCGTTTCGGGGTGCGAAAGAGGGCGACGGATGGCTCAGTGTATCAGTCTGTTATTTGGACGGGGAGGAAAGGAGGGGAAAATATGTGTCCACAATGACGGTTCCCATATTTGTACTTGTACTGCCGTCCAGCACCAGAGAGCTCTACACACGGTTAGTGCTTCCATACCGAAGCAAGATGCAGAGTACCGAGCTTTACACTAATTAGACTGTTCGTATATCGAAGGCCTCTCCCGGTTTGCTACATTAGACTGTGATGACGACTAGCGGTGACCTCAAACCCCCTTGGGTTTGGATGGACATGATAACATGGTTCATCGACGCAGAGTTTCGGCGGTTTCTGGGGGTCCAGACTCATCGAAAGTGTAACTCCGACAACTCGGCCTCGGCCTGGTGAACTGAGACCCCGGTGTGGATGGCAACCAGGGATTCGGTGACGACGCTACCGCTCCCCCGGTACGCCGCCGTCCATGATCGTCTTCTGGGCCGTGCGAAGCCGCTACGAGATCTAGCGGAGCGGCGGCGCCGCGTCGCCGCCGCCACGCGTGACGTCGTCTAGGACGGACGGCGCGTCCTGGTGGAGCTGGAACCGCTTTTCCAATCACTCGTTGACCGTTCGAGCTGGCTTGCCACGCTCCAGACCCCTGTCCTCCCACCGCGCGGCCCAGTCAGCAACCGACTGCCGAGACCGACCTTATCGATGGGCTGTTTCTCTGGAGCTTCCTTATCGGGTCACTTCAAACAAGTTCGAGATAGGTGCTGATTTGTAATCCCGGGAGAGTGAGAGCTGGGGGAGACTGGCTGGCTGGGGTGCAAGGAGAGGAGGGCTCGACATGTCACTGGCTACATCCTAATCTTTGCGGTATCTTTCCTTACACGCTAGCTAACCTTCTCGACTTGCTTATCTTTGGGTTCCCCTCCTCCGTGTTTGGACCTTGATCGCCGGCTCGGGCTTAGTGAACCCTCTCTCCATGGTCTAAAGCCTTGCCCACGAACCTCCATCCAGAGCTCACTCACTCAACCAACCACCCTGTCGACGGCTGAGGCACCCGACCAAAAACCCGCCTAGCAAAGCAACATACCGCGAAGAGACCACATCGACGACATCAGCCCCTCGTTCTTTCCATCACCTCTGTCGAAATCGACCGTCGATATGTCCGCCGCCGAAATGGACGACTCGGCCAAGAGGCCGCCCCTCGACATGGAGCACCATTTCTCTGCCGTCACCATGAGGCGCATCCCCAGCAAGATGAAGGAGTATTACAAGTACTTCCAGATCCCGGGCATCGGAAACCTGGCTGGCGGTATGTCTTTCCCAACCATTCTCTCCTTTCTACACTTTTTGCATTTTCATTTTCAACTACATTCTACCCTCTCTCTCCCTTCTCTTTTTTATTTGTGATGGATATAGCGATTTTCTGGTGGTTGCACCACTCACTTCCCGTCGATTCGGCGGCGACCCGGGGGTTAGCTCGTCCCTCCCCCGCAGGATATCGCGGGAGGATGCCGCCACCCATGCCGTAATACACACCTTGCCTTTGCGTGCTTCCCGCCCCAACGTTGCAATTGCGTTTTGTACGCGTCGAATGACCCAATGGCATTCGCAATCCCGATCTCAGCCGTCCTGCCTTTTTCTTCCCTATTCTATTTCTTTTTTCCTTTTTTGTTTTTTTGTTTTTTGAGAGCACGGCTCGCTGACTGCACGGCCCCCCTTTCCAGGCCTTCCGCATTCGAGCTTGTTCCCGTTCGACACCCTTGAAGCGCAGGCGGCGAAGCCCGAGCGCTGGGAGCCGTCCCCGATCCCCGGGGACGGTACCGCCGCCGTCGCCACGGAAAAGGACAAGGAGAAGGACGTCAAGACGGCGCGGCACGTCACCGTACCCGGGACGGATGCGGACCGCGACCCGCTCCAACGCATCGACCTGGCGACGGCGCTGCAGTACGGCACGGCCGAGGGGTACCCGCCGCTGCGGTCGTTCGTGAGGCAGTTCGCGCGGGAGCAACTGCACCCGGACGTGCCGTACCTGGGCGGGCCCGAGGTCATCCTCACCTGTGGCTCGACCGACGGCTTCGCCAAGACGCTAGAGCTGCTGACGGACACGTGGGACCCGGCGCGGGACGCCGCGGCCGACAGGCCCGGCATGCTGTGCGAGGTCTTTGTGTACAGCCAGGTGCTGACGCAGGCGCTGCCGCGGGGCGTGCAGGTCGTCCCCGTCGAGATGGACGAGGGCGGCATGAGCGTCGTCGCGCTGGAGGAGGTGCTGGCCGGGTGGGACGAGAGGGACGGCAAGAGGCCGTCCTTCATATACACTGTTACGTGAGTATTTTATTTAGACTTTTTGTCTTGCATTTGGGTGGGGGGGGGGGGTTTCGTTTGTTCTCTTTTTTTCTCCTCCCTCTTTAGGGGCTCTCCGAAATTCCTCGCTCCGGATGGGGGTTACCCATTCTCATGTGAGACATGCAGCATGGCTAACACGTGGCGGGGGAGATAGTATGGGCCACAACCCGACTGGCGGCGTCCTATCAGTCGAGCGTCGCAAGGAGATCTACGCGATCGCCAGCAAGTACGACATCATCATCGTCGAGGACGACCCGTACTATTACCTGCAGTACCCGTCGGCCGTCGTGAAGGAGGCCAGGTCCCGGGGTTTGGAGGTTCCTCGGCCCTCCCCGCCTTATAAGCCCGCCAAGTCCTCGGGATATCCGTTCATCGACTCGTTGACCCCGTCGTTCCTGAGCGTCGACGCCGATGGCAGAGTCATCCGTCTCGACACCTTTTCCAAGACCATCGCCCCGGGATGCAGGCTGGGCTGGATCACGGCACAGCCCGCCATCATTGAGCGCCTGTTGAGGTATGTTCCGCCCTTCCAACGAAGCCTGGCAAGTGCGCGAGCTTGTGGCCTGACACATTCCGTAGAATCACCGAGGTCACCACGCAGCAGCCCTCCGGCTTCGTGCAGTCCATGGTCGCCGAGCTGGTCATGGGCGAACAGCCCGCCGCGGCGCGGACCGCTTTCGCCGCCCTCACCGCCCGCCAGAAGCAAACGTTCGACGGCTGGCAGATGGACGGCTGGGTGCGCTGGCTCGAGGGCCTCCGCGGCGTGTACGAGCGGCGCATGAACCGCATGTGCACGATCCTCGACGAGGGGGCCTTCCAGCTGAAGCAGTCGACGCCGCGCAGCGCCGAGGATGCCGACTGGGGCGTCGTCAGCAAGACGCGCATCTACGAGTTCGACTGGCCGCGCGGCGGCATGTTCGTCTGGCTCAAGCTCCGCCTCGAGACGCACCCGCTGTGGATGGCGACCGGCGGCAAGAGGGTGCCGCTGCTCGACGGCGAGCGGCTGTCGACGGCGCTCATGTTCCTGGCGACCAGGAAGCCGTACCGCGTGCTCGTCAGCCCCGGCCTCATCTTCGCCGCGACGCCGGCAATCCGCGCCGAGCGGGGGTGGGCCTATTGGCGCCTGTGCTTCGCGGCCGAGACGGAGGAGAAGGTGGACCTCTGCTCGCAGAAGCTGGTCGAGGCGATCCAGAGGTTCTGGAGGATCAAGAAGGTCGAGGAGGTCGAGGAGCTGCTCGGCGACTTTCCCCCGCCCGAGGAGGAGGACGAGGGATTCGGCAACCTGGGCACCTTTATGGGTTGCTAGGCAGACCGATGACCTCGGGCTGGAGGCGTAAGAGACGTGACTAAATGGACGGAGTTTTTTTTATACACGAGTTTATACATCGCCGTCGACGACAAGACGGGCAGGCAAGATAAAGAACACATGAGAAGTTTGGGTAAAAGAAAACTTTTTGTAGCTACCTTTCAGTCACTACAGAAATGAGAGTGTACAAAAAAAAAGAGATGCAAGGAAATTCATCATCACGTGGAATCAAGTCGTCACGGTCCAGGGGCCAGACCGTTGTCTTTTTTTGAACACGCCAGCTGTCTTTTGTTGTTCAAGGGAATCATTTGTCCATTGATGAATTGAGGTCAACGTTTCCTAGTTGTCCATTACGCCTCAAAGCACAAACCATGCTAAAATGTAGCCCCGTCCTTTTTCAGAACCGTCCGTTCCACCACCGTCGTCAGACACCCGTCACAGAAATTTGCTTATTTCTTCTGGGCAGCCGCCTTGGAGAATACCGAGGCGTAGGGGTTCAGGCGGAGCATGACCTGCTTGTTCTTGAGGGGGTTCTTCTTCTGGACCGCGGAGCGGCGGGTCAGAGCGTAGCCCTTGGGCTCGTTCAGGGCGGACTGGGTTTCCGAGCTGTTGATCAGACGGCTCAGGTCGCTCTGGGAGACGATGTTGGAGGGCAGCAGGAAGTCCTTCTTGAGGGCGGAGGGCTCGGTGGTGGTGCCGTAGATGGTGTCCAGGGACTTGAAGGCGGCAGAGGTCCAGACGACGAAGCGGCCGAGGTGGCCACCGGGGGCGAGCTGGAGGAGGTTGAGGGCGGTGACGGGGGAGGTCTCGACACCGGGGACGTTGCGGAAGGCGGTGACGAGCTCCTTGCCGTCGACCTCGGGGTCGTAGATGACCAAGGGGCCGCGGCGCTGGCGGAAGCGGCGGCCACGGAGCTTGCCCTTACCGGCGCGGAGCTTCTTGGACTTCTTGACCTTCTCGACGTCGTCGGCAGCGCCGACGGTCTTCAGGAGAGAGACGGCAGCGGCGGTGCGAGCGACGGCGGCGTTCTCGAAGAGAGCCGAGTCGACGACGAGGGGAACCTCGGGGACGTTGGAGATCTGGTGACCGCGGGCCTGGAGGAGAGGGGCAACGCCGGAGGCGGCGATGGCAGAGACAGTAGCGTAGCGCCTGCGGGGGGGGGGGACATCTTGTGAGAAACGGCATTCCTAGACGGCTTTTTTTTTCCCTTGTCTTATCCCACCCCGCCGCGGTGGGGTTTCAGGAAGAAAAAGAAGGGAAGGGGGTCACTCACTTCTGGCCCTGGTTGACCTTGACGTGCCACTTGCGCCACGTCTTGGTAGGGGCGAACATGCGACCGGAACGGCACATGTTACCGAAGGCGGCCTGACCGGCGCGGTGAGTACCACCACCGGAGACACGGGGGATACGGGCAACAGCGCGACCTGTGGTGTTTTCTGTCAGCTCACTTGTTCCCCGTCGCAGCCGCGGAGTGGTCATGTCGTCCTCCAGCAGTCGCAGACCCAATCCAATGGGGGAGGGGGTCCCGCTCGTTCCCTCGGCATGGTCTCTTCCAGCAGTCTTTTTCCTCTTTTTTCAAGTGTCGACATGCCCGTCCAAGACTTCTGCCAGAGGTCCCCTCGCGTTCGTTTCCCCCATTCCGAATCGGTTCCCGCTCCTGCTGGAAAACTTCTCTTCACACCCTTCGGCGAGGTGACGACTAACCAGTTCCCCAAGACTCGGCAGAGGTCTGGTGACCGGCCTTCTCGCTGACGGAGTAGGGCTGGCGCTTGTTCTTGGCCATGCCCTTGTGAACCTCCTGGACGATATCGGGGCGGATAGGGCTCAGGAAGACAGCCGGCAGGGTGTGGGTGTTGCCGGAGGACTTGCCATCCTTGCCGATGATGGTGACGGTAGGTCTCGAAGCCATTGTGCTGATCGTGCTTGACCCTGAGGACGGACGGACGGGTTAGTTGACGGCGGGAGAGAAAAAGGGTTAGACGGGAGAAGGAAAAGGGAAAAGAAGAGGGAAAACTTTGGTCGTCGGGACGCCTTGCTGGAAATGGAGAAATTTTCGACAAGGGACGGTAGGGGAATTGGGCGCCTTACCTGGGTCAACGGTGGGCTTCAGTGCTGCTGGGTTAGTGACGGGGTTGAAGTTGAGCACTTTCTGGCTTCGCGATACAATTTCACCTGTGATTTTTTTTCTGAGTGCTCGCCGATTTGGTGGGCGGAGACCCTAAAAGCTACGTACCGACTTAGCGAAGCAGCCCGGGCCGGGTCACGTGATACGGAATTTCTCACAGTGCTGGCAAAAGTCTGCTGGACAGTGCGCCGGTTCCACCTTGATTGACTGCTCTACAGCTCAGTGGTTGAGACACTGCATTCGCTAGGTAGCGCAGTGTATGCTGCTAACCCTTGAATCTTTCATCTATTCAACTGTAGGAATGGCAAATGTGTATCAGAACTGTGACATTGCACTCTGCAAGATGGTCAGTCAGGTCTTCGATAGTACCCAGAACTGGAAGACAGGCCCAGATTATAAGCGCCTCTCACCGTCGGGTGCATGGGATTCGTGCCAACGCAACATATGCTGGCTGTCCTCCTATTTCACCACCATTCATACTACTGCCAGCTCATCTGTTCACTTCAGTCCAGTTAGGAAAGAAGCATTGAGCAAGACAGACACAAAACCCGTACTTGTTTGTCCATTCACCACGGCTTTCAAAAGAGTAAACGCCAAATTTGGCATAAGAGTTGGGCCCTAACCAGGGATCGAACCTGGGACCTCTCCCAGGATGAGATGTCAGAGACAACCCTAAGGGAGAATCATACCGCTAGACCATCAGGGCAGAGAAGCGACTCACTACTTGTTGCAGAGGCAGCAACTCTGACAACTAATGTTCCTTTTGCAACCCATTTACTCAACTCCCTTTCGTGATCGTTCGCTAGTTGAGTAAACTCAGTGCGACTCGGAACCTGTTTTTCCCTAGACTATCTCTCGGTTAAGCACCAGGCTCTGCAAGAACATCTTTTTGTTCTATTGAGGTACGCCACCATGCCAGTCAGGCCATGTGTTGTCAACGCAGGTGAGCGGCGTTCCTGCTCCCAGTGAGCAAATTGAAACCGCCGAAGCTATCAACGCTATCAGAGGCTAAGATCCCTGTCAACACACACACATATCCTAGAGATAAGGCGAAGCTGTGCATCTAGTGTCGCAATTGACCTTCTGAAGGTCAGCATCCGAGCCTGCTTATACCCAAACATATGGAAGCTCTTGGCGCAGGAGGAGAAAGGGGCGCAAGGCTAGCGGAACTTGTGCTGTTTTCGAGCCACACGTGTTTGAGCAACATTTCACAAGCTGCATAGTTGCAATCATCCCCGCTCCAAGTCGAGCTCCAAGTCTTCCGATGCCGGACCTCCTCCATACCGATGAGATCACGCCGTTTCTCCAGCAGCCGTCGGTGTCCCGCGGCGGCGACGGCGACGGCGACCCCGCGACCGCCCGGAAACTTACGCTCTTCAACGGCCTCGCCATCGTCATCAGCCTCCAGATCGGTTCCGGGATCTTCAGCGTCCCCTCGCAGATCAGCCAGTTCGTCACGGCCCCGGGGTACGGCCTGCTGGCATGGCTTTTCGGCGGCCTGCTCGTCTGGACGGGCGCGGCGTCCTTCATCGAGCTCGGGCTCCGGATCCCCGTCAACGGCGGCATCCAGGAGTACCTCCGTGCCTGCTACGGCGAGTTCGCCGGGTTCCTGTTCACGTGGGTGTGGTGCATTATCATCAAGCCCGCGGCCAACTCCATGATCGCGACCATCTTCGCCGACTACCTCACCGAGGTCTTCGTCGCGGACCAGGTGACGCTGCCGTTGTGGGTTCCAAAGCTGGCGGCGGCAGGTTGCATCGTGGTCATGACGCTCGTCAACTGCATGGGCGCAACCGCTGGCGCTGAGGCGGCCAAACTGTTTCTTTTCCTCAAGACGGCGGCCCTGGCTACTATTATCGTACTCGGCTGCGGTGTCTGGGCCTTTGGCCATGGAGACGGAGTTCCGTCATCCGAGTATGGCTGGTTCGGACAGGCTCCCGAACAGCGTGAGGTCGGTCTCTGGGAGTGGCTCGGAGACTTTGGGACGGCAACATTCGGGGCACTGTGGTGCTACGCCGGTTGGGAAATGGTGAGTTGATTTTGCATCCCCTCCATTCACACATGGCCGAGTACTGAGTATCATGCAGATTGGCTTTGTTTTGGGAGACATGAAGAATCCTAAAAGAGATCTGCCAATCGTGGTAAATGGCTCTATGGCTGTGGTGATTATCGGCTTCCTGCTAATGAACGCTGCCCTGTACGTCTGTTTGCCAATGAGTGTCATGCGGACAAGCAGCACTGTCGCAGTGGTAAGCTTGACGTCCCCCCAAACCAGCCAAAGCTATTCGAGACGTTGACATGAAATCCTTAGGACTTTGCCAACAGGATTCTCGGCAACTGGGCTGGACTACTCTTTTGCCTGGTTGTGTCTGTTTCGGCGATGGGTGCCTTGAACTCGAACATCTTCGCGACCGCCAAACTCGTCGTAGTCGCAAGTCAGAGGGGGTACCTCCCTGCTATTTTGGCGAACCTGCACTGCAGTCAAGAAAAGGATGAGGCCGGCTGTGTTGACGAGTATATGTCTTCTCTGCCGAGATTGGTCAAGGGGCCGATCATAGGTTTCCTGTCTTGGACACAAGACCGACGTTGGCGGGGAAACGTGCCTGTGTAAGTGTGTCATAATGTAAGCGGTATAGCTGTTATACTGATGGAAATGTCAGGCTTCCTCTGCTCTTGAATTGCGCATTGTCTGTTGTCTATGTGGTTGTTGGGAGCTTCAATGGGCTTGTCACATTCATTGGTGAGGCGACGCACGTCGGGATGAAACCGTCGAACCGCAGACTGACATCCTGTAGGCTTGGCGGCGTACACGATCTTCTTTTCTTCGACTGCTGGACTCATTGTTCTCCGCCAAAGAGATCGTCGTATACCAACGGCAAAGGTTGCCGAGTACAGCACTTGGCTCATAAACCCCATCATCTTCAGCGCGATTAGTGGACTGCTGGTAGTCAGAGGAGTCATCTCGGAACCTTTGCAGGGAGGGGCTATTTTCTTGGTCGCCGTTTTCGGAGTAGTCTTCTTCTCGCTCAGGTTCGGGTTACGTGGCTTCACCCACACAGAAGGCAGCTGAGTTTTGCCCATCCCGGCCGTTCCGTTGTGGTTGTGTAGCATCTGCAACCTGCCTCCGCCGAGAATCCCATCTGCACCTGGTCCGGCCGCTCCCGGGCTTGGACTCGTGCTCGGCCGCACCCCGACTGGATTAACCCCAAGTCTCTTCAGGTCGGGAAGGTAATGCAGACCTGCCAAAAAGGGCTCGGAGATATGCCTACAGGGACATCGCACATATCGCCATGATGGCAGGAGGTTGGTTCAGCTCCTCGTAGCCGACTCAACACATTATTCGTGTCAGCGGCAAGCCGACAGGCGTTTGGCAAGCCAAGAGCAGGGGAGGTCTGTGAAACCTAGGGCGAAGGCATCGTCCGTGTTGGGCTCCAGTGACTCTTTGTTCCCGCAGAGACAGGATAGGTCACAAAGGCACGGGGGAGAATTGGCGCCGTCCAGAGAGGTCAGGAGAAGAACTTGATGCCAAAGATAGGCTTGCAGGCATTAAAAAAAAAAGTTGCATGCTGCATGGTGCATGAGGAGCTTGGATGGCCTCAATCAGGGGCCACAGCACCTAGCTTCGGCGTAGTTGATTAGATCGAAAAATGATTAGCAACGTTAAATACGTTGAAGGTTGAGCTTTCTGTCACATTGAACAGGGCCGTGAACAGGGCCGTGAACGGGGCCGTGAACGGTAGTGGCGTGAGGGATGCTGCAACCTATTCCCACCGCTCTTCCTGATTGCAGATCATCGGGGGCAGAAGCTGCCGATGGCAGTCCGGATGACGAGCAGGCGTAGCGTAGCTGCAGCTCTAACACGTCGGGGACTTTGGGGGGGTCTATAAGCGCACTTGAGCTATCCACCATCCGCGGCAGCTAGCCGTCTGCATGACCCCATTGTGGATGGAGGGGTAAGGGGAGGGGAGGAGAAGAGAAGAGAAGAGAGGCGAGTATCGATGCCTGAAGGTGGGTGAGGGTGAGCTAGACGGCGTTCTGACACAGCCACAGTATCCTCCGGCAAACTTGGCAACGGGATACGGGATGCCGCATTTTGTTTTCATGGATCGGTTCTAGAGATGCAAGATAAGAAACGGGGGTGTTTCGGCTCCAGCTCGCTCGTGGAAACACTCGAGAAGATCCGATCGGTCCCAACAGCAGAGATGAGGCGAGAGGGTCCACGCCGTCCCAAAGGCAGTACAGGTACTCGAATCCAAACTTTGCCATGCTATCAGACAAGTCGGCCTTGGCCTGCGAATAAGGAAAAGTAATCAGAGACTTGCCGCTGTACTGGGCATGGGATCCAACGTCTACTAAGCCCTCTCCTCCCTTGCCTCCCCTTTGGTGTGACTAGTTGGCCGTTAAGCAGCAGCGTGCGGCCACGCCGCGTGGCGCATGCTCCTGTCGCCCTTAGCAAACCCCGCATGCATACAATCTGGGCAGTACGCCGTCGCAACGTCGCCTTCGAGGAAAGTCTTGGTGACAGCGAAGCCTTAAAATGGGCGGGGGTCTCTTGGCTAACACGAGCAATAGTTGAGGATACGGGAAGTTCGTTTCCATCTGTGCAGAGGGTAAAGGTCAGGCGCCGCGCAGGCAGTCCGACCAACGTTGGATAAAGAAAGTCAGAAATCGGGCAGGCCTGTCGTGGTACCGGGCTTTCAGCTCTGGGGTGGCAGACAGGCACCCTGTGAAATGTCGAAGGCTGAATCGACAGCGTCAGTTGCCCTAAACAGGTTCCCAGCATATGCAGTGTCCAAGCCGGAGGTTAAGAACCGACTGCAAAGTGGATACAGCTCGATGCACTTTGGCCTTGGGCCGAATGCACGCTTGAACGTTAGGCTCGGACTTCTGGGGCGTCTGAGGGGCCCCCATCTGCAAGATGGACCGTAGGCATGGCTATGTTGCCATCATCCTGCAGGTTGGAGGGGGGGAGAGAAGCGAGGACCAAAGAAAGTGAGGGAATGGTGTCTCTCGAGTCGGCGTGTTGCCACCACCCATTCCAAAGAATTAAGTAATGATGTGTGGTGTATTCGCGTACAAACACACCATAGTGTACAGGCACTCGTTGGGCCAACAACAAGATGAACAGAGTGCATCCCGGTACCTAGCTGTGTTTCTTGTTCCAATATCGCGCGTGGTTCGGTACGGATGCGATGCACGTCGGATTTCCAAGGTAAGGCCTGCCGCCAGCTGCCGACCTAGGCGCCTGACGACGCAGGGAATATGTGAGGCTGGCGAGCCAAAGTTCGGTCCTGCATCAGAGCGGCAGGTTTGTTGTGAGGTGTGACCCTTTCCTGCTCTTGAACCTTGAATTTAAACATCAAAGAGTTGCGTCTCGGGGACGGTATCACCTCGGTGACCGCACTGGCTAGTCAAGGTGGATGTGTGTTTGTGGGTGTGTGTTGTTGTTGATGCACTAGGAACGGCGGAGAGCACCAAACCTGGAATCGGCAATCGACAATCGAACAACGCCCGGGGCACCATGAGCACTGCGCCGGGGAAGAGAGAGATGGATGGGTGTGGAAGGATGGAAATAAAAATAAAAACATGGCGGGCGGTTGGGTTGGGTGGGGATGTTATGTATCCCAATGCAGATACAAATTAGCCCAGTCTGCACCTGCACCCGCACCCCGTCATCATGGAGGGGCACCACTGCCATATGTACATACCATACCCACTGTTCAAATAAGGACTTGCGCCAGCGCCGCATCTTCGACGCTTCCCAAATCCCCCCTTCCTACTCCCCCCCCGCCTGACCACCAAAACAAAACGCCTTCTTCTAATCCTTAATAGCCTGTCTGACCAGTGGCTGACTGTTTGGGGTTCTGAGCCGGTTAAGACCTTCCGTTCTACCTTTCTCTCTCTCTCTCTCTCTCCAACTTTACTTTACCTTGGGTATATACCCCCGCCTGGCTAATCGGAACCACGCCCACCTACTCATACTTGAACCAGGTCCGGCATCACCAACGCAACACCGCTCCTCAGTCTGGCCCATTGGCAATAAGGCTTGTCTCACTGCGACAGCTCCCGTCGCTGCGAACCGAAATAAAAATTTCAGAGATTGAAAATCCCGGACAAGATCATCACACGAGACTGCGGCAGCTACCTGGGAACCGGGGTCTTTCGCATCCCTCCTCGCCGACTTCCGAGACATGATGCCTTCAAGGCCTCAACATCTTGCTTGATTTTATGTGACCTTTGACTTGGTTTTTGACTTGAAAATATCCGAACATGAACGAATCACGCAATATTGAACATCTCCTCCAAACTGGTTTCTTCACCACCTCCAGAGCCAAGACTCCCAATACGTATGCATATCCGAACCCGTCTTCCCTGCGATGCCTCCTTCACCAATGTCTTACACAAGCGACAGATCTAGCACCGAAGCTCCGGCTGTTCCTCCACACGTTTCAAACACCTCCAACATTCTGCGGCCAGTCTCCAACCCGGATGCGTTCGTCCTCCAGCCTTACAGCCCACCGGCGAGAATCACCCGTCGCAGACACTTTCCGCCGCCGCCGAGTGTCGAAGATGAGTCCGAAGCGCTTCTCAAGGAGCACGGCAGCGTCGTGTCGGCATCCTCTGACGACGTGCCTCCGTCGCGAGGCGATGCCGACCAGTACCCCATTATAATGGAGGTCCATGAACACAATCCTGAACGTCGGTTTGTTCTGATCCCAAAATCCGCGAGTGGAACAGAAGATGAGGATTCTGCCGACGATGCAAAATGGTCCTCCAGCGGCTCACGCACGCCCAAGTATGCACCACCGAACGGCGATTATGAAGCGAACACGGGAAGGAAATACCGTGCGCCTCCGACAGCAGATCGAGATGGTGTCAAACAGCCGGATCTCGAGAAGAAGAAGAGCAGGCAGGACCTCCCCCGCATCGAGACCGACGTCGGAAAAGAGGATGCCCGTTCCCAAAAACACGAACGAACCAAGTCGGCGACGCGCGTCGAGCAGCAGTCATCCGACTACTTCTCATCACACGACGACAAGCGACAATCAGGCGAAACCCTATTATCGCCGCAAGTGATCAAGCATGCGACGGGTGGCCGCGAGAAGGCGTACTATGATTACTCCCAAAACGGTCGCAACGGCGCACCGCGACATCAGAGGAGCCAGTCAAATATGGGAGATAGACGCTTTGACGATAATTATGACCGTCAAACCTCCTCCAACCCACCACCAGTCCGGCGCTCGAACAGCAACGTCGACTCTCCGCCCAAGGAGCCGAGGCACTTATCCGGCGACAGGGCTGGCGAGTCTTCTCGTCATCAACGCGAACGAGTGGTCCCGCGTGGCGAACGGCCGCAAAGGAAGGACCCGTCTCCACCTTATGACCGCTCGGATCGCGATCATGAGAGTGGCTCGAAGCGGACACCGACTTACAAGCGCGACTCTCCGCGACGAAGAGACGATAGTGGCTCTAGCAACAGTGACTACGCGCAAACGACGCCTCGGGCGGCCAACATTCGGCGGAGAAAGTCGATTGTCAATCAAGAAGATAAGGACATACTGTTGAGCCCTGAGCAACTTAGACCGTCCAGGTCTGGCAGATCTAGATCACGTCCTCCGCCATCAGAAGCAGTCATGCCGTCTCCTCGAGGATCCACCAAGTCATTCGCCGACGATATCCCGCCTCCACCCCCACCTCGGTCTTCGCAAACCTTCCCAGTGACAAGGGAGCCGAGGGACAGTGGAGATGCCAGAGACAAGACTGTTCCGTATCCCGAGGACGACTTGTTGCTGCCCAAGACAAGCCGTCTCAGCCTGCGCGATCCAGAGCCGCCCATGCCACGAGCGCGCTCCCGGTCTCGTGCATCCACCTTCAACAACCCAGTGATAATTCCGGCCGTCATGCCAGCCATGCCAGCCATGCCAGCCATGCCGGCTCCTGCTGGGCCACGGAGCCCCGCTGAAAAAAGGAGGTCGCCCGAGAGACGGCCCAACTTCGCACAGTCTGCTGTGACAGCTCCCTCGACAGAGGCATGGCCACCAGCCAAGTTTGACCCGGCAAAGAGCAGCACAGCGGTCGTGGATGGACCGAAAGGTAGCTACCGGCGGTACTCTCATGACACAGACCGAGGTGGCGTGCCTGATTTCCCCGACTGCCCTCGCAAGAAAGGCGTCATTGGCAAAGCGGATTGGCTCAGTCTGCCACGATGCGACAACTTCAACATCTGCCCCGACTGCTACAACGGGGTGTTCGTCAACACCGAGTTCCGCAACGACCTCATGCCCATGCTTTTCCGTCCAATGGACAAGCCAATTGTTTGCGATTTCGGGGCATGTGGTTGGTATCACATTGCGTGGCTCCTGACGTTGAAGAACCGCCTTACGGACCTGCGTCTGTTTTACCAGGTCGCCAATGTCACCAGCAAGCTTACCGGTGGCGTTCTACCATGCCCGGGAGATCGTCGGATTACCCGCGTCTGGTACTCGATCAAGAACCCGTTTACGCAGACGACGATGCCGGATTTTACCGTCTGCTACGAGTGCGCCAAAACCATCGAAGGGCTTCTGCCCAACCTGACTGGACTGTTTGTCACCCTCCATCCGGCGGCACAGCCCACGAGGAGTGCCTGTGCAATGCATTTCAACCCCGATCGGAAGCGCTTCGTGATGTATTTCGATGCGCTAGAAACAACGTCGGATCTCGCACTTGCAACCACCCAACCGCCCAACATTGGCAAGCTTGTGACGGACATTGAGAGCCTCTCGGCGTTTGCCGAGTGCTCCAAGGACAATCCGGTTTATGATCAAAGCTGGCACGTCATGCAGTTCCTTCCCCAGTTCACCGTCTGCGGTGACTGCTTCGACGAAGTGGTCGAGCCTCAGCTGAAGGATGGCAACGTCATTGCGCGCAACTTTTACGTGAAACCCCAACGCCTCGAAGAGGCATCGTGTCAACTATACTCTACCCGAATGAGGACTGTTTTTGACAAGGCTTGCCGCCGTAATGATCCCAAGTACCTCGAAAGCAAGGTACTCGAGCGGCAAAAGATATTTGTGGAGATGTACAAGAGGATGGCCAAGCTGGAGCAGGAGAGGTCTCTCTGGGCAAGGGAAGAGAGCAAAAAGCTGCTTCAGGAATGGGAAAAATGGGAATGATGACGCGTACGAATGAATGAAATGACAAACAGACGAGTACGGCATCGTCTTATACCACGGCCCGAATCGCCGATAGTGCCTTTAGTGATACATAGAGTAATCGTCTGTACGAAGTCGAAGCGAGTTGTCGCGAGCGCTCAAGATTTACTGTGATCCGATGCCAGCGTGACATGTTTTGAAGGGGCTTTCGTGTTTATTTGCTTGAATATCCAAAGGCCAAGTTCGGTCATCTAGGTCTCTATCCGAAGGCTACGGCCATTCCAGAGAGGTACCGGTATATCGCCAGATAAGATAACAAGCAATCAGCGGACTAGTTACCTAGGTACGCAGCGGCCATTAGTATAGCAACCTAGAAAGCGTTCAATGTGAGAAGCTGCATATGCAGTAGTTTCCTGGTTCGAAAATCGAAGGATGTTGACATGGCGTGCCCCGAGGCGTCTGCTGTTCCGTTGCCCAAGTCGGTTCAAGTGATCAAGGCCGTTTGGCCACTCTCATCGGGTAACGGTCGAGGCAATCCACTTTGTGAATAGACGGATTGAAAGCTTCCGGGAGCAACTTTGCAACAACGGACTCCGATGTTGGCACTTCGGGCCCGCGCGAGCAAGACAACGTCCCCCAACAGGCCTCGAGACGAAATGTTTGCCGATGGATGACGAACCACTGCCTCGCCGCGTCATATTGCGATACCGGGTCGACGGTTCTGCGGTGCGTTAGTCCGTGCTCTGCTGTTTTGGTTGCGTTGTCCACAGGCAACAACGACGCATCGAGACCGCTGATCTTGCGGTCAACCCACAACTCGAGGGATTGGTCGTCATGGGAATGTGAAGAAGCAGGCCGCCAAGCAAACGGCGCAGAGGCGACAGCAGATCAGTGCGTCGTAGATCCATGGCATGGCAATTCGTCGCGACTCTGGGGTTCCACGGTTGTAGCGTGGCCGAGTGTGGTCTTGATTCCGTTCGCGGTCGATCAGTGTCAAGTTTGCGCGGGGGAGCCAAGGGGTGTTATTTGATATTCCCCCAGTCTTTTAGGAGGTCAACTTATACCAGACGGCAACTATGAGTTGCAGACGTCAATCAGAAAGCATGGCTGTGCGTACGTGGTTCGAAGACACCCGCAAGGACCATCCCAGCACCCGAAAATAGCCATGCAACCAACGGTTCCACAGATGTGCGAGGGATAAGAGAGGATGGTGCGATGTAACGCACAGACCCGACCGTCTTTATTCAGATCTCAGTATTCGTAATGCCGTGCTTTCCGTGCCATGCTTTTCCTTTGCATGCATTGTCGTCGACTCCTAGGTACTTTCACAGCAACAGGCCCATTGAATTCTGCAGTGCTAACGCGCGGAGTGTGTGGTTCAATGTAACTCCCTCACACGGAGAGAAGGGCCTGCACCTGCTCAAATTTGGCTCATGGCCCACAAATTTTTTCCGCTCTAGAGAGGGAGCTGGTCGCCTCTCAGTACATATCTCCGACACGGATTCCGTGTCGCGCCTGGTGCCTGAACGGCGGTTGGAGGAGAAATCCTCTCGACTCACTCAGCGCTCTGCCTCACTTCTCTTCCGTCCTGCTCGTCCGGGAGATCCTGACCTTCATTGGCACATTGGGTTGGCACACGAGTCTAAATGTTTAGTCATCTCTCTTATCTTCCGGTTACACTTCTGTGGTCGAGAGGGGGGCCTACGGCCCGTCATGAGACGGACAGACTGCCAAGTTCGAACCGCAACTGTTTCATCCCTTCACGGGTCCCGAACGCACAGCCTCGCTCGCCTCGCTCTCCCCTCCCCAACCCACCTTGGACACGGGACCCAATTCGTTTTTTTACCTAAGTAGGCCCCTGTTGAAGAGAAGAGAGGGAGGTGGTAAGGGTAATATGGGTTCGCCCAGGTTTGGAAACGTGCAATACGGGGGGTTGACGCAGCAGAAGCCCGCAGTGTCAGTCTCGAGGCTCGACGAAGTCGCTTTCTTCCACACTTTCTCTTGTCACTCCTCGCATCACGGCGATCCCTTCTTCTTCCTCTTACACCTTTTGTGCGCTCCGCCTAGGCTTTGTTGGTCTCCTCCGAAGCGTTCCTTTCTGTTCGTAAACGCAAGGTCGTTACGAAGACTTGTTTACAAGTCTATTCCGCTCTTTTCACTCCTGGTCGAGTTTAATCAGGAGATTGCCGTTTGGGCTTTTACATCTATCGTCTCTTTTTTTCCCCCTCCTTTTTTTTTCAATTTTTTATCCCCACGTCCAGGCGACATTTTTTTTACAGTTTCGATTTCTTGGCGATGATAGTCAGTTTGTTATACTTCGCCATCTTATAGCCAGACCACATCTACACCAAACCGAAAGTGTCGAGGGCCGAGGCATAGAACAACGACATTCACAACGACGCCTTTGTTCAAATCGCCCCTTTTGGGCATTTACATTTCGGTAACGGAAGTTCCATAAGTAACATCCAGCCATGCAGGGTTTGTTCAAGCTTGCTGGCGCAGCATGTGTGCTGGGCCATCTGGCGGATGCTGCCGTCAATATCAACTTCGACCAAGAACAGTCCATTAAGGATGGTGCAAGCACAATTGCATTTGGCCTGTTGAAGTACTACACAGGGAACAACACCGGCGATGTCCCGGGAAACCTACCAGACCCCTATTTCTGTATGTTGTCAGCTTTTTCTTCCTTCTCACGTAGGCTGACATGATTGCAGGGTGGGAAGCCGGAGCGATGTTTGGCACAATGGTGGACTACTGGCGCTTGACGGGGGACTCGACATACAACGACGTTACGACGCAGGCGATGCTTCACCAGGCCGGCGAGGATGCCGACTTCATGCCGAGGAACCAGACGAGGACGGAGGGAAACGACGACCAGGGGTTTTGGGCGATGGCGGCCATGAGTGCAGCAGAGAACAACTTCCCGAACCCACCAAAAGACCAGCCGCAATGGTTGGCGCTCGCCCAGGCCACCTTTAACCAGTACGTCAGCCGCTGGGATACGGAAACTTGCGGGGGCGGCCTGCGGTGGCAGATCTTCACCTTCAACAACGGCTTCAACTACAAAAACTCGATCTCGAACGGGTGCTTCTTCAACATCGCGGCCCGGCTGGCGCGGTTTACGGGCAACCAGACGTACGCGGACTGGGCCGAGAAGATTTGGGACTGGGAGGCCAGCGTCGGCCTGATCACGCCGGATTTCAAGATCTACGACGGCGCCACGATCGACGACGCGAAGACTTGCAAGAAGATCGACATGATCCAGTGGTCGTACAACTCTGGCATCTTCATGCACGGCTCCGCGTCCATGTACAACCTGACGCAGGACAAGAAGTGGCTCACCCGCACTGACGGCATCCTCACCCAGGCGACGGGGCTCTTCTTCAATAACAGCGCCATGTTTGAGCCGGCCTGCGAGCCCTTCCGGCTGTGCGACAACGATCAGCAGAGCTTCAAGGGCTACCTCACGCGGTGGATGGCCGGGACGGCGCAGCTGGTGCCCAGCATGTTCGACCGCATCATGGGTCTCCTGCGACCTAGCGCCGAGGCCGCCGCCGCGGCGTGCAACGGATCTCCCGCGACAGGGTACAAGGGGCCCGCCGGCACGGCATGCGGCTTCCAGTGGACGCCGAAGGGCTTGTTCGACGGCCTGGTCGGCGTCGGCGCACAGATGAACGCCCTCAGCGCCTCCATGTACATGCTCGTCAAGAAGGCCGACGTCAAGACGGCGCCGGTGACGGCCGACACGGGAGGCACGTCCGTCGGCAACGCCAACGCCGGCATGAGCTCGCAGCCCAAGATCCCCACGCTACCTCCGATCGAAACCAAGGACAGGGTAGCCGCTGCCTTCGCCACGACAGCCGTTACCTTGAGCATCGTGGCAGGGTGCGTCTTCCTCATAAAGTGATTACGAGAAAGGCAGGCGGACTTTTTGCATGTTTCTTGCACGACGACTTGGGCGAAGAGGGTTTACTGTAACAATTTTAATCTGCTTATAGCATTTGGAAACGGCGTGGCGTTTTTTTTGGGGGGGAGGGAACAAAGGCCAGCTTTGAGAGCGGTCTGTTCTTGATGCATGGAATTGGGACTATCCTCCCTCCGACCCGGACGAGGGACCGGGCTCGTGATATACCACCCATATCAATTTATTCAATATATACAAACACATTCCCCCACTTGCGATTGGACCAACTTTGTTTGTCATGGTGCTTCCTCGCCTGTGCTCCCCCCGTTTTTAACGAGGCTGTGAAGGAGCCACGATGATGTGAATGTTCTTGTTGTTCTGAGACTCGGAATATTTTTCGGGGGGGGGGGGGTCTTTTGCAAGCGGCGTGCGCTTCCACCATCCTGCAAACCCAAGATCGACTTAGCCCCGTTGCGGCAATAGTTGCTCTCGCATACGCCGAAATGCTTCCCTCGCTCCCACTCTTACTGTCACTCTCATTTTCTCTAGCGTGTGGAAGCTTGAAGATGTCCCTACTCGCACAGTGCTTTAAGCGCCCCCCCTGGGCGCTTGGGCTTTCCGAATGAGGTGACGAGCTCCCTACCTGCGGCCCCGCATCACCCCGCGTCACGGAGCTATACACACACACACACACACACACACATACACAGGTACCTACACAAACTGCACACACTTGCGCATCAGCTGCGCGGGACGTCGTCATGCTTATCCGATTGCTCGGTTCTCCAGGCCCGACTTACATGGGGTCGGGTTCTTTTCCGTGTGAGATGACCGCGAACTCCTCGCGGGGTTCACTTCTGCCATCCTCCCCCCTCAGTTCCTCCTTAGATTCGCCTTTTCGAGGGCCATCCGAGCTGTCATTTTTCCATCTACATATACCCCGTTGCAGTCCCTCTTTTCTAGAAGCTTGAGAGCGTGTTTATCTGACATCACATCATCACACCTCCCTCCCCACACACTCTCTCTCTCTCCCACATCCACGCACCCGACGGATCTCGGGAGCTTCACCACCCAGCATGTCAGCCAAACACTTCATCAACGACCCCACCAAGCTGGTCAACTCGGCCCTGCACAGCCTGACCCTGACGAACCCGAGCCTCGCCCTCGACAAGCCCAACAAGATCATCTACCGCCGGCCGTCGCCCGATGTCGCGCCGCAGGTCTCCGTGGTCTCGGGCGGCGGCTCGGGTCACGAGCCTTCCTTCTCGGCCATGGTCGGCCGGGGCCTGCTCTCGGCCGCCGTCGCCGGCACCATCTTCGCCAGCCCCAGCGCCGAGCAGGTGCGTACCGCCATCGCCTCGCGCGTCGACGCCACCCGCGGCGTCCTCGTCACCGTCATGAACTACACGGGCGACGTGCTCAACTTCGGCATGGCCGTCGAGAAGGCCCGCGCCGCCGGCCTCGACGTCGAGATGGTCGTCGTCGGGGACGACGTCGGCGTCGGCCGCGCCAGGGCCGGCAAGGTCGGCCGGAGGGGCATCGCCGGCACCGTGCTCGTGCACAAGATCGCCGGCGCGCTGGCGGCGCAGGGCCGGCCCCTGGCCGAGGTCGCCAAGGTCGCCCGGTTGACGGCCGAGAACCTCGTCAGCGTTGGCGCGAGCCTGGAGCACGTCCACGTGCCCGGCCGCGCGGCCCCCGCCGGGGACGACGAGAGCGCGCTGCGCCTTGGCGAGGTGGAGCTCGGCATGGGCATCCACAACGAGCCTGGCTCCGGCCGGGAGCAGGCGGATCTGCCGGTGCTGGTGGGCAAGATGCTCGCGCAGCTGCTGGACCAGGGCGACGAAGACCGCGCGTTCCTCAACGTCAACTCGAACGAGGTCGTGCTCCTGGTCAACAACCTCGGCGGCGTCAGCGCTCTGGAACTGGGCGGCATCACGGCAGAGGTCGCTTCGCAGTTGGAGGGCAGCTACGGCATCCGTCCCGTCCGCATCCTGAGCGGGACCTACATGACCAGCCTCAACGGTCTGGGTTTCAGCATTTCGCTGCTCAACGTCGTCAACACGGACATCGGCGGCCCCAGCATGATTCAGCTCCTGGACTACCCCACCGAGGCCACGGGTTGGTCTTCCCCCGTCCTGAAGGAGACCTGGGAGGCCAAGAACGAAGCTACTAGGGAGGAGAAGGCGGACACTAGCCAGGCGACGAAGCCCAGCGATCTTAAGTATGATGCAGCCGCCGCCACCAAGTCCATCACGGCCGCCCTCCAAAGAGTCATTGCCGCCGAGCCCGACATCACCAAGTATGACACTGTTGTCGGTGACGGCGACTGCGGTATCGGTCTGAAGAGAGGAGCCGAAGGTAAGAAATACATCCTCTCTCTCTCTCTCTCTCTCTCTCTCTCCCCCCCTCCCATCCCCACAAGGGCACGTCTTACGACAGTACGCTAACGCGACGGTTCCCAGCCATCCTCGAGCACATCTCCGAGAAGCCGCTGACCGGCGACGCCGTCGTTGACCTCGCCTCCGCAGTCCCCGTGGTCGAGAACACCATGGACGGCACCTCGGGCGCCCTCTACGCAATCTTTCTCAACGCCCTCACCGGTGCCCTACGCGGCCTCGCCCCAGGCGCCGCCGACCCCAAGGTCTGGGCCGCAGCCCTGAAGCAAAGTAGCGAGGCCATGGCGCGGTACACCCCCGCGCGCCCGGGCGACCGCACCCTTGTCGACGCGCTGCATCCCTTCGTCGACGTGCTCGGGCAGACGGGCGACGTCAAGAAGGCCGCCGAGGCGGCGCGCGCCGGCGCCGAGAAGACCAAGGGCATGAAGGCCAGCCTGGGCCGGACGGTGTATGTCGGCGGCTCGGGCTTCGAGCAGGTGCCCGACCCCGGCGCCTGGGGCCTGAGCTGCTTCTTCGCCGGGCTGGCGGGCATCGAGGGCGAGGACGGCTGGGAGAAGCTTTGAGGGACGTGTGGAGGTTCTAGGTTTGATCTTCAGTTCGTAATTTCCCTGTAGGATATCCTTGTGTTTTCGTCGTACTTCCTTGGGTTTTCGGAGAGCGTCTCAGGGTAAGGCGGGTTAGTTCGCACATGTACGAAAGGCAGGCTGGTAGGATGCCGAAGCGCGAGAAAGCGAAAGTGAAGAAAAGAAGAAAGAAAAAAAACCAAATGAATCCAGATTGTCTTCAACGCCTATCTCGTCCCGTTTTTTTGTGTGAAACAGAAACCACTCTACCGTGGGTATTTTTTGTCATGCAGTCTTTCCTCCCAGGTTGGGTTTGTACGCTGCTTTCCGTCAGGCGACTTTTGCCCCTTCTACAATAGCACCCGTCGACATTTCGTTTCCTTTCGCTCGATACTCCTTTTGGCACGGTCGGTTGCATGAACGCTGTGTTTTCGCTCCTTTCCCGACATAACGTGTCGTATTCTGGACGCTTTCGTCAATGACATTGCGGCGGGCCGTACCAAGACTAGCGCTCCCAACTCCCTCCCGTTCGTGTCCGTTACATCCCTTCAGCTCAAGAGAACCAGAATGACGCTGTCACCGCGGAGGAACCTAGACACATGTTAGCGATCAGCCTAGGAATTCGACAAGTCGGATGCGACGCGTCGAGTGTGCCGTGTAAGGGGTGTTGCCAACTAACATCTTGCTGATGAAGCGGTCCTTGTTGACGGGACGGCCCTTCTTGCCGTTGGCCAGGCGTGGCGTCTCTGTCCACATTTCCTGCGGTCCCAAGAGTTAGCAACGTATCTTTGCTTGGGGTCTCGATGGGGGTAGCGTGGTTCGTCGCACCTTTACGTTCTCGAGGACCATGTTGCAATGCCTGTCGAAGGCCTTGACGCGGGCAAGAAGCTTGCGGTTGTTGCGGATGGAGATGAGGACCTGGGTGTGGCTGCGCACGGCGGTCTGGAGGATCGAGAGAGGCCCGGCGCTGAACTCGTGCTCCTCAAGCTGTGCGATCTCGTACTCGGTGAGCTCGTTGCGGGACTTGGTGAGGAGCTCCCTGAAGGTGATTTGTTAGCAACGCTGATGGTCCAGAGTATACACGACTCGGGATATACGCACTGGATCTTGGGATCGGTCGACATGATGGGCAATTTCGGGCGGGGGAGGATGGGTTGAGGGTGGATGATGTATGTCGCGACAGTTGCTTTGCGATCTAGGTAGGTAGGCTGCAGCAAGGCTGAAAGAGTTTGGCGGTCTCGCGGCTCAGGCGGTATGGCGCTCTGATTGGCCGGCCGCTCCAGTGAAGCCGGCGCTGGAAAAAAAGGCCCCGTTCGGAACTGCACTGGAGAGCTTGCAGCTTGCTGTTGCTTCAGCGGAGTTTTGGCTGCGTGCCGCTTGGCCAGTGCACTAGCCCGACCGCTGGATCCGTCCAACTGCCTGAGGTAAGAGACCCGTGGATGTACTCGGCCTCAATTTTGACGTCTGTGAGGAGCTTTGGAAAATCATTCCCGCGACCCCGATCCTGAACAACCAACCGAACCTCCCTGAATCCTTCGTCCCCTCCTTCCCTCCCCCCTCCTCTCATTCACGAGCCCGCTATATCTCAGTCGATGCGCTGCTTGTCCTAGACGAGCGCATTGGCAACTGGCGAAACATAAATGTTCTCCAGGACGATCGCACTACGAGCCGGGCCGGCATCGCTAGCTGCTCCTTGCCGGAGCTGCAGCAGGAGCTTCGGCATGCCTCTCAGAGCCAAGATCATGGCTGCGGAGGCTTCATCACGCGCACAGGTGAGTCAGCGGACGTCTCAACGCGCATCAGCGATATGATTTGACTGACATGCACACTATCAGATGTCGACGAAGGTTCCGCAGCAGTTTAAGGAGCGCCCCGGGGACGAGCCAGACGATGTCCTCTTCGACAGCCTTTACGGTCTGCGGACCATTCAGCTCAACCGCCCGAAGAAGCTCAACTCTTTAAACGGGAGTATGATTCGCAAGATCCTCCCTAGACTGGTGGAGTGGGAGAAGTCGGATTTGGCGAACGTGGTGGTCATGAAGGGAGCCGGCGAAAAGGCTTTCTGCGCTGGTGGAGACGTTGTCCAGCTGGCCCAGTATAACCAACAGCGCACGGATGGGTGGAAGAAGAGCGCCGACTACTTTGCGCTTGAGTACCAGCTGGACCACTACATTGCGACGTACGCCAAGCCGTACATTGCCTTCATGGACGGCATCACGATGGGTGGTGGTGTTGGTTTGAGCATCCACGCCCCGTTTCGTATTGCCACCGAGCGCACCGTCTTCGCCATGCCCGAGACAACGATTGGGTTCTTCCCTGACGTTGGTGCTTCGTTCTTCCTGCCCAGAATGGCCGGGTCCGTTGGCACTTACCTCGCCCTGACGAGCGAGAGACTTCAGGGTGCCAACGTCTTCTACTCCGGCGTCGCCACCCACTACCTCCACTCGACCTCCCTGCCGCAGCTGGAGTCTCGTCTCGCCGAGATCCGGTTCCGTGACTACGACTCTGTGGAGAAGCGCCTCCAAATCATCAACCAGACCCTCGAGGAGTTCGTCACTGGTCTCCCCCACGACGAGCCAATTCTACTGGGCGGCGGTCTGCGCAAAGCTATCGACCGTTGCTTCAACAAGGGCAACATTGCCGACATCGTCGAGGCTCTCAAGGGCGAGAAGGGCGCTACCAAGGAGTGGGCCGAAAAGACCTTGGACACGCTGCACAAGCGGTCGCCGACGGCCGTCAACGTTGCGCTGAGACAAATGCGCATCGGCCGCAGTTGGTCGATCGCCGAGACCTTCCAACGCGAGCACCAGATTGCGAGAAAGTTTATGCAGCACCCCGACTTTACCGAAGGCGTAACAGCGCTGCTGGTGCACAAGAAGAAGCCCAAGTGGCAGCCGGCAAAGTTGGAGGACATCAAGCCTGAGATGAAGGTCACAGATGACTTCTTCAAGACCTCTGGCGAGCCGCTTCAGCTGCTGAACAACCGTGACTACAAGGAGTACCCTTACTCCCACTTTGCACTGCCGACTGAGAAGGAAGTCCGTGACATTGTCCTGCAGGGACAGTACACCCCCCAACAGATTGTGAAGAAGGTAGTGGGGTCGCAAAACAACCGGCAGGGTGTCAAGGAGGTGGTCAAGGATATCGTCGACCGCAATGTTATTGTCAAAGAAAATGAAGGTGGGCGTGCCGCCTGGCGCGAATCATAAGAGGGCCATTTCGAGGCGTCACCGAGATGTTCTAGAGCATGAGGTGTGTATAATAATGTAGATGCTTTGCCATGTGTCTGAATAAAATCAAAGGTGGACTATCTCATGTTGAGAACTGATTCATCTGCTTCGGCGCGGATCATATAGAGTGATGAAATGATGAAATGACGGATCGCGACGCGTGGATTGAAATGCATCAAAACATGGCTGTGATAATGCTCAACACCATGGCGGTTGCACTTGATTGGCTCAATAAGCTGGTTTGGAGTGCTATTGCGAGAAGTGGTTTACGAAGAAAGAAAAAAAACCTTGGTTATTTTTCGGAGTTGATGAAAAAATTGGGGTAATGATGGCTTCATCTCAAATAGGCTGGTATGCTGATAAGATTTTGCTGCCTAGGTAGGTACGGTTTTGGGGCGGTTGAGAAGATTTCCGACTTAGGGCCTGATCAAGCGCCGACCAGCTTGGTTCCGTCACCAAAGCTCATCATGACCAAGAGTGTGCCAGGATGTCTGTAGTGAATGAGCTCAGATGGCTTCGGTCGCCTTGGGTCACCAACCGTTGGCTGCCAGATGAAAAGATGGGTGGGGATTGAGTCACTTGTACTTCGTACATAGGCGAGCAATAAAAAAAAACGTAGTGATTGAAATGGAATGGGCCGAGAGTTGGAGGGGGAACTGGAAGATGGGCAGGCAACGACAGGAAAAAATCAAGCTGGTCTGTGAGATTGTACGGACAACGCAGGCGAAAGACGGGAAAGAGAGGGACCACAGGCTTCAGCGAGTGGGCAAGTATAAAGAGGCACCCGGCCCCCCGCCGCCTTCGGTCAGGGAAGCGAGACCAGCTCATTTCCCCCTACTTCCCCCCTTCATCTTTTGCTAGTTCCGGTGCTTGGTCCGCCCTGGTCCTGAGTCGCCGGTGTCAGGCCCCGATCGCAAGCACAGAGTCCGTCGAAGAAAAGAAGGGGAAATCGGCTGGTCAGACCCACCCGCATCCGAGAAGCGAGAGAGGGACCCACTTCCGGCATTCACTGAGCAACCGTCCCCCCTTCCGTCGGGCACGGACCATCCGAGAGAGAGAAGACCAAGGCCACCCAATCCATTTACTCCACTCCACGCACCCAAGTCGCGGACGAAAGCGTGCTTACGTGTTTTGGCGCGTTCTGGATTTTGACGGCAGCTGCACTTCGCGCCAAGAAGCAGCGCTACACCACCCCAGCGCTACACCACCCCTGGCCCAACGTCACGGCGTTCCCCCCCACGCCTAAACTGGGCACCTGCAGCAGTCTGTATTGTGACCTTTTGTGTTGCGTACCCACTGCACTGCACTGTGGTGCGGTGTCTCCACTCTACGCGACACACCTCACGTCTTTCCTAATCGTGTTATCTCTCGTTGTCTGGCCGCGATTTATCTCCAACTGCACCACTTCACAACGAGGATTTGGGGTTCTCGGCTGAGTATATGATTCATCAATTGGTCCGGGTTTTTATTTTATCTCTTTCTTTTCAACGTCGTCCAAGGTAATTAGCCTTCGGTGTGAGCTTGCAAACTGTCTTGGAGCCGTGCTGTGCTCTGGTCTGGTCGCGCAGGGGCATTAAGTGATTTGATCCACTTCCCAAAAACGCGACTTACACCACTTGGACGCGACTCCTTCACGACCACGGCCATGATACCCGCCCCCCGCGGTTTCTTACGTGACGCCTGCACTTTACCACTTTAACCACTACAAACGCCAGTTTTCAACCCACTCCCAATCCTCATCCTCCACTATTCTTCTTTCTTTTCTTCTACCCTTGGTCACCGCCCTTCGACCCTGCCGGCTTTCGACATTGTCGGCTTTTCCATTTCTCACTTTCGTCTTTGCCTTTTACTTTGTCCCCGTCCTATACCCCGTCGAGCTGGACAAACACGCGAATTGGAGTTAGAGCCTCGCCTACCATGGCGTCGCCAATGCCTTCAGCGCCCATGGGTAACTGGGGAGGTAGCGCCCAAGCCAGGCCTCCTCCTCCACCGCCTGTCGGCTCAACAGAGAGTGACGATATGGGTGTTCTGACCAAGACGATGGGCCGTGAGTGCTTCTTGTTTCTTTCTGTCCCGGCCCTGGCTGGATATGCTGACTGGGAGACCCAGTCAAGGTCACCTACGCGTTTGCCGATAGCGGCGAGAGTTTCCTGGCGCGACACCCTGAGCTGCTCACCGTCCGAACAGTACCCATCGACGACAAGCTCACCGTCGGCATGGTCGACCTCAAGATGTGTGTCCAGGCTGTTGTCAAGTGCAGCCCCGAACTTCTCAGCGACGTCACTCGCGACTTCGCCGTCTACGCATACGACTACTCAGAGCCCGACGAGCCCTTGGTCGGCCAGGGTTTCCTTGGTTGGATCGTCAACAACGCCGATGGAAAGCAGATCATTGGCCGCGCCACCAGGAATCCCCTTTCCGTCTTTAGCAACGGCGTCAAGGAAATCCTCGAGATCAAGTTGAAGTTGAAGCCCGTGGCCGCCATGGTGCAACCCCAGTACGAATCCGAATCACGACCGGACCTTCGACACTCCTACCAGCGCTCCGAGAGCCACATGAGCGTCGAGGTACAACCCACGAGACCTGTTGACGGAGCCCTTACGCCGTCGAGCCATGCCGAGTGGAACTCCTTCATGCAGTCGAACCCCCAGATGGGTAGCCAGCACCACCCGCAAAGTGTTCCATCGCCACACCAACCATCCATGCACCTCGACTTCCAGCAACAGCAACAGCAACACCACTTCCAGCGCAGCAATTCATTTTCCTACGGTGCGCCGCCACAGCACCAGCACCAGCAAATTCAGCCTCAACCTCTTCAGCCTCATCAGCCGACGCAAAATTCTGATGGCCCTAATAGGGTGGCCCCGACCCCTGTTGACACAGCAACCGAGACCCAGGTCAACCCACCATCAAGGCCATCATCCAGGGCCTCAAACCCATCATCGAGGAAGTCGAGAGCTACGGGACGACCGCGTGGTCGTCCTAGAAAGCAGCCAAGGGCTGAGAGCCAGGGCAACACCTCGGGCTACGAGGACGGAACTGATGGTGATGAGGGCCCCGCCAAGAAGAAGAGGGCTACCATGACCCAAGTCACGAGCAACATCAACGCCCCATTCGGCGGCGGCCCCGAGTCTCTGCGAGTCACGGCCAGCACGGCTGGCTCGTTGCGAACCTTGCGGCCAATGGGTATGCCAGTCGAGGCACCCATGGGCTCGCACATGCAGGATGTTCCCAGGGCTCCGACACCAGTGCCGGACAGAGGTCCCATGATGCCGCAGGCTGGCAAGCCGACTAACGGAAGCAAGCTACGTCGGCAGTCGAATTTGAGCCAGGCTGCGACGCCTCCCAGCCAGCCCCAGTTCTCCGAGCCGCCATTCGCTTTGTCCCCAAGCCAGCAAGACGGCCGCTCTCCCGACTCGGAAGCCGTATCACCCATGTACTCTGAGGACAGCCCTGCAGCCATCGGATCATCACCACCTGTTCCTCGTAACACGGGCTTTGTACGATCCAGCCCGCCGGCTTCGAGCCCCATACTTCCTCCCATGCCAATGCCTCAGCCAGACTCAGGTTTTATGAGTGGAGGCATCGATGACCTTTTCGACGGTGAGGGGGTCAAGCAACAACTTCCGAAGCCGGTCGTGCCAACAGTGCGGAGATCAAACTCCAACGTCACCAAGGAACGGAGATCTCGGTCAGGCATTCCGATCCAGGTCTTCCAGCTGGCGGCGCAGCCTTCCGTTGAGGCAGATGCTGCCACCAGGAGCAACAGGCAGCAGAGTGCACCCCGGCCGCCTACCTCGACACTGGCATTGGAGCCTTCTTTGCCTTCCATGCCGCCGACCGTAAGCGACTCGAGGCTTGCGCTACCTTCGCCTTCACAGCCTGCGGAAAAAGAGCCTTCGCCACAACAAGAGGAGCTGGTTGTGGCGGTTAAGCCTGAGGTCGAAATCGACGGTCAAAGCGCTCCCAAAGCCGAGACTCAACAGCCAGATGACAGTCTGGAATTGGGACTTGAGAAACTCGCCCAGGCGGTGCAAAGTATGGCGCCAAAACCAGCTTTGCCAGAAACCCAAATGGCTCCGGATGCCACCGCAACGTTTGCCCGGCCATCCGCACCACCTTCTCTGTCACGGTCTACGTCCTCGGGCTTCTCATTGGCTCTTCCCTCGGTGGCTGCTAGCGACCCCATCGGTCCCATTGCGTTGCCAGCTCCCGCTCCCCCGGATATCACCTCCTTCTCCGAGGCACCCTGCCCGCCAAGTGACGCCTTGCAGCCCCCAAGGTCACCACCGCAGCCTACGAGGTCGAACAAGAACTATGTTAAGAAGCAGGCCATCAGAGAGAAGCTCCTGCAGGCGATCGCGAGTGGACAGACTCCCATGTACTGCAGCAACTGCGGTGCGATTGAGACTCCTACGTGGCGGAAGATTTGGACCCAGGAGCATGAGGGCGTTCCGGAATTTACTGAGTTCTCGGACAAGCCTGGCAGAATTACCGCTATCTTGGTCTTGGACCGTGATGCCGATGAGAAGCCGACCAAGTATCAGATCATCAAAAAGGCCCTTTTGCCCAAAGAGGATAAGTCCGACTGGAAGGAACACATGCTGTGCAATCCCTGCGGTATCTGGCTATCCAAATGGAAAGCCCATCGACCTCAGGAGAAGTGGGAGAAGGACAGCGCTCGTCTTGGCCAACAGAGGCGCCCTCGGGGCACTGGTCGTGCTCCCCGTCCGCCCAGAGCGAAGAAGTCTGGTTCGGCGAACCCTCTCAACCCGACGTCGGAAGCATACAACACAACAGACCCCATTGGACCTGATGACCGTGGAGTCTCACCGATGGATGAGAGCAGGTCGCGCGGTGTTTCTCAAGTCAGCAATGCCAACGATGCCTCTCAGCGATCAATGTCCCAGTTTTCGGCATCCCAGCCCCCAGAATACCAAGGCTCGCGACCGACATCCCCTGGGAACGTCTCCAACCCTGGCTCTACACATTCTAGGGGCAGTGGCACGGCGAAGAGCCCGATCACTATTGATAACGCTGATGTAGAAGATATGGGCGCAACTCGACGACTCCTGTTCCCTTCGCCACGAAAGGATGGCGTTTCGAAGGCACTGAGCGATCTTGCCGTCAATATTGTGCAAACAGCGCCCGACTCCAGCAGGTCAGCACAAGTCACCCAGAACAAGGAAGTTCCCATCCAAGGGCCTGGCAAGGACGCCGCAACTTCCAAATTGTCTGGCACGAACAAGGAGAACCTCGCTGTTCCCGAAGATGACCTCGAGGACCTTTTCAGAAGTCCTCTAGTTCGTCCGTCGACACCACCTCCCAAAGAACGGGCCCCTAACAACGGCCCTTTCAAAACCCCTACCCGGCCGACGCCGAGTCACCGACCCATCACTAGAAGTGTCACTAGAAGCGTCTCGCGTTCTATGAGATCAGGCGACCTGCTTCGGTCTCCCGCGGCCCTGCGCCGCACACCGACGCGAACACCCCGATCTGCTAAGGGTCTGCTTCGGAGGAGCCCTCGTCTGCATAATGATGAGTTCACCCAAATGGAGCTTGCCTTGGAGGAATATCTTCAGACGCAGTCTCTTGATCACCAATACGACTCCGACATGTTGGAGGCAATGAACCGAGCTTTGGCGGAGTCCATGGACGCCCCTGGTTCAAACTTTGACATTACCAACATGGTGCTCGAATCGAGCTGCCAGCTCGAGTTCGGTGACCTGCTGGGCTCGCCTTCCCGGCCCACCCCACGACCGGCCAGGCAGCAAGTGACCGATTTTGAGGACTGGGACACGTGGGAAAGCAACATGCGTGCGCGCCAGGCGGCGGAAGATGCCAGGAGCCAATAGATGTTGGCTTGGAAAGGCAATTGTTTATGCATTGAATTACTACAGCGGGGGTCACGCACATGGACGTACAGAACATACGCTTGCACAACGAGCGCGGTATCGCGAGGAGTCGTATAATGTTTTATGGGTTTAGAGGGGTTGTTATTACAACACAACGAGCATGACATATACATACGGTGGGTGGCGTTTCGACACATCAAGGAGTTGATGATGTCTCTGGGTGGCCTAGATCATGATTGCTCGGCCATGGAGTCTTGACGACGAGTTGACATACCGTTAGTTGCTTTTGCTATCTTTTTTCCCGCGCATTTTACAGTGCTTTGGTCATTGACCCAGATACCATCAATACAAACGATAACACTATATATCATCCTGCCTTACCTGCCGTGCTTTGCGTCCTTTGACAATTTGTATGTGTGAGACGACACAAGGCTGTCGTGTAGTATCGTCTTGTAAATGAACCAACCCATCTACAGGGGTTTTGACCTTGTTGTGATTGGAAGCGAAGAAAATGCGTATGCGGGAAACCCGGTAGCTCCGAATCACGTCCTGGCAGTATGTATATATACCCTTGAATCGAGACATGGGACGTCGTAGTACCCGTGCCACCGATTCGGGTTTGGGCGAATCTCACTGGAGGACCACACGGGTAGAAACGTCGTGCTGGCCGGGTCCAGCTTGTACCATACGGCTCATGTGTGGCACTCGAGCCACCCGTGAAGGTTGAGCAACGTGCCGGAAATCATGGGAAGGCGCCACATCGAAGTGCCGTGCCAGCCGCTCCTGTCTTCGACCCTCGGCCCAGACACCTTTTTCGCCCAAAGAAGCGTAAAGTCGAAATAAGAGTCGGTCAGCCCGTGAGACAGGGAGACTCGCAGCGGGGGAGAGGGGGGTACAGCCAACATGCTCTCAAATGCCAGTAGCCGGTCGCCCTGGAAAGTCAGGAGTCTGCCGCCCAAGAGCTCGCAGCATTCAAGGTAGAGCCGGACCGGGTTCGTCTCGAACGATTTCAAGGGCGGGCGGATTATCTGCAGAGTCTACAACGAGGCCAGCGCCTCCGAGCACACTTCTTCCGACCACGTCGCCTGGCGGCGCTGGAGGAAGACGCGGTTTCTCGACGAAGATCATGGATCGCCTGGCGAGCGTACTCTACTGGAAGGTCCGGGCCCTGCTGTTCCAGTCCGTGTTTTCGATGTGGCCCTCGACAGTCTTGGTTGCCACGGGATCGAGCCCTGCGCATACGACCCTTGGCTGCCAGGCGGCTCCGGTGTCCCGTGAGAGGAGCTACTGCCGGCCGCGGCATGAATTTCCAGAACCGAGTTCCCATATATGCTGTCAATATCATTGTGGACGATGAACAGGGCGTTGGCCCAGATGTACCTGATACCCAAGGATGTGACAAGAATCATAGCGTCGCGGACGATCTTTGACAGGCCCGTCTTATCAAGTCATGGGAAGCCTTTGGGGGAGAACTCGGCAAGAGTCTCTGGTTCAAGATGAGCAGTTGGGACCCGCCCCATACATAAATAAGAGTTGCGGATTCCGTGACTTGAGCGCCGATCCGAGAACTGACAAGGACAGCTTCGTCTTTCAGATCAAAGACTTGAGACCCTCCAGCAGTTAGGGTTTCGTACGGTGATGGTAGCGGCCGGCAGCCACTGCCATGATGCGTCTTTCGGATGCCGAGCCAGCATCGAAGTAGGCCGTCCAACAGCCACCTGACAGAACAGCGAGCACGTCTGCTGTCGCAGGTCAAACCATCGTATCATGATCTGAGACGTGTTAGGGCGGTCTATCTGAAGGCTCCTCATCGATGTGAGCAGCGTTGAACAGGAGCTAGAAGAGCGAGCATCTCTCCCTCCGGGGATTGAATCTCTCCAAGGTATTCTAGGTCTCGAGGTTGCAAACCGACGGAGTCGGTTGCCTTTTGCAAGAAGCCCGGGGAGGGCGCTGACCGTGGCTTGGCCAGGCGGAAACTTTTCTGCAGAGGTTGAGTTGTTCACAAGTCGGGCACGGCTTTTTAAAAGGAGGTTCGCACTTCACACGCCGCTTAGGCATTTTTGCGAAAACTTCGGCTGCCTCCGACGACTCGACTGTGCTAAAAGGCTCAGTCGTTATGGTAGGCCATGATGCTTCAACAGGCTCGACGTTTCTGCCGACACGGCCGTATCAGAACGAAGAGACTTGCGTAAGAGCAGGTTCAGAGCACCAGGATGTTATCCCAAGCCGTTCGTCGACTTGTACATAGTTCTTTTCAAGTCTGGCTGATTTCTTGTCAGGGCCGTACGGGGGTAAGTTGTGAACAACAGTTGAATAAGGATAATCTAATTGCAGAGCATACGGGGTGACTTAAAAACAGAAGCGTTTCAAGAATGGTTTTCCCCCTTGAATGCGCGCCATGTTTGGCCAGCTTGATCAGAGCTGAAAACCAATATATGCAGGTGTTCCCCGAAGTTGGGGTTGGCTGATCCCGGTATAAGGCCTGGCTTGTCGCATTCCCTCTGTATGGCCTCCAGCCTCAAGATGGTTAACTGTTCGTCCAGCTGTCGATCCTCGATAGTGAAGAAAGTGTACTATCAGATGACGTTGAATGAAGCATGTACATCTACGTAGGCCAGGCAGCAATATGTACCCCTTTCAATTACCAGTAAGCCTTTGGGCTAGACAATGGCCCACTGTACATTGCTATCTGATTTCAACACTCGAGAGTACTGAGACTAGCCATTCGCAAGTCGGAGGTATTGTTCTGTATATCACTCGTCACCAGCTCGGCGGTGACTCGGAGTTGGCCGCGTCCCACACAGGAGCAGCGACCGGGGTGGATCCTCGGAAGCTCGGACCACCATTGACCCACAACACAACGCCCACTGGCTGGTTGAAAGTTGGAACAACCTCACTGTGGTTCATTGGATAATTACTTCTCACTCCCTCACGTCACCAAATTCAGAAAAGCTCATAACGTCGGGGCTACGGCAGTATCATACTCTGTGCTTGTACCGCAATGCGAGGTCCGCATACGATTTTCACGTATTTGCCATATTGAGAAAGGTTGCGAGCACGACTTACGTCCTCATAGAGAGGGAAGTCATCGAGCAAGAACCCAGTCTCCCACAGATCCGTCATACCACACAGACAAACAGCCACTTCATTGGTGCCGCTCCTCCGACCCCCAAGATTCCCTCCCAACCCCGATCCAAGCCTCGGTTGGCATCTCACTTGTCGCCATGTCAGACGACCTCAGAGACGAGATTGAGGCCCTCAACTCCATCTACGGAGACGACACGCTCCGGCCCTCGCCGCCCAACTACATCCTCGCCCTGCCCGGCGGCCCGGGGGCCACCTCCCTGACCCTCCGATTCTCGGACTCGTACCCGGACGTGCCGCCCGAGGTCCTCGGCACCCACAGCGCCGGCGAGAACGCCCCCCGCGGTGCTGGCGCCCGCGATCTCGCCGTCTTCCGCGACGCCGTCGCCAACGTCTACCAGCCCGGCGCCGTGTGCCTCTTCGACGCCGTCGAGGAGTTCTCGAGGCTTCTGGAGGAGCACGTGGGAGCAGAGCCGTCGCCGCCGGCGGAGAAGGACGAGGGCAAGGAGGAGTACGGGACAGGGCCCGCGCCCCCCTCGCCCCTCGCCGAGGAGCCCCCGTGGGTCGTCTCGGACCCGTTCGTGGAGCTCAAGTCGGTGTTCCTCGCCCGCGCCGCGCCCGTCACCTCGCCCGCGCAGGCCGCCGGCTACGTCCAGCACCTCCTCGCCACGGACAAGAAGGCCCGCGTCGCCACGCACAACATGACGGCGTGGCGCGTCCGGGGGCCCAACGGGACCAGCTTCCAGGACTGCGACGACGACGGCGAGACGGCCGCCGGGAGCCGTCTGCTGCACCTGATGCAGCTCATGGACCTGTGGGACGTCATGGTGGTGGTGTCCCGCTGGTACGGCGGCCAGAAGCTGGGCCCGCGCCGCTTCGCCCTGATCAACAGCGCCGCGCGGGACGCCTTCGTCAAGGCCGGCTGGGTGGAGGAGGCCGGGCAGGGCAAGAAGAAGGGGCATGGTAGATGAGGAGGCCCACGCAACCGTCCGGGCCGCAGTTGCGAATGCTGTCCCCCCCCGCCCCCCTTCTTCTCCTGTTCGGCATACACCGGATCCGATAGCAGGAGCCGACCATGATGTTGGACGTGGACAACAGTTTTCCGGTTCACACATAAGCCCAAAACTTGGCTCGTCACAAAAAGAAAAGAAAAGAAGAGCCCGTTTTGCTCGAAATCGGGATCACCAGATACGATACTGCATCGGGCCATGGTGTGGAGATCGATCATTACGAGTTGAGCCGTGGGTCGGATTCGACCATTCTTCCCAAGACATACAAAAGTTGGTATCTAACATCAGAGAGCCGTCACCCGGAACGCCGGCATGCCCGAGAAAATTCCAAGAAAAAACACAATTGCCGACCGCCTAGACCAGTTCACGCTGGCACAATCGTCCCTTCATCCAACTTGGTTAATGCTACACACGTGGATAGCTCGTGACCACCACCACCACCCCCCTCCCAGGGCGGCCTTTCTCCGCGGGTGCGCCTCATCAGCGATGCAGTTTTCTGTCATGGTGGTGTATGCACATGGCCTCAGGCCTTGAACAGCTTGGGCGTGAGGATCTCGAGGGCGCGAATCGACTGTTCGCAGGAAAGGATGACGGCGCCGGCTCTGGCGGTGGAGAGATAGGAAAGGCCTGCGCTGTCCCCGGTACGCATGTCCTGCACCAGGGTGCCGGCCACGCCACAAACGATACCGGTGGCCTCGAGCGGGAGGCTTTCGAGATCCAAAAAGATTGGGGTGAGGTTCGTCTTGGTATCGCCCACGAGAGACTCGCCGAAGAGGCCGAGCAGCGACTTGTCCACCAACAGCGACGGGGGGTCGTCCTGGGCCAAGGTGATGGAGATGAAGCGGGGTCGCGCCGCCAAGGCGGAGATCATGGCGGTGTACAGCTTGGTGTCGATGTTGTCCAGCCAAGTCTGGCGGTGGCTGTTGCCCGTGACCTGGCGGCTCAGAGAGGGCCGCTGGGTGTGGGACAGCTCGCCTCCAAGCTGGGAGGTCTCCCGCCCGGAGCACTGCACCAGCAGCAAGTCAGCCTCGACATAGGGCGAGACGCTCCTCTTCTTGAGCAGGTCGAAGGTGCGGACTTGGAGCTCGGCGATCGTCGAGGGCGGGGGCGTCAGCGGGGGCGCGCTGTTTTGACTGGAGCCGCGGGAGTGAATCGAGGCAGCGGGGCTGACAAAGTTGGAATCGTTGTCGGCCAGCTCGAAACCGCGGGCCAACAGGGCCTTGACCACGGTTTGCCTGTCCTTGCTAGGCACGAGGATGAAGTCGGAGTAGTAGGTGGTGATGAAGAAGATGGGAATGCCGGCCAAGGCCAGCGGAGAGGTCAACTCCATGACACGCCCCGCAGCGTCCATGCCGGCGCTGATGACGGAGAGGACGAGGTAGGTGTCTTTAGATATGGACACGGACTTGGCGAGGTCTTTCGGAAGGTCCTTGATGGCGGGCTCGAAGACGTTCTTGGCCCACGAGCTGTGGCAGACGATGGAGCACTCCATGGGGGTGACGCTGATGTTGAGGAAGCCATGCTGGCCCTCGGTGTTCAGCCCTTCAAGCTCATGTTCCGGCTCACCCTTTGACGCCTTGAGGGTCTGGGTCTGCGGGAGAAGGACTCGGAGGATGGGCTGCAGCAGTGACGAGTAGAGGTCGAGCGGAATGTGGATGAGGGTGTAGTTACCGTCCTGTGGGCAGCGTTGTGTCAGCGAGGGTCTTGCAAGGTAGCAAGCGAGACAATGGCGTCATTTAGCTTCGAGGAGGTGCGACTCGACAACACGGCACCGCAATAGCCCCGCATTTTCGAGTGACTCTTGTGAGAGACACAAACGAACGCATCCCCCCGTTCTTTTTCCTCCTCCCGCACGCGTGCAACCGGAAGACATGAGAGACATGGGGCGTGGTGCCAAACTTACGAGGAACGAGACCTGGGCGTTCATTGTGGCACGCAGACTCCTGGCAGTTGAAGGCCAGAAGAGTGCGGTTCTACGCCTGTTGCTCCTATCTTGTAGAAGAATCCGATCTCGATGCGCAGGGAAGAAAGCACAGGCGCGTTGTTGAAGGTATGCGTCGGAGTGATATCGGAGATCGGAGGGGGGTTGTGCTACCTGTCGTCTGTGCCGGGTGCCGGCCTCGGTCTCAAGACCCCACGAGACTATGCGTTTGGTTGGTTATTTATGGTTGTGGTTATGGTTGACGGTACGTTTTTCTTCTTTTCTTTGTGCCTAACAACCGAGACCCGATTTATTTTCTTCGTGTAGAAGAAGTCGGGGTTTAAGCTTTGGATAAACGTGGCTGATGGGGAATTGACTAGTTGGTTCGTGTTATCTCCCTCGGTCTGTTGTCTCTGCGTCGTACAGCTTCCTTAGATCCGATATAGTTTGCAGGGTGGAACCTTGCGAAAGTTGGATGGACAAAACCAGATATACGAGGACAACTCGGGTATGGATGGTATCGCAACAGAGACAGTAGTAGGTAGAACGGGGAGAGGAATAAGAAAACCAGAAAGAGACAAGAAGGGTGGGATGAGGGGAGGGTTAAAAGAAGGCGGACTGGAAGGGGGGTGGTGTGTGGGAGGGGAGGTGACGGCAGAGTGAAAGGGAAAAGAGGAATTAGATTCGATATGGGAGGGACCCTTGAAGACGGGCTAAGGTGGGCAAGGCAAGGCAGGGCGAGGCAGATAGGCGTGCAGTGAAAAACGATAACACCTAGATTGGGATTCAACTCATACACACGTACACGGAGAGGAGATATGCAGATGGTGGTGGTGGTGGTGGTGGTGCTTCCCGCGACGACGGCGGCCGTCTCGAGGCACACTGGAGCACAACCGTGCGTCGAGTTGCCGGGGGCGGGCCAGGCCAGGCCAGGCCAGGCCAGGGAAGTTGAAGAAGACCAGCGCGCTACGGGTCTGAGAATACGAAATAGAAAAACGTGGTTTTACCTGGCTCCCTAGCCTGCGATAATGCAGCCGGTGGTTGCAGATAGGGTGATTGCCGCTGCTTCTCCATAATGTCACAGTAGCGTTGGTCCGGAGCGGGTAGGTAGAGACAGCCAGCCAGCCAGCCAGCCAGCGAGAAAGAGAAAAAGAGAAAGCGAGAGAGAGGGCTTGTGGGCCCCCCTCTTTTGCGTCAACGCTTTTCGCCGAGATTCACCTTGCCCCCCTGCCCTACCGTCCCCATTCTGATTCTGCTTAGTGATTGTGTTTCCTCATGTGCGTGCACTATCTGCCGTCTCGAGAGGTGTTGGCATCCCGTGCGTGATCGATCGACGGTTCCGCGACGATGCACAGAGGGATTGTTTGTGGAGACGGCGGGCGACCGAGGAAGGGGAGGACGCAGCAGGTTTTGTCTCGCTTCGGTCAATATGCCACTGGCCCGAACTGGCCTCGAAGTGACGATGCCCCGCGTGGGGTTACAATTTGCAAAGAAGAAAGAAGCTTTGCCTTGTTTTGCTTAGGATAAGGGGGAGGCGGGTAATAGTCAGTCTCGCAACGGATAGCGTGCGGCGAGCTGGAATGGCTTGTCTCGATGACGCCGGTGATTCCTCTCGCCGGCGGATGACCATCGCCATACTATAGTGAGAAGTACAGCTTTTACATACAACAACATGGTTGGGTCTTCAGGGGACAAGGTGTGGGCGCAGCTAGGCAGCATGACATGGCGGGGTTGAACAGGGGGGGGCTGGTTACGAGGACGAGGTATTATGTGGGTGGTGTCATAGTATGCGTGCGCGTGCGTGTTGAGTGTGTGTTGTGTGTGCGCCTTTCCGTGACCCATGATTGCATTTCTGGTGGTCAGCGCGGCCGGGACGCCGAGTAAGATCGAGACAGCCAGGCACACAACGGGACACAGGATGCGAACGATGAGCCTCTGGGGGGCGGTTTCACTGGGCATCGTCTGGGCCCGTGTCTTTGTTATCTGGTGCTTGTCGGGTGTTGCGTCTGGATCTGGACCCTGCGAGAAATCAAATCCCGTCCTTGACTACACAGCACTCCGCTACTTTGCCGCTAGACACCTTCGGCCGTGAGGACGTCGGAATCAGCGCAGCGGGCGCAACGGGCGCTCTCGAGTCAGGGAACTGGGGGTCCCTCTCTGTCTATCCATCCAGTATGATTTGTGGTCCACGGTTCCGGTCTAAGTGCGAGAGTTTGAGCCGCTCTCTGGGTCCACTATCCAAATTTGATCATTGGACTCTCAAACTTCAAGCTCGGTTCATCAACATCATTCGCAAACATGGCCTCATGTTGCGCCTTCTTTTCCACGGCCACCGCGTCAAACGGGTATCGACGATGTTACGACGGAGACGCCGTGCTGGTCCGAATCCCGTCATCCTGACGCCTGGACTGGGCTGATCGGACTAAGTGACCACCCCGTTGCTATGTCTTCCAAGGCTGGCGTCGGGCAGGCAGGCAAGCAAGCAAGCAAGCAAGCGGCTTGCTTAAACGAGCCCTCTCCCACCCCGGAACCGAAAAGGGCCACATACATAGACATCTGATAAAAGTACCGCGCCAGGATGGTCAAGGGAAACCGAAAGGGAAATGGGACCGTGGCATGGGGAGGACCATACCGGTACACAAGGTAAAAGGGTCCAGTGAGCCGTTTCTGGCGGCGTGCAGGACACTAGTGGGGCATGGAACGTGGGGGTTCTTGGAATTGGTGACTTGGAGATTATCCGTACACTACACAGAAAGAAAAAGGCACACAGCTCCCCTCGTTCACTGGTCTACAGATGCAGCTAGTAGTAGGTTGAGGCGTGACGGGAAGTGTCATCTTTCACACACCAAGGTACCTTTCCAAGACGGTCCATCTCATGGTCGCACAAGTAGGTACACGATGTCATCTTAGCTAGGTAGGTAGCTAGGTAAGCAGTGTAGGTACCTTGCCTACCAATCTACCTATGGAAAAACCTGTCTGTATCCGGCAAACTTACTACCCGTAGGTAGGTAGGTAGGTAGTCCGGGGGGTGGTAGTGTACATCGATTGGCTCAAGTGATTCCGCACAGGCGCTGTCAGCTCGGTTCCTGCCAACTCCATCCCCAACGAACCATCATCATGTACGACCGTAGGTACCTGGCAGAAGGTGCAGCGGCAAGCACTCCGCCCCCTCCTTCACCTCAAACATCACCACTCACCATGCTCACCTCACCTCACCTCACCTTACCTCACCCCATCTTATCTCACCATGCCGCCGTCATCTCTCACTTCTCACTTCTCACCCCCCATTGCAAATGGGGAAACAACAGTGACGGCTATCTGCCGTCGCACCCATATGGATGCGTCGCCTGGTCCAGCATCCCGGCTGGCCTCGGCATCATCGCTTTCACTCGTTCAAAGGCGTCAGCGGCGTCTCGTGCCGCGGGGGCGACGAGAAGCCCATTGTTGGCCGTCTGCCTTCTCGGTTGGAAGAAAGAAGGCTTGGGGCTCACGAGATGATCTCTGCCCGGAACGCCCTCGACGACGGGGACTGACCATGTCATCTTGCTGATATATGGTCATCGCTCACTTGCTCACCAACGCCCCCCTCACTCCAATCACCCCCCGACATTTCCAACATTCCTTCAAACTAGCTTCGCTCTGCACTGCCGAAAACTCTAGACCTGGCCATCGCGGCTCTATGAACCCTTCCCCCCCGCGTCGGATGGTATTGCGTCAGATCAAAGACTCGGTCATGTCTTTCCTCTCCTCCCTAGACGCCGTGGCCCGCCGATCGCAGCGGTTCCTGAACCTCGTCCGAATCCAATCCCGTCCTAGGTCATGTACCTTCCTACTGGCTCAGTCGGCTGTCAGTTTGCTCCAAAAATCGGCCCTCATGCAATAGCTGTTGGGAATAAGGACATGGGTTTTCTACCTAGTGGAATCCCTATAGTGCCCTGCTGGGTCTGCCACCTACCGGTACTACCTACTACTGCAAGATGCCGTGGCAGCTGCTACGTCGTCCGGCTTTCCCATTATCGACAAACCGGCCAGCGGGCAGTGGGTGAGCTGGGTCGACACGGCATTTTCAATTCGCTGGCGCTATATCCCCAAGGAGACGATGGCAGCACAGGCGGGAACCCCGCTTAACTCATAACGACAACCACCACCCGTCCCCCCACTTGTTGCCATTCTCCTCCCGCAGCGCGGTGCTCCAACTGGCCCAGAAGAACCCCCATCCCAGAGCTGGATCCTGGGATCCGATCCCTTCAGCAACCACGCCCAATGCTACCTTCTGGCATCCTCCACGCGAATACCCTCCTCGGATTACCGCTGCTAAGCGTCCTGCCACCCCCTCCCCCAATCGAGTGCGCCGATAGACCTAGGCGGCCGGAAACCTGACTCGTCGAAAAGCGCGAGTTCGGTCACGGCAACCAGCGAGAGACCACGACTCCCGAGGAAGCCGCCTTGTGACACAACCTTGCGGTCCCGGAGGACGAGATGTCTATCTCGACCACCCGGCTCGCCCCAAATACTCGGTTCTGGCTTACGTGCAGGTGAAGGGCCAGGGGGGGTTTGGCAGGCACGCGCGCATTGGCATCGTCACCACGCGCTCTTATGACAGCATTGCACATTTCCCCCTTTTGGGAGTGACGGACACATGTCACGACATTGACGAATTAGACATGGTTCTTATGTGACCAGACGTCGCAGATGATCCGCGAAAGGAAGATGACACACCTTTGGGCTGAGCATCCGGAGGCGTTTGGATCAACACCAAGCTGGTGCTCAATTGCCCCATCCTGCTTCGTCTGCATCGCCGACGTGGGATGTTCGCTTCTCGAGGGTAAGATGTTACAAAGATTGCTGACAGTGACTTTGGAAACGAAGACCGAGCCGCCTCCACTCGACTGGAGACGTATAGTGCCGTGATCCATTGTACGGCCGGAGCTTCGCCGAGATCTCGACCATCGAGTTTCAGGCATTGAGTCTCCCCCCCCCCCGGTCCCTCTTTCTTTCTCTCTTGGGCATTGTGAGAAAACTTTTTTTTTTCATGTCTTTGCATCCCGCTCGGCCAATTCTCCCATGTCACCCTCCCTGCCCATTCGCCCGTGCTCCCTTCTCGACTTATCTTTGCGGATCAGATCGTACCGTTCTCAAAGAAAAAAAGATCCACAGATAGGGGACCCTGAACCTTGGCGTTATCTCGCGCTATGATTGTCCATATATGGCTCAGCGGCTAGCTTCAACCCCTTTGGAGAGCAGGGGAAAACATTGGAAAATTTTCAACGCGTTGGGCGCCGCATGCTGATTTGCTCTGAACCGCCAGCGCTGCCCCATCAAGGGTTTTGGGGTTCGATACCCCGCCGTCGGGAATCCCTGCGTGGGATGATGCGACGGAAGATAGACGTAGAGGGGCTGGTGCCTCGGTGCGCTCTCTCGTGGCGCTCCAGTCCGTCTTTGCGTGTCCAATATGCAGGTGGAAGAGACACGGAGAACATTTGGCCTATCGCGACCCCCAAATCGCTGCATGACATGACATCAATGCCTTGTTGTTGTCGTTGTTGTTGTTTGGGGGGTCGGGGGGCAAGTGAATCCCGCGGGTTGTCCGCTTGCCGCAGTAACCGACGTACGTTGTCTTGTTTGTACCCTTGCGCGAATGCGGGCCTAGGAACTTGGTTTCACCGAAGAACACGGCGCCGCTGCAGATACAGGAACCATGGGCATGCGTATACGGCCATGCCGTTTTCCTGCCGAGTCGGATGGTCGGTTTCGACGACGGCTACTCATGCAACTGCATGCAGAACTCAGGACGGGCCCGGCCGTCTGCCAGCATCCGTGACATGTGCCCTGTTCGGGCCCCTCCATACCCCGCTGTTGTTTCTGCGAGTTTGCCGCCTGTAGCAAGGTAGGTAGCTTGGAACACAGACGGGCCGAGACACTTGGACGGTGGAACGGCGTGCGACGCCGCGCAAGACTCGAGTCAGGGTGAGAAGGAAGGAGACGCATGCCGGGCTGCAGAAGGCATGCCCGTGTCTCCACGGCGGCTCTCTACTTCTTGATGCCCACAACCACCATGTTCCTTGGGCTCTCCTTGTAGTCGAAGACGGTCTCCACCCAGCAGTCCCGGACGACGTCGGCGTGTTCCCGGAGGAACAACCAGCGGTCCGTGACGATGAGAGACTCGACCACGGTCGCGCTGAAGGCCATCAGGCTCCACACGGCGGCGACCTCCTTCTTGCGGCACATGTACGCCTGCTCGTACGCGGCGATCTCCTCGTCGGACATGTCCGCCATCTTCTCGCGGATGACGTCGCTGTACTGGCTGTACTCACGGTTCGTCGTCAGCTTCGCAACGGCGCCGCGGACGTAGTCTTTGAGCGACTTGTAGCATGCCTTGCGCAGCGAGCCGATGATTACCGGGTTCGTGCTCGTATTGAAGGGGGTCTCCTCGGGGGCGCCGCCCGCCTCGCTTCCGTTGGCGGCAGCGGCGGCGTCCGGGTCGCGGTGGTAGACCTTGTTGATCACGCCGCGGTCGAGGAAGATCTTTTGCAAGACCGCGCGGAACAGGTGCCGCGTGAAGAAGTCGTCGCTCTCGGCCTGCGTCCAGTTCTGCGGCGCCTGGCAGGCCATCATGCGCGCCGTAATGTTCATACGCACGCCCTGCCCCTTGTAGCTTGACAGCGTCTCGCTGAGCGGGAAGCCTTCCGGGTCGCGCCGCTCAGACTCGCGGACGACGCGGCCGTTGAGGGCTTGCAGGCTGGGCCGAGCATATGTGTACTTGTAGGTCGGCGGGCCAAGCTTCTCCGTCAGGAGGTTGTAGCAGCAGCCGACGATGGCGACGGCGTGGATGGCCGGATTCATTACGAGCGAGCGGATGCCGTAGTGCGAGAGGTTGCCGCACGAGTGGATCGACACGGCCATCATCTTGAGCTCCTTGTCCTCCTCCTCCGGGAGCACCTCCTTCTCGATGCGCCCGATGACCTCCGTCAGGTCACCGCTCTCCAGCCGGCCGACGACGTAGGAAACGGAGCCCTTTCCCAGCGCACGATTGTACTGAGGCTCAAGCTCCTTGATGGGGCGAAAGTCAAAATCCTCGACGGCGTCGCCCGAAGGCTTGCTGAGTGCGTTCTTGACGGCTTCCGTGCCGAGCCGGTCGGCCTGCATCTGCAGCCAGAGCTTCTTGTTTCTCATGACGACCTCCTTGCCCGCGAGGCCGGAGAGGACGTCAAGGCCCTTTGCGCCGTCAATGTTGTGCTCGCGGCCCTCGACGGCGACAACGTGGCGGTTGTACGGCGGCAGGGCGAGGGTGCGGCCGAGGTAGTTCTGGCCGCTGCCGAAGTCTACAAAGTGCGTCGTCTCTTTGCCCCAGCGAGACGAGATGGCGCCGGCCAGCGAGTCGACATATCGTGCAAAGTGGGAGACCTCGTGCACCTTCTTGGGATTCATGCCGACGGCGACGGAGCGCGAGAGCTTCGGGGGCGGCTTTGTCTGAGCCTGCGAAGAGGGCGAGAAGTTTCTGCGCAGGGAGAGGCGGCGCACGTTCCGGATGTATTCAAGAAAGCTTGCAGGCGGCGCCGGGTCCATCGAGTCCAGCGGAAGGGCGTCGAGGTCGTCCCGCATGAGCAGCTCGAGGAGGGCCATGGTGTCGTAGGACAACAGAAAAGGCTGCCATTCCTGAGGAAGAATCTGGGCAAAGAGGCCCGATTCGTTTGTAAAGAAGTCGAGGACGTGGACGCCGCCGCAGAGAATCTGGAACAGGTCCGTGGTGGTCACGAACTCGAGGAGCGCCGCGACGTATGCGTCCGGCGAGGCGAACTCGTCGGAGCACGGGAGGGGCTTTTCTGGTATCATTTTTCTTCCCCAACTTTGGGTTTCTTTGGGTGTATCCCTTGCTTGGTCTTGCACGGTGGTTCCCAGGTGCTTACAGACCGATTTTCTCACCCGAGAGTCGACAATAAACCTCAGTGGGCAACCGGGTAAGAAATTCTGTTTGACCGTGAGTGGAAGAGTGAGTGAGTGAATGTGGAGTTGTGACTCGAGTGAAAATCCCACTTACATAAAAAAAAGGGACCGATGGAGGGGGTTTTTCTCGGTGAAGGAGGGGCACACCTGAGTCTCTGACAGGGGGCTTCGGTGAGCACTCAAGGTGAGACCTGGTGGCCTGGAGCCACGAGCATATGCCGAGGAAACTCCGGTTGCCCTGCCCCCCTCCCCCCCCCCCCCCTTGGGTACATCCTTCGAAAGTACGTACTGACTAGTAGCATTCCGTAGTGGACCTGCACCAAGGCGGGTGGACGGGAGGTAGCCTCTAGTGACAGCTTACAGCACGGCCGGGACGCACAAACGTCATCCCAGCCAGCCGCGTTAACCCAAAAGGTATATCGACGACAGCTCACCAATCCCGCACCCGAATCTCGAAGTCCCCAATCTTCAGGCACCTGCTGCGCAACCGCTCAAAGGCATCGAAGCCCGCGCTGCTGCCGCAAACAAATGCGTCCACGGGTGCGCCTTTCCGTACCCCCGTCGCCAGGATGATGTCCTCTGCCAACGAGGAGGATCCCTTCCTCCAGGTCCAACAGTATGCACCCCTTCCTCCCCCTTCAGTAGCCTCCACGAAAGAGAGGATATCCTGAAAAGAAATGTGACATTGACGACGACCGCGACAGAGATGTCCTAGCCCAGCTGGACTCGACCCGGCCCCTCTTCACCTCGTACCTCCGCATCCGTTCCCTCTCCACGTCCCCGACGTCCCCCGAACTCGCATCCGCCCGTTCCGACCTCGAATCTGCTCTCGAGTCCCTGGCCGAGGACCTCGCTGACCTCGTCGAGTCGGTCAAGGCCGTCGAGTCAGACCCCTCCGCCTTTGGCCTCTCCGCCCAGGAGATCACCCGGCGCAAGCGGCTCGTCCAGGATGTCGGCGGCGAGGTCGAGGACATGCGCGAGGAGCTCGCCAAGAAGCTCGGCGACGTCTCCTCATCGTCGAGGGGCAAGCATGGCGCGGCGCGCGGCGCCAACTCGGACCTCCCCGACCCGAGCTCCTTCTCGATCGCCGACGGCGACGACGACCACGACCGCGGCGGCGAGGACTACGCGGCCGAGTTCGAGCAGCAACAGCAGCTCGAGATGATGCGCGAGCAGGACACCCACCTCGACGGCGTGTTTCAGACGGTAGGCAACCTGCGCCGGCAGGCCGACGACATGGGCCGCGAACTCGAGGAGCAGCGTGAGATGCTCGAGGTCGTCGACAGCGTCGCCGACCGCGTCGGCGGCCGCCTGCAGACGGGCGTGCAGAAGCTGCAGTACGTCATGCGCCGCAACGAGGATCGCCTGAGCAGCTGTTGCATCGCTGTGCTTATATTCGTTCTTATCGTGCTGCTAGTGCTGTTGTTGATGCTGTAAGGCTTGGGCCTATGGAATGGCCGAACCATAGAAGGGGGGGAGGGAAGGGAGAAAGGGGCGTAGCCAATGTGAACCGTAAAGGAATGGGGTTTGGGAGTTTTATGGAGCGTCTGGTAAACAAATGATTTTCTCCCTCCCCGGTACAGTGTTAACTGCTTGGGAGTTTTTTGTTTAGGGTATGGTAGATCGTACATCCAACTAACGACACGCGATTCTAAATGTTCTTGAGGAATATCGTCTCCCCCTACAATAGACCCTGGCCCGTGTGTGAACCGAACCAGACCCGGGCCTCTCGCCCTTGAAAGTTCAATCCTTGCCGTTCTTTTGTGTATATGTGCCCATGTTTGGTTCTCCAGAAACGCCAGATGTGTGTGCCCGCCATTCCGATAGCACAAGCCAGCTCTCCTCCGGTTTTGTATATCGATATGTTTTTCTTCCTTCTCTAACTGATTCCATGGCCTCTATGCTACCTCTAGCCCGGAGTCTCGCCTCAGAACGTCGGCTAGGACCTGCAGCGCCTGAGCTGCGGTAGCGCCCGGCGGGGCCTTCTTAGGAAACTCGACCAGGGCCATGCGCAGGGCAGCGATAGCTGCATTGCCGTAAAAGTTGATGAAACGCTGCTCGTGGCCGTCTATCATCGACTTGAGCACAATGTATTGGGTGTTGGAGACCAGCTGCGGCGGCGAGTTGACAATCTGCGCCATAGCCTTCCAGTAGTTGGTGGGAGGGTAGGGGTTCGTCTTGGACGCCTTGCTAAAGTCCCGCAGCGCAATGGCCGCAAAACCGGCGCCGAGACCCGTCATTCTATCGTTGTGTGCCTGCTCGGGAACCCAGTTGCCGTCCTCCTTCTTCCAGCCGATGGCCTTGCGTCCGTTTTCCGTCTTATCGCTCCCCCTAGACCCGAACAAAACGGGGCAAGCCACGCGGAACTTGGCGATGAGAATGTCGATCATAGAGGCGCCACGCCACTGGTAGTCCTTGTTGGAGAAGATCTGGGCCGTCACGATACCGACTGGCTCCGCAGACCTGGGATTCGCGCCGCCCTCATTGGCAAATTGCTGAATGATTGCTTTCGCGAGGATGTTGAGGAGGTAAATAAACAGGGCTGGCAGCTGCGGTCCGTTGTTAACGGCACCTTCGACTGGCTCCCTGTTATGTTGGACGTAGATGTTTGCATCGACAAGAGGGGAGGGTACTCTGCCATCAAGAGACTCGCGCAGAGCACTGTTGATGGTGTTGATCTAGCGATACCGTTAACGTCTTCACAGCAAATTGTTCAGCAAATGGCTTACAGGAGTAACGTTTGCACCCTTGCCAGCTGTCAGTTGGCCGATGGACTTCCTAATCTGCCTGCGCATGTCTCCCAACCTGCCCTTCAACGGAGACCCAGGCTGCTTGGACAGAGCTTCGACATCTTTTCTCAATTTCTTGAGAGATTGGTGTATCTCGATGTATCGATCGGCCGTCAGTTGAGCAGCGGGCGCCGGCGCGACTGACTGAGCGACAGTTTTGGGCCGCGCAGGCTCTGCAGGTTTCGTCAAGAACCCATTGGATTGGGCCTCTGGTACAGACGGTGCCTTTGCAGGTGGCGGCGAGGGTGCCGAAGGGGGCGCCTTTGCGGCCTGAAGGGCTGGCGCCGGTGTACTTGTCAAAGAAGCCTGTTGCGATTTGGAGGCTACCGGCGCAGCAGCCTCGGTCTTGGCTGCCCCTTTTTCGGTCGTGCTAATGACCTGAGGTTCTTGTGATTTCTTCGGCTCCGGCTTGGGCGGCTCGGGTTTGGGCTCGGGTGGCAGCTGAGGGATCTGCTTCGCTTTGAGTTCCCTCAGTCTTTCCTGCTCGGCGCGCACTGCTGCCTCGGCCTTGAGCCGTTCTTCTTCCTCGCGCTGTAGCTGCGCTATCCTCCTTTTCTCGGCTTCCAGCCTTTGCTTTTCTTCCTGCAATTGATGCACCTCATAGACTCTCAATGCAGCAAGTCGGACGCGCTCGTGCTCGAGCTGGGCCGCAGCAAGGGCATCGCGATGGCTTAACTCCGAGTTACGGTTCTCGGAGAGGAAGTCTGCGACGTAGGCTCGTTCGGGACTTGATTTGATCTGGCCATTCTGTTGGCTCCTCCGCGAGGGAGACGAGTGCGGCATGGTCGGTCGCACGCACACAGGTAGCTGTGAGTCGGGACGGCGATGGTGGTGTTAGGAGTGGTGACCGGGCCCTACGGCATCGGGCAGTGGGGTCCAGAGCGGAACGCGAAATTGAACCGGCTACCGAAGGGGCCAAATGAATAGTGTAACGAGTGACGTCTGGGGCGTCAGGTTCGGGAGACAAGGCTCGGGTAATGACTGGAGTCCAGACGAGGCTGAGGCTTCTCACCCCTTGGACCGTTTGGGTTGGGTGTGTGTGTGTGTGTGAGTGTGTGTGTGTGTGTGTGTGTGTGTGTGTGCGTATGTGTGCGTGCCGTCAACTGACTGTCAAGTTCGGGTTGGGCGCGGGTTGGTGTGGAGCAATGAAAAATAATAATAGTACGATGTATCAGGCGCGCTTCGATGTGGGATAACGTTACGGAGTACCGTTCGCGGCGAGCTGGGTAATGAATTGGGAGAGTTTTCTTTGGAAACGATGACCCCTGCAGCACTGCTACCCTGGTTTGGGCCCGTGTTGCTACTGCCTTTTGCTTGTGCTGCTTGTTGCTCACAGCTCCAAATGGCTCCATGGGGCGGAAAGGCCAGAGACGCACCAGACACAGAGCCAAACCGAAAAGAGAGGATGGGGGACGTCGCTGTGGTTGCAGCATAGGTGGATATAACCGAAGACGATTGGGCGAATGGCCACGCAGGACGTCGGCCGTTTTTAGACTAGCGTCTCCGCTGGTTGGTCGGACCGCGCGTGGATCCGGCCCCGCCAAAGTTTACTGCCGGGCGGTCAAGGGCGATGGTCGTGTGGGCTCCTGACTGATTACGCAGTAAGGAGTGTGGAAGTGGGGTCGGGGGCCGGCCCAAGTTTCCAACTGAGGAACCGACTGAAGTTTGAACCTAGCCTGCCACGTCTGTCTCGCCTTTACTTTCCTCTTCTTGCCTTCTTGCTCTTCTTCTTCTTCTTGAGTTTAGGCTCTGACATGCGAACCAGACACATTAATACAATAATAGACCGGATGAAGTGTCTGGGAGTTGGGCATGACGGCGAAAATCTTCAAAGCCTTGGACCAGGAGAGATTGAGTGTGGTGGCTTCGAGGAGTGAGTACGAGTACGTACATACCGTCAGGGAGGTGCGTAGTGGACTCCACCGATGCACTGATGCACGGGCCCGTCAATCACAACTACGGATAACTGCGTGCTAGAGCTTCGGGGAGCGTACTGTACCACACTGCACAGCAACGAGCTTTGCAAGCCTGCATGGTACATCGTACATCGTACATGCTGCGCAGTCCATACGTATTCGTACAGGAGTGTCTAGGGCTTTGTCAACGTCCAGCGGGATGGTATCCATCTGGAAACACTGGTGTATCCTAGTGTAGTGCATCTGGCCTCCGCTTGACATGAACCCTGCATCTGGCACAAATCCTCTCAATTCCAACGGACCTAGCAAGTAGCCGCTCGCCATCGCTGTCGATCCCGTGGGCAGAGGGTGAGGAGCCCAGCTGGTATCGGGTGACTGAACTTGGCAGACGTTCCAAGTCTTCCCCTCGGCATATTCCTGTCATCTACGTAAGGTGTCTGGGACGAATGGGTTGGCTTGTGTGAGCTAACCGGTAGGGAAAGGCTAGGGTCGTACGCTACGGCAAGGCACTGATCAGCCAAGTATCCAAGTCTGCCAACCTACCTAGCACCGCGTTACCTTTTCTCGAACCCGGGAGCCCTGACCTGGTTCTACATATTAGTATGTCTCTGGCGAGCTGCGTGGGTTCTCCCCCACTATTGTACAACTTGTACGGAGACCTCTGACTGAGTCTTGACCTCAACCCTAAGTTGGGCTCAGGCTGGTCCATGAGGGGGGCGACAGGTAATCGCCTCCTTGCTTGCCCTAGTATGCTTCCCGTAGAGTGCCTTGCCTTTGGGGGTGTCGCTACGATGTACCTAGCTAGCTTGGGGGTGTCGGTCGGCCTGCATCGTTCTGGTCCGGTCGGCCTAGGATATCAGGGAGGCTAATGACCGACTGTTCTGTCCCAGGTCGGCCTGACGTAAGCCGGTTAATTGATCGTCCTTTTGCGTATCTGTACCTAGGTAAGAAACAAGTGCTTTTGCATGAGAAACGGGTGTGCTCAGGTCCTCACCGTAGCTGGGTAGTATCCGTGATACCCCCCAGCATCAATCACTACGTGTCGCCGTACCTGCCTACCTACCTATGTACCTCCGTACGAGACTTTGCTCTCCCTACAGGCCCCTGTGCCATTGCTACACACGTCTTTGCTCACTAGCGCAATAGGTACTCCGTACCTCGCCTTACACAAAGACCCCAGTTCCAGTTCCAGCCCCAACAGCGTGTCCCCCGTACTCGGTGCGTCCCTCCCCCCCCCATTGATTGCTGAGGTGCTGCTGTGCTGTCCCTGCTCCTCCTCTTCATCCTTCCACTCGCTCGCTCCTCTCCTCTCCCCTCCCCACTCCACCACCCCCCGACTCGCCTTTCGCAGCACCCCCGTCACTTTCTCCCCGAGAGGACATTCCCATCCTGCCTCGTCTTCTCTTCACGTCGTGTCTGCCTCATCCGTTTTTTTCCCACCTCAACCATCACTTCGCACACTCATTGCGAGCTCCTTTCCCTTTCACCTCGCTCGTCTAGCCGACAAACCACAATCCTCTCTCCCTCCCCTATCACATCCGAATCCAATCCCTCTTCGATCAATCAGACACCCAAAACATCTACCTTCCTTGAAATCAGCTACGTCCACAAAATCAAAAAGACCAATAGCCAAAACTACATCCCAGTTCTCCACTGTCATTAGTCCGTAACGGCATACGTCAATACGTGCCACATCATCCCACAAAGCCTATCGACGCCTACGCCGAACCACCTGCTATCCGACGCGGCCAATCCTGCCTATCCCTCCTCCATCAACAGCCGAAGCACTTGACGTGCAATACAATCAAAAAGGAGCCAATTCTTCATCTGCTTGACTGCCCGCCATGGAGCAGCAGCAGCAACAACAGCCGCAGCAGCCGCAGCAATCGCAGCAGCCTGCGAGCGGCGTCCCAGGCCCAACCGGCCGCCGGCTTCACATTGCTCACAGGAGAAGCCCCTCCGAGCTGACTCCGTTGATGAGCATGTTTGCCAACCCGGGCAGTAAGTCAATTCCAGAACACACATACCCTTTCCCGCACTTCCCGCCCTTTCTTGAGCTCCCTTCTGCTGCCTGCTGCCCCTCGCTGCTTCTTACATCATTCTCCAAGACCGATAAGGATGCTAATTAGGTGTCCTTGCCGCAGTGGAACAGCTAGCTATCCAGCAGCAAATTGAGTTGTTGCAGCAACAGCAGCAACAGATCCAAGCTACTCAGCAACAATACATGAACATGGGAATGATGCCCCCTACGCAACAGCTCGGCCCAGGTGGTGCCTTCAATCCCCTGCAGTCGGGCATGGCGCCACAGGGCGCCTTCCAGTTCCCCCAACAGCTTCCGCAGCAAAACGTCTCCATGGGAGGTCCTCCTACCCAGCCAATGTCACATCGCCGTAATCAGTCGGCTCTTCCCAACATGGGACTGGGCCCGCCTCCCGCTCCCTCTTCGGGCGCTTCCGGCCAGTCCTTCACCAACGATGCCGCCGGCGCTGCTCCCGGCAGGGAAAACGCCGGTGGTCGTGGTGGTCGCGGCGGTGGTGCCGGAGGTGGCCACCAGCGACGCCACTCGTTGGCGCTTGCTGATGCGAAGAAGGCGGCAGAAATTGCACAGCAGAAGCGCACAACATCGGGCTTCCAATTTCCCATGTCAGGCCCCTCCAACGAGGCCGGTGCTGATGGTGGCACCTCCGCCCCCGCCCCCGCTCCAGCCCCAGCTCAAACCGAGGCACCGATTGCTCAGGGTACCAGCGCTGGTCGTGGACGCGGAGGACATGGCCGCAGCCAGAGCATGGCTGTTAACGGTCGTGGTGGTGGCGGCGCAGGCCGCGGCGGCTTCTCTGGCGATTCCAACCAAAACGACTTCGGTCGCCGAGGCAACTCGACTGGCGGCGGCCATGCCAGAACCGGTTCTCGCAACTTCGACGGCAACTGGCGCAACCAGGGCGGTAACCAGGCCCAGGAACAAGGTGCCTTCCAGCCGGGTCACCGCACTCGTGGTTCTGTCAACCAGTCCATGTCCAATATTGGAGCGTTCCAGTACCCTGGTCAGCCCCAGCTGATGCAGATGCCCGGCTCGATGATTCCCATGGGCATGTACCCTGGTCAGCAGCTTAACCCTATGCAGATCCAGCAGCTGCAGGCTCTGCAGGCTGCGCAAATGAACGGTCAGCAATTTGTTGGTCTCCAGGGCAGTCAGCATGCAGGCCAGCTTGGTGGAAACCAGCAGCAACAGCAGCAGCGAAAGACTCTTTTCACTCCCTACCTCCCTCAGGCTACTCTTCCGGCTCTTCTCGGCGATGGCCAGCTCGTTTCCGGCATTCTTCGCGTGAACAAGAAGAACCGCAGCGACGCCTACGTTTCTACTCAGGACGGCTTGCTCGACGCTGATATCTTCATCTGCGGCAGCAAGGATCGCAACCGTGCCCTCGAGGGCGACCTGGTTGCCGTCGAGCTGCTCGATGTCGACGAAGTTTGGTCGCAGAAGCGCGAGAAGGAAGAGAAGAAGAAGCGCAAGGATATAACTGATACCCGTTCTGGATCGACCAACGGACAGAGCCAGTCATCCGGTAACAATGATGACAGCTCTCAGCAAGAAGGCGGCATCCGCCGCCGGGGCAGTTTGCGCCAGCGCCCGACCCAGAAGAAGAACGACGACGTTGAAGTTGAAGGCCAAAGTCTGCTTCTTGTGGAGGAGGAGGAAATCAACGATGAGGCAAAGCCTCTCTACGCTGGCCATATCGTGGCCGTCATTGAGCGCGTGGCCGGCCAAATGTTCTCTGGCAACCTTGGCTTGCTCCGGCCCAGCAGCCAGGCTACCAAGGAGAAGCAGGAGGCCGAGAGAGCCGCCAGAGACGGTGGTAACAACCGTCATCACGACAACCGTTCTCAGGAGAAGCCCAAGATCGTCTGGTTCAAGCCCACTGACAAGCGCGTGCCGCTCATTGCCATCCCTACTGAGCAGGCGCCTCGCGACTTTGTTGAGAAGCACCAGGACTATGCTGATCGCATTTTCGTGGCCTGCATTAAGCGCTGGCCGATCACTTCCCTGCATCCCTTTGGTACCCTTGTCGAGCAGTTGGGCCGCATGGGTGACCTTAAGGTGGAGACTGACGCCCTGCTGCGCGACAACAACTTCTCCTCCGACGAGTTCTCCGAGGCCGTATTGCGCAGCGTTGGCCTGCAGGATTGGTCTCTTGCTAAGGAAGATGAGGCTGCTCTGGCTACTCGCCGGGACTTCCGTGACGAGAAGGTCGTCACGCTCGATCTCAACGGGTCCCCCGAGCTTGCCAACGCCATTCATATCAAGACGCAGCCTGACGGCAAGATTGACATTGGTATTCATATTCCGGATGTCACTCACTTTGTCAAGCCCAACTCGCTTGTTGACCGCGAGGCCAAGAAACGTGGCACTGCTGTCCACTTGGTAAACCGGACATGCGCTCTGCTTCCTGCCAAGATTGGCGGCGAGGTTTGCTCTTTGGCACCTGGCGAAGAGCGCCTCGCCGTCAGTGTGCTTTTCCGCGTCAACCCTCACAATGGCGCCGTTGCCGAGGGCGATGCCTGGGTCGGCAAGAGTATCATCAAGAGCACTGCCAAGATTACCATTGATGAAATTGATGCCGCCTTGAGTGGCCAGGCGAATTGGAAGCATGAGTCCATCCAGCTCAAGGATGTTCAGATTCTCAACGTGAGTACCGCTGAGTATAGCAACTACAAGGACCGTAACTGACATCATACAGGCTGTCGCCCAAAAGTTCACCGAGGCTCGTCTCGGCGCCGGTGGTGAGCCCATTGCGCCTCTCAGGCTTCTGCAGCAGCTTGACGATGAGAACATCCCCATCAAGCACAACATCTTTGACTCGACCCCCGCAACAGAACTCGTTGAGGAGCTCATGCACAAGGCCAACGCCTATGTCGCACAGCGCCTTGCTCAGGCCCTCCCTGAAAAGGCCCTGCTCCGCCGACAAGGCCCACCCAACGCCCGACGCTTGCAGACCTTCGCTGATCGCATGAACGCTATTGGTTATGAGGTCGAGACCTCCGGCAGCGGCAGCCTGCACAATAGCCTTTTCAAGGTTGATGACGCCGACGTCCGCAAGGGAATGGAGACACTCGTCCTCAAGTCGATGCAGCGTGCCAAATACTTTATTGCTGGCAAGACGGCTAAGCAGCTGTGGCCTCATTATGCCCTCAACCTACCTCTGTACACTCATTTCACTAGCCCCACCCGCCGCTACGCTGACATCATTGTCCATCGGCAACTCGAGGCTGTGCTTTCCGAGGGTCAGATCGAATACACGGAGGATGTGGAGAGCCTCGTCAAGACTATTGAGTCTTGCAACACCAAGAAGGACTCGGCCCAGAACGCTCAGGAGCAGAGTATTCACATTGAGTCCTGCCGCGAGATGGACAAGAAGCGTCAGGAGGTTAACGGCGATCTCATCACTGAAGGTATCGTTCTCTGCGTGTACGAGTCGGCCTTCGACGTTCTTATCCCTGAATGGGGCTTTGAGAAGCGGGTGCACTGTGACCAGCTGCCTCTCAAGAAGGCCGAGTTCAGAAAGGAGAAGAGAGTGCTCGAGCTCTACTGGGAGAAGGGCGTCCCGAGCTCGGCGTACGTACCGGAGGACGAGCGCCCCAAGGCTGCTGCGTCGGTGAGGAACGCCAACGCGATGGCTGCCGCCCGTCAAGCGGAAGCAGCTGACCGCGCGAAGAAGGAGAGAGAGGAGGCTGCTCGCAAGCAGACGGAGACTGGCACCATCTCCACCGACGATGTCGATGCGCTCTTTGACGACGATGACGACAATGCGTCTGACATCACCGAAGCCATGGCCGGTGCTTCGTTGGCTGAGAGGCCCACGCAGAGCGTCCCCGGCTCACCAACCCGATCCGACGCCAAGCCTTTGCAGCGCACGAGATCTGACTCCAAGGTCCCCGTGCCGGAGGCTCCCGAGACCCGCCTGTCGAACAAGGAGAAGTACCTCAAGCTCTTCAAGCTGCGTGAGGAGGGAGGCGAGTACATCCAGGACGTCACGGAGATGACCAGGGTTCCTGTGATTCTTAAGACCGACCTCTCGAAGAGCCCGCCGTAAGTTGAATCCCACCAATGCCCTTCCGAGAATGTACTAACACGATGCAGTTGCTTGACTATTCGTTCCTTGAACCCTTACGCTCTGTAGAATGGTTTGATGAGATGCTGCGTCCAACAAGGACACAAATTGGCCACGATCATGGGGCAGATGGGCACATGGTGCGTCTTGTGGAGTGAAGATACATCATGGACGGCGTAGAAAAGTTTGGGTGAGAGATGGGACGATAGATACATGGCGATTGGAAGAGAGTAATAGGAAGGAAGTATCTTCGTCCCTGGATGAGTCATTTAGTACAAGGGCCGTAAGTTGAGAAGGGAGGCCGAGGATGAAATAGTAGAGATAGCGTCCATTAGTTCGTAAAATGGCACATCCAATTGCAGACTTTAGAGACGTAGCCGACCAGGCTTTTTTACCGCTCAAGGGATCACATAGGCATAACAAGTGTGTCCGCTGAGATGGTAGAGACGGCACGAAGAGCCACAAGGTTATAAATCTTTGGGTATGAACAAGCTGGCCCCGTGTGCTGGGTTGCAGAGAATGCGGGTTGGACACGGCGAAGGGGGGGGGGAGTAGAGGGACGGCAGCGTTTCAGCTGCGATGGTTGACAGGAGAGCCGGTTTGAAAAATCGGACGTGACGGCTTATGCTGTGTGTGTGTGTGTGTGTGTGTGTGTGTGTGTGTGTGTGTGTGTGTGTGTGTGTGGATGTGGATCGGATCTGGCTGGAATGGCACAGAAGACAGAGAGCGTGATTTGAAAGAATCGCATGGGTCTTAAAGTGGACCGGGCTCACCGGGCCGGACGTGG